GGGTCTTGCCTTCAATTCGTTAAAGAAGGAAAAAGCATCGTCTGTGCAGTGGGTCTTGCTGCAGGTGTTGACACCCACAGTCCTCCACCATGGCAGGGGCTTTGTGTGCTCCTGCAGGGGGCACCCCTGTGCACTGCTCCAGGTAAAAAATGGGAACCGAAGCTGCATTCCTGGGTGTCCCTGCATGGGACCAAAATTACTTTTTGAGGACATTTCCACTAGATTCTTGGACATATTTGAGGACAAGCACAGTCTGTACTTGGTGACACCAGGGTCACTGGGTTTCTATGTCCACGTCTGGTGCTGGCACAGCCAGTAGGACACAAGTGTTTGAGACTAAATCTTTGCACAGAATTGAGTGACACTGGTGTGAGGGACTCAGAAATAGCCCACCCAGACTTAGCCTGCCCATCTTGTCCCTTGACCCTAATGGAACTTGGTCAGGACTGAGGCATTTGTGGGGTAAACAGGAGAATCCAGCGGCATGTAATTCTCTGTGTTTCATCTTCAAGGTCGTGAGCAGGCTGAGCTAACTGGTCTCCGACTTGCAAGCTTGGGGCTGAAGTTTAATAAAATAGTACATTCCTCCATGACCCGTGCAGTAGAAACCAGCAACATCATCAGCAAACACCTGCCAGGTGGGTGTGTGCGTCCCTGGGTCCCTCAGCAGCCTCGGGACATGCAGAGTCACTGCTGAGTCACTGCTTCTCTGTAGGTGTCTCTACGGTCAGCACAGACCTGCTGAGGGAAGGTGCCCCCATCGAGCCCGACCCCCCTGTGTCTCACTGGAAGCCAGAGGCTGTGGTAAAACACCCCCACGACGGTGGTCTCCCTCCCTGCCCCTCCTGCCCTGGACAGCTCCCCCTGCTCCCTCCATTCCCGTCCAGCGCCTGCAGTCTTAGGGTCTCACTCTGCCCTCAGCAGTATTACGAAGATGGAGCCAGGATTGAGGCCGCCTTCCGGAACTACATCCACCGGGCAGATGCCAAGCAGCAGGAGGACAGTTACGAGATCTTCATCTGCCATGCCAATGTCATCCGCTACATTGTGTGCCGGTGAGGGTCCCGAGGGTGCCCCGGGCCTGGCCTCCCCTCCTGCCAACCAGTGCCAGCTCCTCTGCCCACTTCTCTGGCCTTCACACTGTCCTGGGGGCCAGACCGTGTGTCTGGTAGGATGTCTTTCACTTGGACTTTCTCGTGATTATGTGTCTTTGGTGGCAGTCGCCCAGGTCTCAGGAGATGTGAACTCAGTCGCTGGGTGAAGGTCCTGTCTGTGCTGGGCGTGTCCCTTCAGTCGTCTTTTCCCCTCAGTGACGACAGTGCCCGTGTCCTGCTGCAGGGCCACCCTGTGCGCCTTGGTCTGTCTTCCTTAGTGGCTTCCTCCTGCAGGAGCTCGTTGCGTCTGTTAGCTCCCATCCTACGGGCTCCTGACCCTACTTTGTGTGGAGTCCCACCCACCTCGGTAGTCACCTGGCTTTGCTGCTCCAGCGTGGCTGTCAGGAACTCCTGCCTGGGCGTCTGTCCTTATTTCTTGGCTCCACACACAACCCTAGGGCCTTTGTGACACAGCCCTGAGCAGCAGCCGTGTGTCACAGATGGCCTGTGGATGAGAAGGCCAGCTGGGTGCTTGTGTATTTAAAGTGACTGGGAACCTACCCCTGCCCCGCAGCCAATCCACTAGCAAGTGTCAGGTGCTTCCACTGCAAGGGAGTTCCCCTTCTCGGGAGTCTGGCAGGGAAGGACAGAGCACAGCCAGCTGCTCAGGGCCTGTCCCTGCTGTGCTTAAACCCTGGGGACCATCTCTCCTCAGATGTCACATGCATGGCCCCATGAGAGGCCCAGGAGTCCCAGCTCACTTGGAGGCTTGCTCCCTGCTAGACCAGTGCTGCCAGGCGTGGAGGGGCCTCTGGGCTCTGTGGCCTCCAACCCCAGTGCTCCGCACGCCCAGCCTCAGAGCTATGCTCCGCACGTGCATCCAAGTCACTGCCTTGGGCATCTGAGGGCGAGCTGTCTGTGTGGACACGGCGTTATTCCAGATCCTGGGACAGGGCCGACCTCAGCAGTCACTGCTAAGTGACCCCCATGCAGAAAACACCAGGAGTGCTCCGGGACTTGGAGCAGAGGTGACCTGTGTTAAAACTAAAGGGCCAAAAAGAGCCACAGTGTCCATTGAGATAGAGGGTACTCCGCTGGCTGACTTAAGACAGTGACAGCGACTCTGAGACCTGAAGGAGCATGAAGCTTATTCCTTCAGGTTGACAACTCTCATGGAGACTCTGGCTGCAGGGGGAGCTGAGGCAATGCTGTTTGTCCCCACTGAGACCTGGGCCTGGAGGCTGCCCGGTGACCCAGGAACACTGGGCTTTGTAGCAACTGCTCACCACTAACCATGCCCGACAGCATTTTCAGGAAATGTGACGGGGCTGCAGGCCTCACCACCCACTGTCCCTGGGGAGAGGCTCAGGAGTGCTAACCTGTGTCATCCCCTGTCCCGTGGGTAGGCTGTCACCATCCCTCTACTTCATGGGGGGTTGGTGCCAGTGGTGGCTCTGTGGGGTGGGGGCTGGCAGCTCCGTGAGCCCCTCCAGCCCATCCTGTCCTCCCTCCAGGGCACTGCAGTTCCCTCCTGAAGGCTGGCTCCGCCTCTCCCTCAACAACGGCAGCATCACCCATCTGGTGGTCCGGCCTGATGGCCGGGTGGCTCTCCGAGCCCTTGGGGACACAGGGTTCATGCCTCCTGACAAGATCTCCCGCTCCTGAGGCCCACTCTTCCTCGCCCGGAATGGAAGCCACCAGGAACACAGATGCCTTCCTGCCGTCCCCCCCCACAGGCTGCGCTGTGGTCACTTCCTCTCCAGGACCAGGCAGCCATAGAGGGAAGTGTCTGAAATGCTGCGTTTCAGTCCATGCGGCCCTGGATGGAAAGGGGGAGCATTCAGGTCAGACCAGCCGATCCTTTCACAGGGTCTCCTCCCCCAGGACGAGCCTGTGAGGTTGCGAGGAGGCCTCACAGGTGCCACCGTGAGGACCACGGCAGCTTGCATCAACGTGTCTTTGGTCACGACTGCAGCTGGCCACGCAACCCCTCGACCCTCCGTCAGCAAAACCTGTCCAGCACGGGGGACTTGGAGGAGGGCCCAGCGCTTCCATTCATGACTTATTTTGCTTCCTACATTCTTTTCATTTCTTAGAACCCTCCTGCCACTTATGGTATGTGTTTGTCAATTCAAGACTGTCCATCTGGGTCCCTGCAGTGAAAACTGTATCTCACTCCAAAGTCACATGCCCCCAACACTGTCAGATCTGCACTCACCTACACGATTGGCCTCTCTGGACACGCAGGAGCACCTAAGCAGGTGAGGGAGGGGGCCAGGTGGTGACAGCCCAGAAGAGAGTCCTGTTTTAAGTAAAATATCCAACTGACAATTGCCTCTGGTTGTTAAGCCCTTAGGCTTACAGATTAAAATATTTGGACATGATGTGCCCACCCCAAATATTCTGTTAATTTATAAGAGCAGTATAATTTCTATGAAGTGATTATGAACATTTTCTGTAATCAGGTCAACCAAATGGGATATTTGATCTATTTCTGTCAACTTTGGGAATAACTACAAAATAAAATTTTATTTTACTGGTTTCCAAAGCACTAAGTGTGACTGTTTTAAAGAAAACAGGAAGCCGGCGCCGTGCAGCATACGGCAGCCCCAAACTTCCTGAGGCGTTTTCCACAGAAGGCCCTTTTCTGCAGTGTCTCCCTCACCCGGGCTGATGGCTTTGCTGGGCAGCTGCCCCCAGGGCCCCAGGACAGTGAGCCTGTCGTGGCAGATGCTTTTTTAGAAGCAGCCGCCACACCTCATTTCCTAGTCGGGACAGCTAAGCCAGGCTCTGTGCCAGTTTCTGAAACCACAGGTGCAGCGGGTGTGGTCATGTTCGACCTCGGGATGAGGCCCGGGAGCCCCATACCCCCGGAACCTACAGGCCCAAAGGTGGAGGCGGCAGGTCCTCCTTCCTGTCCTATGTGTGGACCTGTCTTTCGGTGGCATTTCTGCCCTTGACACCTGTGAGAAGCAGGGCAGCATTTTAGAAACCAGAATAAGTCCAAGTGGGACACAGCTAAGGAGCAGGAGGAGGGTGTTTGGGCAGTTACAGGGCCCAGTGACAGACGGAAACTGTTCTGTGAAATGGGTTACAGTAACCCAAGTGTGGCCGAAACAACTACACACCAGAAACATGCGATGACATGATGGGACCTGAGCCAACACTAGCGCGAAGGCAGCAGGCAGTTCGTTCCAGCTCCCTTTCTGTGGAGACAGGTGCGTGTGGTCTGTGAGCCAGGAAACTCTTGAGTGTTGGTGCACATGCAAAAAACATCCGCGTCAGACAGGAAAAGCACACACCTCCAAAAGCCCAGGGAGCACATCCAGCTCCAGGAAGCTCTGACACTACACCCAACAGGCAGGCACCCCCGAGCCCGTCACTTCCTCTGGAGGCTGTGGATGCGCCTGCAAACACCCAGCAATTACGTTACGTAGAGGCTCTGTCCTGGGATGGCAGTTGCTCCACATCACGGCGCCTCTCAGGCCCAGCACCCCACCCCACTGCGGAGCAGTTCATGTCACCTCTCCAACTGCTGGAGTCACACAGCAATTGTTAGCGTCACAAAGTGCAGCTGGGAAAGCTATGCTGCCTTAACTGAAGCATGTCGTTCACAACATTCCTGTTAGGAATGAAAGGGCCAAAACAGCGAGGAAATGACCCATCAACAGTCTCACTGAACACTGCTTAAGATTTGACTAAAAATAGCAAAGCAGACTGCCGGTCACAGGTGAGAGGTCTTTCTGAAATCTTAGAAGTATAGCCGCGTCGTCTTAAAAACGATTCTTTTCAATAACTAGTTCTAAAAGAACATTGACACTGGAGGTCTCGCTGGGACCAGGCTGCCCAACCAACAAACGGGGAACGAAGGCCAAACTTCACAAGACAGGAGCAGCAGTCGGCAAAATCAGGGCAGAACGCTACTTTAATTTCCATCTGAATATTTACAGCAACACACAGGGCAGTAAGGTGAAGAGTCTAGAAAAGACAATCAGCACTGTGAATGTGTCTACTCGGATTTCTTTTGAGAACAAAGATGCCATTTAAAATGCTGCTGGAGTTTACAGCAGAACACCATTTTTTGTCTTACGCAGACTGTTGGTGACGCTACCTGTGAAAACACCTTGTGTAACCATTAGAAATTTTAAATCTACACCTTGATTTGAAAGATACAGCTGTTTTTATGAATGAAAAAGAATCTCATGCCTACTTAGCATCACTGTACATTCTCAAAAATCAAGTTCAAGAAAATAAAAAATCATTTACAAAAGGCACTGAAGTTAGCAAAAGCGCTGGCAGAGTTTTCAGTTGGTCCCCACCCTGGACGTTCACAGAATGCAGCTCTGTGAGCAGTCATCCGTCACTGTGGTGTCCGCCCTTGGGCGTCTGGAGTGGCACTGGGAGCGTGACTCCCCACACTCTGCACTGAGACCCGGGGGGCGGGGCCCGAGTAAACCACCCTCAAATAACTGAACCAGTCTCATATTCCTCAAAAGTCAACCTCCAGTTTCCGAACTAAAATGTGATGCTTCTGTAACAGTAATCCAACTGGAGTAAGTTCCAAACTATTCTAAGTAAATTCTGAAACATGAGGTCACTTCAAAGCCAGGAAACAACGGACTGCGTGCCCTGCCCCATCGCACTGGCAACCAACGGCGAGCAGGCGGGCTCTGAGCTGGGGCAGAGCGCACTGCCCAGGACTGCTGCCCAGCCCTGCGCGGCACACACAGGCCTCCCAGGGCCACTGGTTGTGTCCGAGAAAGAAGCTTTATCTGTCCAACCGAGGGGAACCCAAAGGTAACGCCGCTCCCAGGAAAGGAAGGCGGACACGACTCACCTTCGTGTCCAGGATGGAGCTGCAGTGCGGTGGCTCCAGCCCGGGGCTGCTCCTGGTGCGGCCGACCCCACCTCCAGGCTCGGGTGGTGGTCTGTGGGAGCACAGGTGGCCGTGGCTCCCAGGCAGTCACACATGCAACCAGGACAGTGACCCAGGTCTGGGTCACTACCACACTGACAGACTCCACAATACTGGTACCTGAGTGTGCTTTCATCAACTTCTCCCAAAGTACCAGAAGTATAAATTTTATACAGAACATTAGCATTTTCTAAAATACTTTTACTCTCAAAATGAGGATTAATAAATTAATCAATATATCCTTTTTTGTGAATTTTAGCAACAAACACGTTATCCTTCTTCCTTTAAAAATGAAGCAAGCGCACAGTGAGCCCGGCCCTACAAGGACTCGAGCTGGGCCGAGCGCACCATCCTGCGGAAGTGGCCCTCGTTGGCAGGGCTGTAGCGCCCAGGGCTGCCCAGGCGGGGGGAGTAGGGGGCCGGTCCCGGCTTCCTGGGGCTGCCTCCTGAGGGACCACTTCTCCCTGGGCTGCAGCTGGGAGGGCAACTGAGATCCAGCTGCTGAGACGTCAACTTTCCTTTTATCGCAGGACTTGGCCAACTGAGGAAACCAAGAAAGGTCTGTCAGTACAGATGGGAGTGTGTGTGGGGAGAGCAGAGGCCAGACAGGACCTGAGCTCCTGCACCTGAACCCAAAGGACCACTGTGGCTCCGGTGAGAGGCCCTTAGAACCTCAGAACACAGGCCTTGAAGACTAAGAGCTCATTTGATTGTCTACATAAATCCCACACGATCCTGACCAGGAACCCGGGGTGCCCCGCACACCCTCCCTTGTCAGCAGCGCCCCTCGGCTTCCCCACGCACTGCAGACCCTCCCGCGAGGCTCCCCGGCCATGGCTGCAGGTCAGGGAGCTGACCACTCGCGTGCCTGGTGTCCTGGGGGAACCACCACATGTGTAGGGGCAGAATCGGGCAGTCCCGAACTCCAGCGCCAGCAGACTCGGGGCCCATGTGTACCTCTGCCTGGCAGAGGGCGGGTAGTGCAGGACAGCGCCCCTCCACCTGTGCACGGCAGGGTACTGCCGAGGGTCCACATCCGCACACTCCAGAGCTGCCAAAACATCCTGGTCCAGTTTAGATGGCTCCTCTCTAGAAGGCGTTACAAAAGAAGAGGAAATAGAGAAACACGTGATGAAAAACAGGCTTCTAACAGCACTGCATTTCTTTTTCTTTTGATGGATTGATTTTGGGGGCGCGGCAGAAACATCAATTTGTTGTTCCACCTATTTATGCATTCAGTGGTTGGTTCCTGTATATTCCCTGACTGGGGATCGAGCCTGCAACCACGGTGTATCGGGACCACACTCTAGCCAACTGAGCTACCCTGCCAGGGCAAACCGCTGCATCCGTAACTCATAAACCCAGCACAGATGCAGACGCTGGTCCCCCATCACCCTCTCAAGCACCAGCTGTCAGGCACCACCCAGGCTGCGGAGGGACCGAGGCTAAGGTGTCAGAAAGGACATGCTGGCCCGGGACAGAAGGCCCCTAGGACCTGCCCTGCCGTGAAAATGCAGTCACATTTCCAGTTCTGAGAACCATCGACCTGGGACAGGCCACCTCCTGGGGGATGGGGACTGACTCCCAGATCTCTCCTCCTAAACACAAGCAACGTTCTTGGGACAGTTTCAGCCATCCTGGGGATGTCTATCTTCCCGGGGACAGCAGCAACACAAGGACAAGCTGAAAAGGATGGGTCTCCTACCAATGTGAAGGTCCAGCTGAGACGCACCAAGAGTTTCAAGAAGCGACACACACACACACGTGAACGAGAGGTGCGTGTGAAGCCAGGCTGTGGGCAGAGGAAAGCTGTCCCACGCACTCCCTCCCTCACCCCCGTCATGAGCCCCGCGCCCGCCCCACGGCATCTCCCCGCACACCCCCTCCAACTCATACCCCAACAGGAAGAGCCTCCGGACAGGCTCCTCCGCGGTGGGGACCCCTGTGGGCTCCGAGGACGCAGAAGGGCAGCCGAGCTGGGCCTTGTGTCCAGGCCTGTGGGGGTCCAGGCACATGCTGGCCATCCCTGTTGACACCTCGCTTTCTGTCCTCGCCTGGCTGTTTCCGAGTCTGTGGGCAGCAGGAGGCTCTGACACGTCACTGCCCGTTGCATCCACTCCTGATGTCAGCATCTTCTCATCTCCTGTGTCCGTGCTTTTGTTTGGTGTCTTGGAAGGGCCACTTCCCAGATTCTGCACGTGGAGCTTATTGAACTCCACAGCCAAGCTGCAGACAGGTGACGGGGGGGCTTCCTCCCCACAAGCGGCCTCTGTCCTCTTCCCACCCGGGATCTTGCCGCCACTCAGGGGGCGGCAGCACCCATTCCTGTTGTTGGGGGGACAGGCCCTCTGCTCCAAGGGAAGGATGCTGCACCCCAAGTCTCCGAAAGCCTCAGCTGCGGGCTGGCTGTTGTTTCGAGCTGTGTTCTGCCGATTTTTAACCTCTTCCAAGCTCAGGACGTTGTCTGCACTCAGAAAGGCCCCCCCAGAGGTGGAGTCACTGCGGGTCCCACGGCAGCCTGTGAGGGAGACAGCGCAGCCGCTCGGGGCCGGTGCTGGAGTCCGCACACAGCGCGTGCAGCACAGGGCAGACCCCACGACCAACCAGTCCCTCCGCAAAGCCTCCTCGGACACAAGACAAAACCACCCGCCGTGCTCCAGGGACAGGGCAAGTAGGACCCTGAAACAGAAACAGAGCCCCCAGGAAGATAAGAAAGAGGACAAGGCCAAGGGCAGCCACAGGTAGGGCAGGCAAGTGCCTGCTGCCTCCATCTAATCTGCGGGAACACAGGGCACCGAGAACGTGGTGGGCAGAGGGGACCGGTAGGCGTTCCTGTGTTCGCAGGGACGTGCTCTGGGTCCACAGACGCGGGGCGGGGCCCAGGTCACCGGGGTGCAGGGACACCATGCATGTCCTTACCGAAGGCAGAGGGGTTCTGTAGAACACGGGCTTCATCTTCTCCTGGGTCTCGTTGGGCCTCTCTGCCCACTTCCTGCTGCGTGAGATATTCCTCCAATTTCTGCAGGCCCTCCTGGGAAGCCAGGTCGACAAAGCAGCCCAGGAAGTCCCAGTACTCGACCCAGGGGTACCCCAGGTCATGGGCCAGATCCCTGTAAGAATAAAGCATAAATGATCAGTTGTGAAGCTGGAACAAAAATCCCAGAACTGACAACAGAAAATAGCCAGCAAAGGCGGAAATCTTGGTTATGGTCTCATTTCACCCTAAATCTGGGGCAAAGATAGGACTCTGCATCCTCTAACACAGGCGAGCAGCCCCCCTGTGGAGCTCTGATGGGATAGAATGAGCCCCTACTTCACTGGGGGCAGAAGGAGAAGGCAACCAAAAACAGCTTTACCAACCAACCGTACAGGTGAAAGGCAAAAGAGCACAATGCCACAAATAGATAGACTTTTGTGTGTTTAATAAAACAGTGACTTAAGTAGAATATGATTCTGGTTTTAGCCAGGCACATGAAAATTTAGAAGTCCTTTTCAAGTTCAAGTGGTAAACCTGAAATTGAGCATGTACTTGAAGAAAAAATTCTAAGTCAATTCAACGACGCTTTATTTGATTACTCTGTAATTTAGCTCCCTGTTACTGGTGGTTTCTAGCCACCCCGAACGCCCTGTGTTCTACTTTCTCCTTCACTGCCAAGGAAGCACCCAAGGCAGGGCACCTCCTTCCAAACACTCTCCATCCCTCAGACAAAGGCTGCATGACCTGGGGAGGGGCTGCGTGTACAAGGCCTGCAGGGAACCGGAGCTCCAGGAAGAGGCTGGAGCATCCTGGTCTAAACGCTTCCTGGGAATTCCGACTCTAAGGCAGACGTCACTGGCATTTCCACCTGCAGTGTTAAGTACCTTCCCGCTCTCTCCATGCCTCTTTCTGGATCTGACTTCTTGACGTTGTGAAAGAAGCCTGCTTTCTCTCGAGGTGGGGTTTTCCAGAGTCTGCGAAAACCTTTTGCCTATGAAGAGAACACATCTCAAGCTGTGTTATGCATCCGAGCTGCTGGAAAACGTGAAGAACCACCAGCACCGCGGAACCAGCGGGGTGCTCCCAGGGTTGTCCCCACCCCGCCCGACACAGCCTGGACAACATGTCTACCTGCCTTGTAGCTAAGAGAGGTACAAGGGGCTGCATTCTTACTGGTGGGGGGGGCCCTTTTAATTTCCTGTGGCTCTGGGTGGGGCGTGGAGTCGGAGTTGCACCAGGAGGCCCGAGGAGGAGGCCATCTCACCTGGGGAACACAGCACCAACCTGCCGTCCAGAGTCACCAGGCTTCCATTTCCCACCACACAAGGGAAAAATTAATGACCGTGTTTTTGACCCATTAGAGTTTTACGTTTTATGCAGCAGAATCTAATCCCACTGATACCACTTGCTTTTGGAGATGTTTTATAGATAACTATCCAGAATTTTTTCAATGAGAGGAAAGATTATATAGGCCACTGTATGTTAATAGCTCAGTGCAGAAAGTGAACTTCAAAGCTTGCAAGTGGAATTTTCCTTGTGACAATGCCAGTTTGCACCACTAGGAAAGACGGCCCAGCTAGACTGGCCACGCCCTGTGAGAAGGGCTATCAGAACTGATGGGAGAACCTGGTGACCACAGCACAGGAAGGGTCGGCCCAGGTAAACGTCACGTCTGAGGTGCAGGGTCCCCACACGCCCCTGCCAGCAGCCACTGAGGATCAGGATCAGGACACTCCTGTCTCCCCAGTGAACCTTCTGAAGCCCCGTCACTCACTCGCTGGGGTCCCAGGAAGACCTGGTCTCTGCAACCGACCGCAGGGGAGAAGCCGGAACACCCAGCATTTCTGGTGGGGACAGCCAGGAGCTCGTTTCAGAAGCTTCCACAGCAGCTCACCTTGGCTGGACTTAGGGGTCCTGCGAAGGCTCTCAAGGTCAGAACAGGGTCCCTGGGGCTGCTCCCACCATGGCTGATGGGCAAGGCCTCGGCAGTCTGGTCTGAAGACCACAGCTCCCCGATCACTGGGGACGACAGGTCCTCTGCTCTCAGGAGTGGCACGTAGTAGTGACCTGGGGAGACGCCAGGGCTCGTCACATCTGCTCATCACATCAGCTCCTCACCTCAGCACACACGTGGGGGCTTCCAGTAAATAACCCAAGAAACAACACGAGCGAGTCCATGACAACAGCAAAAAGGCTGCGAATCTCTGGAGCTGAAAGAACCTCACAGGAGACCAGACGTGCCAGACTCTGTGAATGAGCCCACGTTCTGCCTCTGCAGGGAAAAAAGCCGGGGGGGCGGGGCGGGGGGGGGAGCGTGAACACCTCCTCACCGCAGGTTCTTAAAAGGACTGAGAGGTGGGCCTGGGGAATAAGATGAGCCTAGGTGGGCACGGGACGGCATTAGACAGAAGGGCCATCTTCAGCCCCCTCCCCAGTTCCCAGTCCTTTCAGTACGTCACAGTTCTGATCGCTGACCACCGGTCTCTAAACCGACATGCACTCGCAGACACTGCGATGGGAACTCGGGAAAGAACAAAGGGAGAGACAGTGAGGTCCCAAGGGAGCGTGTGGCCAGGCTGCAGGGGACAACATGCACACAGTCGGTTGGCTGTCCAGGGGCACTGAGCCTTATATATGGAAGTAGGAAGTGGCAGCAGTGTCTGTGCAGTGGAGACCGAGCGACGGGGACCTGGGGAAGGGAAACCGAGAGGACAGGCAGGCAGCCGGCGGAGGCAGCGAGCTCTGGCTGAAGCTGCCAAGGAAAGGCCCCTCCGCTTCGGTGCCTGAAACTCCCTGGAAACAGAGAGGAAGACAGCGGGAATGGCCCCTTTCCAAAACCAGCCACCCTCACAGTCTGGAAGCCTGCCAGCTATAGGCCAAGGCCCAGGAGCTCCTGACCAGAGAAACAAGGGCCCCGAGAGTGAACGTGAACCTCCACAGGACTGTCTTCAAAGCTGAGCAGGCAACCCAGCTCCCGGTCTGAGTGATGAGATGCAGAGCTGCCAGGCCTCAGGAGTGGGCGCTGCCCAGGGAGCAGAAGGGAGGAGCTGCCCTACTTGGCCAAGGGTGGGGGCAGGGCCCGGTCCAGGAAGAGGCGGCCGGGAGCTCAGGCACAGGCCCTCCTGCTCACATCTACCCGAGAAAGGTCAGACACACCTGCCGCAGGAGCCGTCTGCAGAGGGTAAGGGGTGAGGCACACGACCGACAGCTTGGTCTCTCAGAACAGCTCAAGGCGTCAGAGGAGGCACGGTGTGAAGACCGAGGTGGGGCGGGAGCGGGGGTCCAGGAAAGCAGGGCGGCCAGGACGAGGGCTGGAGCGGAGCCCGCGCGTAACCCTTACTTCGCGCCCCGCACACGGCCAGGCTTGGTCCTGCCTGGTCTCGCCCCGCAGTGGGCCTCACACTCCAGCACCAAAGCCCTCCTTACCCTTTAAATGTTCTCTGATCTGCTCCTTCAGTTCCATGGATTTATTTTTGCTTCTTTCACAAATAACCTATTTAAAAAAATAGAGTTATGTAAAGTTCACTCAAAATCTTAGTTTATCACATTTTCTTATCATTAAAGTTTTATAAATCTAAGTTCTTAAGTCAACAAAATAAGGACAGTACCTAATGCTCAATATTTCATAAAGCACCCCAACCAAAAATTGTATCCTAAACTGTTAAAATCTTTCTTCCAGAATGCTTTGTAGCAGCTTATGTTGCCAGGACAAGAAGAAAAACTCTGAGATTGTAGGTAAATTTTATTTCCTTTCTTCACCCTCAAGTGCACTATCAAGTCGGAGCAGAGGTGTACAGACAGGCTCACGGTTTTCGGCTCAGTGCCGCTGCCCGGGAGCCCACTGTTTGGCAGGGTCGACACACAAGAGCCGGGGAGCATGAAACGCCAATGTCTGCTTTTTGCAATGACAGGAATCAACTTTGTCAGCCCTTGAAGAACTGGAGTGACAAGAACATTTTTGCTGGAAGACAATCAAAACGCAGTAACCTTCAAATAAGGAAGACACCACAAAACGGTCACCCCGACAGCATCTGAGAACTGACCTATGACACAGCTGTGCAGTGCACCCTGGGACGAGCGCGACTGTTTAAGTCTGTAACTAATTCTGAGAGGTGTCCAATGTTTTGACATGTGTTACCAAAGAGCATTTTATATGAAAAAAAAAATTTGCACAGAAAATGCTGAGTCACAAATATTAAAAATACTGTTAATTTCTGAGTGGTAGAATTGTCTGAATTTTATTCTGGTTCACATGCACTCTTAAACTTTCTCCAGAAAGTACGCATGTAACCACAGTTGTTATAAGGAAGGCGTCTGTTACCAGAGCAGAGCCCTCACGGGTCATATTCCCAAAGGGTGGCCAGGTCAGGCCAGGTCAGCTGACAGCTCGGATCTCGGTCAGGTCCGCTTCCCAGACACAGACAGGGCTTAGCCCTCTTGCCCGTGGGGGGGGGGGGGGGGCACATTTTGCTCAGTGGCCAGCGGAGGCCTGCATGCTTCAGGTGGGAACACGTGGGCACGGCGTAGGTCAGCAGCTGGTGTACCCTGAGCTGAGTCTGTCAGCTGTTTGCAGCATTGTCAGCCTCATCACCACCTTTGCCACCATGACCATCATCACAACCTTTGTCCTCTCTGGCCCTGGCCAACTGAGACAGGTACAGAGAGAACTAGATAAAAGACTGAGTTGTTGAGAAAACTGAGCACCTGTTTCAGGAAAACAACATCAGCACACAGGGCTGCTCATCCCCTCCTGGCTCTGTGGCGGCCCTGCCTTCAGCAGCTGGGCTCCAGGTGCCTGTGAGCGTGCACACACACACACGTGCACGTGCAGTCCAAACTCCCGGCTTCATGGTGGCGGCGATCACAGACTGCAATTTTACACACCTTCATTTCTAATGCTACAAAGTATAAGCATTTTAGAGGTACTTACATCTTCAGGTGTTTTACCACATTTATTCCGTGGACGTCTGCCAATCAAAGGGTGTGAAGAAAGCACGCTGACCACATCTGCATTCCCAAACTTACAAGCAAAGTGCAATGGTGTGTCGTAGCCCTGAGAGGTGCAGAGAAGAACATGTTTCCCATTTACACTCCTTCATCTCATAAGGCTGCTTTATGATGAAAACAGTTACTTAGTACAAGAAACAAAGACACTGTTTTTACAACTGAGAATACCAGCAGCTACCACATATCCACTTCATGCCAGGGCTTGAGCCCAGCACAGTGCGCTGGTCACCACGTATCTAGTGCCCAGGTGCCCAGGTCCAGTGGGAGCTCACAACGGAGTTGGGGAGTGAAAACTGCTCAGTGAACAGCAGCTTTAACAATCCAAGGCCTGGTACAATGTCTCACAATCAATGCTCAAAATGTGAAATAGATGAAGGCAACATCCAGAATAAAGCAAAGGCTACAAATTTGCTCAGAGAAAATTCTCCAGCAGCTAATGCCATTGCAAACCAAACAATCCACTCCTTGTTCCTCAAAAATTAAAAACAGAAATACCTACGAGCCAGCAATTCTGGGTATTTATCCAAAGAAACACAAATCACTAACTTGAAAAGGTATATGCACCTACATTGCAGAATTATTTACAACAGCCAAGATATGGAAAAAACTTAAGTGTCCCTTGACAGATGAAAAAGATCTGGTATACACGTATAATGGATATTACTCAGCTATTAAAACAAAAACCACCCCCGACCCTGAAACCCTGCCATCTGTGACAGCATGGATGGACTGAAAGGGTATTATGCTGAGTTAGGTAAATCAGAGAAAGACAAAGGCTGTATAGTTTTACTTTTATGTGGAATCCAAAAAACAAAATAAACAAGTAAGCAAAACAGAAATAGACTCATAGGCACTGAAAATACACTTATGGCTGCCAAATGAAAGGGGGTTGAGGGGCTAGATGAAAAAGGTGAAGGGGGCCCTGGCTGCTTGGAGCTTCATCTCAGTATGTCCAGGTTGAGGGTTCCACCCCCTGTCAGGGCACATATAAGAATGAACCACTGAATGCAGTGGATTCAGTGGAAAATAAGTGGAACAACAAATCAATGCTTCTCTCCATCACTCTTTCTCTCTAAAATCAAAAAATAAAAAATTTTTAAAAAGTGGGTTGAAGGGGGACTTCCGCCAAGATGGAGGCATAGGTGGAGACGCCTTGCTTTCTCACGCAACCAAGTTTAGAGACAACTAAATATTAGCAACAGAAAACACAGCCAGAACACAGAAAATTGAACTTTTCGGAAGTCTGATAACAACAAATTCTTCAGCCTGACTGGTAAGAGGGGCGAAACCAGCAGCTGGCGGAGCGGGGTTGCACAGGAAAACTCGGTCAGATGGACTCAGGCGCGGGGAACCCAGGCGCAGGGTTGGACCTAGTGAGCGACCCAGCGAGCGACGAGGGGGAAACAGCGAGGGAGCAGGGCTGCGGGTTGACTGTAGTCGAGCATTTGTGCGCAGATAGACAAGAGAGGGAGTGGGTGGTTAGACGGGACCCAGCAGGCCCCAGCAGCGAGTGGCAGCAGAGGGCGCCGCCATTTCCCTGCGTCACAACCCAGCGACCTGGGAGTCCAAGGCTCTGCTCCTCATACTTAATGAGCGCCAACAGACCAAAAATGGCTCAAGAAGATCTCAAAGCCCCAGAGCCTATAAATCTAAGCGATGAAGAAATAGCAAAACTCTCAGACGCACAGTTTAAAACACTGGTGATCAGGATCCTCATAGAACTGGTTGATTATAGCCACAAATTAGACAAACATATGAAGGCGAAACTAATTGAAATGAATGGAATTGCACAGGAAACCAATAGCGATGAAAAGGAAACTGGGACTCAAATCAATGGAGTGGACCAGAAGAAAGCAAATAATGGCCAAACAGAAAAGAGTGAAGAAATAAGAATTCAAAAAAATGAGGAGAGTCTTAGGAACCTCTAGAACATCTTTAAACGCTTCAACATCCGAATTATAGGGGTACCAGAAGGGGGAAAGGCACAGCCACCAGTGGAAAACTTATTTGAACAAATAATAAAGGAGAATTTCCCCAATCTGGCAAAGGAAATAGACTTCCAGGAAATCCAGGAAGCTCAGAGAGTCCCAAAGAAGATGGACCCAAGAAGGAACACACCAAGGCACATCATAATTACATTAGCCAAGATTCAAATGAAGGAGAGAATCCTAGAAGCAGCAAGAGCTAAGGGGACAGTCACCTACAAAGGAGTCCCCATCAGACTGTCAGCGGATTTCTCAAAAGAGACCTTACAGGCAAGAAGGGGCTAGAAAGAGGTATTCCAAGTCATGAAATCCAAAGACCTACAACCAAGATTGCTCTATCCAGCAAAACTTTCATTTAGAATGGAAGGACAGATAAAATGCTTCTCAGATAAGATCAAATTCAAGGAGTTCATCATCACCAAGCCCTTATTATATGAAATGCTAAAGGGACTTATCTAAGAAAAAGAAGATAAAAAATATGAACAGTGAAAGGACAGCAAACTCACAGTTATTAACAACCACGCCTAAAACGAAAGCAAACTAAGAGGACAGCTAGATCAGGAGCAGAACCATAGAAATGAAGATCACATGGAGGGTTAGCAACAGGGGAGTGGGAGGAGGAGAAGGGGGGAGAAGGTACAGAAAATAAGTAGCATAGACAGTAGATAGAAAATAGATGGGCGGGGGGCAAGAATAGTATGGGAAAAATAGAATCTAAAGAACTTGAGACATATGGTCATAAACTAAAGGGGGGGTAATGGTGGGGATGGGGGGGTAGGGTGGAGGGGAATGAACGGGGGAATACAACAACTGTAATGGCATAATCAATAAAAATAAATAAGTTAATAAAAAAATAAGAAGTGGAGGAATGACAGCCTTCTTAAAAAAAATGGTGAAGCGATTAATATGTATAAATTACCAGTTACAAAAACAGCCACAGGATATAAAGTTCGGTACAGAGAATATGGTCAATAGTATTGTAATAACCATGTCCTGGTGTAAGAAAGGCACTAGACTTATGGGGGGGGGATTTGTAAGTTATATTAACGTCTAGTCACTATGCTGTACACCTGAAGTTAATACAAAGATAACTGAATGTAAACTGTAATTGAAAAGTAAATTAAAAAAAAGAAAACAAAAAGACTTTAAAAAGGTAATATTCCAAAAAAGAGTTACAACAACAGACAACTCTCCATCCGAGTTCACGACGTTCCTCAAGTCCCCGACTGGCCTCTGCAGTCCTCTCAAGGCTGCCCACTGGGGCGCCTTCCACTGCTACCTGCAGCCCAGTGGCCCGAGGGTCGCAGCACCCTGCCTGGGAGAGCAGACCTATGTGTGTGAACGGCTCCTTCCCTACCACCTTTCCACGCCCTCTGAGCTCACTGGGTGCACGTCTCCGTGCTGGCCCTGCACATGCAGGGATGCAGTAGGTACTCAAAGCCAGGCACGTGGGTCCTGTTTCACTGTGAGGCTGGCCGTGATGTCAGCGAGGAAAGAAAGGCGGTGCACTCACCACCTTGTCGGGTGTATTCAGGTACAGGTCGAGGATGTAACAAATGCGCTTCTGCAGCATGTCCGGGGGGTCATCGGGGTACATGAGCTGCATAAACTCAGGGTTCTCCAGTGTCTCAAGAGTCAGCTGGCAGATGGGAGCCCGATTCTCTCTGGCAGCAACATGCATGACATTGTACCTACAACCCTCCTAAGGGAAGAACAAAGATTTTGAGCTTCATTCCTGTCACCCACGGTCCTGAAGCTCACAATGCCAGACACAAGCTCACCTGCAGAATGGTTGGGTTGTCCCCAGACCCAATCAGATACCGGGGGTTACTCCAGACAAGGCTGGAGAAGGTGTCTTCGTCACCCTGCTCCACGGCTTTTCGCAGTTTGGACGTGAGATCCTGCGTACGGGGGTTTTTATAACTGTTTGCTCGTTCTCTGTTCACTGTTTCTGACTCAGATAAGCTCAAGCCATCTGTTATTAAGAGACAGAATTTAAGAACATTTAATTTCAATAAATTACATATACAAATAATGCAAATTTGAAAAGGAACTAAAAATAAAAGAGAAAAAATTAAAGATAAAGGTTGAAGTAATTAAATAGAAAAAAAAACAGTAATGGCAACAAGAAATAACAGAATAGCTAAATGAAACCCCAAAACTAGTTAATTGAAAAAACCTGCAATATATAATCTTTTGATAAACCGGATTAAAAGAAAAAGAAATGTTAATTTCACAAACATTTTCTCAGCTCCCCCACAGGCTGCACTGGGGGTGATGAGAACCCGCCCCGCGCCGCAGAAGCCTGCGGTCCAGCTGAGAGAAACAGGGAAGCAGCAGGCGTGCGCAGCAGCATGTGCACAAAGAGCCACGACCTGCTGCAACCCAGCTGGGAGAGCTGGGCAGGAAGCTCAGCCAGAGGGGCAGGGCAGGGGCACATGGCCACTGGCATCGCCCCAGATCTGCAAAGCACAGGGAGCACCCTTAAAGGCAGCGAGCCCAAACGATTTCCATCAGTTCCATTCTGATACCCCAAGAAGCCCGAAAGGTATCTTGAGGGAGACTTCCGCAAACAGTGCAGAGGGAAGCCCGTAAGGCAGGGGTGTCGAACTCATTTTCACTGGGGGCCACATCAGCCTTGTGGTTGCCTTCAAAGGGCTGAGTGTAATTTTAGGGCTGTATAAATGTAACTACTCGCTAACAGTGAAGCAAGAGCTCAGTGCTGCTGCAGGGTAGAAACAAGGTGCTGGGCCAGATAAAACAAGGTGGAGGGCCGGATTTGGCCTGTGGGCCTTGTGTTTGCCACCTGTGCCATAGGGCTTGAAATCCTTCTGGTTTACAAGTAAGAAGCACCTGTGTGAAGCCAAGTAAGGGGACAGAGGAAAGGAAGCAAATGGGACTCTGGAGAGATGGCCAAATGTCTGCTAGGAGGGGCTGCCTCTGGAACCCCAGCCAGCCTAGGAAGCAGGACATCTGGGAGCTCCAAGAGTGGACAAGACTGAGGCCAGAAGGTCAGGTTTCTGACCTGACTGAATAGTCTGGGTCAAAGCTGGTGCCACAGTCCTAGAAGCAGGTATAGCTTCAGGTGGGAAACAGATTGGTCTTGGCACCAGAAAATGCCCCTTAGCCGTGGCTGTTGTGGCTCAGTGAACTGAGCTCTGGCCTGCAAACTAAAGGGTCGTCAGTGCACATGCTTGGGTTATAATCCAGGTCCCCAGTAGGGGGCGCATGAGAGGCAACCATACACTGATGTTTCTCCTTCTTCCCTTCCCCTCTGACCAAAAATAAATAAATACTCTTTAAAAAATGTCCCTGAAAGCAATAGGTAGCAGGGACAGAGGAAGACAGAAGGAGCAGAACAGAAGAGGTGATGGTGGTCCTCACTGCTTCTCCCACAGCTGGTCAGTGTCGGGACCTGGAGGAGCTGCCCGGCCCGCTCAGCCCATTGCCTCTACCCTCATGGTCCTGGGTCCCCCCAGACCAGCCCTAAGGACCCATTCTCTTCCAGCTGCTCCACACCTGGACTTTCCCTCCCTGGAAAACTGGACTTCTCCCAAAGACAGAAAAAACTAATTTCCATATATCAGGAAAGAGAGCACAAAATACTTTTGGGCAAATCTCATAGTAATGCCAAGCTGTAAACAGCTACATAACTTACCTTTTAACCCACCATTGCTAGAGAGTGATGCTATTTTCACATGAGAAAGTAGAGAAGTTTTGCTTGGAGAAGGGAAATAATCACAAATTCCTCTAGCAAATTTCTCAGCATCTTCTCTGCTTGAAAAAGCTTTAAACCGGGATCCTTTGATCATTTTGACAGCTTGCAATGCTTCCTTTTTATCTTGGTAAACATGAATCCTTTCTGTGAGGGAAGTAACAGATAGAAGGTGAAGACGAGTGACAGGAGCCGCTGCCCGGCAGCCACACCGAAAGCCCTGTCTGTGCCTCACAGTCCACGGCTGCTCCTCGGCTACAGGCCTTCTCTCCGACATTAACGTTTCATAACTGTGATCCGGAAGAAAAAGAGCCTTTGCTGGCCAAAAGAATGCAATAAGCTTCATCATGTATGTGTGTGGACATAAATACTGTGATACATTTTTATACATATATGTAATCTTATATCTAAGGACATCCCATATTGAAAAATAAAATTCATGGATTAATGATCTGAACAAAAATAACAAGGAAAGCAAGTTTTAAAACTATGAACATTAACAAAACAGTGTAAGAGAATTTTAAACATAATTTTGGGTGGGAAATGCCTTTTTAAGCATGCCAAGAAACCCAAAATGCTTGAAGATAAAGAAGGCTCTGATTATTTAAAAATATTATAGTTCTTTAGGGGAACTATCACACTCAAGCTCTGTATGAGACTCTCAAAAATACATAACATGCAAACAACAGACTGGGATAAAATGTTTTTAACTGATATACCAGAAGAATGGTAATGCCCACTACCCAATAAAAATGGTCAATAGGAGCCCTGGCTGGAGTGGCTCAGTGGGTTGAGCACCAGACTGTAAACTGATGGGTCACTGGTTTGATTCCCGGTCTAGGGCACGTGCCTGGGTTGTAGACCCGGTCCCCAGTAAGGGGTGCATGAGAGGCAGCTACACATCCCTTCCCCTCTCTAAAAATAAATTTTAAAAAAGCTTTTATTTATTTATTTTCAAAGACTGTATTTATTTATCTTTAGAGGGGAAGGGAAGGAGAGAGGGAGAGAAATACCAATGTATGGTTGCCTTTTGTGCATCCCCTGCTGGGCCCTGGCCTGCAACCCAGGCATGTGCCCTGACTGGGAATCGAACCACAGTTGTTTGGTTCGTAGGCTCGCAGTCAATCCACTGAGCTATACCAGCCAGGGCGAAAAGTTTTAAAAAATAATAAAAACGGTCAATAGGTATGATAAAGCAATTTATCAAATAAATACAAATAGACTACAAACATTTTAAAAAGTAATTAAATATAAAAGATAGAGCTTTCCCTCATGCAAGCAACAGAAAGGAAAGTTCAATATGCTTTCAGTATATTGCAGAATGACTGACAGAACGAACACAAAATATTCATTTTACCTTTTTAGAGAAAAACGGGAATTCAATATCATATCGCAGAGAGACTAGAGAAGTGACTTTTGTACACACAGTGAATGGCAACACTTTTGGAAGGGCAGCGGCTTTCAAAGTTTAAAAATGCATTCTTTCTGACTTGACACTGTTATTCAACCATTTTTTAAGTAAAATATAACAGTGTACACTTATACACACCTATAGGCACTAAAGCAGTTATTAAGTGGTTACTTCCAGTATGATTTCAGAGGGGAAGAGGAAAAAAGTTTTAAATTTACTTTACGTACTGTATATATAATATATACATTACTTTCTAAATCAACAAGTTCTCATTAATTCTTTCCAATGCTATTTAACTTGTTTCAAACTGCAATTCTTTGATGTTGAAAATTATTTATACCTTCACTGGTCACTTGCAATAATAAACATAACAGGTGTTCAGATTATGTTGAAAAAGGAAAAAAGGAGGTCTGGCTGTTTAGCTCAGTGGACTGAGTGAAGACTGTGAACCAAAAGGTGGCCAGTTCAATTCCCAGTCAGGGCACATGCCTGGGCTGCAGGCCAGGTCCCCAGTGGGGGGCATGTGAGAGTCAACCACAGATTGATGCTTCTCTCCCTCTCTTTCTCCCTCCTTTTCCCTCTCGAAAAATAAAATTAAATAAATATCTCAAAAAAGAAAAAAGGAGGGAGATGATTAATTAACAAATAGTAGCCAGCCAATAAATATTTTATTTTAGAAAGTTTCACCTGCCGGCCTGGGACCCGCTTGTTTTTTTTCTTTCCCTTTTTATTAATATTAAAATAAAAAAAAAATATATAGATTAAAAAATTTTTAGGAGAGTTCTATATAAAAATGCCAACAGTGGTTAACTGAGGAATCCCTCTTTCTTCTCTAATGGTGGGGTTTTCAAAATTGCCTCAGCCCTGTGGTCAAAGAAACGGCTCCCACTGTGAAACACCACGCGTGTCACATTACCATTGCTCGCTGGGGCATCCTCGCTGGCCGGACACACCCCATAGTACAGAGGAGGCTCAGCAGAGGCCCTCACCACGGTCTGGGGGCCGTCAACCCCAGCCACAGCACCGAAGGACACTGAGCAGGTCTTGGACTTCAGGTCGTCTTCCCCCGGAGGAGTCAAGCCCACGCCACAACCAAAATCTCTGTCTTCAGAAAAGCTGACCTGCTCACAGGGGCTCCCCGTGGCAGACCTGAAAGGCCTCTGTGTGTTCTGGCTGAGAGCTGTGGCACCCACGGCGGTCTGGGTGGGAGGGTGTGAAGGCAGGGTCCTTCCATGCTCTAACAGGGCCTGAGCCAATTTCTTCTCAAAAATGGACCTTGTAGTGGAGGTAATGGGTCCACACTTCAATCCGGCTTTGACAATTTCCATTCTAAGGTCGTCTGGATTCAGGAGTTTCAATCGAGCTAGGACGGCGTCCATTGTCATTTCACCTAGGCCCAAAACAACACCAGTCAATTCATGGCTCTACCTGCATCCCTGCATCTTTTTTTTTAAAATTTAATAAGAATCAAATGAAGAATGCATAAATAAGTGAAAATGCAAATCGACGACTCTCTCTAAAATCAGGTTTTTAAAAAAGTGGTAAAAAAGGCTGCCTTCGAAGTTTCATTTCAATCCAGTGTTTCTCCGTATTCTCTGGAGTCTATGAACTCCCTACAAGAATTTTCATTATGCTTTTTGTTTCCAAATCTATCAGAACAAAAACAAAATTAAGATACACAGTTTCTGGCTCATCTGGATAAGAATCTTATAACCTAGTACGATGACACAACGGGACCACACTAACACTCCAGGCAGGAAAAATAGGCACACTCCTGTGTTGCTAGTTGGACTATAATTTGGAACAAACCCCAAGGAAGGCACTGAACAGTTTCCATCAAAACTCCAACTCCAGAAACTTACCTACTTTTCCACTGTATCCCATAAGTGACAGAAGTTATGCGAAGATTTAAAACAGAGGCGCCACATGGCTCTAACAGTCCTTTTGCTCATAGCAACAACGAATAGCTCACGTTTAACTTTTGGCCTGTCTTTCCATGTGCCTGGTGCTGTTGCAAGCGCTCTACATACTTGAAGTTATTTAACAGAAACAGTAACTCTGGTAGGTATCACCACTCCTTGTTCACCCCCATTTTACAGATGAAGAACCCAAGACAAAGAGAAGCTCAGTAACTTGTTCGAGTTATACACCTACTAAACAAATGGATTTGAGCTGGAGCTGTGATGAATACGTTTGGAGAAACAGCAACTAAATCCATGGAGCACAGGTTTAAGTGCGGTCAGCTAACATCAGCAAGGAACTGACCACTGCGATTAATGGGGCTTGAGACAAGGGCCCAGACTGGAACAGGAGGTCTTAACCGTGGATAGATCAGGTGCCGTGGGAGGGCCTTGCGGGACGGCAGTCGGCCTGGACAACACCTAGATTTCCAGTCCAGGTGCCCAGGAAGTGCTTTTACCTGAGGCAGAGAATGTCAGACACGGAACAAACGGATTCAGGCACCGAGCGTCAGAAACATCTGTCGCACGCCACGTGAGCGTTTCAGTTTTCAAGTCTGAGATTTAGAGGACGAGAAGTTCAGAGGGTGAAAAACAGATCCAGAGTCCTTAGCACACAGGTAGTGGTTACAATACCAAGAGACTAAATCAGGGAACCAAATACACAACCACAGGGAGCCTGACACAGAACCTGACTAACACCAAGGATTAAAAGACAGGAAGATAAAAAAACTGGACATATTAACAATATGAAACATTAATATCAAGGAGGCGATGGTTTAAGAGGTGTTCACAGATGAAATGATAGGCCTTCCAGGATTGGTTTTAAATTACTCCAGCAGGAGAGTGGAACAGAGGGGCCAGTGACAGAGAAAACAAAATTTAGAGAATACCGGCTGCAGCTGGACGATGGGTACAAGGGGTTCATTATATTATCCTATCTATTTTTGTGTATTTCTTAAAAAAAAACAAACTTTATGATGCCCTCTACCACTGCAAGATTTCAAAAACTGCTGTTACTTATTTGCAAAGCAGAACCAGTCTCATAAACAGCGAACGTAGCGCACAGCCCCCTCTACAGAAGGGGCCTGCTGAGTGCAGCACTGCACCAGGAAGAGCCCCGGCGCGAACTACAGAGGTACACCTGGGTACCAGAGCAGCACAGATGCTCAATGAAAAGGACCTGACAGGAAAGGGACAGGACAGGTCGCCACATGCAAGGCGAAGTCTAAGGGCTAGGGACACACTGGGGAAGATGCTATGAATAGAGAGGAACTGAGCCCCTTCCTAACAATATTCTACTTTTTATCCTCTACATCCTTACTCTGAAGCCATGTTTTTAACATGTCTAAAGGGGATTTTGTCCTTGCAATTAAGCAAACCCTAAACTGAACAATTACACTGCACCGTGTCATATCACTAACTGTGTGACCTTGGGCGAATTATGTAAACTTTAAGTCTCCATTTCCTCATCTATAAAACGGACACACTAGCTCTCCTTCTTAGGTTATAATGCAAATTAGATAAAATCATATGTGCAAAGTCTATGCCACTGAGTTTGACATAGAACAAATTATCCACAAATATCAGTAGTAGCTAATAAGCTATCAAGGAATGCAAGCTTTTAATTCTGCAAAAAGTACATTCTGTTACTAATATCCATACAATACACAGGTATCTGCTTACGTGTGCAAAAGAAAGAAAGGATGAAGTAGAAACTCATGGGACCAGTTACTTGTGGGGCTGGTGGTGCTGCACAGAAAAGCAGCACTTCAGAATATGACTTTATGTTCTGACTTCTAGAAACATACTAAAAAAATAACTAAATAAACAAAAACATGAACATGGCGGGGACCCCCCAAATTGAATACAAATAAAAACAAATGGGCTCAAATGTATTACAAAGTAGTAACAGAGTACCTAGGGAGAAGGAATCTATTCAATACTAAAAAGCCCTACCTGACTATAAACTAAGGCCACAGACAAGAGAAGGGCCAGGAACAGGGACTGGAGCTGGTAGGTGGTTTTCAGGGGCTTCGGTTAGTGGTTTGGAAGCTCCTCTAGGGGTACTCTAGGGTTCAGCAAGGATCGATCGTGGCTCCTGAGGTTACAAATCAGGAGAGGAAGGCTGGAACAGTGGTTAGTAAACTTCTGGAGGGCCAGGGAGCAAATTCCGAGGCCCTGAGACCCACAGGTCTGGCCATCGCTCAAGAAGAGCTCTGGATGAGCATGAATGTGTTCCAATGAGACTTCGTTTACAAAAACGGTGGGGCCTGATTCGGTCTGCAGGCCACAGTGTGCCGACCCCTGGGCTAGAAGTGGATGTATCTGCCGGACCCTGAGGGATTGATAGACACATTAAAAAAAAAAAAAAAAGAAATAGAGTTAGGTGTGAAGATTCAGGGGTCCCCAACCTCTGGACAATGGATGGTACTGGTCGGGGCCTATTAGGAACCAGCCTGAACAGCAGCAGGAGATGAGCTTGAATGAAATGCATTTGAATCACCCTCCAACCATCCCTCACCCTCGGGGTCCACAGAAAAACTGTCTTCCACAAAACCAATCCCTGGTGCCAAAAAAAAGTTGGGGACAAGGAATGATACTTCCTGGTCTCCCTATCTGTAGTTTGTGTAAGACACTAACATTGGGGAATGTTAGTGAATTCACAGGTTAGTGAATCACCTGCAGACTTAACTCTTTATTTTGAAATAATTACGAACACAGAAAATTGAAACACAGTAGAGATCACGCAGACCCATCACCCAGCTTTCCTCAGTGGCGATGCCTCAAACATTGCAGTGTGTGACCCAAAACAGGAACTGACACACAAACCAGACACAGGTCTCGCTGGTTTCAGGGAGCATTCTTTTGTGAGTTTCTGTACAGAATTCCCGACCACCTGCCACCCCTGGAGATTCACAATCAATTTCTGAACTGTTCAGTCACCACGCACACCTGCCTCCTGCTGCACCTTCAGTCCTGTCCAGCCTCCTCCCCGCCGTCCCCAACCCTGGACAACACTGATCTGTTCTCCCGCTATGGTCACTTCGAGAACACTACATAAATAAAGCCACACCTGCTGCTGCAAACCTTCTGGGGATGGCTCTGTCACTCAGCACAATACCCTCGACCACTGGGCAGGCTGCTGTGGGGACACACAGCTGTCTCACTGCTGGGTGGCATTCCCTGCTATGAACCTGCCAGTGTGTTGAACACTCACCCCTCAAGAGACATTTCGGCTGATTCCAGTTTTTGACTATTAAGAATAAAGTTGTAAAATCTGAGTATGGGTTTCTGAGTAAAAATGAGTTTTCTAGAAGACATGCCCCAGAGTACAGTGTGGGTTCAATTCTTTGAGAAACTGCCTGTCTTCAGAGTGGCTGCACATTTAACAGTTCCACAAGCAGTAAATGAGACCCTGTTTCTTAGCGTTCGGAATACTTGTTTTCTTTTTTAGCTACTCTAATGGAGTATAGTGATACCCCACTGTGCGCTTATTTGCATTTGGCCAGTGACTGGTGGTGCTGAACGTCTTTTTCCATGTGTTTTTGTGCTTTGTACTATTTTGGTTAATTTCTTAGAAGCCTAAGATCATTTCAAAATGACAAGTGAAAAACTTAAAAAGAAACTTTAATACAAAAAGACACTGAACCTCAGCCCTTCACATCCTGTGTCTGGGTGGTTTTCAGTCTTGGGGCCTGTCCTGATTGCATAACTGGAAGGAACAGTATGTCATTAAAGGTGCCACCTAAAGCTTTGTTAAAGGGCGAGAGCAGGTGGACAGTCGGCAACGAGACAGCACGGACAGTGGCCTAGACCTGGTGTCCACAGACGACATCCCCGCTGGAATCTGCCCGCTGGACAACCGGGGTCATTCCCCACGGAGCCGGCCTTTTCGGGGCTACTCTTTCAACTGCGAGGTGTCATCCCCAAGGACACCCTCAGCCCCGAGGTTCCAAGGTGGAATCAATTTTGCTTCCTGTTAAAAACAAAACTTCACTTTTCCACGGTAGCGCTCGAGAAATACGAAACGCGCGGGCAAGAAAACTGAGGACGCGAGAACGAAGCGGGTGCGGGAGGCGGAAAGGGCGCAACCGCGTGGGGACACCGGTGGCAAAGGGAAGCCCAGACAAAGGACGCAAGGGGGCTCCCAGGCAACGAGATTCGGACACGCAGAGAGACAGACAAAACGGTCCACAGACACAGGGCGGGCGTCCGGCCGCAGCGCTGTGCCGGCGTCTGCTCCTTAAGGACCTCGGAGTGTTACTCCCGTTCTCTCCCCGAAACAGCACCCCCAGGTCGGGTGGGGTCAGTCCAGGAAGCAGAGAACGGAGGGGCCTTACTCGGAGGAGCCGTACTCGGGTCGGGTGCCCGGTCCGCAGTCGCGTGTGGTGGCGGGGTGGGGGACGCGTTCTGGCCCAGGCCCCGCGGCCGCCTCTCCAGCCGCCACACCAGCCAGCGAACTGCGAGCAGCAGCACCGAGGCGCCCAGCAGCTCCCAGGCCAGCTCTGCCCACTCGGTGGCCACCAGCCGCTGCCACAGCATCGCCACCGCCCTCCTCGCTGCCGCCGCTGCCGCCACCGAGGAGATCCGCGCCCCTCAGGACCCCGCGCCCCGGGTTGCCCACGCCATTGCCTGACGGCGCTGCCTGGGGTCGACTGGCGGAGGGCCGCGGCTAGAAGCACAGGTCAGGCCAGGGCGCTCCCACCGGCTTCCCGTGACCCAGCGAGGGAAATGCGACTGCAGCCCCGACCGCTGATAGCACTGGGTGAGCAAGGGCACGCGGTCAGGCATGGCACGGGCAGCTCCGGACACCGGGTCCTGAGATGAGCCAGACGGGGGCGGGGAGGGGGGCGCGTCCCAGACGGTGGAGCCACGGCCCGACAGCCCAGCCGCTCCACGGAGGCGTTTTGCAGGCCTGGGCCGGGGACCGCCAGCGGCCGCACATCTCCTGGAGGACGTTTCATGTTACCGGCACAGCCGGCTCCACCCTGCTCTTCTCAGACCCCGTCAGTCCGTCCCCGACCCGAGTGCCCCAGGAAGCGGGAGAGCGGCCCATTTCACCCACAACTCTTGACCTGGATCATTCTTCTTGATAAGAAATAAAATATAAAAGGGGTGAACCTGGGGGCCTCAAAACCCACTCAGTCCCACTGCGGTAAGCAGGGCCAGGGGCTGGCCAACCACACCCCGGTACGGACACATGCGTGCGGCTCGGGAAGGGTGCCGCCCCCTCGTCTTGCTCGCTGGGAACATCCCAGGTTGTGCAAACTCCCCTCCAGGTACCGACTGCGCGTGCCAGCAGTGACATGGGGACTGGAACGGGAAAACGAGTAAGCGGTCGTACTGCTGTGGCTACACTGCCGGAGCTGGATTTCACAGCCCATCTGACACTTTGGCAAACAATAAATTCAAGAATGAACAGTGTGTGTGTGACTACATGAGAAAAGTTACCCCCAAACATGGCTCTTTCTCTCTGTATATGAACCCCAATGAAATATAAAAATCTGTAACAAAAAAATAGTTTATTGCACAAATTTCAAAGAATTCCCAAGCACGCTTAAATTTATAAAAAAAAATTTAACATGCATTTTAAAGTTACAATTTGTTGTGCATGGTGACACCTTTCCCCTGAACTGCCCCAACCTGAGGAGTCTGTTTTATGAGTAAGTTTCTAACTGAAGTAAGTAACTTAGAACCTCTTGAGTTTCCTAGTCTCTCTCAAACATTACCCAAGGACCCTATTATGACCTGAGACCACCACACACGAGATGCACCTGGGACGTGGTCACTGGACATGTGTGAATAAGGCTGAGGGTCCCACCCGTCCCAGTGCTGTCCACCTCACGGGGGGCTCTCAAGAAGGGACAGTTCAGACACGCTGGTCCCCGGCGCTGCCAGAAATATTTACACACCACATTTTTGTTAAAACACACATTAAGTAGAAATGTATGTCACAATGACTTTGCAGTAACCCTAGACCAAGAAAGGTCTAAGCCATGAGGGGCTTCATGAGACTTCCCAATACTGTGGCCACAGGCTGGCTTCCCTGTGGGCGCTGCTGTGCAGACCCTGGGACAAGAGCACGTTTCACACCCCAGTGGGAACGCCTCTTAACCCTCCAGATACCAGGTGGGGCAAAAGCAGGTTTACAGTTGGGAGTACAAGAAACAAGAGTTCACTCTTGTGTTCTTATTGTATTACTTTGCACATGAACAACTGTAAACCTTTCACCCCACCCTGGAGAACAAAACCTATCAGATCTGTGGCATCTGCCTGATACATACTGTGGAGAAATCAATGATAATCTCATTGCAGTATTTTTTGCAACATAAGAGAAACAAGTAATGATATCTTAAGGTGTCCAAGCCCACATTCTCTGAGTGAGGGCATGACAGCGTACTTGCACACAGGACGAAAAAGACACACGGATGCAATGCAACAGGGAGCCCGTTGTTACATATGCTCCAGACACGACTGCTGGTGTTCATGAGTAACTTCCTAACTCCCACTTGTCCCCACATGGAAGGATGGTTCACACCTTGGGAGGTAGAAGTGACAGCAGAGTCCCATGGAGATAAGAAAGCAGGAGCCCACAGAAGACACGGCTCGAATCTCAGCCCACAGCTGGCTGGGCGCTGGCTGGCCTGGAGGGTGGGACTGCAGACGAAGGCAGCACCGGGCAAGGCCAGGAAGCCAGAGAGCGCGGAGCGCACGTGTGCGGAGGTGCATGTGCACACGGAGGGTGGCCAGACCGAGGAAGGGGGCGAGGACGAGACTGGCTTCCCCTGGCTGGGTGCACTCAGTGTTGGCGTTTCCTCAGGGAAAGGACACAGTGATGACTGGCAGGCCTTCCACGCATCTGGGCTGAGTGCCATTTCTTGGTTTTAAAATTAAAACAATGGTAATGCAGCCAAAATAAATAAGAACATAAATTATCATCTTTCTCTTCTGATGGTACAAAAACTATTTTTTCAAAAATGATTTCCCACTATTATGAAAAGTAGAATACATTTATAATGAGTTTTCAAGTATTGTTTCAAGACTGACCCTGTACAAATGAGACACGTGTTTAGAAGTCCCAATACTTCCTGGGGAACCTTTTTTAAACAATAAACATCTTTGTGTTAACACTACTTTATCAATGAACCTTCTGACAGCATATTGAAGAGAACACAGCTTAAAAAACCTTTTTCTCCACACAGGAGACTCGAGTTGCACACTCGTCACTCCACCTGCAGAGCAGCAGGTCTGCACAGGAGGCATGCGTACCCACTTGCTGGTCTCTAACTTGTTACAATACACACTTTAGGTTTTCCTAGGTAACTTGGGGAGAAGCTTACAGTCCCACAGTCTTTCAGTTTCTGCCAGTGTAAGGGCTTCAGTTGGGACGTGTGTATAGGCAAACCTCACGCACTTGTGGGGCCGTGTCAAACAGGGCTTTTCCACGTTGGGAGAGTGTGGGGACCTCACCACCTTCGCCCTTGGGGCAACCTGCCTCTCCCAGGAACCTCACTTGGCTCCCAATAAGATGTTAAAGGACTGTGGACCTCCTGATGGCTGTCACTGCTGAGTCCAGCATGTCTCCAAGGACCAAGGTCCTAGTGCTCACTGCCACCCGAAGCACAGAAGGTGCAGCCTGGAAAACCCGTGTTACCTGGGCTGGAGCCCCGCCTACCCACCTGACCTGTGCCTCTCTCCAGTCCTCACACGTCAGGCCAGCATGTGGGGACCATGGCATCCTTCTGGGTGCCCCTGGTGACCACAGGACCTGCCTGGGTGATGATCAAGGCAAGGCCAAGCAAGGTTGAGTTGGACAGGTGGACATTGTGCACTTACGACAAGGAAAAAGACATTCAAAAATGAAGTGAAACAAAAACTAGAAAGAATGCTCTTTGTCTAAGAATATTTGGTTTTAGAAGGTAAATAAAATAATTATGTTTCTTAAAATATAATTTTCTGACATTCCTTAATCCTACATGTACATTATTTCCTAACAGCAGATTTTCAAAAGGCAATCAAAAAGCAGACAATTTAGGTCATTTTAAAATAATATCAGGACATACTTTTTAAAGATTAGATTATAATTCTCAATATTTACATACATGTCCTATGGTGGGATGGCTATGAAAATAAAATAAAATAATGAAAACCAAAGGTGCAAATAAAGTTTCACTCCTGCAGGAGGTGAAGCTTGTAGTGGGTCCCACAGGAAGTGAAGAAGTGAACCCACGACCAGGTTCCCCAGGACCAGAGGCTGCAAAGCCACGTTTATGTCACTCGTGAGGTTTCGCTTCCCACAAGTAACCCTCAGGGCTTTCCAACACTGTTACCAAAAGCTCACCCAGGACTTTAAGGTTTGGTCACTTTGTGGGGAGGGTGGCTGTGACCTGCAGGTGGCTCTGTTACTTTACCCCTTGTAAAGGCAAACACAAAACTTAAACTCCATCGCTGAAAGAAACAGCTGGGTCAGATACGTGACCTTGAGGGACCGTCCAGACAGCTACACACACTCAGGGTGGGGATGCTCAGTGGTCGCCATTCCCAGCCCCTCTGTGGAAGCCCTGCTGGGACTGGGTGGCTCTGTGTCTCCTCCGGGGTTGGCATGGGCACCCGGGGAACCGGGGCTGGCAGCGAGGTCCCCTGGAGTCCACGAGGACAGTGACTCATGCACAGTGACCGCATGTGCTTCCATCTGGCGCTGCAGGCTGTCCATCTCCTGCCTGGGGACACAGAGAGAAAAGGTGGGAAGGCCAGTCAGAGATGAGCCAGGATGCCATTGCTTCCCCCGATGTGGAGACTAACAGGCTTCAACTGGACAGCCATTCGCTCACACATCTCTGGAACCTTCAGGGACCACAGGAGCCTCTCTATCTATACCAACGAGTAGATGGGGGACACAGAGCTTAAGAAACTCTAGACACCATTCTTGGTGCCGTGTAGAGGCCAACAGGCCACGAAGCTCCACACACAGAGACTTCTGTTCAGGGACGTGAGGAAGACAGAGCCAAGAGACTCACATGCAGCTTCTCACAGGGTCCAAAAAAGATAAAAAGATGCCCCCACAAGGCCATGCGCTCTGTACGTCAGCCTTATGCCAACGGAGTTTAAGGGCTCAGGACCTGGTAATTTAGGGCTTCTTGGGGTTATTTAGCTGCAGGCAACTACCACCTTACCATGTGACCCCACTTAACAGAGACCTGCTCAGCCCTGGCTTGGTATTCAGTGCTGCAACAGGGACTCTGCCAAGTTCAACACGTGATTCAGAAACTAAGCAACATGAGACAGAGCCCCTCGTACTTCAGTTGCTGGAGGCAGCTGTTGAGGTTCCTCAGGGGCTCCTTGCTCACGGCGGGAGGGGGCCTCAGCAGTTCCTCCAGCAGTGAGGCTGGGACCGGGCAGTCAGGGACCTTCACTGGCGTCACAGGGCTGGACGGGCTGGCCTCACCTCTCCGTTCCTTCCTCTGTTCATAAAAGCATATGATTAGCTGTCTGCCACCCACCCCATTGTCTCCACTCCACACAGCCCTGGGAAGGTATGTAAAGTTGTCTGCACCCACTGAGCCAGCAGCCACAGGGGTTCAAGAAATGTGGGCCAAAGAGAAAACCTTCCTGCTGCACAGGACAGAACAAACACAGTCCTGGCTCCTCAGAACAGAGTAAAGCCCTAAATGTGAGCTCCGACACGGGACTTTCCACGAGAGCACAACCCTGACTCTGAGTTTCCCTAAGAAATTAAGTCAGTTTTCCAACTCAGATGACTCCCCTTTCTAATACTCTAAATTAAGACTTTGCACAGATAGCCCTGGCTGGCGTGGCTCAGTGGACTGAGTGTGGGCCTGCGAACCAAACAACCAGGTATGTAATTACAGGGTACCTGTAACTCCAGGTACCCTTCCCAGGGTTCAATTCCCGGTCAGGGCACATGCCTGGGTTGCAGGCCAGTTCCCAGTAGGGGAGACACGAGAGGCAACCATACATTGATATTTCTCTCCCTCTCTCCTTCCCTTCCCCTCTGAAGATAAATAAATAAAATCTTAAGAAAAAAAAAAGAATCTGCACAGATACACACTGATGCTACTAAAATCCTGAATCTGTGCCACTTCTCTGACCAGGAAAACACAAGTATATGCTCTCGTGAGTATGTCTCTGAGAAGAGACAGATGCTAGGCATGAGGACAATCTGAGAGGGGCCTGTGACCACAGCCTCGGGGTCCCAGGGTTTCAGGGCCCAAGCTGATCTCAGCTGGGTGCACCAAGGGACTAGAGATTTTAACACAGCAACCGACGACCTCGCTTGCTTTATAAAGCCCAGTCAACAATGTGATAACTGAACTCATAAATAGAAGCAAACATTTTGTTGGAAAAGTCACCAATAATAAATACTAGGACTATCGTCCAAGCAGAATTCTCCACCACATTTCACATCGGGGCTGCTGAGTGTGGGGTGTAATACAGTTTTATGTCTGAGATCCATAACCCCCCAGCGCCCCCGTCTACCTCCCCCCAAAGGCCTGCCGTTCCCATTCCTGACGCCCATTCCTGCTCACCATCTTGGCTGCACCACGTCGCAGGTCCAACTTGAGCTGCTGGTTCTGCTGCAGCAGAGTTTTCATGTTGTTCTTCAGCTCCGACACTTTGGCCTGAAGCACAAACTTGTCTTTTTGGGTCTTGGACAGGTCCTCCTGCACCATCTCCAGCTCAGACTTGATGTTCTAAGGGAAGTCAAGGCATAGAGTTTTCATAGTTGAAAGATCTGAAATGCTGCCGAGGTGTCTGTCTGTGTGTCTTGAGTCTAAGGAGACACGGTAAGGTGCTGACCGCCGTAGGTGCCCCTGCCCGGCTCCAGGCCATTCCCGCAGGCCAGTCTGTGAGGCCGGCAGTTCCACTTGCATCCTGCAAGCCCTCACCCGCTCAGTGCTACGCTGACCACACCCATGAGCCAAAGTCCCCAGTGCAAATCCCATGCTTAGTTACTGAGAGAGTGAAAGTCGGTCCTGGTGGCCAGTAGAGCTGCTAGACAAGTCATGCTCCCAAACCCTCTGCAGTCAGGACCACCCCAGGCACCATCGTGTAGAAGTGTCATATGTGCTGTGTCACTCATTGCTACATTTTGCAGCACAGCCCAGGTGTGGCACCAGGCTCTGGTGTCCTCGGCCTCCACCCACTGCATGACCTGGACATCTCTGTGAAATGGGGTAATGTGGTCCCACTGTCATCGCTGATGCAGCGGGAGCAGTGACTGCCCATGTCATGGTGGTCTGAGGCGAAGTCTGCCCGATGACCCTGGGCTGTGCTCCCAGTACCTGCAGAGACTGCTCAGCCCCATCCAGCTCCCGCCTGCTCTGCTGCTCAGTCAGGTCCAGCTGCTGCTTCAGGGACTGGATTTCTCTCTCCTTCTGATCCACCTCCCACTTGAGGTTTTCCATCTATGGGAGAAAAAAAAATCACAGGAGCAAAAGAATTTCACAGTGGCCTTCTTGCACCAGAAGTGCTCCATCTCTGTGTCTTATTTAATATCACACTTAGGACACATGACTGTCCCTGAGCCAGTAGGCAAGGAAGCAGCAGAGTCCAGTCGGACAGGTCCCGTCACCAAAAGCAGAGCCGCCCTGCCTACCTCCTGGTTTCCTGCGGGCTGCCTGCTCAGCTGCTCATCCAGCTGCTTCTGCAGCAGCTGCAACTGCGTCCGCGCCTCTGCCAGTTCTGCCTGGAACTGTGCGACTTCCTGGGCACGTGTGCCCTCCTGACGCCTGGCACAGAGAACATGGCAGATGCAGTGACAGCGTGCTGCCCACCCGACCCCTCAGCCCAAATGTGTCAGCTCTGTGGGACCCATCCTGGTGGGGGGGTGGCTCATGTGCTGACCCCTCTAGGAGTGGCCAATGACCTGTCTCGACTGAGCCTCACGAGCCCCCTGAGATTACGGTAGGGGGACAGTTCCACAGGGACCTGAACCCATACAACTAGGGCTGCCCTTGTTGGAGCTGACAGCGAGCCTCAGAGGTGGGCATCGCCCTCGGGACTCGACCCCCACCCAGGACGCTCCACTCTCAGTGAAGGGCTGGGAGGGCGCAGAGGGGACGGCAGCATGGCGACTGTAACTTCTTGAGACAGACGAGACATCTTCTCCTCCCCAGGCCCGCTCACACGGTGACCCCAGAGTGTACAATGTACTAAGTGGACATGGGGCAGAGCCCTGGTGGGGACCCTGTGGCAGTTGGCCCTCTGCCCGTTGACACTCACTGGAGACACTCGGCCTCTGCCTGCAGTGTCTGCACGAGGAGCTCCTTGGCCTGCAGTTCCTTCTTCACCTCGCTCAGCTCCAAGGTGGCGGCCTTGAAGTGGCGGCGGTTGTGCCCTGCTTCTGCTTTGGCTGCAGCCACCTGGAAGGACACTGGCCTCAGCAGAGTTCAAGGCAAGAGCAATATCCCCTCTGCCCTCGCTTGTCCTAATAAATACCAGGGCTCTCCTGACCCCACTGTCGCCCAGGCCCTAATGCCACCTCTGTGCCTGGGACACGTCAGAAAAGGCACTTACAAGTTAAGTTCTTAAAGGTAATGGCTGTATCGAGGGGCCCACGCTCGGTTTTAGACACTGAAAATGTGCCCTGTAAAGGCCGCACGTGGCTGCACTGTGGACGCGCTGGACGATGGCCACACACCTGCTCCCTGAGGCTGTGCACTTCCAGCTTCTCTCTTTCCAGGGCGGCTTGTAAGGTCTGCACCAGGTGCCTCATCTGGAGGTCCTCCTCCTGTTTGCGCTGCATGATGGCCTGAACCTGCAGCACAGTACCAAGGGGACCAGTCAGGAAGGACCTCAATGCCACAGCCTATAGAGCCCAGGACAAAGCACAGGTCACCGCAATCGGTGCCACATGGGGACCAGGGCCAAACAGAAATCTGCGAGTTCTCTGATGGCTGGAAAATCCAGGACTGTCAATGGCCATAGGAGAACATCCCTGAAATGCCCAGCTTCCCACCAACTCCAGAAGCTTTGTAACCTGAATGGAGAACAGGGTCTGGAGCAAGACCCGTGCTTGTCCCTTACAGACAACCAACTGCCTTGACATGGTGAGGGTCCACCCTGGCCCAGCAGGAGGTGCCCACCCCAAACCCTCCTGGACTCAGTGATGGGCCGGTTCGGGGACTATGTGCACTTGGGCGGTGGGTGTCATGTTCTCCCTGCAGGAGCAGCGATGACTAAGCCTGATACCTGGAGGTTCAGCTCTACGAGGTCAGCCTCCCTCTTGGCCAGTGCTGTCTCCAACACACTGTTGTGCTCCCGCAAAGCCGCATTGGACTGGCCAAGGCCGGTGAGCTTCCCTCGCTCGTGCTCCAACTCCAGGGCTAACTTCTTTTTTGATTCCTCAAGGTGCTTTATCTTCCTCCTAAAGCCCCTAGATTCCTGAAGCTGAAACAAGTCCCAGTGATGTTATTCAGTCACATGTTCTGGTCAGGGGAGCTGTTACCCACTGGGAACAGAACAGCCAACATCAAACACAGTGACAGGTACCTGGGGCCTGACTGACAGTCAGTCCCATGCGATCGTTAAACCTCCAGCCCACCTGAGCTGGGCTCCTTGGAATTTGCAATGAGAGCATCACAGGCGGGAGCATGGCTGCCACAAGGTCTCTGATGCCCCCGCCACAGGGCACATGAGAGGCACGGTGGGGGGGGAGGGGGCAGCGGACATGTCCTGCTAGCAGTTGTTGTTACCGTGCATGGGGTGGCGGGAGTCTACACTTGGGCAAAGATCCAGAGACGAGGTCGGACGGGTGTGGAGTGCAGAGTGGTCAGGTTCAGAGCACAGGCCAGCCAGGCTGATGCCCCAGGGTCCTTTTTCTCTGCACCAGAGCCACAGTGGAGTGGTGTGGCCCATACACTTTGCCACGTGATGAGCTCACCTACCTCATCCTCCAGCTCCAGCACCTTCTCCCTGTACTCCTCTAGCTCCTGGCTAGTCAGGGTGATGACCTCCTGCAGCTCCTTCTCCAGCATCACCTTGCTGTGGCCCACGGTCTGCAGCTCCAACTCCAGGGTCTGGATTCTCTCCTAACAGCAGGAGAGGAATGTGGACAGTCATGAGCTTCAGTATGGCTGTGGCAGGTGCTGACCTTCCTCCTGTGCAGCCCTGTGTCACCTGACCTGAAAGGCTGCTGACCACACTGACAGCAGGACTTAACTGACCACTCTACGCACACGTGGACACACATACACATGCATACACACTCTCGCTGCCACTGTGGTGTAGGTGCTGTTCACGCTTGTCTCTCCACTGAGCCTCCTAACGAGGGGTCCGACTATTTACTCAGACTCAGGAAGGTGAATGAGCTGCCCACAACCCACTTTCTGCGTGTGGCTTTTGGGCTGAGCTCCTGCAGCGAAGCAGAGGGTAAAGTCTGTAGGCTTTGTACCTTCCCACTCACCGCATGAGCCAAGAAATTTAAAAAACAGGCATATTTTACAGTGGAAGGGAAGTTGTAATCGAATAAATTCTCCCCTATGATAAATGCAGGTGATGAAAACAAACTTCATGTCAGAATGCCATGACCAAACGTAAGTGAAGTACCTTAAATTGGAGAGTCATAAAGTGTAAACTAACTCACTCCGGTAGCAAAAGTGAAAAACGGTCAGACCCAAACCTGGTTGGGGTCCCAAGCAAGTCTGAGAGCCTCCGTGTCACACGTCCAGCCCTGCCCACCCACTCCCCAGTGGGGGCGCCCACCTGCCACCGTCCTCCATGCTGCCAGGGATGCCAGCCAACCACGACCTTAGAAATAGTCTACGAGCTAAAGGCTCTGGGCTCACGGCACGGACACCCTTCCCCAACTCCTCTGGCACAAGCCCTCCCATCAGCAGAGCCACCTGCCACCACCTATACCTGGGCGCATACCAGCATGGACCTGAGTGCCCCGTTTTCCCGTTCTCTCCCTGTCAGAGCCTCTCCTGGCCTCACCATCCCTCCACAGGAGTCACAGGTCTCACCCCACCTGACCCCAGTCTGCTCAACACATGCCCTGACCTCTTCGTATCACGCAGGCCCATCCTCTGCTGAGACACCAAGCTGTTCACCCTAACGCCTTGGTTACTCCAACACTATCTCCTCCGAAAGACTTTCCTGACTGTCCCACAGGCGCAGGAACCCTCACCAGCCCCCACTCACACGCTCACAGAAACACCCCCCAGACACTGAAGGGGCAGGAAGGGGCCGGCGTGGCGGGCACACTGGGGGCCCTGCCTGACGACTCAGTGCCCAGTGTCTGAGCAGACCCCACAAGCCCCACGGATCCACAGGGACAAAGGAGAGGACATGCATGCAGCTCCCGCCCCCGGTCACATCGACATGGCATTGAATTTTAAAGAGCTGCTGCCCACACACTCACTCCGCCCCCTCACAGGGGTCTGTGAGGGTGTCAGGGGAAATGCTCGTATCTCTTCACGTCCCCCCCACCCTGGGAACCCGTGGTGGGCCGGAGCAGACGTAGTACCCACGTGCAGTGTGAGATCACTGGGGCCGCCAGCCTCCCGGGCTCTCAGCTTGCTCAGCTCGGCCTCGGCCGCCTCCTTGGCTGTGAGGGCTTCCTGCAGGCGGCGGCTGAGGATGCTCACAGCGCTCTCGTAGGCTTTGTGCTTGCTCTTCATCTCCTTCTGCGCACTGCTCAGGTCCGAGCCCAGCCGCATCACCCGCTGCTTCTGCTCAGTGATGGCCCTGGGGCACGGTGGAGGAGACAGGCTATCTTAAGTCCCCCATACCTGTCCCCAGCTCAGCCTCTCCTGATCCTGCACCCCCAGATCCAAGACCCATGGACATGGCCGGTGTTGGCAGCCCCAAAGTGCCCAGCACTGTGCTCAAACCCACCCGGCCCCTCCTGGAGTTGTTCACAGGCTCCTACCCAACACAACAATGAACCCGACCACAGGGTTAGGAGTAAATCATGGCTGACAAGCAGCACCAGTGTGATGTGCGGGATGTGTTGGGGCAGGGTGGGGGGGGGCTGGTGTCCACCAAGAGCAAGACACATACCTCAAATGAAAATACAGACAGAAAGGGCGAGGCCCAGGCTCACCTGGCAGCTCCCTGATGCAGCTCTTCGATCTGAGACTTGAGCACCTCATTTGCCTCCGTCAGCGCAGCCACCTGCTGCTTTTCAAACTGCAGAGACTTCAAAGGAGGGAGAAGGAGCCGGTGAGTGCAAAGCCCCATGTGCCTCCACAGCCTGATTCTGGATGCACACCAGGCACGTGGTCCCCTTTCAGGGCCGCCTCCAGCACGTGGGCTTTGAAGGTCCTGATAGAGCTTTGCCCTTTTATGAGGGACGGTGTCAGAGGTCACGGGCTCCAGCTGTCTGTGTCATGGCAATGGAGGGCACTGGGAAGGGGCCCCTTCCGCTGGGCTCCCCAGCACCCATGGGAGAAAGGGTGAACCAGTTTGAAAGGCTCAGCTTCCTCCTGGCCCCTGCTGCTGCCCTGGGCACGTCTGCGACATGATGCGCACCGAGGCCCCCGCTCCAGCAGCTCCACCTGCACACTCACGGCTCTAATACCAGCTCTTCCCTAAACCCTTGGCTTGAGGCCTCCAGTCAGTCTGCCCAACCTGCACCCTGCCTGGCTCTCTCCTGAGACTTCAAAAACCTCACACACGGAACTTGGTTTGACACGCACCCACATTTCTCATTTCAGGAACGCCCTGTGGCCGCAGCAGGGCCCTGGACTGAGGTCTCGCTCTCCCCACCCTGTCAGGCACCCTCGGCCCTCACGGCACTACCATCTATACCAGCTCCTGCCTGAACCCTGGCCTACCCTTGACCACAGATCTGCACAGATGCACCTCCCTCCTGCTGGCCCTCCACACCCCTTACCAGCTCCCACTCCCAGAGGCCAAAGCAGCTGCTGCAGCCTGGGGCTCCCTGCTGTCCCTCAAATCCAGGTCACCCTTGGGTCTCCCCAGTGCCGACTCTCTTCCTGCACTCAAATCCATGTCACCTGCCTGCAGGTACCTGTCGCCCTCACTGCTGGACGCCCCCCGGCCACACACCCGGGAGAGCCTGAACAGCCAGGCCTTCACTGTCAGCACATCCACTGACCTGCAGATGCGTCTCCATCTCATCACGCTCCCGCTGCACTGACTCCAGTTGCCCTTCGAGAGCTGCCATCTGCTGCTGGACCTGGGACACCTCCTTTTGTAAGTGCGCCCGCTCTGCCTCCACGGATTTCTTGTCCCCTTGGACCTGGATCAGCTCTTGCCTCAGCTCCTTCACCTCCACGTCCAGCTTCTTCTTTGTGGCCTTGAGCTCGCTAATGAGCTGGTCTCTGGAGGCAGCATCGCGTCGGTAAGCCTCCATCATCACCTGCCAGGCAGAGCTGCAGCCAGTGCGGGTGGGGCCACCGGGGGACATGCAACTTACACAAAAATGCTTATAGGCCCTGAATGGTGAGGCTCGGCGGGTTGGGTGTCACCCCACAAACCAAAAGGCCACCGGTTGGATTCCCAGTCAAGACACACATCTGGGTTGCGGGCCAGGTTCCCGATTGGGGGTGTGCAAGAGGCAACCGATTGATGCGTATCTTGTACATTGATATTTCTATTCCTCTTTCTCCCTCCCTTCCCCTCTCTCAAGAAATAAATAAATAAAATCTTTAAAAAAACACTCATAGCTTGTCTGGGGCTAAATGAAGATAACACTTTGCCAAACCAAAGACACCATCAACTCAGACACACCTGTTGTTTTGCTCCCTAACAAGTTGGGCGAAGCACAGAGCTGTTCTGCCAGGTGCCGGCACCTCCAGCATCCGTCCTCCCAGGAGCCTGGCAGCTCCTTCTCTGAGCTGTGCTCCTGGCTGGTAGTGACGCCCACACCACTCAGCGCGGCCCCTCAGGGGCCAACCCTCCTCAGACCCTTCGCTGGCGACACTCTCTCATGCCTCCCACGTGGATGGGCTTCACCAACCAACATGCACCCTGTGTGCGCCAAGACCAACGCCAACACTGGGTTACAGTGTTGTTCTCCAAGCGTACATTAAACAGAAACTCATCCTGTGTAGTGGTGACGCACATTCTCTGCTGCGACCACAGGGCACGATCCGGCTGGACACCAGCCCCACTGTGGACATACCTGACTCTGGAGACTTTATATGGGAGGCGGAGGGGCACGTCTTAGAGTCTAGGATGTGCCTTTAAAAAACTGAAGGCGTCTAGACGCTCGCTACCTGGCTCTTGATCAATGCGACCTAGTGATGTGATTAAACTACTTATAAGACTGTTTTCACACAGTTGTTTCATGTAAAGAACATCAACAACTCCACTTTACCTTTTGTTGAAGAAACTGTTCTTTTGTTTTCTGTGTCTGCTTTTTCAGAGAGGCAGTCTCTTCCTGAAGGTGCTCCACCTACAAGGGACATGTGCACACTTTGGTCCCGGAGTCAGGGTAGGAAAGACAGCTTCCCAGTGGAACAGGAGCGCTAGTCCACTTCCTACCCACTGTTTTAAAAATAATAACCTTAATCCACGGTGCAGCTACCAGTGACTTGGTTAATAACAACACAGGCCAAATGGAAGCATGAGCAATAATGCCTCATACCAACGACGATCTCTTCCAGACTTTTCCAACTATCAGCTGATGTCCCTCTCACTAACAGTAAAATCAAACAAATTTACTCAAAGAATCTGCACAATTCCTGTAACTACGTCCCTGCTAGTTTAAAAATCTGCCTCTGCACGTCCTAGGAAGTAACTCAGCTCCACCATTGTCTGCAGAGAAAACACGGGCCTCCCTTGATTTTAATTCCTAAAAGGAAAACGCCATTGATTTTTTGTCTTGTCCTGTTGCTTATGTAGTGGGACCTGAAGACGAAATTATTGCCTGACACCAACTCTAGTCCTGCACACCCTGCAGCTTTCTTGTTCTGCTCGAATGTTTAACATCTGTCTACGTCCAGTCACGTCGGCTGTTTGTATCGTGGCTCCCAGGGGTGTCTGCTGGGCTACGTCCACACAACCAGACACTGGCCACCGCCCGCCTCAATGGCCGACACGTCTGCCCCACTGCCGTGTACTGTGGGTTCACGCCCAGGCACACAGGAGGGAAAAGACAAGAGGTCCACGCACTTTCCCTGCCTGAGCTCCACATACTCCATGGACAGAAGCTGTGTTTACTGGGAGATTACTTTCAAAGCCCAAACATAACTATTTCCTGGCTCTTGGCCTGTACATGCCCAGCAGCTGAAGAGGGCTGGAAGCCCATCACCAGGGGAATGGGCCCTCCCCCAGCAAAGCCCTGGCCTCAGCCCTGGGCGTACTTTCACCTTTGTACAATGGGGTTTAAAGAAAGAGCCAAACCATGAACACTGATGCTCACGTGTGTGACTGCAACTTGTACAAAACAACAGCAAATGGCATTACCTGGCTGGACTTGATGGCTAATTCCTGTCTCAACTGCTCCAAAATTTCCGACGTTTCCTCAGCACCTTCTTCCAAGCGTCTGGCTCCTCTGTCGAGCTGCTCCCCGCCGCTCCTGGCTGCCTGCAGAGCCACCTCCAAGACAATCTTCTCCTTCTGCAGGAAGCTAATGGTGTCGTCCCTGGTGGTGGCCTCGCCCTCGAGCTCTTCCAGCCGGGCCTGCAGCTCACTGTAGCGCTCTTGCAGGTCGCCAAGGGCCTGCTCCCGGCTCTGCAGTGTCTCCTGGGTCGAGGTGAACTGCTTCAGAAGGTCCAGTTGCTCCTGCTGCAAGGCCTCAAGCTGCTGGTCTCGCTGGTGCAGAGTCAACTTCACCTGGAAAAGGGACCAGATTCAGTGTGACCACCCACTCTGGAATTTATACTGCTGCCCCGTTCAGGCTGGAGATAACCTGCACGGACACTTTGCAGGCAGCATCTTGTAAGTAAAGGTCTGGCGTGCAAGGACACTCGCAGAAGCAAGCACTGGGCTGGGTCTGTGATAGGAGCCAGGTCTGGTGGTGTAACACCGAAATGAACTTGATAGGCGGACCAGCACCAATGCACACAGCAAGGACAGCCACACGAGGCAGCCGTGTGAGGTCCAGGCATCTCTATGGGGCTGCAGCAGGGCCTTGCCTGCTCCAGTTGCTGCTCCAGGGCTACTGCTGAGGCCGCCACGTTCTGCAGCTGCTCCTTCTCCTCCTCGAACTCCTCCAACCTCCGTTGCAGGTCCTCCTCTACCATTGTCTTCGCCTCCTGAATCTGCACGAAGGCAGCTTCCTGGTCCAACATGTCAGCCTAGAACCGGAAGAGAGTGTATTTTAAAAAACAGGACAACCTGAGTGCCCCAGAAGAGTGACAGGAAACCCTGCCAGTGGTTAGGGTCTCGCCCACGTCACTGTCTGACCACGACCTGTGAAAGGAGGAGCCAACAGCCACCGTAGTGACAGGCTGGTGACCCCCCCACTGCTCACTGACAGGCTCTCTGCCCACGGTCCTCTCCAGTGCTGACCCCTGGGCCTGGCTGGAAGGAGAGCAAGCAGACAACTCTCTGAGGACCTGCGATAAAGTGACAGATGATATCTCGCATTGCCTCTCACATGAAGATGGGCTACAGTGTGTCCCAGAGGTAGGACACCCCTGAAGTGTGATATAGGGAACATCCTGTGTCACAGGATGATCTTGATAACACTTGCTAAAGTCAGAGACTATGCTCGTGGGACAACATGGGACCCCTTACATCTGACGTTGTACATGAGACCCAACATCCAGGTGTGTTTCACAGGGGAAAAAATTTCAGTTTATAATTTAGAATTTTCTGGTTCTTTGGGGCTAGAGCGCATGAAGAGCACATTTTTCACAATGACTCTCCCCTCACCCAGGTCACCTGTGAGGACAGAGGCCACGTGCAGAGGAGGAGGAGAAAGGAGCCGCACCAGTTGCAGGACACCGGCCTTCGGGGTGACTGGAAGGGCAGTGGGAAGACCGCCACGCCCCACCCGTGACGCTGCGTGCCCTTTTCTCTGCCTGATTTCCCCCACAAGCCTAAGACGTAGGTACTATTTCTCACATTTTATAAAAAGGGAATGAAGCCCTGGCTGGTGTGACTCAGTGGATCAAGTGCCAGCCTGTGAACCGTCACAGATTCAGTTCCCCAGTCAGGGCACAAGCCTGGGCTGCAGGCCAGGTCCCCAGTAGGGGGCGTGTGAGAGGTAGCTGGTGTATCTCTCACACATCAAAGTTTCTCTCCCTTTCTCCCTCCCTTCTCCTCTCTCTAAAAATAAAAGTAAAAATAAAAATAAAAGTAGACTTGAAAAAAAAAGAAAGAAAAGGGAACAAGGTTCTGAGAGGTCGAGAAATTGTCCAGGTCTCACAGCTTGAGAAAAGAACAGGTATTGGGTCCCAGACCAAGCTGCTGCGTCCCACTGCCCTGACCTTGTGGGGCAGCTGCCCTGACCCTGACCCTGACCCTGACCCTAACCCTAACCCTGCACATGCTGCTGGGCAGAAGAGTAACAAAGGCTGAGGGCAAGGAGACACTTGTTGCCGCTGGGCTCTGAAATGCTCTCAGACATGCACTGCCCTAAACTCCTTCCTTCCCGCTCACTCTCGGCCCAGCACCACCTGCCACTGGGCTGTGGGCCAGGACCAGACCCACCACACGTCAGAGGAGACGAGTATGAGACAATGTGAGGAACTGAATCCTGACACTTAACCACTGCAGGCTGCTCAATGCTTTAAAAGACATACAAATGTATGTATATGATATCGTTCATATGTACGTACATATTTGTATATTTTCTGAGCCTTGACCAGTGTCAAAAAAAGCCCAGTCCAAAACCAGAAATAAAACGCACTAAAACCCTAGTGACAGGCAGCAGCTGAGGGACAGCCAGGCCCTCACCTCGATGCCCTGCAGCTGCAGGGCTATGCGCTCCTTCTCCTTAATGGACCTGTGCTGGGTCTCTGTCAGCTGCTGTGACAGGGACACATTCTCCAGTTTCAGGTGCTCCAGGAGGCCTGTCTGGGTCATCTGTCCAACCTGCAAAGAAAACACATGGCAGAGAGTTGCTAGATTTCAAGCACCAGATTACAAGTGCAAACCAGCCTGTGCCCTAGGCTGCCAGAGTGAGAATCTGCCCACTGGTGGCCCCCGAGGGGTCAGCTCCTGAGGAGCCACCAAACGGAGCAGCTGCCCACCCTTCTGCAGGACAACCTGACACTAGGGGCAACAGGCCTTGTGTTGGGGCAGGTGGGCAGTCCAGGACCCCAGGGGTCACTCCTCTGAGAACGTGCACTTTGTGGCAAGATTTATACCTAAGGTCCGACCAAAGGTCCGTCCTGAGCCTCAGAGGTGAGGGAGCCTCACCTGGATGACGGAGGCAGCCAGGGCTGGAGCTCTATCTGCCCCTTGGGTGAACTGACCATCTGCGACCAGACACATTTCAGGCCCTCACCTCCCCGTGTCAGTCTGTCCTGGGCACACCAGGTTGACCTCGTCCATTCCCGGGATCCAGCCCAGGGCCTGGCCCAGGCCATCAGCCAGGCCTCCTTTGACCACTGTCTCCTGGGGAAGCAGGCACCCAGCTTTAAACACGCCAGTGCCAGAGAAGGGGTCAGCAGACACAAGGGCCTGCGACTGGACCCTCGAGCACACCACTTCCGGCTCCAGTAAGAAGGCCCCTAGAAGGACACGAGTCCCAGGGCCTCAAGGGAAGCTGCTGCAGCAAGAGGGACACCACTTGCAGGCACTGTGTCTGGAGACAATGACACATTAAAGACCACACTGACTCTCCCCCTGCTGGACGGTCCTGGGAACAGGTCTGAGTGGCTAGGACAAAAGGGGAAATGCTGAACCTGGGTCCCAGAGGGATTTGAAAAAAGCAGATACATTTCTCAAACTGCCACTCCCCCAAATCTTCCTGTTTCAATCTCCCCAACTCCATTTCTGACTTTTGTCAGATATGTAAATCTGGCTTATTTAAATACTTTATGCCTCATTTAAGTAAATGTACCATAACTTCAAAATTACATTAACTTGTAAAATGATTTATTTTTAAGTTATGTTGTCAGCAGAACCAATGCTTGTCCATGTGGTCATTTAGCTTAAATGTGTAATATAAATTTAGGAAGTTTCTACTTTGTACGTACATAGACTTTAGGTGTTTAAAAAAGGAGCATTTGGTGGAGTTAGTATTTCGCATTCTCTACCTGGGAAATAAAGTTTTAATTAACGTAAATGATTTTATCTGGACCAAAAAAAGGGGCAGGGAACAAAACCCACAGTTAAGTTCAAAAAGAAGCCTGAGGCTGACAGAGGTGCCACTCACCACCTTCGTGATCAACCTGATTAGTCAAGAGCCCTGGGGTCCAGAGCAAAGAGCAGCTCAGCCCCTCCCGCTGTGCCGAGTCCTCCAGAGCAGGACATGGCTCAGAGGGTGCACCCCCATGTCAATGTGCCCCTGTGCCGGCTCCCTAACAAAATGAAAGGGAGGAGAACCTTGTGACCAAGCAGCTTGAGAGGGAGAAGCTCCGGCTGGGAGGAGAAAGCCTGCCTGCGCCCCGTGCATGTCACGAACAAGTCACAGGAGGGCAGAGACCAGGCGGACTCAGATTTGAGAACCAGGTTCACGGGACAGAAGGTACCCTCGGAGGACGATGAGTCCTAGCAGTCAGAACTGGGGACACGGATGTGCCAGAGGGGGGTATTTTAGGGTTAGATGTGCTAAAGCAAAGGTTACGAGACCCTCTGTGTCAGGTCATGAAGATGCTCATGTTCAGGGTGGGTATAGGCTACATGACTGGTTAGCAGATTTAAAAAAAAATACGTCTGTGAAATCCAAAAAGCAGAAGTCTTTCTAATTTAGAAAAAAGCAGTTGCTCCACACGGAACACGAAGTGTGAGCTGTCCAGCACCGTCGGGGCCATACCTGGATGTGGGCCATCTCGCCCTGCAGTCTGACCCGGGCCTCCTGGGCCAATGCAAGCTGCTGCTGGTACCACTGCCTGACGCTCTGCAGAGATGCGATTTCTGCCTGGGACGCCTTCAGCCTGCTTGTGAGCGTTGTGCGCTCCAGCTGCACTTGCCGCAACTGGCTCTGTAAGGCTGTCATCTGCTGTCGTAGGTCATGCACTGGAAGCGAGAAAGCACAGTGCTCAGGCCAGCCCACAGTGGGAGCCCACAGCTCCACTTGGAGGTCCAGATCAGGACGGCTTCTCCACAGAGCAGGGACCCGGCAGACTCCCGAAACACACAGCAGTGCCATTTAAAGTTGCGGTGCTGAGCCATGTCTCCTGGGGATACGGGGTTAGGTTCTTGTCACAACACTTCATCACTTGGTCCTTGTCACACGTGTCTGTTTATGACACCCAGCATCACCTACACGGGTGATTCATCAGCACCAGGACTCACAGAATGAAGCTCAACTGATACACGTTTGCTCTACAAGACAACGCAGCCTCCTTGCACTTAGGTACAAAATAGTGTTTCAGGTTCTTTTTAAAAAGCAAACTACCAGAAAAAGCACAAATATGCAAAAAACATGTCATTGAGCCTCGTGTGAGTGTAGGTCCATTTGCTGCCTAATGAGCTCTGGTCAGGTCAGGCCTTGTAACCCAGATTTATAAAGTTATTTTTACTTTCTGGATTTTATAATTTTCTTAAGGGACTGGGTACACAGAATGCTCAAAAAACTAAAAGCAGTCTACCATTTTGTTTTTCAGCTGTGCTGTATTTGTTCCTAGTTTCCAGATGAAGCCTCTGTGACAGCAGTCTGTCACTTCTTCTTTTACGTCATCAGACCTAAAACCTAGTGTCACACGCCTTACAGTCAAGACTCCGTGCTGACAGCAGCCCCACGGCCGCTCGGCCAGAAGAGGCTCGTCTACGTAGCCCGTGCCAAAGGGTCGGAGGCCCGGCTGATACTGAGGTGTCCTGAGCTGACACCCAGTCTTCTCGGCAACTGGCTGGGTCTGGGGCCCCCACCCACGTTTCCTGGACGCCAGTATTTCATGTCATTCTGCAGGGGATCCCCCCAGGGATCCAGCTAGACCCACAGTTGAGCTTAAGGTAGGAACAATAAAGGTTTACTAATCCACAATCTAACTATTGCTTTTACATATTTTAAGTAAGAGCTGCAATTATGGGGAACAAGCAGGCAGCTCCGACGACTGACTTAGGGTCAGAGCCCACATCTGGGACCAGACCACCCTGATGCACACGCAGAAATTTACCAAATAATGGCCATTCAGAAAAGGGGGCCCTCATGTACAACTCAGAAGGGAGTACAACCCCCCAGCATATTCACATGACAACAGGTCAGTGTCCGAGGCAGGCACCTGCGGTGCACCCCACTGCCGGGCCCAACCCGCTGACACCAGGCTGCACACGCACCTGTACTGTCCTTGCTGAGCATGCTGCTCTGCATCTCCTCCACCTTGGCCAGGAGGCGCTGGTATTGCTGCTCGGCCACCTGCAGGTCACGGTGGGAGGATGCCAGGCTGGCATTCTTGGCCTCCAGTGTGTTCTGCAGGTCGCTCATCGCCCGCTCCAGGTCCCAGCATGACTGCTTCAGCGTGTCCACCTCCGAAGTGAGCGCATCCTGCTTCTGCTGGCTGCTGTGGCTGTGCTCCTCCTGTGCCTGCAGCCGCGTGTTCAGGGCTGCCAGCTGTGCCTGCAGTTCTGTCTTTTCCTTAAGTGCCTGGAAAGATCGCCAAAAGGCAACCTGGTCAGGAAACCCAGTCACATCTACTTTGTGCATTAGGGAGGCCGCCACACCACCCAGCGAGACAAAGAAAGGTGCAGACAGGTGGATTTGCCAGGAAAGCACTGATTTCCAAACTATCCAGCTGTCTGACATGATGGCTCCCAGACAACCAGGGGCAGGGGGCACGTACCTGCCTGTTTCCGCAGAGTGGTGCTGCACAGGTGCACCCTGGGAGGGCTGTGCAGCACCCGCTCATCCCTTGGTTCTCACACAGTATATTTGTTCAGAAACAAAAAGTTCACAAGCACCACCACCCTGCCCACCCACACACAAAGAGTACCAGGAGCCCTGAGTATCTTCAAAGACAGAGAACCAGGTTCAGCTCTGGGGAAATAAATCAGCAGAAAGAGGCTCCTACACAGGGACCCTGGGGGCCGTAGGCAGCCTGAGGCACTGTCCTGGGCTGGGTGGCAGGTCCTCAGAAACCACTGTCCATAGGATAAAGCAGGAGAGAGGAAAGCAGGGCTGGGAGAGCAGGGCACATCCACATGAGCAAAGGGCATGAGCTCTACCCATCCAGAAGTCAGCCTATTAAGTGTGCGGGGAACTCCTGAGTAGAAAATGATTTTTAGGAATATGCTAAGCAAATAAAGCAAAATTCATGTCAGGAAAAGCAGAACCCACAGCAAAAAGCATTCAAGGGTCAAAGATAACAATTTTATCATGCCAGAAAAAGGTGAGGTCCAACCAAACCATCTGACTCTTAAGTATGGCTGGTTATTTGACATCAGGGTGAGCAAATACTGTAGGCTGACCCAAACAGAGATGGCAGAGACAAGGGAAATGCCAAAGGGAAGCTCACATGCCTCTGAGCTAACAAACCAGGCCAACAGGATGTAGGCACAAAGGTCTGGCTGCTGCTGCTGCCACAGCCTATTTGTAAGGACATGTGAGACTCTACCCAATAATCAGGAAGCACACAGCACACATGTCCACCAAGCACCCCTTACCTGACTGGCCTCCTGGGATAAGGCTTCCAGCTGTCCTTCTAGTCTCATTTTTTCTTTAAGAACTTGCAACATCTCATCCTGAGTTTCAGCCACAGAACTTTCCATGGACACGCTAGAGGAAAAGGCACACATGGTCAGGAGGTGAGAACACGAGTAATCATGACCTTTACATCTGTCCACACTCTCCAAACCTCACACATCCCTGCTGCTCTCCCCAAGATGAAAATAAGGAAAACGATTCCAAAGGAGAACTGCCAGGAAACACCCCCACCACAATCGGCCATGTTCAGTCCCCCTTGGCTGGAATCCCCATGTGAGCCAAGGTAAGCTCCTGTGGCCTTTTCCAGGCAGGTTTACAGAAATGCTGGAAGACAGAATGTCCTATCATTTGCATTGCAAATGATGACTGAATAGCTCTAGTTCCATTTCTGAAAAGCAACGGGTGTGTTGATGAAATGTGAAGGACTGAGAGGTTAGGTGTTGCAGCCCCTGCCCTGGCGAGTGGGTCTTGCACCGTGCCCACCTGCTGCAGATGCTGTCCGTCCGGCTCCGTGCCTCCCCATTGAGCTCCGGTCTTTGGTCTCGGTGCTCAGCTGCAGCGGCTCGAAGGACATCTGCGATGGATGGAAACTGGCCCAAGGAACTGGTACCGAGCTCCTGGCCATTGACCATGTAGGAGGCTTCACGCGTGCCAGCACGGTTCACAGGGAGGCGGTGTACCCCCCGGGTGGAGACACCACTGCAGGAGGAGCTGTCACTCTCATTCCCGGCCTCAGACGTGTTGTCTCCAGTCAGGGAGCAGCTCTCCAGGTCGTCGGCCTCAGGGCACAGACTGACCTCAGACACCACTGACGACGTGCTGCTTCGGTTCTGCTTCAGGGAGCCCCTGGCGGACTCTGTGGCCAGAACATTTCCACCCGAATTCCCAGCATTTGACTCTTCAGTTCTATAATCAGCCAGGGACCGAATTTTGCTTGATTTGGAGCTTTTTTTCTCCTTAGGATGTGCCAGGAGTCCTAAGCTGCCTACTTTTGGCCCCCGAGGCACACTGGTGCGCAGGAAAGAATATTCTTTTGTCATAGCCACGGTGCTGGCCCTTGGTAAGGTTTCTGGATTCAGCATGAGTTCAGGATCAAGTGTGCTGAAAGGTCTCATTTTAGTTGCAGGCTGGCTGGACTAAGAAGGAAATAAAAGTACGAGCATGTTTGAACTTGGCAACAGCAATCAAGCTGTGCTGCCCACAAAGGCTGCACAGATAATAGCACGCCCCACCCGCCTCCACCCCTGCCTTCCCCAGCCCACTGTGCTCTGCAGCCTCACTGTCCCCATGTCACATCCAGGAACCATCCAAGCACACTGTCAATGACTGTGACTTGATTATAATTAAAAACAGCTATTAGCAAGTCCTTCCTCATCACACCTCCTTTGCAATATTTTCCTGGCTGTTCTCCCATTTTTGTGCTTTTGGATAGACTTAAATTTTTTCTTCAAGTTATAAAAAGAAGTCCTATTGAATTAGAACTACCTTAAATCTGTAATTACTTAGCAGATAATGAGTGGTTTCCCTCCACTTACTCAAAACTGCTTGCAGAGGAAGTTACAGAGAGTTCATCCAAATTCTGGCTACCTTTACTGCCATTTTAATGTGATGCTCAGATAGTTATCACTTTTATTATAAACATTATCTTCCCTCACTAATATTATAATTGGTCTTATTAGGGTAACTATTGGTTTTTAATACTTGTATTTTTCAGATTTCTGAACCCTATTTTAATAATTGTATATATTTTTTATTAACTTATTTAATTATTGTTCAAGTACAGTTTTGTTTTTTACTCCCATCCCACCCACCCCCCCAGAGCTCCCCACCTCCCTCCCATTCCCACCCCCTTAGTTGTTGTCCATGTGTCCTTTATACTAGTTCCTGTAATAATTTTTTATTTTTATAGATTTGTAATTTCTGGTTGATTCTCTGAGGTTTTCCAAGGCATCGCCAACATGTGCAAACAACACTCCATCTTTGCTCGGAGGTGAGGACCGGCTGGCTGCTCCAGCGCAGACCAGTGATACCCACGTGCTGACTTTCTGTGCTTTCCGAACTGCAGGTTCAAGAGTGGAATACACTTGTTTCAGGGGAAGAATAACCAGACAGGGTGGGAACCAAGGCCCTGCTGGAAAATCCCGGAAGGAGGAAACCGGTGAGAAAAATGGCCTTTCCAGGGAAGCACAGAGAAGTCACCCACGAATCCCAGCGTGACATCTGATTACCACCCCTGCCACACAGAAGCTCTCCATGAGCTTGTCCAAGAGTGGGACTCACTCGTTCCTGCTGCCGCTTCACCCTGTACTGTTTCAGCTGTTCCTCTAGCCGCTTCCGAGCCTGAAGTCGGACCTGCTCCTCCTTCTCCAGGGGCAGCGAAGCCTCTGCTGAGCCTAAGATGGGGAAATGGCGACTTGGAAACTCATAAAGCACCAGGCACAAAGGACAAATCACAACAGCAGCTGTGCTGGTTTGCATTTAATTACCAACACCATTTAGCTTCTAAACAATGCAAACCATCTAGTTTGAAAGGCCTACTTCCAGACGGCAAAAAACTGAGCCCTGGACACTGGCCACAGATGGGACCCATGTGGCAGAAGGCGCCTTGGCTATGCCTGGGGCCTGGGCTCCACATAGCATCCAGTGGGTACAATAGGACATGGGCAACTTGCCCCTAAGTAACAAAAGAACTGAACTCCAAGTTGGTGCTCGTGGGGAGCCCTCCACAAGCTCTAACTCGGACCACTGAGGTGACAGAGGGACCACAGGAGAGCAGTCCTGATGGAATGACACCCAGTCACGTGGGTGTACACGCCAAGCGTGCTTGCTTCATGAAGCTGTATCTGGAGATAGGATTTAATCCACAGCTTAGTTAAGTTCCCACAATAATGACTCATGGTGTATGAGGTCAGTAACAGAGTTGAAAATATCTAAACCCGAACCTCTTCCTTTGGGTAATAGAGGTGAACAGTGAGTGCAATAGTACAAGCTGTAGGTTTCTATCACATACAGCAGACATGCACGCTGGGAAATATGCTGATGAGAGCAGGTAAATGTCCTAATTTAAGCACTTCCTAAGCAACCACCCTCAGAGGCGGAGTCCCAGACAACAGGCAGTTGCTGTTTTAAATAACCCCTAACACCTGAGCACCAGAATTCCAAGAATTTCACTAGGAATTCAATGTCATTACTAATTTGTGCGTTTATTAGACCTCTAGTACTCTTCTCAAGGCTGAGTGGTCTGGAAGGCAGAAAACCAGTGGCCGGTGGCTGCAGGCAGGGCACCTGGACCTGCAGGCTCTGCAGCAGAGACACAGCCTGAGAGTCAAGGTCATGAGTGAGCACCTCCCCAGGAAGGGCGGCGGGTCCCTGCTGCATGGGCACCTCGTGGGCGCCTCACACACGCCTGAAAGCAGGAATCAGACGTTTATGTGATGTCTCGTCACTTAAATGTTGACAATGAGTGTACAGAAATTTTAAAACACACTATGGCCTTAAACAAAAATAATGCCTGTGAAGAAAAAGGCAAACAATCCTAAAGAAAAATGGGCCAAACACATGAACAGAAATTTCACAGAATGGAATGACCAAATGGCCAACGGAGAACAAGATGCTCAAACCCTCCCATAATCAGGGAAGGGCAAGTTTCAAGTGAAACAATTAATCCTGATGCACCCCCCAGACCTGTTAAAACTGCAAAGTGTCTGGGTGCGGGAGGGCTGGGCGACAGTGTGCGCTCAGGGGTCCTTAGTGGCACAGTCACATGACCACACACGATGGAGTAAATAAAAACACCCGACGCTTCAGACCAAGAAGCTGCCTCTGGGGGCAGTCCTGGAAGCTGGAGCAGTGATGCTGCAGGCGTGAACACAAGGCACGTGTGGCAGGAGATGCACGGCCGTGTCCACGCGACAGTGAAGGGGTAGGTGAGAAAAACCTCCAATAGTGGGAGTAACACAATCCCATCTAAAGCAGCAGGGACCCCAAACCTAGTGGTTGACAAAGGTCTATGGAGGGTCAAGAGAATGTGGCGGACCAGGATGGGGAGCACACCCCTCTGGCATGAGTGACATGACCCACTGTGCACAATTCTAGGTCTGAGTGTGAGAAAGTCAATGTTAGACAACAGTCTGGAGGTTTCTTGGTTTGTAGGTCAGTGCTCAATCCACTGAACCACACCAGCCAGGGCTTGGTCTGGAGGTTTCTTAGGCTCACGGGCTGCCAGTTTGTGACTTGGCCATCCCTGAGTCCCCAGCATCAGCACAAAATCAATGGTGATAAAAAAATAATTCACAAGAGTAGCCCTGGGTGGTGTAGCTCAGTGGACTGAGTGCGGGCCTGTGCATCAAAGGGTTGCTGGTTCGGTTCCCAGTCAGGGCACATCCCTGGGTTGCCGGCCAGGTCCCCAGTTAGAGACACGTGAGGAACAACCACACATTGATGTTTCTTTCCCTCTCTCCTTCCCTTTCCCTCTCTTTAAATAAATAAATAAATACAATCTTTTGAAAAATTAAACAAAACAAAACAAAACAAAAGTTCACAAGAGAAAGCTTCCAAAGTGTCACTGTTGAGATGTGTTTCCTACAGGCTGCTGCTCCCCGTCCCAGATGACAAAAGACACATGCTGGCCCTTTAAACCTGGGCCTGGAACACCAACACCAGTATCGGACACAAAGATGTGTACTTTCTCTCTAAAACAGAGCCATCTGATAAACGCACAGTCCACCAGGCTGACAAAGTACATGCCTCTGAAGGAGGTGGTGGCTGGGACCCAGGGGAGGGCAGGGAGGGGGGGCCAGGGATCGGATGCTTACACAGTTGCGTTTCTTGCATAGGAAGACTGAGTCTGAGAGACTGCAAAGCTTCTTTTCTAACACTGCCCTCAGCACTAGTCCCCTGAGACTTCGTTAGGTTGTCATGGAAATCAGCCACACCTGGAGGGGCATCAGGACCCACTGGACTTGTTGGGGGACCGAGAGCCCATGGCGAGCCTGGGAGCTGTGGCGCTGGCCCATTCTGACAGGTGTCCCCCTCACTGGGCACATCTAGGCTTCCTCCTTCATCCACAGCTCTGCTCGCCTCAACGCTGGCACCTGGAAGAGAGGGCATGCTGGGCCATCAGGTTGTTCTGCAGATGTGCAGCTGAAACAGGACAAAAGAGAATCTAGAGGTGTGAGCATGAGCACCCGACATTGGTTCCCTCCAGGAGGAGAGCAGGCCCTGGTCCCCCTGCCATGGGCGGGTACATGGGACAGGCCACTCAGCACCCAGAGCCCACCACCCCCGTCTGTGGAATGCCTTCACCTTTGCATTTTGGGTAAGAATTTAGGACCGTTTCCTTTTTATTTAAATAAGCCCAATGGGAAATCCTGTGAAAGTCTGTATTAATGACACAGAACAAGAAAACAAATGCTTAAAACATAGCTGACCATGTTTCTAACAGGAGTCAGGAACCACAGTGCTAATCAGAGCCACAGCCTCACAGTCATTTCAAAGTGTAAGTTTACCCTCCAAAATGAGAAATCTAAGGCGAAGAGGTGGATTAGCTGATCAGAATGATTTCAGCAATGTTGAGCCCCGAGTGTGTGTTTCTGCTTGACAAACACCTGTCAGGTAAGAGCCCAAGATCTATCCAATGATGACCCATCAAGCTCAGTTTCACCCACTAACACATTACACATACACTTGTTCATACCTTAGCTAAAAACTATTTCCTTATCAAAAGGAAGAAGGAAGAAGGAAGAAAGACTTTCTACACTTCAGTGACTGTTAGTCTTCTCCCTGCCCCTCACACTGCGGGGTGAGCTAGTCAGAGGCTGAAGAACCAGGGTGGTATGTGGAGGGAGGGAGGGACCTGTAACACTCTCCTTTGCCCAAGCAAATTAAAAGGAGTTTCTATCACTTGAAATGTGAACCCCAACTAACACAGCGACTTACAGTCATGCCTCTCTAAAAGGAAAACAAGAATAAAAAACATGTGCCGCAGACACAAACAGAACCAGGGGACTGCCCTCAGCCCTGACACTGTGTCTGCTCCCACACAAACCATCCTGTAGCTCTGCTGTGTGTCGGGGGTGGGAGAGGAGAGAAGAGGGGGGCCCTGCATTTCAGATGTAAGACAATCAGGTTAATAACACTTTCTGATGAGTTTATAGGTCTGGGAGAGTCTCACAAACCTTACTGCTTATATAACAAAATCACTTTTGAGCATCATATTGCACTTTAAAAATATCTAGAAGTGAGAAGGCCCAATAAACAAGACTTTGTTTCCAAACACAGGCCTAACTATGGATAAACAGGTAATGATGATGATGATGACGACGCTTCTCGTGTGCCTGTGTTTGTTTCCTGTGGGCCACCTCCCCCAGCCCCACGGCGGCCTCGAGAGGTGGGCTCCACTAATCTTCTCTCACACAACAGGACAGTGAGCCGAGGAAAATTACAAACCCTGTGCAGGGCTCACTGCTGTCTGCGGTGGCTCTAAGGGCTGCCTCCCCAGCTGCCCCACTCTGGGATTCTCCATCTCGGGCCCACGCTGTCACCAGCCGCACCTGGTACTTAAGTACAGTAACCAGCAAAACCATTTTAGGTGCTTGAACACCATTTTGAAGAACCAGAATGCAATTTCCACTAGTGAATCAGTACATACATACTTTTTTCAAGCACACACTACACTAAATGTCCTGACCAGGAAGGGGCATTGAGGACTCAGTGAATTAACATATCAGCTAACACAAAAATGTGACCTGATAATCCTTCGATCACTACTAGATCTTTCTGGGTCCCAGTTAGTAAAATTCTGGCAGCCAACCAATCAGAGAGGTAGGATACTAAGCCAGCAACAGTGATGTGTGAGAAAGACCCACAGAAACTTTAGGGAAACCATCATGGCTGCTCTGCTGGGCAGAGAGCAGGGCAGTTCCTATTCTATTTAAAAACAGGCAGTTGGTTTAAAGTTGGAGTCAACTAAGAAAAGACACTCATATGATTGTTAAAAACATACTCTGAATGAAAAGTTAATTGTTGTCTTAAACACCACAGTCTGCCGCCGAGATGCAAGCCAATGCACATCCCTGTTCAAAGACAAAGCGTCAGCAGCACGCAGAGTGCCTGGGGACTTACACTGGCCTTCGTCCCACAGGTCAGGAGGCGCCTTCGGGCTCAGGGGCTTGGGGAGGGCATCAGGGAGGGCTGAGGTGCCACTGTGGGATCCGTCCTCCAAGAGGCCACCCTGCACAGACGATGCTCCATCCATGGTCAGGACGACTCAGACTGGGTGACACCCAGGGGCTGCACGGGAGCTGCGGGCAGGCACAATCTCTGCCATCATCAACAGTCAGGGTCCCTTGGGAAGGACAGCACTAGGTTTTCCATTTTCAAGAGATTTAAAGTCTCATAAATGGCTTGAAATCAAACCCAAGGAGTATCATGAAACCTGACAGAAGGGAAAACAGAAAGTATTATGAAACTTCACTGTCAGATTTGAACTAACAATTCCAAGATTAACATTTGCTTCTCCGTTTGCATCTGTATAACAAACAAATGCAGATACCAATGCGGCTGAGTAGGTGGGGCAAAGGCGCTCCAAAAAGCAAAAAGGTCGCCAGTTTGATTCCCAGTCAGGGCACAGGCCTGGGCTATGAGTTCAGTCCTTAATCGGGGCGACTTAGAGAGGCAACTGATCAATGTTTCCCTCTCACGTCAATGTTCCTTTCCCTCTTTCTCCATCCCTCCCCCTCTCTAAAAATTATTGAATAAAATCTTTTAAAAAAATTATTGCAATATCCTAGGTTTTAAGGATAAAATGCTAAGCCAGTCACACCCAGTCCTGATCCTGAAGGTGCTTATTGTCATTATTGGTGATGGACAACGACCGTCCTGCCAGGAGAGAGAAGCTCCCCCAGTTGGCACTGTAAGTGTCATAGGTGGCCACTGAGAGGGGAGGGTCCAGGAACGGAGGGACTGAGTTTTTATTTATTTAAGCTACCATATTTTGCCATGTATAATGTGCACTGTTTTGCCAAACTTTTAAAGGAAAAATAACGATGCACATTATACAAGGGTAGTAGTACTAATTCCATATCTAAATGTTCTTATTTTTATTTATGCTTATGTGTTAAAAGTAGAAATCTAGAAAGCGATATCCACACGCAAAATAACACCCTGGAATGCGATCATTGGTTTTGCTTCTAAATAAATAAAGAATTGAATTAAAAATATTAAAATGAAAGATTCTTTTTCCTGGAAGTTTGGGCCAAAAACATACATGTGCATTAAACACAGCAAAATGTGGTACTCTGAGTGCAAATAGCTACTGGTGGCCAGGGACTTCTGTGTAAACACTCAGAGGGCCCCCCTTCTAGGAGGACTGGAACGAAGGTGCTGAGGTCACTGTTCAGAACCAGCTGTGGACATAAGGTCACTGGGCATGTGCTGGGGAAGCACACGGGCTGAGGCCACCGTGGAGTGGGGGCAGACAGAGCATCTCACAGGAGGTGACCAGTCCATCTTGCGTTTCCAGCAGGGTCAGTGCCCTTGAGCCCACCCTGCAACGCTAAGTTTAAGGGAGCGAAACTGCCCAGTTTGCGAACTGGTTTTGGCTTGTGAACTGGCTGAGGAGGATATTATCATCTTGTTCCCCCATCAACAAATAAAATGTTATTAGCTGTCACTCTCTTTCTATGGGAATGTTGGCATTTGGTTCCTTTAAAATATTATCCTATGCACTGTTCTATGTTTCACTTGTTTCAGGACGAAATTGTGCACGACTTCCTCTCCAGCTTACAAACCCCACTGACGCTGTGCTATGAGCCAGGCGGTGGTTCTCACCAGGAGGGCTGACGGAGGTGAGCCTGCTCTGCCAGGTGCAGTACCTCTGAGCACCTCCTCCCCCAGTCCATGAACAGGTGTTCTCGGGGGTCGCATCCCCTGCTGCACCCATGTAGTGAATGACTAGCACTGGGAGTGTCCCTCTGGGAGAACCCGGGGTGTGGAGTGAGGGGGCTGACTTGAAGCCCCCAAAACCCACACATTTCTCCCTGCTGTCTGACACCCTGCAGGCCAAAGACACTGTGGGTTAAGATCAGTGCTATTAACAATACGGGGTGTGGCAAACAAAGGTTTACAGTTGTCAGTATGCAAAACAGTTTATTCTTGTATTATTATTTCTTTAAAGATTTCATTTGTTTATTTTTAGAGAGCAGAGAAGGGAAGGGTAAGCAGAGAGACAAACATTAGTGTGCGGTTGCCTCTCGAGTGCGTGCCCCCTTCTGAGGACCTGACCCATAACCCAGGTATGTGCCCTGACAGGGAATCAAACCAGTGACCCTTTGGTTTGCAGGCCTGCACTCAATCCACTGAGCTACATCAGCCAGGGCTTGTATTATTATTTATTAATTACTGTATTATTTTTCATGCAAATAGCTGCAAGCCTACTTTTGCTCCACCACGTATAAAAGCTTGTATCTTCTATTAAGCATAAAACTAGCACTGAAAGGATTTCTACTAGAAAGAACTGTTGATAGAAATGTGTGCAAACATGAACTATAATCCATTGTAGCTCATCAAAGGGCACTGGGCTCCAAACTGAAAGAATCAGAGAAAGGAGGGGAGGTGCTGAGGCTGGAGAAAATGTGATCCTGCATGCAGTGAGTTCTCAACCTCATTCCTGTGTCTTCAATAACCAGTAACCTCTTCCACCCCCAGACTTTCCGGATGGTGTGTGTATGGGGAGACGGACAGGCCCTTGGAGGCTCCACTGAACCTGCAAGTCCCACAGGCCCTCCCTGAAAATCACTGATTCCCATGCTCCCACCTCCATGGAAAACCACTGCAATGCCCACCAAACCTGCCCCACAGCCCCAGTCCCAGGGACTCCCTGGGGTGGCTGCTGGTACACTGGTCGGGCCAGGATGGGATGCTACAGAGGAGAGTCAACAAAGGCAGGCAAGGCACACCAGCACAGGATAGCCAGGATGTCCCCTTCATCACAGGGACAGATGATGACAGACACTGTGTAAGAACCGGTATGGAAGAACAACTGTAATGGCATAATCAATAAAAAAAAATTTAAATAAATTAATTAAAAAAAAAAAAAGAACTGGTATGGAATCCATGCTCATAGCATGTGGCACACTGTTTGTACTGGCCATCCCCACAAGTTCCCTAACAAGAGAAAATATTTGGATTTGCTTTGAAACGTGGGTGAAGATGTCCACAGCACCGCCACGCTCCCCACAATACATGACAGGGTACCGACAAGAGCTCAGTGTTCTTCAGGAAGAAGCTGGTCCCCTATTGTGGCACTCTTTACCCTAGACTGCCAAGCAAATCCCCAGATTCCTTCCATGTACCATCAGGTGCTGCTCTGAAGTCTCTCTGGGGCCTCAGGTACAGCACCTGGCCCAGCCTACTCCCTTCTGCCATCAGGACACCCCTGCGTACATGTCACAGTATGCCTGTGCATGTGCCCACCTCCTCCATCGCCTTGTGAAGTCCTCGGAAGCAGAAACCACCACCCCAAGTCCACCCTGACATCCCTACGTAAGAGTTGGTGCCCAAGGCAGGCTGCTGACTTAAATCTTTGGCTCTACTGAGTTCCACCCCTCAGAGACCAAGCTAGTGGTTCCACCCCAAAATGATTCAGTGTCTGCATCTGTGAGCATCAACACTGCCTTTCCAAATACAAAAAAACTCTAGTCTTACTAAAAACACAAAGATAAATAAATGTGCCAGCTCTCGCAGCCGGATACCATCATATAGTCCATTCCTTTAATTCCCTTTATTTGGATTTCCTGATAAACAAGAAACCTATTGATTCCCAAGTAGTCCTACCACCCAAGAATGTGAGGCCCTGAGACTGTGACTCACTGTGGTTCCCCATGAGGATGTCTTCTGGTCACGCACAGCCCCTGCAGCCGGACAAGAGGCAGGACTCATTGGCCGCCCACAGCAGCCTGCCCGCCTGCCAGGGAGGAACTGGCAGCCTCGGCCTGCCCGCGGCCTTGTTGGAATTTTACTTGTCCTGAGTTTTACTCCATCGTTCACGGCCTTATGACCTCTGACTGCTGACCCAACCAGGACAAAAGAGAGTCAGGCAGCTGGGAAGCTGTTACTAGGAACACGCACCCCATTCTGTAATTTTTTTAAAAATAAAGAGATCAGTTTTATCACAGTGCCATTTTTGGCTACCTGCGTTCTGTGTGTTTCACTGAGGGAAGACACAGGGCAATGCTCTCCCTAGGAACTGCGCAACGTGTTCCTGGCTCCAGGTTCAGCCCTGCCTGACATCAAGGGACCTTATGCTGAGCAAGCACTGTCTCAGGCACCTGTATGACTCCCAGCTTCCTCCACATGGCAGATTACACAAATTCAGCATCTACACGCATCCCACCTCATCTCCGTTATTCCTGTTGGCAATCAGAAACAACACAGTACAGCCAAAAATAAAACAGAATTTTCTTAAGAAGATAATGTCTAGCTGAAGGCATAATAGTGACTGAAAGTAAACAGAGAACAGAACACAAAGTGAACCCCGGGGAGCCTCCTGCACAGGCTCTGGTGGAGACATCTGGGCTTCAAACCCCAACCTGCCGTCACAGCTATGAGGGCATGGGCACACTGCTGAACCACCCTCATCAGTAAGATGAGAAAACAATATAAACATTTTGCCAAGATTAAATAAAATATGGCACAGAGTCTGTCCCATGCCCTCAAAAATGGTTGCTGTTATCATTAGTGTTATTTCCTTTCAGTTATTGCCTGTCAAAATTGATTGGCACAAGCCAACTGAATACATCCTCATTTTCTCACTTAAAGTATACTGCTGTTTAAGGCATTCAGCCAGAAAAAAAAAATCTGACTGATGTCAGATGATTTTTATTTTCTTTTCTCACTCTCCAAGACAGACTGTCACCGAGAGCTCACTCCCATAAAGGGTCACGCTTGCAATATTAAAGGAACAATTAAAGAATTTAAATAATCCGTGAGTCAACTGTATATCGCTTACAATGTTCCAGAGGCTTTCAATCACAATCACAATGACAATAAAACCCAAGCCTCCCACCATAAACTAGGGAGCTGCACCCAACTGGCCCCTCCCTCTGCTACATCCTCGTTTCTGTCACTTTCTTTCTCATGACGCCTTAAGCCACTCGCCTGCGCCTAAGGACACCAAACGGACTCCTCCCTCAGGGTCCTCTCATTTGCGTTCCTTCTGCCTGAAACGCGCTTATTCCACACGTTTGTGTGGACAACTTCCTGTCACAGAGATGGTGGCTCCAATGTCACCCCCCAGACTCTCCCTAGCACCAGACCCTACTCTTGGCAATCCTCTCACTCTCTGTCCCTGTCCCTCCACAACAACGTGGGCTCGGTGAGGACAGGGTCCTCAAAACGAACAGTGCCTGGCACGAGGCTGACACTCAACAAACACCTGCAGCAAGTCTGAGCTGTTCACCTCTCCATGCTGGTGTCAATGCCTCGCCCAATCCCTCTGGAAAGTGTCACCTCTCCGGAGAAACAGCTCTAAGCACGGGGAAAAGAAATGGAGTCCGGGTGGAAGGAGAGGCAAAGGACCACTCAGATTCTTTCAACCTGGCCTCACACTAACCACGCCACACCATGTCACGCCTGTCCTACGGACCGCACGTCCTCCGAAGGGCTCCGACGCTGCCCGAGGTTCTTAAACAGTTCCCAAAGCAGCTGCGGGCACCTCTGCCACAAGTCACGCCCCATCACGCGCAAACAGCGTGTCGAGGGCTCAAAAGGAAGGACATTCACGAAGGCAGTTCCCTTGGCATCTGCAAAGGGCCCCGAGGCTACCACGGAGCAGAACTGGGTTGGCGCGAGGCGTCGCCGCCTTGAGGGAACGCGGCCTGCCCTCGGGGTCCGCCCAGGCCCTTCGGCCCCATTCCCAGCCTCCGCCCCATTCCCAGCCTCCGCTCCGACCGCGCCGCGGATCGGGCGGCCACTCGCCCTCCCCGGCGAGTCGCTGCCAGAAAGCTTCCCGCGACCCTCACCCCAGAGCCGAGGAATTACGGCGGCAGCACTGACCAGTGGCTCCAGCGGCTACGTGGCCGCGCCAGGGGCGGGGCGGGGCGCATCTACTGCTTCAGCCCCCCTAGGAAACACCCTGTGCTCGCTGCCTTCGTTCCGGAAGAGAGGATGACCTTTTCTCGTCAGCAGGCGCCCTCGGGCCGAGGCTTCTCTGGCCGCAGGGCCGGTATCCAGGCCACTCACAACTGGCCCGAGACGTTTTCAGAAAAAGAGTTGGTGGCTCTTCCCCGTGTAGAAATGCAGCTTCCTGCTCGCAGGACCACCTCCATAAAGCCGGGCAACTTAGCTTCCGGCGGAAGTGGCGCGTCCACGGCTCCGACCCCGCCCCGCCCCGCCCCATCTGTCAGGTTGTGGGCGTGGCCACCCTCCCTGCCGCTTGACCCATTGGGGGCAGTAGGTAGGAGGTACAGGAGTACGACATCTGGCCCCCCCAACACCCGAAACCTTCCAGCGCGCTAAAGCAAACGTGAGTGAGGCTTTGGAGCCACAGCAACGTTTACCTTAAAAGAAAAGTTGTTGGGCTCTGGCTGGTGTGGCTCAGTGGAATGAGCACCAGCCTGCGAACGAAAGGATCGCCGGTTGGATTGGCAGTCAGGGCACAAGCCTGGGTTGACCAGGTCCCCAAGTGGGAGCATGTAAGAGGCACACTGATGTTTCTCTTCTTCTCTTCCCCTCTGTCTAAACATAAATAAATAAAATCTTTAAAAAACTGATAATATAAAAAATTGTTGGGCCCTGGCTGGTGTAGCTCAGTGGATTGAGTGCAGGCCTGTGAACCACACAATTGGGGTTCGATTCCCAGTTAGGGCACATGCCTGGGTTGCAGGCCAGTTCCCAGCAGGGGACTCACGAGAGGCAACCCTATATTGATGTTTCTCTCCTTCTCTCCTTCCCTTCCTCTCTAAAGATAAATTTTTAAAAAATTGTTGGCATAAGGCTTGAGGTTTAGGTTTTTTCCTTTTTTCTTTGCCTATAGATATCAAGTTGTACAGCACCCTTACTGAAAAGACCTCCCTCCATTTGCTTGCTTTGGTACATTTCAAACACCAGTTGGCTGCTTGGAAGAGAACTTTGGGTCTGATTCTGAGGCCTCTGCTGTGTCATCTCCTTGCCTATCCCAAGAGCTTTGCCAAAAGCTATACTATCCAGCAGAGAATTCCCCCCACTTCATCATCTTTCCTCATTGTTCTAGCTATTCTGGCATCCATGCCAGTTCGTATAAATTTTACAACAAATTTCCATGTAAAAATCTCTCCTGGGCCCTGACTGGTATAGCTCAGTTCGTTGTCCCACAAAGGGAAAGGTTGCCAGTTTGATTCCCAGTCAGGGCCTGTGCATGGCTTGTGGTTTTGGTTCCAGTGAGGGTACTTAAAAGCAGCGACCTCACATTGATGTCTCTCTCCCTCTCTTCCCTTCTCTTTAAAAATTAGTAACATCTTTTTTGAAAAAAAAAAAAAAAGTCCTTCCTGAGATTTCGATGGGAATTAGATCAGCACTATAGATAGATTTGGGGAGAATGGACATCTTTACTATGGTGTGACTTTCAAGTCGGGAACAGGCTATGTCTCTCCTATGAGGTCTTCTTTGGCTTCAGACGTGCTACCAAAAGCCACTTATCTCTGCTGCATCCAGTTTTGCTGACTTGCCAAGGGATAGGAAAGAAAGGCAAGTAACAGAAGCAAAGAGCACACACTTGTTACACAGACGTAACACCGACTGTGGCATGCCCAAGGGAGGGCTGGGAAGTTTCTGCCGGGAGATGAGACTTCTATGGAGCCAGTCTATTGTGAGCCTTTAAGGGCTCTACTGTTTCCATCTCACAGAAGAAACAGGTCCATTGGGGCCGAAGCAAAACGAGTTAGGCAGGAGGGTGCCAGATTCAGCTTCACCAAGGATGGTGGGCCTAATTCTGCAGGGAGCGACGAATCCCACTAAGGAGGATGTCTAGGATCCTCTGTGTTCCCACCCCACACATGGCTGGGGCTTCCAAGGGGAATCACCAAGACGTGGCCAGTGCTCTGAGGCTCCCACCAGGGTCAGCCTGGGCAACTGAGGCCTCTGGGATTGCAGTGACCTCAGCTTTCATGGTGGCAACACCCAATATTCAACATTCATCTTCCTTTTACCTAGGACTGCCGCACCTGCCTGTGGGTGCTAGTGGCTGGGAAGTACAATGGGCTCAGGGCTGGCCAGTCAGTGATGGGCCAAGGACAGGCTTCATGTGAATGAGAGGAAAATGCCAGATCACCTGCTTCTGCCTGATAGGAGGTGAGGAGGGTCCCAACACTGTGTTTAGGTCCCTGTGTCCAGCCAAGTTAGGCCCACTCTGGGCTTTCCAAGTCCGGTTAATTCTCATCTCTTGCTTCCTTCCTGGTGTGGGGGTCCTGGTGGCCACCACAGCAGCAATCCTGACCCAGGACCTGGGCGTTTCTGAGCCTCATCTGGGCAGCATGTGCATTAATCTGGCTGTATGACTCCTGCTGGAAAAGCCCAACTTAGCCTGTCCTGGTTTGGGCACTTCCCTGCAGCAAAATCCAGATGCCACTTGCTCCTCTCAGGCCTGGGTCTGTGATTCCCATTCTGTTAGCTCTTATGTAATAGAATGATTTACTTGGCCAACAAGGCCCCCATAGGATCGACCACTCTCATTGGAGCTTGGACTGCAGACCAGGAGGGGCTCAAATGCAGCCTCTTAGAGGGGGCACAGTAGATGGTGGTGTGGGCGGGGCTGACTCCTTGTTTGATGGGGGGTATTGGGAACCCAAAAGGGACTTGGGTCTGATAACAAGCTGAGAGGCTGAAGGACTCAGCTGCACCTGCTCTAGGGCTGGGCTGAAGGGGCCAGAAAGCATGTGGGAATCCCCCCTGCATAAGCCAGGAACATGCTGTGGGCTGGTGGTGCAGTGGGAGGGTGCTGAGGAAGAGGAAGCACAGAAAATCATAAAAACATGGCATGACACAAACCCACCCAGCTCTGTAGAACAGCTGCCCTGGTCCCAGGGTTCCACCCTAGACTTACAGCTGACAGCTGCTCTTAGCCTGTGCACTCATTAGAAATGGGGAACCCAAGTTCCACTAGGGTCGGCCCACACCATGGGCCCCTCAGTCTGATGAAGGCACACACCTTACCCTTCATGGATAGATCCAGCACAGTGTGGAGTTTCATGTTATTTAAACATAGGCAAAAAAAAAAAGCTGGTACACCCTCCAAGGGACTGCACCTTTGTTCTCACTTTTGGGGATAGGTGGGGTCGGCTGAAAGAGTGATGAGCCAACATCTTAAGGTGTGGAAGGCAGGCCTCACTCCTGCACAAGCAGAGCCTGGGGCTCAGACACAAAGCTGTGGCTTCAAAGTGGACCAACAGGCTGTGGCTCCCTCAAGTTGGTGGATCCAAGAGACCTTGCACCTTTTTGTGGGTGCTCAGACCTGGGGCCCAGGCCAGGGTCACTTGTGCTTGAGAGCTAACTCAGCAAAATCTCCTTAGTGGTAACTAGAGAGGTCTGCAGCCGTCTGTCCCTGTGATGGGAAGGGTGACACAAACAATCATGCAGGAGAGAGAAACAGACACGGCTTGTTTATTAGAATTCAGGAAGGAGGCCTTCTCTCACAAACAGGTGCTGCTTCTCAGTCTGTGTCAAGAGCAAGACAACAGTTTAAAATCGTATTCCTGAGAAGAAGCAAAAAAGTTACAATTTTTCAAACAAAATTAACAAGTGATTTTAATAAAAGATAAAAAATATTTTTTCTTTTACAAAGAACAAAATTTCAAGTATTATTCCAGATGACAGCAAACCCAGTGCAGGAGGAAAGGGCAAGGACTAGCGGAAGCCAAGGCCCCTGGAGCTCTTGGCAGGAAGGGGCTGCTCTGGGGGGGGTCGAGGTGGCAGCAGGGCTGACCTGCACCTGAACCTTGGCTGCCCATGGCCAGGGACCCACAGGAGGGAATAAAGAACTTGGGGACAGTGGGTGGGGCCTGCAGCTATGCAGACAGAGGAGCAGCAGGGCCAGCTCTTTGCTTACAGGCTCAGGGTGGTGGCGCCCCAACTTTCCCAGGCCTGGGAGGGGCCACACACTCAGTGTCGGTGTCCAGGGTTAGCAGTTCTGGACACCTGATCGTGTTTTTTATTAATAAACAGAAACATGTTTGTTTATCCAAATACCGTACTATCTATCCCTAGTATTAGTCAATTTGTAAATTATAAATTATATTATTTGTGCTACAATTTGTGGTATTTAAATCTTATTAAAAGATAAGCACCAACCCTATTAAAATAAAAGCTCGTAAGAGCTGTCGCTTTCCCTACAGGGTACTGCAAAGCCTGTGGGCTGTAAACGTTTTCCTTAAAGAACAGAACGTTTCTGACAAACTTTCCTTTTTCTCTCATTAAACTTTTCTTGGAAAGAGATGTGCGTTTTAACCACAGCTGTGGGAAAGGTACAAAGAGCAAACCTGCACACCACCAGCTCAGAAGGAGGGGACAGCTGATGGCTGTTCTGGCTGAAGCGCTTCAGGTGGCCCCAAGCTCAGAGGACGGAAGCTCTGGGCCCCCCAGGGCTGTTTCTGGGGCCTCATTGTGAGGGTCTCCTCCACAGAACAAAAAGCCACACCAGAGTGCTGGATGCAGAGACCCACAGCGTGCCCTGAGGGAATGTAAAATGCCCTACAGTGTTCATATTTAGTCCTTCCTGAAACACGCTGTCACTGACCCTTGTGCTCCCAAGCCACCGTGGTGCCTCCTCAGATGCTCAGTTCTTGAACCGCGTCTGTTCACAGACATGATTGAATTTCCTGCAGGGAGGAAGCAGTCAAATTACACACGAGAGCATACATTTAACACCACCAAAGAAACTTATGGTGGTAGAAGGCAGAGGTGAACATTTCTGTGCAAGTGTTTCATGAAATGAGGTAACAGAAGAGTAGAGTTTCCAAATGGCAACACTACTTTGTAGACTACATGTCTAGAGTAGCTCATTTGTAAGTAGTTACTCGGCTAGTCCACAGGTGTCCCTAAAAGCTGAGATGTCAACTGGGACACCACACTTGAAACATCCCACTAGAAGAACGAGGGTCAACCCCTGTCCCAGCCTCGAGGACCTGAGCAGACACGCCCCGCCCGGCAGAGCACAGTGTCACTCACATTGCGTGGTGGGCCTTCACCTGAGTACGGCAGTTGCGACCCCAATAGCAGTCCGGACGGGAAGTTACAGCCACTAGAAAGAGAAAAACGTCACGATGTATAATGTGTACACCATACTCATGTACTCAGCTCAGGGAGTTTACCCAAGACCCAGAGACACTACTGTACTATACTTTGTCCCACTTTACAACAATTTTCCTTCCACTGTTCCAGGAAAGATAAAAACGTTTAATTGAAAACCCAATTCAGGAAGTGATATTACTCCAGCTGGGACGTTTTATGTGCCCGGGGCGTGACACAGCACGGCACTCAGGCAGCCCTCTGCTAAGAACACGAAGCAAAGGCCCAGACAGAATGCTGACCCGTTGTGCAGGAGCATAGAAGCCACAGCAAACAGACATGAGATGGGGTTGGGGAGTCACTTACCTGGCAACTCGGAGGCAGGAATGTTCTGCCGATACTGGTAGGTCAGCTCTCGGAAGCTCCGCAGACCACAGCAGTAGCACAGCACGGTGCTCCCCGTGACCCTGTAGTCTGGAAGACACAGGTCATGCAGCACTACCAGACATCAGGAACCCCAGTGTCCAAAATAGCAGGACAGACATGGCTGCGTTTACTAGTGGGGAACTAACACACTGACCCATAAATGGAGGAGAGAGTGGGCCAGACGTTTGGAAAACAAGAACAAAAGCAATCCAGATGCCAACTTCTTTATCGTAAAACAAGTCCACTTGCATTAAAAATTTTAATATTTTTAAAAATCAAAAAACGTACTGAAAGGAATGAATATGATTTTTCTTGAGTTATTTCCAAGTATGCCATAAAAACTGAACGGCACATAAGGGTCAGGAACTCTGAGTGCCCACAGTACACATCACAACAGAGACACATACAAGGAAGGTGAGACCTAAGGAAACAGTGGGAAATCTGCAACACCAAGGACATGTGCTACCCTCACATAACAAAGCCGTCACACATATCCATACCCAAAGGGCAAATAGCCTGACACAAATAAGGGCTGATGTCATAGACAGCAAATGACCCATAGAACAAAAAGGATGGCAATTCTGTGAATAATCAAACATGGGCAGATAGAACAACAACGAACCACTGTTCACCTCTTTATTTACAAGACCTGAAAGACAAATGTGGCTGCCGTCCCCACTCTGGAGGCACACCTCCGGGAGGAGTTAGTTAACATGACAAAGTCTCAGCTGTGTGCACCATTTTTTCCGTAAAGAAACATTTTTCATTTTTTCTAATTACTGATTTGGATATTTTGGCATGTTAGCTATCTTTCACCTGGTGTAACCTGGATTATTCTCAATTAATGTTTCAATTTGTATCAACTTCAAAAGGCCTACCCCACTGTGGAGCATTGTTCATGAGAAATCTCCAGCACAAAACTTTGCATACCACTTTTGATATGTTCAATCAATCACAGCACCTTTTCTACACATTGCACAAATCTTTTTTGTGTGTGTTTTAGTTGCAGTTTTCCCTTTCTTAGAATAATAAAACGTGATATGCCAAAAATGTTGCATATTTTCTTTCATCTTCAATATGAAAATGGCTATACAAAAATTCACCCATTTTGACATTTTTTAAAGTGCACACTGATAATGACAACTGTCACAATACAATCTAACAACATTGTTTCAAATGGAGTTAAAGACAACTTAGTGCTACTTATCTAAAAAACCAAAGAACTTTTGGGACAGCCCAATAGGTTAGAATGCTATAGTAATTAAAAACAAAGGTATATAGATCTTCACTGATATATAGAGGGTCCAATATGTATTGCTAAGTGGATAGGTTATAAAATGGCATACGTGGTAGGGTTTTATTTATGCAAGGTGTGTGCACATGGGTGTACGTGGTCATGAGAATATTATCACTGGGTACATGCTTTTAGGTGGTAGGATTTCCAATGGTTTGTACTTTATCCTTCATACTTCTCCACACACTTCCAATTTTTTGTGAGCCATGTCATTCTTACTAAGAAATGAAAGGAGTTAAGGCCGAGCTGAGATTTGGCCAACTACACAGGAGTTTCCCAGCAGAAAACACCTGAGACACTCCTTGGTGTGTGTCCACAACACAGAAACAGCTTGCAAGGATTCTCAGCAAACCTCTCAAGTCTTTCATAAAAGTTCATTTGAGCCCTGGCTGGTGTAGCTCAGTGGATTGAGCGCGGGCCTGCGAACCAGACAGTAGAGGTTCAATTCCCAGTCAGGGCACATGCCTGGGTTGCAGGCCAGTTCCCAGCACGGAATGCACGAGAGGCAACCCTACATTGATATTTCTCTCCCTCTCTCCATCCCTTCCCCTCTAAAGATAAATAAATAAAATCTAAAAAAAAAAAAAGGATTCATTTGAGCCCTGACCAGTGTAGCCCAGTCTGTTGGGTGCCATCCTGCAAAGTGAATAGTGGCTGGTTCAATTCCCAGTCAGGTCAAGGCCCGTACAAGAGGCAACTGATTTCTCTCTCACATCGATGTTTCTCTCCCTTTCTTTCTCTCTCCCTTCCCATCTCTCTACAAATTAAATAAAATCTTAGCCTTGGCAGGTGTGGCTCAGTGGACTGAGTGCTGGCCTGTGGACCAGTTCGGTTCTTGGCGAAGGCGCATGTCTGGATTGTGGGCCAGGTCCCCAGTTGGGGGCATGCGAGAGCCAACCAAGAGATGTGTCTCTTGCACATTGATGTTTCTTTCCTTCTCCTTCTCCCTCCTTTCCCCTCTCTCTAAAGATAAATAAAATCTTAGAAGGATTAAATCCCTTGATTTTTCTGCAGCCTCCCTCAGTGACAAAAATTGTATCTGCCAAGGCACCAGGTGTCTCTGACAGGAGCCAAACCTTCAGTCACCAACACAGTGAATGGCAGGCCAACGAGGGCCCTGGGGGTTGGGAACAACCCACTCCAGGATCTCGATGTCAAACGTCTCTGGTGCTGGGCCCCTCCCTCCTGTCTGGGAGGAAAGATCCTAGAACTCATATGGACTCGAACCCCGCTTTGAAAAAGTTCTGACGTCCTGGGGGTTTTCCTTCCGTCTCTGCAGGGTGGGCGAGGCCGAAGCTGTGGATGTGGAAGAACGGATGGGGCCCTGCCCAGGGCCTGACAGGTATGACTGCTTCCCAGAGGCCCAGGGGCCACAGACGCAGCGGCGTCCTTGAGGGGTGGCAGGCGCTGTGAGCTCACCAGACAGCAGGAACACGCCCCTCTGCAGCGCTGCCAGGCTCTCAGCCAACACGTTCTTCCACGTCAAACCCCTGGCCGCGAGGTAATTCTGTGGTGGGAAACAACGGCAACAGGAGAAACACACGCTTGGACAAGAGGCTGAAGGTCCGTAAAAGGCCCTCGAAGGCGGGTGAAGCCGAAGCCCAGTAACCCGATCACGGCAGGTCTTTGTAGGAGGCGGTCGTACACCTTTATATGGACCCGCCTCCATGACCACGGCTTAGGACGGCCAGGAGGGCCCGTGCCCCAGGGCCCCCAGACCAACGTGGTAACACACCCACAAAGCAGTGCACAGGGATTCTTATCCAGATGCGTTGAAGCCTCACCAGGCAGGCCAGCTTCAGACTCTCTAGTGCAGAGTGACACATACTCTCTGAATCTCTGCCAGGGCATCCCAGCACAGGAGTGTGAGACGTCCACCTCGGCCAGAGCAGCTGCACCACAGTGACCGGCCTGTGACCGTGTGGCCAGGAAGCTGGTGTCTGGATCTGCGCTCTGCCCTTCACTCACACAGAGCTGCCCAGCTGGGCAGACCTACACATGTACACCTAACCAAGAGCAGTGGCGCTCAGGAATGTGCCACACAGCGGAGAGGCCCTCAGTCCTATCTGTGATGCTGCACGTAAATGGGGTGAGAAGGACTGGTGTGCACATTACACATACGGAAATCCTAAGAGCTGTGCTTGCTTCCTGACGTGGGGAAGGAACTTATCGGAAGAGAGCCAGGGGGAAGGCCCCAGCTCCGCCCAGGCCCAGAGGTGCCGTGGCCCAGCCCAAAGACCCTCTATGTGGGGCGAGCAGGAGTTGAGCCATAGAAGCGCCTCCTATTGATTCATGGCATGATGGACATAAAGGAAGCACCTAGTTCTTGGAATATGGGGAAAAACAGCCCTATATAAACACGATGCTGACCACCAGTGGCGGCATGAGTCAGAAAATGCCAAGTTATTAAAGTAACTGAGAAAGTGCTAGGGAGGCCTCCTCCTGGCCCTGGCCTAACCCAGGTACCTTCAGGACGTCAGACTCGTAGTTGTTGTTGTTCAGCACCCCGTCCAGACACCTGTCACCCAGGTTGAGCTCTGTTGGGAAAAGGGAGGCAGCATTATCTGTTTTACAGACATTTCGTGGAAGCACCGTTCCCCCGACAGCTAAGATAACCACCTTCCCTTCACCACGGAGTCTACAAATAAAAAGTTCCGTGACAAACCACAATTTTACAGGGAGAACAAATACAATGACTTCCATCCCCTCTTTCTGAAATGGCCTGCTCTCCAGTCTCCTCAGCACCTGGTCTGCTATCACAGATCCGAAGGCTGTGGCCAGGCTGTGCCCTTTTAGGGGTGGTGATCCTTGTGCATAAATAAGTACTCCTGACTTTGAACTCAGGATCCCGAGTTCCCGTTATTGCTTGGCACTGAGCCACCACTTTAAATGGCCAACCACGCAGTACATCAGGAAAAGGCAGTTAATTTGTGTGGACCTATAGCGGCCTCCCCATTCTTGGGCAAACGATAGGCCATACCACCCGATTCCACCCTGAAATGCACCAATATGCAGAGGCAGAAGTGACCGGCTGAAGAGCAGCATTACCACAGAAGGGGGCCAGGCAGCCGAGGCAACCGGTGCGGGCGCAGCCCCAGTACAGGTGGCAGAAAGGCTGCAGGCAGACGGTACCTGTGGACACAGCACAACTGCCAGTCAGGATACTTCTGTGGAACATCAGGCCAAAGGGCCATCAAATAAGCAACAAGCTTTATTTTAACAGCAATCCACAAACTCTAAAGTAAAGCATCATATTTATCTACCAGACTTAAAAGTGACACATGAAAGAATGACTGTGGCCCCAACATGGGGACAGGCATGAGATGCAGACTCCAGAAGGAGAACCACCAAATACGGACACTCGATATACAGCAGGGAAAGCCTCACCAATTGGTGGGAAAAGCTGGTGACTCGTGTGTCCACTCAGGGACCACAAACTGCGTGACGGAAAAACAGAACTGCATCCTTACTTCCCACCACACACGAGCGTCAACCCCATGTTGAAACCCAAGCCTGAAGGACACACAGGCGAGGCTTCGCGGTGGGAGGTTGTTCGGGCAGACAGCACGTACGCTCTTACTCACACTGCTGGGGTGCGATGCGGGGGTCCTGCTCACGCTCCGCCCTCCGGTCAGGCATGGGCTGGAAGCAGCAGGTGCATATGGCATGGCTCCCTTGCAGGGTGCACACATAGTCCTGGGCTGCAGACAGACAGGACAAAGGGCCAGTGTGTGTTGGGACACAGGCAGAAGGAGATGAAAAAAACCTAGGGGGTGGCTATAAACTATATACAAAGACATACAGACAGACCTCCACAAACACCCAGGAGAATTCAGACCCCCTTCCCCTCAATAGACAATTAACAGTATACCACGGAAGTGAAAGAGTTTAAATAAAATGAAAACAACCAAGGTTATCTTTTGGTTCAGTGGTCGTATCAGGATGTCAAAAATCACAAAGGTTTTCTGCCATTTCCTATAAAGGAAGGACAGGTCACAGAGCACACACCATAAAACAATATAGCAACAGGCCTGGCAGGCAACACTGGCTGACCCACACCAGGCGCTGGTGCATGTGGCCCAGCCAGACACTCTGCATCCACTGGAGGCTCTGAGCACGCACACTAGCTCCAGGCCCCACCCCAATGCGGACTTGCGTCTGCCATCTGCAAACGACAGACCGCCTGGTGAGTGGCAGGGTCAGCGGCATACCAAGCACTGCACTGCCCGTCCCTGTGCACGTGGCCTGCAGGAAGTAACCGAGAGCCACGCCACAGCGCTGTAACAGGCGGTGAAGAATGTGGCTCTAGGTAACATCCTGGGTTAGTGACCTCATCCTGGGTCATGATGGGTTTAGGCCGACAGTGGCTAAGAGGCGAGGCCCTTGTGGGGCCACAAACCACAGATTCCATGTGTCCACTCTCCCTTTCCTGATGGCACTTCAGGACTTGGCCAGTGGAAACAGGCACACAGTGCTCAGGGCGGCTCCAGAAATAGCACAGGCCGTTGCCAGAAAGAGGAAAGTTTCTCACTGGAGGGGTCCATGTGTGGTTGTTTGGCTTCAACAGTTACTACTAGGAACACCAGCTGCCCCAAAGACAGTGGCTGCGGGGCTGAGGGTGAGAATCAGGACTCATTTCCCAGGAGTGTCCAGGAGCAGTGAGTATGATAATTACCCAGTTTCTTAGCCCAGAACAGGTGTGAGAAGCAGTAAGCTGTGAGGCAGTGGGACCACTAGAGGCAGGGGATGGAATAGCAGAGAGGAGCCACATCCCGAATGGTCACAGTAGGGCCACAGCCCAGAAGGCACAGCCATCTCACCTTGTATGACACTGGCAGATGTTGATGGTGTGTCCCCGGATGCCTGCAGTGCCCGCAGCTCGCTGCCAGGTCCTGAGTAGTGAAAGAGCTGCCCCACCTGCCTCCGGTACTCGGGGCACTGTCTGCACACGATGTATGGCTGGCTGCAAAGACACACACACAAACCTGAGCTCAGAGGGCTGGGGTGGCAGCTGCTCTCATAGATGGAGGTGGTGGTGACAAGACAAGGGCCAGATCCCCGATCCTGGCAGTGTCTTCTCCACCTCTGGACCTTGTCTCCACTTCACTTGACACCTCAGCCCCCTAGCACCTGCTGTCACCCAGCGAGTGTTCTGGGCTCTGCTCTCGGCCACCTCTCGGCTCCCTTTATTGTACAGTTTCCACAGCCCTTGACCCTCAGCTGCTCCTGGGGTGCTGGCGTGCTGAGGTGTCCTTGCTTTGTGGGACACCTCCAGAGGCACAGCAACTCAGTCTCTACAAGGAGCAGGACGTGCTGTCAAAGGCTCAATGCTGGGTGAGCTGCAGCTGCATCCAGAGGTGCCCCCAGGACTATCACCCTGGCCACCCAGGGAATGTCTGCACACATTAAAATCAGAACAAAATGCATTGCGGTTGGACACTGTTGCCCTCAGGGAGCTTCCTAAGTAGCCAGTAGGAGCCCGGCCGTACCCAGCCTGACGCAGGTCAGCTGAAATTTCGGGCTGCAGACGGCACAAACCCACAGAAAGACAGACAGGGACTCCCTTCTGTTCAGTCAGAAGACACCTTCCTGAGCCCGCAGCAATGGTGGGAACCAGTGAGGGAAGAACAAGTGAGACCCAACGGGAAAAAATAAAAACCATCCACAGGTAGTGCCATTGCCAGCAGGCATCTGAGGACACCTCGAGGGCTCCTCCCTTTGGCTGGTCCCCTCCCACCTGCTCCTCATGGGGGAAATAAATGACTGGGCAGTGTAAGAAACTATAAATGTAGGAACTCACTGCAGCACGGTTTCTGAGTTCAAACCATCGGGAAACTACAAAATCTCACACACAGTATAATCCCACCTTCATAAAATTATTTACTTCTACCACAGTGCATCCTACTTTGTTAGAAAAGAACTGTGCACAACACACGTCTGAGTGGCCAGATGGATGAACAATGTGTTCACCCTGAGGTGAGTTATAGTTTTCTTTTTGCTTGACAGATATTTGTAAAGTTTTGTGAAAAGAAATAAAGATAAACTTGGGGGTTTTGTTGTCTTTTTAAATATCATGGCCTTGGGTCAAAATTCAGACCCCGGACTTGTGAGTCAGGAGCCTCGGCATTCTACAGCAGATACAGTGCTGTCTCCCCAGACTGCACACTCTCAGCCAGGGCATCCTGGCCTCTCTGCATTAGCATCCTGACAAATGACAGACACTGTCACTTATGCTGCAGGACTTCATGGTTACTAGATAAGCTACAGAGTACATGTGCCTATGCAGGACAAGGAACACGTTCAATCATGCCTATAGCAGCCAGAGTCCAGGGGTGTGATGAGAGGTCAGCACTGGAAAGGGTACCAGTTACTGCGGTGATCATCTCGCCTGTCCAATCACACTGGACATCTGAAACTCACATAGTGCTGCACATCAGTTACATCTGAATAAAAAGGACCCAAATACAGATAAGCACCAAAACTTCAAATGCTCCATGTATATTCTAACAAAACATCAGAATGCTCCATGTATACTTGAAAAACAAAACACCGAGGTACTGGAGGAGGCAGAGTAGCTAATGCTGCTCAGAGTCTGGGAGCCAGGGACTGTTCTCAGTGCCCGCCCCTCCTCACCACACTCTAGACAGGGGACATCGCTACCTGAAGTCACATGTCACAAGTGAGTCCAGAACACCAGAGAGCTGACTGCTCCGTGCAGAGCCTGCCCCACTGCCTGCCAGGTACATGCTCACCTAACATCCGAGGATTCGCTGTCCTCATCTGACAGGTCCAGCAGGTCCTCCAAACTGTCCTCCTCATCTGAGAAAGACCTCCTGACTTTGGGCTGCAGCATGTCCTGAGTGATCTTGTTCCTGGCGGCCATGCTCTGCACATCTTCCTCGCTCCGCCTCTTGTCTGCAATTCAAAGGACACAGCTCTGCTGGCAGGCGGGACCCCGGGGACGTGCGCGTGGCTGTAGGAGCTGGGCAGGGCCTCCACTTGCCTGGGTGCTGGAGAAGGTACGCCTCCACCAGGTTGTTGAGGATGTGGTTTTTGCAAATCCGCTCGACCAGACAGCGGCACGTGGGGCACAGTGAGGAGCGCTCCATCCAGCCCGAGTAGCAGGCCGCGCAGAAGGTGTGCATGCAGGGCTGCAGGCTGCGGTGCGAGGACGGGCCTTCAGGTGACCCCGCAGAGCACGTGCAGGGGGCACTTCTGCCCACCAAGCCACAGCAGCCCCAGTCCCCAGGGCATGGCCTGCCTGGAGCGTTAGAAGCTGGGATTCCGGGTCACACTGCCTCTTTCCCCAGAGGAGGGCGTGGCCTTGCCCCAGCTGAGGGTTGGCAACAAAACAAAATCGAGCAAACTATCACCTCAGCAGGGCCCGGAGCCTACACTTCTGTGTGGTGCCCACAGCTGGAAACACCTGCATCCTGAGCAAACGACCAGGAATGCTGCCTGACTCCCACATCCCACCTGAGACATAGTCCCCACGTGAAAACACAGCATTCGACCTAAGCTATGTTCACTCGGTCCTTGTCAAGTAAAAGAAACTAGAGGCCATGTGGCGATTCTGTGTCCCAGAAGGTTCAGAGAGCACACTATACTTCAGGAATACAAGGAACACAGATGCCAAGCACAAGAGGCCTGCATTTAAGCTGAGACATGGACAGGCTCTAACTCTCCCCACAGAAAAGCAAGGCGTAAGTGTTCTCCCACAGCCACTCCTGGGACCTTCCTTCTATGTTATCTACTGAGTTTCCTGAACTAGATGCAGTTCAGCTGGTCTTCAGCTTAGGTGGACCAGCATTTAGGTTAGACATGACTATGTCAACCAAGGCCACCACCATACCAGTCTCACAGCTTCTTCTGCAGCCTCGGTCATGGGAGCCAGGTTTCTGGCTTATTGCCCATTAAAAAAAAATGGTTAACATCAGTGGACTCAACCCCAAATGTGACCCAGAGGCTGACTGCACCTACGGCCCCCAGCCACCCACGCAGGCTCACCTCACACAGTCGTGCAGCAGGTCCTGGCAGATGCAGCACGTGAGCTGCTCCTCCATCCTGTCAGGCTTCGCAGCCGCAGCCCTGACCCCCTCGGGGGCGCTGTGGGTGTCCCTACCCTGGTCTTTTACCAACAAATGCAGGTTCAGGTTGGGTTCCCCATCTGCAAAAGAAAGAGACAGGTTGTGGCAATCATATCCAAGGAGGAAACAGACGCTTGCTCTTTTTGTTTTATGAAAGGTTTTATTTTTTTAATATTTTTAAACTTTTTTATTGATTATGCCATTACATTTGTTCTATTCCCCCCTCCATTTCCCTCTACCCTGCATACCCCTCCCCCACCATTTCCCCCTTTAATTCATGAACACGTGTCTCAAATTCTTTAGATTCTGTATTTCCCCTACTACTCTTACCCTCCCCCTATCTATTTTCTATCTACTGTCTATGCTACTTATTTTCTGTACCTTCTCCCCTCTTCTCCTCCTCCTACTCCCCTGTTGCTAACCTTCCATGTGATCTTCATTTCTATGGTTCTGCTCCTGATCTAGCTGTCCTCTTAGTTTGCTTTTGTTTTAGGTGTGGTTGTTACTGTGAGTTTGCTGTCCTTTCACTGTTCATCTTTTTTATCTTCTTTTTCTTAAGTAAGTCCCTTTAACATTTCATATAATAAGGGCTTGGTGATGATGAACTCCTTGAATTTGATCTTATCTGAGAAGCACTTTATCTGTCCTTCCATTCTAAATGAAAGTTTTGCTGGATAGATCAATCTTGGTTGTAGGTCTTTGGATTTCATGACTTGGAATACCTCTTTCCAGCCCCTTCTTGCCTGTAAGGTCTCTTTTGAGAAATCCACTGACAGTCTGATGGGAACTCCTTTGTAGGTGACTGTCCCCTTAGCTCTTGCTGCTTCTAGGATTCTCTCCTTCATGTTAATCTTGGCTAATGTAATGATGATGTGCCTTGGTGTGTTTCTTCTTGGGTCCAACTTCTTTGGGACTCTCTGAGCTTCCTGGATTTCCTGGAAGTCTATTGCCTTTGCCAGACTGGGGAAATTCTCCTTTATTATTTGTTCAAATAAGTTTTCCACTCGCGGCTGTTCCTCTTTCCCTTCTGGTACCCCTATAATTCGAATGTTGGAGCGTTTAAAGATGTCCTGGAGGTTCCTAAGTCTCTCCTCATTTTTTTGAATTCTTGTTTCTTCATTCTTTTCTGGTTGGTCATTTTTATCCTCCTTCTGGTCCACTCCTTTGATTTGAGTCCCAGTTTCCTTTCCATCACTATTGGTTTCCTTCATTTCCCTTCATTTCAATTAGTTTAGCCTTCATATGTTTCTCTAATTTTTGACTAAAATCAACCAGTTCTGTGAGCATCCTGATCACCAGTGTTTGGAACTGTGCATCTGAAAATTTTGCTATTTCTTCGTCACTTAGATTTATGGGCTCTGGGGCTTTGAGATCTTCTTGAGTCATTTTTGGTCTGTTCGAGCGCATTTAGTATGAGGAGTGGAGCCTTAGGGGCAGGGCAGGGCCTCCAGGGCGGGGTCACTGGGTTGTGAGGCTGTATGTGGGGGCGGGGTCAGAGCAGGGAAATGGCGGCTGTCTCTGCTGCCTCCCATTGCTGGGACCCGCTGGGTCCTGCCTCACTGCCCAGTCCCTCACTGGTCTATCTGCGTAGGAATGCACCAGCATAGTCAACCCACTGCCCTTCACCCTTGTCGGATCCACCGGTTGCTCACTGGGTTGCACTCACTACTAGGTCGCTCATTGGGTCCACCCGTTGCAACCCTGCGCCTGGGATCCGTGCGCCTGAGTCCGTCAGAAAGAGTTTTCCTGTGCAACCCTGCTCCGCCAGCTGCTGGTTTCGTCCATCTTACCGGTCAGGCTGAAGAATTCGTTGTTATCAGACTTCTGAGAAGTTCAATTTTCTGTGTTCTGGCTGTGTTTTCTGTTGCTAATATTTTGTTGTCTCTAAACTTGGTTGTGTGAGAAAGCACGGTGTCTCCACCTATACCTCCATCTTGGCGGAAGTCCTTAAGGGCATTTTTAACAAGGTCCATAGTAAGTCTCATCTTCTAGTCCACTGAAGTCATTTTAGAAAAATAGTTAATGACATAAAAGATGTTTGAGAGACAAAGATAAGGTCCAGCTGTCAAATAGTAGTTGTGTCTAACATCATTTTCGCTTAAACAAACAAAAACATGACTCATATGACTGCTGGAAAGTTAGACTCTCAGACATTACCAGAGGAAATGGAGGAGAGAGAGAGGGAAACTTCCATCTGTTGTTCTACTTATTGATGCATTCATTGGTTGATTCCTGTATGTGCCCTAGACTGGGGAATTGAACCCACAATCTTGGTCTATTGGGCTGACGTCCAAACCAACTGAGCTACCTGGCCAGGGCCATTACAAGGAGCTTTAAAACTTTTTCCTTTTCTCCTGCTGGTGGAATTTTTTTCTGTAATTCTCAGGAGTTGCTAATCATAGAGTTTTATTTTTAATTAAAGAAGCACTTGTACGTGGTTAAAAAGTCTGAACGTTTCTAAAAGAAAGCAGAAGCTGTACCCTCTGCCTGGCCCCCCCTTCACCTTTAGTCTCCTTCCTCCGAAGACACTGCTTTCATGCGTTTTAGCAGCTTCTCCTCTTGGGGACTTGGTGAGTCTGAACTATGATGCTACATTTAGGTCAATTTCAGAAGCCATCCCCTGATATCTGCTACAGTACAGGAAGATTCTGTCCCCTGGGCCTCCTTTTCAATTTACTGTAACACGACTATTGGCTCAGTACCTTATATGTAGGTTAATTGCTTAAGTATTTACTACCGAGATAAACAGTGAACTATCATTAAGTTTTCCTCCATTAATTTTTCATCTTTACTGAGATTAAAAATGGCTTTATTTTTATACTTGCTTATTTTTACATACCTGTTGCTGATCCCCCCCCCAAGCTGGTTAATTATATCAGCCAATCGGCTCTTCCTTCCATCCAAGGCCCCCTGCCCTGGAGCTTTCCTGTTCTGCTCTCAGGCCTGAGGCAGAGCTATTGTCCTACTGCACATGCCAAGAAATCTTTTACAGGCTTCTTAACTCCTGTCTTTTGAAGCACAGTTTTTTCTCTAAACCTTTGATGTGAAGGTTTAGACTAGCTTAGAGATGACATATCCCCAAGAATTGGTTGTATCAGGACAGAAATACAACTCTGAATGCACTGTTTCTAAATCAAGACCATCTATCTGCTCACAGTAAATAGAAAAGAAGACCCCTGAATTCCATTCAGAAAATGCTGAGGTAAGACATGGCTCAGCCTGAGATGCATCCTTGAGCTTCTGTGGAAGATGAGGCCCCATGGGGGCAGGTTGCAGCCCTGCCAGAGGGTCAAGGGCACAGAGAACCACGAGATTCTGACCTTCTCTCATTCTCTTCTTAACGGGCTCCAGACCTTCCGGATTCTGCGGTTCTGATGGAAGAAAGGATGCTCCCTCTCTGCTGGGGACAGCTGAAGGGATGCTGGAGGTGTCTTCGCTTGTCACAGGTGGACCACATCCTTTCGGGGAGATGCCGGCATCTCCGGTGGCTGTGAGACAAATAAGAGAGGTTCTGACCCACCCGCCTGGAAGGAGAGAGCATGGGGGTGAAGCACCAACGATCCAAACCATATGTGGGTAGTTTAAGACGCCATGTGTAAGAATGACATGCGCAGCCCTGGCTGGTGTGGCTCAGTGGACGGAGCATCAGCCTGCGAAATGAAAGAATGACATCTGCTTCCAGGAAACACCTACCCACTCAAGTTACTTGTGAAATGCACTGTGCCCATGGCTGTGCTCAGTGATGCTGGGGGCACGCAGCACATTCACAGGGAGAGACACACATGTCTGCAATGGGGATCGGCCTTGGACATTTAGTCTAACCGTGGCCAATCCACACGCTATCCATCATGTAACACACACTGCTGACACCCAAGTTCACGTAGAGACCTTAGGAAGAGAGTGCAGAGGGCCTCACTGCAACAGGAAGACCAGACAGGTGGGGATGGAGAGTGTGAACACTTTCCAAGAGTGACAAAGGGAAACAAGGAGAAATAACTCCTAGCAAAAGTTCTGGTATTTAAAAAAATTAATTGATCGATTTTAGAGAAAAAGAAGAGGGAGAGAAAGAAAGAGAGAGAGAGACAGAGAGAAATACTGACTTACTGATGCACTCTTTGGTTGCTTCTTGTATGTGCCCTGACCGGGAACTGACCCTACAGTCTTGGCCTATTGTACATCACTCTAACCAACTGAACTGCCTGGCCAGGGTGAAAGGACTGGTCTTCATGAGCAAGAAGCAGAGGCATCAATCAAAATGAATTTGACAGAGAGGTAACAAAGCTTTCAAATAACGTTTACCTTAATAAAGACCTTGATTGTGTTATTGTATAGTGCATATCTAGTCTGTAACATTCAAATGGCGTTTCTATTTGTTTCTTTAAAAATTGGCCTACTGTAGCTGAAAGAAAAAACCTGTAAGTGTTTTGTGAACAAACTGTCTTCCAACCTAAGGGAAGAAGAGTAGCAGCTTCCTGAGCTGGGTCCTGAGGGCATTCTACTTGCTCCAGGAAGAAGGTTAGAATAATGCCCAGGAGGTGAGGATTAAGTAGCACTAACCAAAGTGCTGGGCACCCTACTTCACATTTAGGAGGCGCCCTGGAAGTATTAACTGTGGTTATCTTCTTAGCATGTATACACTTAGGTATACAGATAGGAAAATTTCCCCACATTTACAGAATTGGAGCTAGGTTTTCATGTGAACAGTTTGCATATAGGAACAGTTTTGGTGTTTAAGTTTATGTATTTTTAAATTACAATTAACGCAGGAATGCACCACCCTTTTATGGCAGATTAATATCCCATTAGTCCATACACACACACATGCCACTTCATTCATCACTGTGCATTTAGGCCAGGGGTGTCAAATGCATTTTCACCAGGGGCCACATCAGCCTCGCAGTTGCCTTCAAAGGGCTGAAATTATTTTATGACTGTATGAATTTAACTACTCCTTAACCCTTAAGGAGCTGAAATTATATTCAGCCCTTTTTTTTTTTAATTTAAAAAAAATTTTTATTTAGTTATTTTTCAAGTACAGTTTTTTGTCTATTTCTCCCATCCCAGCCCCCCTGCCCCTTCTCCCCAATATTCAGCCCTTTGAAGGCAACTGTGAGGCTAATGTGGCCCCCAATGAAAATGTGTTTGACACCCCTGATTTAGGCTGTTTCTGTACCTCAGCTGTCGTCAGTAATGCTGCAGTGCACAGCACCATGAGTGCAGAGGCATCTCTCAGCTATTTCACTTTCAGTATATACTCGGAAGTGGGACTGCTGGGTCCTACGGCAGATCTATTCCCGGTGTCCTGGGGAGCCTAAACACTGTCCCCACAGTGCCTGCAGCAGTGTGTGGCCCCGCCAGAAGGGCACCAGGGCTCCCTTTTCCCACATCTGCACCAGAACTTGTGATCTCTTGTCTTTTTGATGATGGCCATCCTACCAAGTGTGAGGTGATATGTCATTGTGGTTTTGGTTTGCATTTCTCTGATTATTAGTGATGTGGCGGCCCTGCTGGTTCCTGACTTTGAATGTGGCTGTGATAGCTGGAGCTGTGGCAGTCATCTTGCAACCAGAAGATAAAAAGCAAAAGGACAAAGAGGCAAAATGTGGCAGGCAGACAGACAGTATGCGGTAAGGTCTAGAGCTGATGAGCCTGTGGTCGGCTGTGTGCCTCTGGGCTTTGTTCCAGAAGCCGGGTTTTCTGTTTCTCACATCCAAACACCCTCACTGAGATTTAAAAGGGTCTCTGGCCATAAATAGTCTGCAGGCTGGTCTATAATGTAAGAATAAGAGAACGAGCATTCAAGAGACAAATAATTATCCCAAAACCAGGCAGAGAAGGATGTAGAACTTTACTGACGAATATCAGAGACCTTAATAAGCAGAGAAAAATAGCATTTTTTTTAAGTACAGTAAAAATGCTAATTCTCAAAACAAAATCTCAAAAAGACTTTTTTAACTCGAAAAGGTAATTCTAAAGATAATCTGAAAGAAAATCATAGAATAGTTATGAAAGTAAGATAAAAATATTAATACATATAGTGTGATCCAATTTAGAAAATAAAGGTGTATGTATTTCAACATCATAATGATACTGTATCTAGAGAGCAAGAATTTTTTCTAATAACAACAAAGGCAAAGAATTCATGTTGTAAGGACCAAAATACATAAAATTGGTTTAAAAAACATATGCTACTCTAGATGAGTATTAAAAATGTGATGTTCAGTAAAAGAGGTCAGACACAAAGGCCATGTAATATAGGACTCCATTTATATGGAATGTCCAAAGAGGCAAATTCAGAGACAGAAAGCAGATTAGTAGTTGCCAGGTGATTTTATGGTATGTGAATTATATCCCAGTAAAATTGTAAAAAATACCACGGCACCATAGTCTCTGACCTTCAGCACTTCTCCTGGGTCTGAAACAAGAATATTTACTGCACAGAAATCTTAACTACTGAGAGCCTGATGCCACCTCTGAACTCCTTAGAGGCTGATCTTTCTCATGACAACACAGGTCAAGATTAGTGAACAGAAAGCAATGCAACTCCACCTGAGACACCAACTCACCGGAGCTGGAGGGCAGTGCTCGCCCTGCAGGGGGCTCCATGGAAGAGGTAGCGACCCGGGGGAAGAGGTCAGACGTTGACGTTGATGGCTGTGGTTCCTCAAAGCACACCTGAGTGGTGGGCGATGGCAGCAGGACCTGGGGCTCATCCCCTTGCCCTGCACCTGAGGTATCTTTGGTCACGTGGAACATGTTTTCTTTATTGGCCTCTGTAAGCACAAAAGCAGCAGAAGGAGCAGTCAGGGCTCAGCGTGCAGCTGCTTTCCGTACCAGCTGACGGAGAGGGTTCCTCGTCACTGCTGACGCTGAGATCTCACTTACCGAAGGAGTCCTGTGCCACACCGTGCTCCTCACTTAAAGACTCGTAGAGGTACGCCACGTCTAAAAGGAGTGAGCCCAGTCAGAGTGGTGTCGGCCCACGCACTGAGCCAGAGCCATTTTTTTCCTCTTCTCTTCCCTCCAGTCCCTGTGTCCTTGTTGACTATTTGATCTATCAGCCACTAACAATATTCACCAGTTTCAGGGATTTTAAGACAAATGATTCAAAACATGTTAACCAACTTTAACACAAGCCTCAGGAAAACGTGTCTGGGGTCAGGAAGTTTTGTGTCAGGAGGCAGACGAAAGGGAGGCAAGGCACCAACCAGGTAAAGAGCCTGCACCTTCCTGTCCTTCCACAGAAGGTACAGACACGAGACTCTCCGTGGCCCTTGAGGAAAGCTTCCTGACTTTCCTGATCCAATATCGTTCTTCTTCCACAGACAGAAACTCAGAGCTAGAAGAGCGTAATGGAACCCAGTCTAAGCTGCTGTCTCTTGTCAAGTCTCCAGAGCAGGACCAGCCATGGCCTCTAGTCCCCATTCCAGGTCTTACTACCCACAATGCAGATTTATCCTACTATGTGGCCAATCCATCCCCCTTCACTTCCCCAGGGCTGCCGTTTGGAGAGCCAGGGCTCACATCCACGGGGGTATTTTTGAAGGTCTGGGCCCCATTCTTAAACAGACACAACTCACACTAACAATCTATATAAACAATAGAGAGACTCTTTCCAGGAAGCGTCCCACTGCACAGCACGCATGTGTCCACCCCATTGAGCCTCCTCTTACTGTGTTCTGGCTCGTTCTTCCTGTATACAAAGTAGATAACATCCCCCGTTTGTAAAGGACAAGTCTGCTTCTTAACAACCTTCAGCTTGTTAATTACTGTTCCATTGGTGCTGCAGAGAAAAGAAAAATGCAATTTTAAAATCATTTGGCATTAAAAATGTTTCTACAACTACTAGAAAAGCGGTTCAATGTTACCACTTTGATACATGCACCCCTATGTTAACTGCAGCAAAAGCCAAGATGTGGAAGCAACCTAAGTGCCCAATGATAAATGGTTCGATAAAGAAACAGTGGTGCATCTGAACAGGGAATATGACTAAGCCATAAAAAAGAACAAAATATTGTCATTTGTGACAACATGAATAGACCTACATGGTATTGTGCTTAGTGAAGTAAATTAGACAGAGAAAGACAAATACCATATGATTTCACTTATATGTAGAATATAAAACACAAAACAGACAGTTACTAGAGTGGGGAGAGGCTGAGGGACAGGTTGAACTAGGGGATGGAGATTAAGAGGTACAAGCTTCCAGTTATAAAATGAATGAGTCATGGGATGTCATATACAGCATAGGGAATATAGCCAGTCATACTGTGACAGCTTTGTACAGTGACAGATGGTAACTGGACTTATTGTGGGGATTTCATAATACACTGAAACACGAATCACTATGATGTATACCTGAAGCTAATAAAATACTATGTTAATGATGTCAATAAAAAATTAGCACATGGAAAATGATAAAACACTCAGAGAAATGATGTAAACATTTAATGAGGAAGAGACATAGCGCCCCCTTAACTGGAGGTTTGACCAGCAACCAGCCAGTCTAGTCAAGTGTTCCAAGGTCTCTGTTCTCCCAGCACATTCTGCAGGTGAACCCTTGGACCTGAGCCAGCAGCTCTGGGCTCTGGTTCCCAGCTTTTCTCTTGCCTCTGCACTTAGCTCTGTCCGCAGGTCTGCCCCTTCCTCCAGAACCCACAACCTGGGCCAATTCATTCTTCAAATGAGACATAACTCCTTCTGAAAATGGGAGATCAGCTGGGGCCCACCCAGCTGGGAGGTTGCTCCAGTCAATCAGGGACACCCTGCTGGATGGGAGAGGCATTGGTGGCGAGGACAGACAGGGACCTGAGTCAGAGGGGACAGGAAGCCCTTCACTGAGGAGGGACTCTCAATTGCAGCTCTAACACAAGATCAGGATGCACCACAGGCCCAAGCTGATAGTGCAGGCTGCACGGTCATGCAGTCTCCACCCCGACTACTCAGCTCTGCCAGTATGTCACAGCAGGGCTATGGCTGCATCCCAGGAGAGCTGGGATGTTAGTGGCACAGCCACATACTGCTGGGGCCTGTGCTGTTGGGCTTTTCTTCATGATCCATCCTCACGCTCTTCCTGAACAGAACACTGACTTCATGCTACTGCTTTACCCGTGCCCCCGCCCCCCATGACATCCTGCTGCTCTCAAGATACAGCATGGCCATTGGGTCTACTGCCCAGACCTACACCCCCACTCACTCTGACTACGCAGAGCACCTGTGGTTCCTTCCGCCTGGAACACCTTTTTCCCTCCAGCCTCTCACTGAGGAAGGCAGTGGCCTCTAGGGGCTGGAAAAGGCAGGTGGGGACTCTCCTCTGAAGCCCATACCCTGTTTTCGGTCCAGTGAGACCTGAGTTGAACTTGGACCTTAAGAACTATAAGATCATGAATTTATGTTGTTCTGAGCCACTAAGTTTGAAGTAATTTGTTACAGCAGCCACAGGAAGCTAATACTGTCACACAGCCCACACAGGAGAGCCAGGACCAGATGCAGAAGACTGCCTGTGAAAGCAACATGGTTACTGCGATGAAACACAGAACCACACCTGCAGCCTGAGACAGGGGGCACAAGGGTGCCAGTGCTTCCTCTCCCGGCCAAGATGGAGGCGTAGGTGGAAACACTGTGCCTCCTCTCACAACCAAGTTTAAAGACAACAAAGTTTTAGTAACAAAAATGCAACTAAAACACAGAAGATTGAACTGTACAGAAGTCCGACAATAACAAACCATTCATCCAGGCCGGTAAGAGGGGTGGAGTCAGCAGCTGGCGGAGCAGGATCAGGAGGTAAAAAGCAGCGTGAACGACCCAGGAGCGCAGGCAGCAGTTGGCAGATCCCAGGCATGGGCTGACAACGGGGGGACTGGACCCAGTGAGGGCACAAGGTGGCTGGCTGACTGCGGTCACACATTTGCCCGCAGATAAACCAGGCAAAGGAGTGAGCAGTGAGATAGACCGCACAGGCTAGGACCCCAGCAATGGGAATTAAGGCCTAAACACAAATAGGAAAAACTCTGGGGTCAAGGTGCCAGGAGAAGATCCCAGGCTCACGGAGAGTTTGTTGGAGAGACCCACAGGGTCCTGGAGGGTGCACAGGCCCACACACCTGGGAGCTGGCACCAGGGGGGCCAGGTTGGCTTCCAGGAAGCAGCAGAGGGGACCAAAATCTGAGAGAGAGCTGAACAAACGCCATTGCCCCTCTCTGACCCCGCCCCCACATACAGCTCACAACCCAGACACCTGGGTGGCCCCGCCCTGGTAAATACTTAAGGCTCCGCTCCTCATACTTAATGGGTGCGAACAGACCAAAACATTATGGCTCAAGAAGAACAGTTCAAAGCCCCAGACCCAATACTCCTAAGTGACCAAGAGACAGACAACCTATCAGATGCACACTTCAAAACACTGGTGATCAGGATGCTCACAGAACTAGTTGATTTTAGTCAAAATTGGAGGAACACATGAAGGCTAAACTAAATGAAATGAAGGGAAATGCACAGGAAACCAACAGCGATGGAAACTGGGACTCAAATCAATGGAGTGGGCCAGAAGAAAGCAAATAATGGCCAAACAGAAAAGAATGAAAAAAATAAGAATTCAAAAAAATGAGGAGAGGCTTAGGAACCTCCAGGACATCTTTAAACACTCCAACATCTGAATTATAGGGGTACCAGAAGGGGAGGAGGAAGAGCAACAAGTGGGAAACTTATTTGAACAAATAATAAAGGAGAATTTCCCCAATCTGGCAAAGGAAATAGACTTCCAGGAAATCCAGGAAGCTCAGAGAGTCCCAAAGAAGTTGGACCCAAGAGGAAACACACCAAGGCACATCATAATTACATTAGACAAGATTAAAATGAAGGAGACAATCCTAGAAGCAGCAAGAGCTAAGGGGACAGTCACCTACAAAGGAGTCCCCATCAGACTGTCAGCTGATTTCTCAAAAGAGACCTCACAGGCAAGAAGGGGCTGGAAAGAGGTATTCCAAGTCATGAAATCCAAAGACCTACATCCAAGATTGATTTATCCAGCAAAGCTTTCATTTAGAATGGAAGGACAGATAAAGTGTGTCTCAGATGAGATCAAATTCCAGGAATTCATCATCACCAAGCCCTTATTCTATGAAATGTTAAAGGGACTTACCTAAGAAAAAGAAGTTAAAAAAACATGAACAGTGAAAGGACAGCAAACTCACAGTTATTAACAACCACACCTAAAACAAAAGCAAACTAAGAGGACAGCTAGATCAGGAGTGGAAACATAGAAATGAAGATCTCAAGGAGGGTTAGCAACAGGGGAGTGGGAGGAGGAGAAGGGGGGAGAAGGTACAGAGAATAAGTAGCATAGATGGTAGTAGAAAATAGATAGAGGGAGGGCAAGAATAGTATGGGAAATATAGAATCTAAAGAACTTGTGACACAGGGACATAAACTAAAGTGGGGGGAATGGTGGGGGAGGGGTGTGCAGGGTAGAGGGGAATGAAGGGGGTGAAATGGGACAATTGTAATGGCATAATCAATAAAATATATTTAAAAAAGGAGTGCCAGTGCTTCCGAATAAAACCAGTCTACTGTCCCCACAGTGCCTGGCCTTTACAAAAATAAAAACCTGCCCTGGCTGGTGTGGCTTAGTGGATTGAGTGCCAGCCTGTGAACTGAAAGCTCATCAATTCGATTCCCAGTCAGGGCACGTGCATGTGTTGTGGGCCTGGTTCCCCCAACCCACTGGTTGTGGGTGTGCAACAGGCAACGACTTGACATCTCTTGCACCAATGTTTCTCTCCCTCTTTCCCCCTTCCTTCTCCTCTCTCTAAAAATAAATACACAAAATCTTAAAATAAGCCCTGGCTGGTGTGGCTCAGTGGATTGAGCACAGGCTTGTTGTAGCAAAGGGTCATTGGTTCAATTCTCAGTCAGGGCACATGCCTGGGTTGCAGGCCAGGTCCCCAGTGGGGGACACATGAGAGGCAACCACACTTAAGACATTTCTCTCTCACTCTTTCTCCTTCCCTTCCCCTCTATCTAAAAATAAATAAATAAACTATTTTTAAAAAATAAAGAAAAATGGGGACTTCCGCCAAGGTGGAGGCATAGGTGGAGACGCCTTGCTTTCTCACACAACCAAGTTTAGAGTCAACTAAATATTAGCAACAGAAAACACAGCCAGAACACAGAAAATTGAACTTTTCAGAAGTCTGATAACAACAAATTCTTCAGCCTGACCGGTAAGAGGGGCGAAACCGGCAGCTGGCGGAGCAGGGTTGCACAGGAAAACTCGGTCAGATGGACTCAGGCGCACGGAACCCAGGTGCAGGGTTGCAACGGGTGGACCTAGTGAGCGTCCCAGCGAGCGACCACGGGGAAACAGCGAGGGAGCAGGGCCAAGATTTGACTGGGGTCGCGCATTCGTGCGCAGATAGACAAGTGAGGGAGTGGGCGGTTAGACGGGAACCAGCAGGCGCCAGCAGCGTGGAGCAGCAGAGGGCGCCGCCATTTCCCCGCTCTGACCCCACCTCCACATACAGCGTCATAACCCAGCGACCTGAGTGGCCTGGTCCTGGTGAACCACCTAAGCCTCTGCTCCTCACCCAGAGGCCCGAAACAGCAGAGGGGGTCGCCATTTCCCCGCTCTGACCACGCCCCCACATACAGCGTCACAACCCAGCGACCTGGGAGTCCAAGGCTCCGCTCCTCATACTTAAAGGGCGCCAACAGACCAAAAATGGCTCAAGAAGATCTCAAAGCCCCAGAACGTATAAATCTAAGTGATGAAGAAATAGCAAAACTCTCAGACGCACAGTTTAAAACACTGATGACGAGGATGCTCACAGATCTGGTTGATTATAGCCACAAATTAGAGAAACATATGAAAGCGAAACTAATTGAAATGAATGGAATTGCACAGGAAACCAATAGCTATGAAAAGGAAACTGGGACTCAAATCAAGGGAGTGGACGGGAAGGAAGAAAATAATGGCCAAACAGAAAAGAGTGAAGAACCAAGAATTCAAAAAAAAAAATGAGGAGAGTCTTAGGAACCTCCAGGACATCTTTAAACGCTCCAACATCCGTATTATAGGGGTACCAGAAGGGGGAAAGGCACAGCCACCAGTGGGAAACTTATTTGAACAAATAATAAAGGAGAATTTCCCCAATTTGGCAAAGGAAATAGACTTCCAGGAAATCCAGGAAGCTCAGAGAGTCCCAAAGAAGTTGGACCCAAGAAGAAATACACCAAGGCACATCATAATTACATTAGCCAAGATTAAAATGAAGGAGAGAATCCTAGAAGCAGCAAGAGCTAAGGGGACAGTCACCTACAAAGGAGTTCCCATCAGACTGTCAGCGGATTTCTCAAAAGAGACCTTACAGGCAAGAAGGGGCTGGGAAGAGGTATTCCAAGTCATGAAATCCAAAGACCTACAACCAAGATTACTCTATCCAGCAAAACTTTCATTTAGAATGGAAGGGCAGATAAAGTGCTTCTCAGATGAGATCAAATTCCAGGAGTTCATCATCACCAAGCCCTTCTTATATGAAATGTTAAAGGGACTTATCTAAGAAAAAGAAGTTAAAAAAACATGAACAGTGAAAGGACAGCAAACTCACAGTTATTAACAACCACACCTAAACAAAAGCAAACTAAAAGGACAGCTAGATCAGGAGTGGAAACATAGAAATGAAGATCTCAAGGAGGGTTAGCAACAGGGGAGTGGGAGGAGGAGAAGGGGGGAGAAGGTACAGAGAATAAGTAGCATAGACGGTGGGGAGAAAATAGACAGGGGGAGGGCAAGAATAGTATGGGAAATATAGAATCTAAAGAACTTGTGACACATGGTCATAAACTAAAGGGGGGGTAATAGTAGGGAATGGGGGGGTAGGGTGGAGGGGAATGAAGGGGGGGAATAGAACAACTGTAATGGCATAATCAATTAAAAAAATTAAGTGTAAAAAAATAAAGAAAAAGAATAAAAACCTCATCTGGTGGGAAAGACACTCAGCACACTTCTGAAGGCCATCTGCCACTTGTGCCAGTTAAAATAGGCATGTCCTGACACAGCATTCTATTCTATAAATTTATCCCAAGCAAATAATCGGAGAGGAATGCAAAGTTTTGGAAAATCACCAGTGTCATGTACAAGAAAAGTCAAAATAATAAATTCCCACTGGTTATTATATAACAGTAATGGAAAAAAAAGTGAGATGGATTTAGATGTACTACCATGTCAAGCACTCCAGAGACATTATAAGTGAAAAAAGCAGATATAACAGTAAACATAGTAAAATGTCATTAATGTAAAATAAATATACATGTACTTTTCATGGGTAAGTGGGACTTTGGCAAGCTTTTCTCTTTAAAAAATTTTTAAAAAATCAGCCATACTGGCTAGTGTGGCTCACTGGACTGAGTGCCGGCCTGTGCACCAAAGGGTCGCTCGTTCGACTGCCCGTCCAGAGCGCATGTCTGGGTTGCAGGTCAGGTCCCCAGTGAGGGGTATGCGTGTAAGAGGCAACTGTACATTCATGTTTCTCTCCCTCTCTCCTCTCCTTCCCCTCTCTCTAAAAATAAATAAATATTTAAAAATTTTTTTTAATTTATTGGTTTTAGAGAGAAAGACAAAGAGAGAAACATTTGTTTGTTTTCCCACTTATTCATGTATTCATTGGTTGCTTCTTGTTTGTATGCTAATAGGTGATCCACCTTGCAACCTTGGTGCATTAGGACAATGCTTTAACCAACTGGGCTACCCTGCCAGGGCCAAAGCTCTTCTCTATTACATACTACTTACATTGTAAAAAACTAATAAAAAATTTTAAAACAAAAGTTTTTTTTTTACTTGGGGAAAAAGTTGTCTAACTTAAGTAGATTTAAAAGAAGCAAAAATTTATCACTTTCTTTTAAGTCTTATTTCTAAGATATTGTTGCTTTAATCTGAATTAAATCTGAATTAATCTCAATTTAATCTTTAACTTTCAAGAAAGGTCACAGACACCCATGTGTCACTGAGTATCTGTGCTGGGAGTAGGAAGTATACTTCCTGATACCCTGATGGCCTGGCCAACTGCCAGGTTACAGAAAACCAACCCTTATTTCTTCTCCACAGTCACTGGCTTCAAGTCAGGTTCCCAAAGCTACAAAATGAAACAGAAAAGTTGTTCAGAAAGAGCTTACCTGGTATCTTCTAGTGACACCTGACCGGATTTTTCATCCACAATAATTTTACAGTGATCTCCAGAGATCAGTTTATTGCCAGGAAATGAAAGGTCACAACCTAAAACACAGAGGGGGACATCTGAATGTGACTGTGCTTACCGTGCACAAACAGCCCTTTGCGTAACCAGAGCATATTCGCATGTTACTGGAAATCAGGGCCCACGGTGTACACACTTAAGGAGACAACACCTAATCAAGCAAGGTACAAAGAACATTTATTAAAGAATTTAAGTGTTAATCCAAAGTAAATGGACAGGGACTATGTCCTGAGCCTTCCTCATACTCCATTAAGGGGACAGGATACCTCACCAACACCTCCAAATACACAGCAACAGCTTCTAGGCAACAATTATACAACATGCACATGTATGCACCTAATGATAAATATTATTGAACTTAAAATATACTAAGGGGTTCAATTATGTGATTCTTCAGTATCTTTTTTAAAATATATTTTATGTATTTATTTTTAGAGAGAGAAGGAAGAGAGGGAGAGAAACATCAATATGTCGTTTCCTCCTGAGCACCCCCTACTGGGGACCAGGCCTGCAGCCCAGGCATGTGTCGTGACTGGGAACTGAACTGGCAACCCTTTGGTTCACAGGCCAGCATTCAATCTACTGAGGTACACCAGCCAGGGCTTCAGTATCTTGTCTTAGTCAATTTCTTTTCTGTGTACCCTAAGGTTTCATAAACCATAGAAAACTGAAGCAGTGACAGTCACAGAATATGACTGAGGAAATTAGCACAGGCACACGCACATGATTAAGAGAATTAAAAACAGAAGGGAGATGCAGCTATAGCTAAACACATCCTTATATCCTCATTAAATGCAAAGAGAAAAATCCTCCAATCCTCTGCTCTCTCCTTAAACCTAAAGAATAAAGGCTTTCAGGAGGTTTTTAATATCTAATCACTAATCTGCATATAATAGGTGTGCATGTTATAGTTATCGAGGTTTTTTTTTAAGGTTTTATTTATTTATGTTTAGAGGGGAAAGGAAGGAGAGAAACATCAATGTATGGTTGCCTCTCGTGAGTCCCCTGCTGGGAACTGGCCTGTGACCCAGACATGTGCCCTGACTGGGAATCGAACCGCGATGGTATGGTTCGCAGGCCCGCACGCAATCCACTGAGCTACACCAGCCAGGGCTATGGAGGTTTCTTAAAATTTTAATTGTTGTTCAAGTACAGTTTTCTGTCTTTTACTCCCATCCCAGCCCACCCCCATTATTGAGGTTTACAAAGTTTTATTTTTAATAAACTCATGTGGGAAACAATACAGTGTCCATCAACTGGCAAATTAATAAACAAATGCTGGTACATCTAAACAAGGGAACACTACTCAGTAACAGGAGTATATTAGTATATTTTTCACTTTATTCATCTCGAGCTATTTTCTTTTTTCTTCTTAAAGATTTAATTTATTTATTTTTAGAGAGAGGGGAAGGGAGGGAGAGAGGGAGAGGAACATCAGCGTGTGGTTGCCTTTCACGCGCCCCCTACTGGGGACCTGGCCTGCAGCCCAGGCATGTGTCCAGGCTGGGGATCGAACCGGCGACCACTTGGTTCGCAGGCCCGCGCTCGATCCACCGAGCCACAGCAGCCAGGGTATCTGGGGCTATTTTCTAATCGCCCCGTGACGATTTCTTTCGCCCCCCGCAACCCCCGCTCAGGAGCGCGTCATCCAAATGCCCACTTGGCTGGGAGTTCTCAGTTGCCTTCCCTCCCCGCCTCCTGTCGCCGCAGGACGGTCCAAGGAGGTGCTCCGTGCAGTAACGAAGCCGAGGAAACTGCACCCGGGACAAATGAGCGCTCCTTCTGCATCCAAATCTCCCTGGAGGCGCCCCAGGGAGTGAAACGGCCTCTCTCCCAGGAAAAACTGCTCCTCACAACCAGCGGCCCGGCTGGCCCGGCCAGTCCGGCTCCCAGTCCCCGGCCTCCGCCCTCCACCCGCCCCACCTTGCGTCCCCGGCTCCACCCAGTCCCCGGCTCCGAGTCACCGACTCCCGGCCCCATCCCGGCCCCATCCCGGCCCCACCCGGTCTCTCCGGCCTCTGTCCCCACCCCGACCAGCACCTCTCCTTCGCCCGATGGTCCACTCGCGTTTCCGCAGGAAAACAGGCGGCTCGCTCTCCTCACCGCCAAAGCGGAGGAGCCGCCCCCACGGCTCCTGAGGCGACTCCTGAGGCGGCTGCTCCATCGGCTTCACAGCTGCCGAAACCCGGAAACGTCACAGGATGCGGCCCCGGGCCTCACGGCCCTGCCGCACCGCCCCTCGCGAGTTGTCCAGCGCCGAACCCGGAACCGGCTGCGCCGCTGCTGCCGCTGTCAACTGGAGTCGCGGGGGTCTCTCAGACCCGCTAGGCGGGGCCAACGAGGTTTACGCCCTGCGATTGGCTGGCGGAGGCGCCCACCGAGCACCGAGGCTAGAGTGGACCCCGCAGCGACCTTGGGGGAGTGGGCGTGTAAGGGCTAGCCGAGCGTGCGCAGTGGTTACGAGCGCCATCTTTGATGCTGGCCGGGATGGTAGCGTCGCCGCAGATCTCGGAAATAGCCGCCTACGGCGCCATGTTAAGTCGGGGCAAAAGGGATGGATTGACTTGGCAACTGGGAACCCACCCTAGTTTTTAAACGTTGTGCATACAAAGTGCAGATATGCACACAAGGTTCAGCAGTTCTGGCACGTTCCCCAGAAGAAAAGACATGTGTTAAAACTCTCCATTTCTACTCTATTACAGTAATTTCAGGTCAGTACTGCCTAGTCTTATGGTGTAACGGAGAAGAAATTTTCGTTCGTTCTTTTGCAAGGGAGTCCTTCCTTTTGTTGTATCACTCGGGAACTATTCTAGATAACTAAATGCTTACATATCTCCCGACATCCCCAGCTTGTATCCCAGGTACAGTGATTTCCCCTTTAAAATAGTAAGTTCTTGAGGAATGTTTTCTGTTGCGTTATTGGACAATATGAGATATTGTTGATTTTCTTGGGCGTGGTCACAATATCGTGGTTACGTCGGAAAATATTTTCTTAGAGATAGTACTAGAGATGAGATGTCATTATTGTTATAATTTTCTTTAAAGCGCTTTTACTTAAAGAATAATACGAGGCTATTGTTACATCTGTAATTTGTGGGTGCTTGTGCATTGATGGTGTTATCCTGTATACTGTATATACGTTTGTGATTTCTATAATAAGGAAAAAATTACTTCCCATGGTGAATTGTCTTGAATGTAATGAATGGTTTTCGGGGAAAGCTCTTCATTTATGAGCTCACAGATACATCCATGACACAACACCACCTTTATTAAATAAAATACAAGGTTGTTTCAGTTATTTATATGTTAGTTACCATAACTAAGCAGTTTATATTTAATCATTAATCTTGAAATATGGCTGTTTACACGAATCTCATTTTGTTGTATGTAGTGCTGTTTTTAAAAAATTGAAGGGTAAGCAACATAAAACATTTTATTACTTTCGAGTATACAACATATTGTTTCAGTATTGATTTATGTTCCACAAGGATCACTACAGTAAGTCTTGTTACACTCGTCTCTATACAATTGTTTTTCATATGATGGGAACATTTAAGATACATTCTCTTACCAACTTTCAGTTAATACACTATTGTTATTTACACTCACTTTGCTATATATTACATTCCCATGACTTACTTTGTAACTGGAAATGTGTACCTTTTAACTACTTCCATCCATTTCAACCATCCCCCTCAACCCGTCTCTGGCAACCAACAATCAGTTCTTTGTATCTATGAAGTGCATGTATGTTTTGTTTGGATTCCACATATTAGTGAAATCATATGGTATTTGTTTTTCTCTGAATTATTTCACTTAGTATAACATCCTCTAGGTCCACCCATGTTGTTGCAAAGGAAAGATTTCATTCTTTTTCATAGCTAATAATCCATTGTATGTACACTTCCTTGGCTCCGCCAAGGAAGAAATGCCAGTCAGCCACACAGTCAGGCAGTATAGAACTTTATTGGGGTTTGAGCACCCGGCGAACCTCTCGAGGTTCCCCAGCCTCTGGCCCAAGCAGGGAATGTGGTGGGGTTTTATTTTCATAGGCTCTCTTCGTGGGAGCTGGGGATTGGTCCCCTTTGAACAAGGCGGCAATATATCATTGGTGGTTCTCCTAGGGCTCAGGTTGCTATCCAGATAAAGCCTGCCCTTCCGGCTCCCTGGTTTGACGCCAGCCACCTTTTCTGGGTTGTAGTTGAGCCGCCATTTTCTCCTACCCCACCCATCCTAACACGTGTGTGTAGACATATATCATATATATAGTACTCTTAAGTTTCTGCTCACAAATCATTCAATAATTCAGTGTATGTAGCTGAATCTTCAATTTAAAGATGTAGGGGGACCACATGAGTGGCCGTAACTTTCTTGCAGGTTTCTTTTCTGTCACTGTGTGGTATCAGAGATAATCTTATGGTGGCAATAAGTTTTTCTGCAACCTGGTGGTAAGCCAACAGTGATTTTAAAAAAAAATTCCTTCTTTTACAAACTGCCAGGTCTGCAGTGTAGCTTTGGGCATTGCTCTTGGAAGCTTAACAAGCTTCAGCCCTGCTTATCTAGTTCATTTCTCAGCCCCACAAAAAAGCAAATAAACAATTTGTGAGTGAAGGAAGGCATTCTACTGATTGTAACTGTTATACCCAGCTAGGAAAATTACAGCTAGGGCATTACCCAACCCTAAATCTGCAGTTCCTGGAACAGGGTAATGAACAAACATCCGGGAACAATTGGGTTTAAAATTCTAGCCAAATAAGGTAACTAACCCGGGCCGCCAGAAAGTGCCCGCCAGCAGCAGCACCCACCAATCAGGGACCCTCGCCGTTTTTAAATAAGCCAATAGCTAACCGCCACCTCTGCTTCTCTATGCCTTTGCTTGCTTGCTAGAAAATATAAATACCCAGTAGTCTGTAAGCCAGGTGCGACTTCCATTTTGTAGCTCTGAGTAGTTACGTGACTCCGGTCACAGTTGGGGAAGTTTGCCCCTGCACAGGAAAATCTTTGGCCATTAAAATTTTTATCAATTCGGTTCCGGACTCCGAGAGTGTGTATTTACCCGCCGATCGTCTACAACAGTAACAATGAAATTATTGAATGAATTTAAAACCTAGTGACTAAATGAATCAGTGAAAGAAGATGAAGTTTTTATGTTCACATCATGTGAACAGGTTAAGGGCAGTTAGAGGGGATTTTGTGTGTGCAGGTAAGAAATTTCCCAACATGGGCAAAAGGTGCAATCAAAGTAGCAGTTAGGTTTCTCCCAAGTCCTGAGTCAGGACCACAGCTTTGGCTGTACACATAGTAGGGAGTCTCAAAATAAAACACAAAGGAGTTTTGCCAATAAACTTGGCCATTATTACCAGTAAGCAAGGTACTAGGTGGAAAGGTGACAATAGAGTTTTTTCCTCTAAAAATTTATTATTCTGTAGCCTATGAAAAACCTCCCCAATTCCAACCCTGGCTGGTGTGGCTCAGTGGATTGAGTGCCAGCCTGTGAACTGAAAGGTCATCGGTTCACTTCCCACTCAGGGCACATTCCTGGGCTGGGGCCAGGTCCCAGGTTGGGGGCCTTGTGAAAGGCAACTGATATCCCTCACACACTGACGTTTCTCTCCCTCTCTTGCTCCCTCCCTTCCCCTCTCTCTAAAATAAATAAAATCTTTAAAAAGAAAATCTCCTCAATTCCTCTATTTGTGGAAATACCAGGTAATGAAATTAGGGGACATATATTTGTTAAAATGTAAGCAAAAAAAAAATCCCATTGCTGAAAGGCAAATGGCGCCAATGACGATCGAAATTGCTGCCACAAAGAAAGGAAGGTGCAGGTGGAGTCAAAATCTAACCTCAGCAGTGCAGGGAATGTGCCAAGGTCTTTTCCTTGGTGCTATTCAGACTGTATTTCACATGCAACCAATTTTGTTTAAAACATCAATCTATTTGTTTAACTGATAGTAAATCTTGTTCTATATCCAACATTATAGAAAAATAAGAAAACATCTGCTAGTAAAGTACATTCTTTAGTCAATGGACAATCGTGAAAAATGGACAAACAGACCATACTTCAAAGGACATCATCGGGACTTTTTTCTACACACTCATTTTTCTGCCTGTCTCTGCTTTATTTTAGGTCTCAGAAGCCTTTATCCTGAAGACAGGGTCTCTGTACAAGTAGGGAGAATGACCAAGCGCAGCTCCACTTTCCAGTTTTCAAATCCAAAGGGAGGCCACTGCTCTCCAGGACCCATTTTATATAGTCTTGGTGACTACACTTGAGCCACATGCTCAAAACCCGGGCACTTGCTGTGTCCGGAAGGACAGAGTACGGCTTTGGTCCGTGGGTCAGACAATCACACTCGCAGGAAGGAGAGGTGGGCTGTGATTCATGGGCCCAAAACAGGATGGGTCAGACACCAAAAGACCACTCCAAGTGATACAGGGTGCAGCCAAGGGGGGGGGACCCCCAAAAATAAGATTTGGAATGGTGTCCAGAATTCAAAGTGTACAGGAATATTGGAGAGACATATAAGATGTCCTCACGCCCCCCCCCCCAGGGGGAAGGGATGAATGGAGCCAGGCCATTGAGAGCTGTTTTGCATAGCAACAGTTTTGCAGCTAATCTCTGGAATGATTATTTAACATATCTATAGCCTTTAACTGGTTCCATAGATATGTTAAATAGTTGTGGCCAAGCTTTGAGCTGGGGAGAAGGGAGTGGCTTCTACCCAGGATGGAACTAGGGGCTGCGCCCCTGAGGGAAAGGTGCCTGTGAGAGAGCTTGGAAAAGATGGGCTCCAGGACATGAGGGGATAACTGCCCAGGTGAAAGGGAAAACCACGCAGCTTTGCCAGAATGGAGATCCCTGCAGCCAGGTAAAGAAGAAAGCCACATGCTTTTGGTGGAGCGTGAACCCCTGCAGCTTTGGTAGAAGAGGCCCACGCGGCTTTGGGGTGCCCCCTTTGGCTGCGTGGCCTGGAAAGCAAGAGAGACTCTGACTGGAACTGGGTACAAAGAACTCTTGCCAGTGGACCGTGAGAGGGTACCACAGTACTTTGGATTAACTCGAGATCCTGCCTGCACGGCGACACAGCTGACGGTGCCAGCGGCCTGCAACACAGACGTGTGCTCTTTTCCTGATTTACGGTACCCGGAGTTGGGACAGTGGGAGAAGGGAGCGCTGTGTGAGTGTAGGTGTATACCCTAAAGGACTTTGATATTTTAGTGGAGGCGTTAGGCCTGAATAGCATTAAATAAACATTTTGTTTCCTTTTCACAAATCTCTGGCATTGAGAGATGTCTTTCCAATTGGCGGGGGACAGAAGAGCCCAGTAGATTTTAGTATTATGTCCTTGGGAGGGGCCCCTGTTTTGTAGCAATATTTGGCATCCCTAGGTGGGCCAGATATTGCCCCCTCCCTTGGACCTCTTGTTCAGTAACACAAGGTCCCGTTTTAATTTTACAGATTGGTAAACTGGAGACCCAAAAAGCTTTATCTGTCAAAAACTACACAGTAGTGAAATAATTAGTAATGCAAGTAAGACATGCCTGTTGTGCTTCTGACCTTTTCAGACCCTCAGTCCTTTCGGGCTTTAGTCTGTGGAATAATGTAAATGTAAGGGTTTTGAGCTCCTTGAAGAAAATAGCCATTTTTTTTTAAGATTTTATTTATTTATCTTTAGAGGGGAAGGGGGGAAGGAGAGAGGGAGAGGAACATCAATGTATGGTTGCCTTTTATGTGTCCCCTGCTGGGAACTGGCCTTCAGGGAACCAGCCTGCAACCCAAGCATGTGCCCTGACTGGGAATCGAACTGCGGAAAACAGCCATTTTAAACAGAGGTGACTACAGACTAATTAATAGTAGTATCATCAAGAGTGCTTTGCTTCTGGGGAGATAGAGGGATTTAAACCCAACTCTGCTACTTGGTACCCAAGTGACCTTGGTCTATCAAAGTCCCTTAAAGTCAGTAATGAGCTAAAAGCTTTAAAAAAAGTAAAGCACTAAGCACAGAGCTTAATGTAGCACAAGTGCCCCCACCCCCCACACAGAAAGATGCCACTGCATTAACAAATGCCAGAGTTCATGATTTCTCATTCCCTCCATCAGAAACCCTCTCAACAAGGCAAACATGCAGTTTAACACCCACACTCGGGCATTAACCAAAGCTGGGAACTGGCTGTGTGTGCCAGTGAGGTGGAAGGCAGGCAGGAACGAAAGCCAAGGACAACGGTGTGTCCCATAGGCGGAGCACTGGACCTGGCGATGTGGAATCCCACTGCCGCTATGTGATCTTTGGCAAAACACTGCCCACCTGTGTGACTCGGTTTTGAGTCAGGTAACAGCGATGGGCGTTTCCAACTGTAAATGTCTGCAGTCCCACCCAGACCCTTGTCTTCAGAAGGCACAGCGTGCCTCTTTACTCTTTTGGAAATTATATTCTTGGCACAGCTAAGCTGTGAGTACTCTCGTCTTTTAAGCCTCAGACAATTAAGGGAGTCCCCAAGTTTAGTTTGCAAAAAAGCAGTTTTCCCTCTGCCCTAGACACCATACCCCAGCTAAGTGAGTGAAGGGCTTGGTGGCATGTTAACACCACCAATAAAAATTGAATCGGGAGGTGCTTTTCACTGGATGTTTTAGGTGTATCTGATCATACGTGTTGGAAACTGGCAGGGATTCAGGTTAGGTTTGGGAGACCAAGCTGGGATGGAAGCCAGAGTTTATTGCTCATAATGATCACATTCAATCATGTTGACTCACCAGTTTACTCAGTAAACATGTGGGCACAGAGGGGAGTGTCAGCAATAGGTCTGACCAGCGCAGCCCCCCAACCCCTAGGTGCACTGTCTGTGGGAGCTAATGTCAGCAGCTAACAGAGACTGTGCCTCCTTGAAAGAACAGCAACCTGACCTTTATATTTAGTTGTTGGCCCCATTCTTGTATGGGAAGCACAGCTGGCCCCAGATCTCAGACATCATCACTTGACACATTCTGCTTCTTGACAACATTACACACAAGAGGACACATGTATGGAACTTGCTTATGCCCTTGGAGCCGGCCTGTGTTCGCAGTCTGGGGTAAACCCGCGCCGCCATCTGGGGTGGAAACGCACCCCTGTCCCATGGTCATAGCCAGTGCCCATCAGCTTCCCACGTCTTTGTGTGACTCTGAGCTTGATTTCTCTTAAATAAATAATTTTCCATGATAGGAATGCTTCAGGTAAGAAACTCAAGTTACAAATATCACTTATATTTCTCCCTATCATCTCAGCAGTGACTGCTTTTATAGCTATATTCTCTTTGTTGAATACCTTTAACAATCTACATATTGATAAATACCTAAATAGAATGATTTAGGTATTAAGTAAACTTGGTGTTCCGTGTTTAGTTAATCTTAGAATTCTGTAAGCAAGCCTCAGTGACAAGATGCCAACAGTACCTGGATGCAGTGAGGACTGACTGACCCAAAGTGCAAAGAAGAGAAGGCAGGATCAGTTGGCACTCCAAACCCACAGGTTTGGCCTCAGGACAAACTGACTACATTTGAGGTCCAGGAGGGGATGGAAGGAAACAGCAATGGAGGGGGAGGCATTTTTAGTGGTAATTCAGTTAAATTTCATTCTTTTGAGCTGCTGCACTGCCTGCTTCTAAGTTGCAGGCAGACATGAGATAAAGGAAACTTCCTAAGATAATGAGAGTGAGAATAGCTTTTCCCTCAAGCAGGTGGGAAGGGTCCTGACGGTGGGAACCACTTTATTATCCTGCACAACACCACGACAGCGAAACAGTCACAGGGAGCTGTCGCCACACTGCATTCCAACTATGCCCAAGCCTCAGAATTGTTGTTTCACTCGCTGGCTGATTCCATAAAGTCGGGACCAGAGTGGTACCTAATTGGATTAACACAGGCTATGTTGTGAATGGTGCCTCCCGGACTGACACAAAATGGAAAACCCGCATGAAAAGCTCCTTCCACACGCAGATTAAGACACTACTGTACACGCAGCTGGATGGCAGTTCTCTCCCTTCCAGCGAGGCTTGTGAGCTGGTGAGAGCAGGCAGGTGAGCTAGTGAAGAGGTGTTTGACACGGATGGGATGGTGCTGTTGGCATCAGGCCTCTGCTGCATCCACACTCACTGGGCTTCACGAGGTGGTGAGGACAGCAAGTTGGGTTTGATCTGAGCAATGGCGATGTTCTGACAGTTTGTGATGGGAACTGCTGTGGAGCCTTTGGGAGATTCTCTAAAGTAACTGACTACAGAAATGAAAATCTTGTCTGTGGTTACAGACTATGAATTATACAGAGTAAAAACAGCAGAATATGGAATGAGGATGTTTAATTGCACAGCACAATTTAAAAAAATGAGTACTGGGAAGTACAGTCTATTGCTCCTTCCTTCACTCAGTGATGGGTTGTCGTTTTTTTCTTATGCATACATAATTAACATGCTAATTGCTTTCTTGTAAGTTGTTTGGCTAACCCAGAGGTAGCACGAGATGTTATAAGTATTTTGGTGATGTTACCGAAGAAGGGTAACAGCTGCCAGACCACCTGCATATGTAGTAGATGGCAACCTTCTGAGCATTTCCATTTGTAACAGAAACCACTTTGATATTTGTTGCAATTTTTACTGAGTTGTTAAAACACAAAATATTGATATTTAATGAGGAAAATCTTGATAGGTGTCCATCTGTGCCCCATGAGACACAAGTACTAGTGACTGATGCTCTTCATTAAACACATGCACTCAAAATATTAGCTGAAGAACATTTGATAAAGGGACTATTTACAGCGTGTGTTCAGAATGAAGGAAACTGACCAGGTGAAGCAGCCGGAAGCAGTGATCACCCTTCGACCTGAAGAGCAAGGAGAGGGATGTCCCAAACTAAAGCCGAGGCTCCCACTGGGAGCTGCAGTGACACAGGGAGAGAGGCTGCCAAACTGCGGGTCAGCAGGAGGGACAAGTAAACATTCCAGCCTCTGCCTCCCTCCGCTCATTTCATACAAGTGCCTCCCATGTTTGACCTAAGCAGCAACCCTAGCCACACGTTCCCTGGGGGACAGCCCTCGGGACGCAGAGCAGAGAAGCTAACAGACAGGAGACCCAGAACAGCCAGCACAGGTACAGATCCACAGCACACAGAACAACTCCGTGCAGCTACTACAAAAACAAGTCATGCTGAGCCTTGAGCAAACAGGTTTCTGACTCAGGCGATACAGTCTATTCAGCTGTTTTTAAAGGTTCCTACTTACATACCACTGTGATCACTTCTAAGTAGATCACAACCTAAAATACACCGTCATTGCTGTGGCTGTAAGCAGGACTATTACCTGTTATTTATTTATTTTTAAAGATTTTATTTATTTTTAGAGGGGAAGGGAGGAAGAAAGAGAGGGAGAGGAACATCAACACACAGGAGATACATTGATCAGTTGCCTCTCCTGTGCCCCCTACTGGGGACCCAGCCTGCAACCCAGGCACGTGCTCTGACTGGAATCAAGCCAGCAGCCTTTTTTGTTCCCACACCGACAATCCATTGAGGCACATCAGCAAGGGCAGGGCTATTACCTTTTAAGATTTTAAAATAAGAAAAATATCTTTTATATTTACCCATATATTAATAACCATTTCCAGAACTCTCCCTTCCTCCTGCAGATGCAAATTTCCACTGTTATTTTTCTGCTGACCAAAAGCCTTTTAATGTTTCTTGAGGGCAGGTCTACCAGATAGAAATTCTCTTTGTTTTTCTGAAAATTCTTTTTTTGCTTTCATCTTCGATGGGTAATAGAACTCTACTGTAGGTTTTCTCACACTCTCAGTAATTTACAGATGGGACTTCACTGTCTTCCAGCTTGCATAGTTTCCGACCAGAAGTGTGCTGTCATCCTTCGTGCCTTCTTTTTCCTTCAGGTTCTTAATTATTGTTCACACAGGTTTCCATTCAGTGGATGTGGTGTCACTGCATGATTTTATGTTCTTTTTCTGTTTTGTGTTTCTGAGCTTCTTGAATATGTGAAGATACACTTTTCATGTATGTGGAATTTTTCAGCCATTACTTATTTAGATACTTTCTTGTGCATCTTCTCTCTTCTCTCCTGGGACTCGAGTCACTTGTGTGTTACACATTGTCGCCAACTCCCCATTCGCTTCCCTCTGTCTTTTTTCTCTGGTACATCATTTGGATAGCTTTTGTTTTTTATTCTTCAAGCTCATTATTTTTTGTTCTTCTGTGTTTAATCTGTTATTAATTGCACCATTTATTTTTAAATTTTAAGATGTTGTTCTCATCCTGAGAAATACCCTTTGGGCTCTAAAAAATACCTTCCACTTCCAGTTCCATCAGATTCATGTTTTCTCTCTATATAATAGCTATATGAACATCCTTCTGTACTAATTCCAGCCACTTCAGTATTTTCTAGGTCTCTTTCTATTGATTTCTACTTGTTACCAGTCCCATTTTCCTGCTAGTTTGCATGCCATTAAGTTTTCGGATGCCAGACGTTGTGGGCCCAGAGTAGCTTTGAATCTAGGGTTAGTCACTGTCACCACTGAGGCAGCGGGCTGCTGGGGGTTCTGCAAGGTGCCCCAATCGTTAAATTTGTTTCCACTCTGGCTGGTGAGAACTGTTCCCAGCCCCGGCACTGAGTTCTAGGAACTGTTTAGCCCCCTGCTCTCTGTCCTACTTTACCTGGTTTCAGGAAGTTTCTTTTCACAGATATGCAAATTGGTACTAAGTCTAAAGACTCCAGGGGATGCCTTGTAGATTTTCTGAAGTCCTTTCCCTAAGAAGCTCCCTCTTTTCCAGTACTTTCCCTTGCAAATTCTAGTTATGGTGGCCTCCCCAAATGCCAATTCAGCAACTCTACTCAATTCAGCACTGTCGTGTCTGTTACCTTCCCTGAGCTGCAGCCTAGAAACTGCCACCACTTTGTCCTCCTCCTACCACAGGTCACAAACCTGTGCTTGTCATGTCTAAAAACCATTATTGGCTGGTGTAGCTCAGTGGATTGAGCGCAGGTCTGCAAACCAGAGGATTGCGGTTCAATTCCCAGTCAGGGCACATTCCTGGGTTGCAAGCCAGTTCCCTGCAGGCCAGTTCCCTGCAGGGGACGCACAAGAGGCAACCATACATTGATATTTCTCTCCCCCTCTAAAGATAAATAAATAAATATTTTTTAAAAAACACCATTATTTCATATATAGTACAGTTTTTTAGCTACTTGAGGCAAGGGAGTTAATCTATTCCTTGTTCTACCACCATGGCAGAAAGAAGTCTTCATACTTAAAACACACCTACCATTGAAAAATGACCATCTTTTATATAATTTATTTGCAACAAACACAGCTTCTTTATAGTATTATTTCAATAGGATCATGCTTACGAATTCCTCAGATTATTAGGACTACTCCTCTGTATGAAACCTCTGATCCTCAGTATTTCCCCTGTGCACACGTTCTCTAGTATGCGTTAGCCTCACTCAATGAAATCTTTCACTTGCTATGACTATACAGTTTTTCTCCTGTTTAGGTCTTCTAAATATTTAATAAGCTTTCACTTTTAACGAAAAGGTTCTGTACTATCACGATGTTGATAGATAACTTATTAATGTGTAATAAATTGTGTCTTCTGGGAGAAGGCTTTCTTATACTGTCAACAAAAAAAAAGTCCTCTTTCTGATTCTGTTTAGTGACACCTGCCTTTCCAATAAAACTTTTTTCAACAGTCACTGCATTGACAGGGTTCCTCTCTGTGTCCTCAGAAATATCAGGAGGCAAAGTGCCTGCTAGCAGGCCTTCCATACTCACTGCACTCGTGTGCTTCCTACCTGACATGATTTCTCTGGTGGAGCGCGAGCTGTGACTTCCTGTTGAAGGTAGTCCCACATTCACCGCACCCATAGTATTTATCTCCTGTATGAAGTCTCTGATGCCTCATAAGGTGTGACTTCCTAGTGAAAGACTTCCCACACTCACCACATTTATAGGGTCTCTCTCCTGTATGAATTCTCTGATGTATGACCAGCTGTGCCTTCTCAAAGAAAGCTTTTGCACAATCACTGCATCCATAGGCTTTCTCTCCTGTGTGATTTCTCTGGTGTTTAATGAGCTGCACTTTCTGAACAAAGGCTTTCCCACACTCACTGCATGCGTAGGGTTTCTCCCCTGTGTGTATTCTCTGGTGCCTAAGAAGCTGCGGCTTCCAGGCAAAAGCTTTTCTACATTCACTACATTCGAAGGGTTTTTCTCCAGTATGGGTTCTCTGATGGTGAATGAGACTTGATTTCTCACTGAATGTTCTCCCACATTCACCGCATTCATAGGGCTTCTCACCTGTGTGAGTTCTCTGATGGGATATCAGGCTGGACTTCTGGGTGAAGGCTTTCCCACATTCCCTGCACTCAAAAGGTTTCTCTCCAGTGTGAGTTCTCTGATGTGTAAGGAGCTGTGACTTACCGAAGAAGGTTTTCCCACATTCCACACACCCATAGGGCTTGTCTCCTAAGTGAAGCTTCTGATGTCGAATTAGCTCTGACTTCTTAAAGAAGGCTTCCTCACAGTCACTGCACTGGTAGTTCTTCTCTCCTGTGTGAGTTACCTGATGCCTGATAAGTTGTGGTTTTCTGATGAAGGCTTCACCACATTCACTGCATTCATAGGGTTTCTCCCCTGTGTGAATCCTCTGGTGTCTAATGAGGAGTGAGTTCCTGCTGAAGGCTTTTTTACACTCCCCACATGCATACGGTTTCTTCCCTGTGTGAGTCCTCTGATGAGTAATGAGCTGAGACTTCCAAAAGAAGGCTTTTCCACAGTCACTGCAAGTGTAGGGTTTCTCTCCAGTGTGTGTCCTCCGATGTGCAATGAGCTTTAGGTTCTGGGAAAAAGCTTTCCCGCAGTCACTGCATTCATAGGGCTTCTCTGTTGTATGGGTTCTCTGGTGTCTTTTAAGCTGTGACTTCCTGCTGAAGGCTTTCCCACACTCACTGCAGCCGTAGGGCTTCTCTCCTGTGTGTGTTCTCTGATGTAAAATGAGCAGTGACTTCCTACTGAAAGCTTTTGGACATTCACCACACCCATACGGTTTTTCTCCTGAGTGTGTCCTTTGATGGATAGTGAGCAGAGACTTCTGGGAGAAGGCCTTCCCACACTCGTTGCACCCATAGGGCTTCTCTCCTGTGTGAGTTCTCTGGTGCACAACAAGCTGTGACTTCTTGTTAAAAACTCGGCCACATTCCATGCACAGATAGACTCCTCTGTGTGTTACATGGTTTGTCATGAGCCATGACTCTTTGCTGCTGTTCTTTCTACATTTATTGCCATCAGTGTATTTTATTCCAACATGGGCTTTGTCAGTTTTCATATAGAATAACAGTTTTTTATTGAGCTCAAGTTTCCTTCCTCCACAGTTATTTTTATGAAGAAAATCAAGAGGATGATTCACATTTTTTTCACTGGTGCCACATTTATGGAGTCTCATTCCTAAGTGAACAAAGTTAATACTTGAATGAAATATTTTACCCAAAACATCATATTCATGGCCTCTCTCCATGCTTTTAAGCTTGTCTCCATTATCTTGGTGCCACATTCTGAGATTATGATCTATCCAGAGTTCTTCTAAAAAGGGAAAAAAATGAACCATACTGTGTAACTCCCCCAGTGATTATACTTACTATACAAAACTTCTGAAATGGAGCCTGGGATCCCAGTCCCCACTGTGCCCGCCACCAGCAAAATCTCCCAAATACAATGTCTGCTTATTAGACATGAAAATTTTTAACAAAAATTGAAAATAGATATTGAAATTACAATTATTTCTAATAAACACAAAATTTTAAATAATGAAAGATGAAATATATTCAAGAACAGTGATCATAAGATAAAAAAGACTGGAGCAATTTCTAATCAAGTACTAGGGTGATTGATTCACTTCAACTGGTTAGAAGCAGAAGATCAGGGAAGATAACAGGTGAACACTCCACCATCGGAAGGTTTACAATGTAGGGAAGGCTGAGAATAACAAATCCAAAGAGAGGAAGATTATACACATGGCTGAATGTTTTAGAGGAAGAAATACTGAACACAATGCCCAATAAATGTAAGATATCAACTTTACATATGAAAGATTAGAAATACTAGTTTACTGTATTATCATTACATTAAAAACATATTTTCATTCAAGATCATCACCTGAGTCACTGATATTGGTAAGGCTATCATCCTTAGAGCTACTTCTTGGAATTATCTAGGAGTTCTCCAGAGCTCAGCATCAACATTTTTATTTAGGTTTCTTGACATTTTCACTGAATCTATAATCTATTACAAGTTGAATCTATAACCTATTGTGTATTGAGTTGACATATAATGCTATCAATGGAAATTATTCCAAACCACAAGAATCTTTGCATAACATTAAGACAGAATAAGTACAATTACTTGTAATTCCCACAATATGACCATGTATTGATTTTTCTTTCCAAATTATAAAAGGAACCTTAGGAGAGTTACAGAGGTAGGAAAAATGAGCTGTAGGAGAAATGGGCCAAGGGAACCAGTTAGAGACGAAGAAGGGCACCTGGAGCTCAGGAGAGGGAAAGGCAAAGGTAACCAACAGGCTGCAGAGAAGACGAGGTGCGATGGGAAAGGCTGGGTGTGCCCCAGAGAGGGCGAGGGCTGAAGTGATCTTTTAAAGGTTTATTTACATTAGGATGAGGCTCTTCATTAGCAATGGGGAAGTAACATTCCCAGGAAGTACTCTGCAAGATGAAAGAGTTGGCAAGATCTCAAAGGTGCCGGAAAAGGCAAGAAAAGGATGCTCCCCTGGAACCTCCGCAGCCTGTCCAGACTTGGTGTGAAGCCTGTGACGTTCGCTCTGACTCGCAGATATGAACGGCAAAGGAACTGAGCTGAACCCAGAAAAATAAAGAACAAAGATGCGAAGAAGGGTCAGGTTGGCGGGAAGGAGTACTGAGGAACGGTTGATTGGAGCTCCATTTTCAGTTGGCTTCAAGAGCTCTATGATTCGAGCAACTGGACCCTAAAGGGTTCTGAGTAGGTGTTAAAACCCCCATTTAGATACGAGAAAATTCAGGCTCTAGGTGTTTAAGTGACTTGGCCAAATAAACTCAGACTGACACGGAGGCAAAGAAATAGGAAGGAGAGCGCCAAAATTCAACATGCAAACTGCTGCATAAACATGGCTTTGACTGCGATTGGTTTTTGAATAGGTTGCTGCTAAGTATTTTTTCTTTTTTTAAAGTTTTGTCATGTTCTTTTTAAAAATATATATTTTATTTATTTACTTATTTTCTGAGGTGGGGAAGGGAGGGAGGGAGAGAAATATCAATGTGTGGTTGCCTCTCACATGGCCCCCACTAGGGACTTGGCCTGCAACCCAGGTGTGTGCCCTGACTAGGAATCGAACCTGTGACCCTTTGGTTTGCAGGCCCACACTCAATCCACTGAGCTACACCAGCCAGGTGAATTTTTCTTTTCAAAAATATTAATAAGGACTTCAGGTCAACATGGTAGTGTGGGCAGACAGAGGTCTCTTCGCAAAACCACATCAAAATTACAACTGAAATACAGAACAACCATCACTCAGAACTATCAGAAATTGAGTTGAATGGAAGTCTGACAACTACGGAATTCAAGGAACCACACCCATCCAGACTGGTTTGAGAGGTGTAGAGGAACGATGGGCTGGCCCCACACCCATGTGTAGGAGATAAAAATTTAGGAGGGATATCTCAGGAGTGAGAAGTCCCAGTCCCATACCAGGGTCCCCAGCCCAGGGTTCCAGTGCCAGGGAGGTAAGTGCCTGTAACTTCTGGCTGCAGAAATGAGTGGAGACTGAGTTGGTGAAAGAAACTTGTGGAGTCTGAAGCAATTCCTGTTAACCCACACACGAACTTAGACTCACTCCTCTGAGCTCCAACACCAGGGTAGCAGCTTGAAAGGCACCAGTGGCGCACAGTGAGGAACTGAAGTGTCTGGCACCGAGGTGGGAGCTGGGGGGTAGCTTTTTCCCAGACAGAAAGGAGGGCACAGCCACAGGGTCAGCAAGTGGTGCCATACCTGACACTCCATCGAGCTGGCTAACACTGTTTGCTCCACTCTGGAGATCCCCTGAGACTCTGCCCCACCCAATTTGCTTTTCCATATGAATGGCTGGTCTTAGCTCATAATGCACAACTTCCTAAATACTTTCAAACAAGCAACAGCCAACCCCAGGGAGCCCTCACAGCCCCTATCTTCTTGGTAAGTGGCCTGGCACTAGCAGCAGCCAGCCCAGATTCACAGGTTGGCTTTGCCTGGGAGTCTCCAAGCCCAGCAAAAGTAGCGGCCATCTTCGATGGCTTTATAGCTCAGGAAAGGTGGCCCCAGGCAGAACATAGGTGAAGGCTGACCTTGGCCTGCACCACCCGGGAAACCCCAGGGCCAGCACACCCAGTGGACAGCTACAGACCATGTCACAGCACCGCCACCCTGCCCCTTGCACAGCCGATCCTCCACGGAGAGCAGAGGTTGGTGGTCAGTGGTCACAGCCAATCCCTGCTGAAAGTATGGGCACACTAATAAATACCCTTTTTATTCCGCTCCAGTACTTATCAAATAGGTAATCGTCTTCTTTGTGTCTCTCACACTAGAATAACATAAGCCCCGCGGCGGGGAACAGGTTTGCATTTTTCGGTGGTACGCCCCCACTACATGGGACATAATGGCCCTCGGAGCTTGAGGACAAATATAGTTCACTTCCCACTGAACTTCGGATCAGTTTGTTTCTGCTTAACCTTGATAATTAACTGGGCATTTCAACACAAATGTTTTAAGGTCCAATACTGAATATTTTATAGTTCTGAATTTTCTTCTGAGTTAAAATTCTCTCTTCCCTCAAGGTTATTTAATGACTCACGTTTTCTCTTAAGTCCTCTCATGCCACATAATAGCAGTGTTCTGAATTAATGGGAGAACATAAAAATCTATCCTCACAGCTTTTCCAGACTACACAAACCGAGACTTAACCATCCACAAACGGTGCATGGGCGTTTGTAATCCGAAACACTTGCCAAGGTAAGATTAAACACTCACTTAGACAAAGACTTTGGTACTAAATAAATATTCGATGAATAAGAAAGTTGCTGCCTTACCTCACCCAGAAACAACCAAGTACTGAAATATTTAATAATCACATACCACAAATTCCATAGAGAACAGAGAAGTTACTTGCCACCTTTCTCTGTGGAAGAACACAGTTAGGCCTCCTTGGTTAGGGAACTCCACACAATGTCTGATCAGGCCCAGGTTCCTATAAAACAATGCTAAATGGGCAGAAAAGGCTGAGACAAGGAACACTCACTGTAGGTGAAGAAGAGGAACAGTTCCGAACGGGGAACCATGGTGTACTCGAAGGCCCACACGCACAGCAGACGTATGGAAGACGCTGAGAAAGAAACTAGTTCCAGTGGAGTTGACCATGATCTTCGGGCACAGAAAATACCCTGGGGAGGGAAGACACTGCCATGTATGAGGCCCTTCGACATACATGGAGTGTAAACATCCCAGCGGGTCATGGGCTTCTACACCCAGCAGACCACTTGATGGGAGGAAGAGAAGCTTTAGAGAAGTGAAACATTAAACCGCCACATAGATGCCCTGGAAGCTGACTGTCACATACAAGCCTGCACAGAGGCCGGGGAGAGCGAACCTCACTCTTTAAAGTATTCAGTTTGTGTTCTGAGGTAAGGAGTCACCTACCCTCTGCTGGTTTAAAAGGAAATCTGACAAAACAGAAGGAGAAGAGAAAAATAATAAAGGAAACTCAAAGGTCATCAGTGTCACCTAACATGAGAAAAGCCTGTGGACTCTTCAAGAGGAGCAGTGGAGCCTGGCCACGCAGGTTGGAGTGGGCAGGAGGGCAGGAGATAGAGGCCCTGGAGGCTGGAACAAGAGCCTCGTCTAGGGAAGCGAGGGCCTAAAAGACTGGCTGCCGATGTGGGGAAAACGGTGCATCTCATCACTGACCACACACAGACAGGACGCGCCCTGACGTGGAGACCAGGACCCGGAGCACTTTCCGAGTCACGCAGAACGATGTCACCAGTCCTGAGTCAACTCTAAAGACTCAAGGACTTTAAACAGTTTTGTAAGTAACATTTCAAGGGTGCTAACCTGTCATCTGAAACCTGCGATTTACCTTCCACGGTATGCCGCACACCTGATTATTTCTCACCTGAGAAGTGGTGACTTACTATTTCTTCGTTTACTATCCAGGGCTCTTGCTCCAGCTTGAAAACGGCATCAGGTTTGATGGTTTGATGACCTGTTGGTTGGAAACACAGAGGACTTGGCCACCACTGTGTCGATGGAGGCACTCTTAAATGTGAAGAATATTTTACTACAAAGGCTACAAAATAAAGGAAGTGAATGACAATCTCTAAATTTGGTAATATAAATCAAAAGAATCTTTGACATCTGAAACTTAAATCCAAAATCAGTAAAACCTTCGAGGCCCCCAGTCACTGGGCACACACCACTCATGTAAGAATGCTCTTACCCAGGAACACAAGATTGCTGTAGTTCTCCAACATCACGTCTCGGTACAAGTTCCTTTGGGTAGGATTTAGTAGTCGCCACTCCTCCAACGTGAAGTCCACAGCCACGTCCTCAAAAGAGATCTAGAAAAGCATAATGCCTGTTAAGTCTTCAGTGAGTCTCCTGTAGAACGCAAGCTTTCTTCTCCACAGAGGCGGCAGCCACTGCCACTGAGCACAGGAGGACAGACCTGACAGCTGTCACTTGCAAGAGTAGCTGGTGGAAGGATGCACCTCCATCCTGGGAACCTGCTCTTGCTCCCTCTTGGGGCACCCAGCTGCCATGCTGGGAGGCAGCCTTTGCAGAAGCCCGGGAGGCAAGGGGCTGAGGCCTGCCCACGCCCCCTGTGGGAACTGCAAGGGCCCCAGCCCTTCCAACATCTTGATTACAGAACCAAATGGGTAAGACGCCAGTAGAGTCCTAGCCCCCCAGAAACCGTCAGATGAGTGTTTTGTGTTTTCAGCCATTAAGATTTGGGGTAATTTGTTACATAGCAATAGTTAACTTATCCTATAATCTTGCATTATACATTGAGAGAGATACAGAAATGTTATTAAAATATTTGTCATTATGCCCTGGTTGGTGTGGCTCAGTGGATGAAGTGTCGGCCTGCAAACCAAAGGGTCACCAGTTCAATTCCCAGTCAGGGCACATGCCTGGGTTGTCGGCCAGGTCCCCAGTAAGGGGGGCAGGAGATACAAGCACACACACATTGATGCTTCTCTTCCTCTTTCTCCCTCCCTTCCCCTCTCTCCAAAAATAAATAAGTAAAATCTTTAAATAAATAAATAAAATATTTCTCCTTATGAATCCATTCATCTATATCCATTGAAACTGTTTCTCAAGGGAGGTGCCGCTGGCATTTGGGGACAGTTCTTAGTCGAGCGCAGTGCCCCGTGCAGTGGCAGCCCTTCAGCCAGCCTGGCCTCCGCCTGCTGAAGGAGGTTTCTCAGTCACTGTCAGACCCAAACCCCATCTGTGCATCTAAGACACTCTCCTCCCCCTGGGGTGGTTCCGCTCCCAAGGAGGACGACTAGCTAGCTCCTTTAGATATCTTCTAGATTACAGACATTGAACACTTAAGGATTCTGGAACTGTAACAGATGCTAGAAATAAAAAAGGTGAGTAAGAAAAAAATCATGTTCTCAAATACTTTGTTTTCTCAAGCCAGAGGCAGTAAAGTGTTACAGAAGCCATGAAACAAGGACACACAGGGCATGGGGACGAAGAGCAAAGGAACTAGAGCAGCAAAAACGATTTGGAAAAAAAAAAGTTGCAGTATTCACATGACCTGATTGCAAGTCTTCTTGTGCAGCCACAGTAGTTTAAACAAGGGGGCCATTAGTGAAAGCATAAACACAAATGAGGGGGGCAAAAAAACAAACAAACTGGGATTATCTTATGGAGAATGGGCCCCTTGTAGTACAGGCTTCTCCTGCTAGATCCTAGGGGTGTGTGTGTGTGTTCTAGGAACCCATCTGTGCCAGCTGGTGTTGTGGTGAGAGGCTGCATTCAGCTTCAGTGAATTTGTTTTTGAACTCTTTCAACGCATTTGCCCATTTCATGATTGGTGATTTACCAGCACGCCTGACCAAAAACTGCATGACCCCCCTGCCCCACCCTCCTATTCATCTGATCTTGCCCCAAGTGGCTTTTTTGTTGTTGTTTTCCCAGATGAAAAAAGTCCTCAAAGGGAAACGATGTGGGAGAGGGAAAACAAAAAAACATCAGAAGTACTCAGCAAGAAGAAGGAACAAACAATGCGAATCAATAGCAAAGACATGATTCCATTATGTAACATTCTAGAAAAGGGAAACTGGAGACAGAAGACAGAACAGTTGCTGCCAGGGGTCAGAGGTGCAGGAAGGTGAGGCTTGGAGTTTGTCTGCAGAGGTGGAACATGACTGTGATGGGGAGTATGTGAGTCAATATGTTTTAAAACTCACACGAGGAGTCGGCGGGGGGCTAGAAACCAGGATTTTTCGGGCCCATCTGCAGGCAATGACAAAGGCTTTACCTGGCCGGCCTCCGGGGGAGGCTGCCCGCAGATACAGGGGCACTGGGCAGACTGGGAAGGCACTGCAGTCAGGGCCTCAGGACCCTGGCTGGTCATGAACTTGTGCAGCCTCGGTCTCTGCATCTGAGGCCTCGCTCAGGTGCCTCAGCCAAGAGCTCCTTATAGGGTGAAGAAGAGGAAGACCTGAAGTCACTGCTCATTTTGACTCAGTACCCAGTACTTCCCTACTCCCGGCCCTTCCACTTTACCCTCCTCCTGACCGAGGACCACGGAACTGCCGGAGCTCGCTGTCTGGGGGTCCCTGGGAAGTGGGCTGACCCCACGCCTGCGCTGATGCACCTGACCCTTGGCCTGTGTGCTGTGGGCAACGAGTGGGGGCTAGGTGCCACCTCGGTTAGGCCCTGGCTGCACCTTCACGGTACATGATGAAAGGTTCACTTACTTTCATCTCAGTTGTTGCTTTAACCAGATACTTTGACACCTGGCAGCCGGGCATCTGACCTAACTGCACATCAAGAAAGGGGAAGAGTTGGTATTATTCTGCACTGGTTTAGACAACAGAACTTTTAAAAGAAAGCAAGCTCGGTGGGTAGGAATGGCTTTGAAAGGTGAAGGGATACGAGTCTGTTTCTTGAGTCCACAAAGTAAAGAAATAGTGCTGAAGGCAGACACCTTCGTGCTGGCTTTTGCCAACAGAAGCAAAAACACTTGTGAGAGAATGTTACAGGGCCACCTGAAAGTTTTGTAACCATCACCTCAGCCTGGTGACTCAGGTTCTTCCTTAAAACTAGAATATCGGTAGCACGTGTCCCCTACGCCCCCTGCTGGTTCTCCGAACACCAGCACCCTACACCAGCAGCCTCCTCCAGAGTCAGGCCCTTCGCCGGCACTGGGCTCTGGAAGAACCCGTCCACATAAATGTGTTTACTATGGGATTGGTGTTTAGGACACCATCCACAGTATCAGCGACATGAACAGCTGTTGACGTGTTTCCTCTCTATGTAACTGTCAGGAAAGGCTCCAGCTGAGGAACTGCTCTGCCTTTGGGAGCTGTTCCTGCTGCCTGGCTTCAGGAGCAGGTCAGTAAAGCTCGCAGCTCATCTCCGACAGTGAATGGCCTCACTGCTTGTACCTCCATGTTCCAACTTCAAGTTGGAACAATGCTACATCCACTGTGCTTCTTTGACATCCTTCCCAGGTTCTCACCCTTCTCTCTGGCTATGATCTAAATATCCGTAACCCTCTCCTATTGCTCGTAGACATTCCTGTAAGCCTCATCACACCCACAGAAGAAAGTTGTGGCAAATAAACGGGTAACTCACCTGTGGCGTGATCATTTTCTGCTGCTTTGGGGAATTCTGCGTTCCGAGCCTTGCCTCTGTCCTGATGCTCCGAGAAAGGCCTCTGTCCAGGGCTGTAAACCGCGCCTCTGGCCCTGCGGCCTCCGCTTCCTTATCTTGCCGCAGTCATCTTGCTCCTGAGAGCATGGTCTGGAGATACAGTGGGAATTTTATTTCAGATGGTATAAGTGAATCTCTGTTCTGTCCTACTGGGAACTCGGAGGAGCTGTTCGCTGCGCTCCAATCAGAAGCAGGAGTGAACGGCAGCCACTGGGTCTCAGCTGAGCCTGACACTGCCCTTGGCAGCCCTGGCTCCCAGCTGGAAATGCCAACCAAGCCCACCCAGAGCCTCCCCGCCTTCACACTGCTCTGCAGACACCTCAGCAGAGTCTGAACATACCATCTTTAAAAAAAAAACTTTATTTGTTAACTTTTATAGAGAGGGGGAGGGAGAAAGACAGAGACTGTGTGAGAGATACATCAGTTGGTTTCACCTTTCAAATGCCCCCAACTGGGGACATAGCCTGCAACCCAGGCATGTGCCCCTGCAAATGTGCTGGGAATCAAACCAGCACGTTTCCTGGGGGCATTTAAGTCAAATGACTTGCATAGGTGTGAAATGCAGCTAGCTTTTAGATCAAGCTGAAGTAGCATGAGGTGCTGGCTCTGTACCCCCAAATCAACTCTGGGGCAAAAGGGAAGCAGAGGTCAGAGAACTAACAGAAATGGCAAGAAGCAAGATACAGGCTGTGGTGAAGCTGAGTGCACACCTGTGGCAGCCCGGAGTGGACAGCAGTAAGAAGAGGCCTACGAAAACCTTTGCTTGCTTCTTTCTTGGCCCCCACTGGGGCGAAGCAGCCCCGACACAGGTCTCCAGGGAGAACAGAGGCAGGTCAAAGTGCTGCTGCACCAAGGAGCCAATGAAAAGGCAAGGGCTGCCCAGTGACCTTCGGGCCTGGACTCATCTCCCTGCTCCCATCGCTCTCCAGGGAAAATGCTCCACTGGGGCTTCCTTCTAAGGACCCCTGACTTCTGACCTGAGGAGCTGCTGGAAGAGGCAGTGGTACTCGCCGCCCAGTGGTTCCACAGGGACCCTCCCCTCTCTTCAAAGGCCTAGGCCTCAGCCCTTCCCTGCTGCAAAGTACCAGAGCTTGTGGGAGGGTAGCTAACACCTCTGGGAAAATACAAGCTCAGAGGCCTGTAAGGGCAACTGTAAATGAAAAATAAGAAAAAAAAAAAAAAAACCCCTAATTCTCCCTCATGCAAAAAAGGAAAGAAACTCCCAGGCCCTATTCAAAGAGCATTTACTTTAGAAAACCTGTAATTGCAAATCCTTCCTCTGCCCTTTTGAGATGTACGTTAATCTTGTCCAAAGCAACACGAGCCTCGTCCAGTTTCACAATGCAAGAATGTGAATGTCTTTCGCAAGGACCTGGAAGCCATCTCTCAGAAGATGGGCTAGCTCCCAGTTTCCAGGAGGACAGGAGCCTCGGCAGCATGACCTCGGCACCCAGCTCCATCATGAAGATGTGAAAGGATGATTTTTTTTCCTTCGGATAAAGGCAATTAGCTAACACAGATGACCACCCCAGTCCCCCGGTAAATTAAGGATGGACTGTGCATCCCAAGTGATCATTTACCCTGAGAACGGGCGTGATGGGCTGCATCTACCTGGCCACAGCCAAGGTCAGCCTCCTCCACATACTCCCTCTGCACGCTGCTCACAATGCTCCCCGCACTTGGGTTTACTTGGGATTGAATAATAAAACTGTTTCTTTCTCTTCTACTTCAGTGAATGTTTCTGGGTTTGCAGATTATGGTTTTAATTATTTCCCTAGCAGGCCAAATAGCCAGATAACTGAGTACAACCACTGTTTTAAACACCTTTAAAAGATCACAAACTGCCCTGGCTGGTGTAGCTCAGCGGATTGAGTGCGGGCCTGCAAACCAGAGGATTGCGGGTTCGATTCCCAGTCAGGGCACATGCCTGGGTTGCAGGCCAGTTCCCAGCAGGGGACACACGAGAGGCAACGATACATTGATGTCTCTCCCTCTCTCCTTCCCTTCCCCTCTAAACATAATAAAATCTTTAAAAATGTTTTTTTAAAAAAAGATCACAAACTGCCTGGCTTGTTGGTTGGGCGTCGCCCCATGAATAGAAAGGTCGCTCGCTGGGTTAGATTCCCAGTTGGGGCACAGGCCTAGGTTACAGGTTCTCTGGGCATGTGGGAGAGGAAATCTGTGGGTGTCTCTCTCACATCGATGTTTCTTTCTTTCTTTTTTTTTAAATTTATTTATCTTTAGAAGAGAAGGAGAGAAATATCAATGTATGGTTGCTTCTCGCGTGTCCCCGGCTGGGAACTGGCCCCTGCTAGGAACTGGCCTGCAACCCAGGCATGTGCCCTGAGTGGGACTCGAACCTCAATCTTTTGGTTCGCAGGCCCGCGCTCAATCCACTGAGCTACACCAGCCAGGACTTCTCACATCGATGTTTCTTGCCTTCTCTTTCTCCTTCCTTTTGTCTCTCTAAAAACTAAAAATAATGATTTTTTAAAAAAGGATCATAAACTGCATAACAGTTACCACCTTAGGCAGAATTATTGGGACAAGACAAACCAAGATTTAAGATAAGCATAATAAACAAAAAATACTACGTTTTGATGTATAAAAATACTGACACTTTTGTTGTCTTCACTGCTCATGGACCAGGTCACCTACATGCAGCCACAGCTGGGGCCAGAGAGGGGCTTCAGGGGTGCAGATTGCACAGGCATATTTCCTTCATAAGAACACATCTGAGAGGAAATGTCCAAAAACCTCAGTACCAAGTTAACATGGGGACAGGAGGGACAAATTCCACCTTTCCCAGCAATCCCGCCACAGGTTGACAGCTCACCAGGCAGACCGAACACGGGGGACAGGTCAGTGGGCATCTTTCCAGAAAATAAACAGAGCAGGAAGAGACTGTTCTACCTGCAGAAGATTGGGAGCAAGAGCTCCTTGTCTGCAGGTGCTGTTTCACTAAAGAACGGGGTGGGGGGGGAATGCGGGTACAAATGGGTACAGACGGAGGCGGATGGAAGTGTCCACTCTTCTGCCACCAACGAGGGAGAAAGTTACACCTGAGTGTTAGCAAACTGCCAGGTTTTGCCCCAGGGCGGCTACAGACAGTGGAGTCAGAACCCTGCCCCTGTGAGGCAGTTACTACTCTTCCTGGAGCTGGGTGAGGCTGGGTGCAGACTGGACGGGACCGCTCTCCTCAGCACTTGCTCAGGAACCGACGCCCATGCAGACAGCAAGCCCGAAGTGGAAAGGAAACATCTGACTGTGGGCATCAGCTCCTGACGTTGTCTCCTGACGTTGTCTCCTGACGGCCGTAAGAGAATCAAGGGAAGACTCAGGCCAGGGACGGGGACAAGCCCCATTATCAGCAAGGTAACGAGGGTCTTGTTGGGCAGTGGAGAACCACGGTCAATTTGGAAAGACAGGCTGGATATTGAACTTTGACCTGAAACAGTGGCAGAGGGCAGAGCAAGGACGTCCAGGGCAGGAAGAGTTCCCAGAGGCAGGAAGGAGGAAGAATGACAGGTTTTTGCCCACTGGTGGGGTGTAGACATAAAGAACAGATTCCTCGGTGAAGCTGGACTCTTCTTAGTCCAATGTGAAGGGTCTGGGGCTTGAAGCGGAATTGCTCCAGGAAAACGTTCCGCGAGAGCCCAGAGCAGCAGGCAAAGGAAAAGCCCCTCCCCCAAGATGCCCAGGGAGCTGCTCTGAGCGCCTGGGGACAGCTGGGGGTCTCGGCAGTCGAGGAGGCCCTGAGAGGGCCCCTGAATGAAAACAGACCAGACTTCCTGCTGTCCAAAGCAGGGGTCCCTGAGACCAAGGCCCACTTGTCTGGGAAGGTTTTATTTAGTATGGAGCTCCAGATCTTCTCCAGCTGTCTCCTCTGGAAAAGGGAATGTCCGATTGTGCTGATGCCTGATGCGCCCACACATGCCCCACAGTCACCAATGACCCCCTGAGAATTCTCCAGCCCCAAGACCACTGAACAGCCCCCTACCCAACTACAGGCCGCACAGTCCCTGAACCCATGGAAATGGTGCCAGGACCCAATCCCAGCATGTCTGTATAGAGGCTGCCCTGAGCACCCAGCAATCCTTGGACACCAGCGGGTGCCCACGAACTCAGTTCAATTCTGGCACTACCTGCCCCTAGACAGAATCGGATTCCACCCACAAAGGGCTCCGCCCCACAAGACCGCCCTCTCCTCTGATGCCAGCCTCGTGCCTAGACTGTTACTGGTGCTTCTGACCCCCTGGCTCCAGACTGGAGGTCCCAGTGCCCTCCGCCTCAGACACCAGTCCCAGCCAGGACGTCCCCTGTACTTCTGACCCTCTGGCTCTAAATCAAGGGTTCCCATGACCCCCTCCTTGGGTCGATTACTCTGCTCCATATCCATTCCACTTTTATGGCTCTAAAATGTTTTCAGTAACTGAGAACAAGAGACCAAATATTATAAAAGATGCTCCCAGTGTTCTTATGACTCTAGAGATCCCAAGGGATCTGGGAACCAGAAACTGGGGACGAGGACTAAGCATGTCTGATAACTACAGCTTGGTCATCTGAATGACCAAATATATATTAGAAATCATACCATCATACCCACTGTCACTCATCCTATGTGCCCATCGCCCATCCCCCCCAGGCCCCAATTATTGATTTCACAGTCCACTCTTCCAAGACCTTCAATCACACACACTGTGGGTCCCCAATAACTCATCTAACAAAGTCCCCAATTGCCAGGCCCCAAGTGACAAAACCAATCCACAGGACCGTATGGACCAATGAAACCCGAAGCCTCTCCACAGCCCCGCCCCCAGTCCAACACCCACAGGACCCTTGACTCGGCCTCCCCCCAGGCTCTCCCTCACTCAGCAGGCCCCAAACCACTGACTCCTGCAGGCTTCCAAACGCTGACGCCAAGAAACACCACCATGGGCTCCCCAGACCCGGGACAGTAACCTCCACCGAATCTGTTCACTGGCTGGAAAGTGAGTCACTGAAAGCCCAACCACTGGGTCCCCAAGAAGCCCACGGAACTCCAATCACTCCCCCACAGGCACTCATTCACTCACCCTGACAGGTGCCCACCCCTGCTCTCACAGAGCTTGCTGCTCCCATCACTAAACCCCAAGGTGCCCCCAATCTTATTGCACCCGACCCCTCAACCATTCCCATCCACAGTTCTCCAATCCACCCGGTGCCCGCCCGCCATTCTGTGGTACCCCCACAGTTTCTCCTTATCATCATCCTGAAAGGTTCTCTGGTTCTGCACAAACCCCAGTACCCCGGCCCCTCCTACAACTCCAATTACCCCATTGTCAGCTCATTCAAACCCCCAAAAGGCCACCATTAACTGGTATCTGGCTCTCTGTCACTGACACTCAGTGGCTCCCATCTCTGATGCCCCAATTACCAGACCTCAAACACTGCACAGGCCCCCCGACAGTCCCTTCCACCAAGAAATCAACCACCGATCAGTCAAATAAAAAACAAATGCAGACTTAGTAAAGAATTATTTTATTCCAAAGGATTACTGGGGTGGGACCTACTGCCACAGGCAGAACACTGTGGCCCTCCGTGCAGAGTGTTTTGGTTTCTTTTATATAGAAAGGGGCAAATCAGGTTAGAGGAGCCAGGTGCGCAGGGACCAAAGTTCAGGGAACTGGGGGAAAGAGAGAAGCTGGGTTAACAAGCATTGTTTTTTAATCCTCACCGGCAACCTTTGATGCTCCAACTAATCCAGCCCCCTCCTAGGGCGGGTTAACAAACATTTTGTCCCCACTGATCTGGGGGACATACACCTCAGCTAATCACTAAGTTGGCACAAAAAAAAAGAATTTGGAGGGTCAGCGTCTGGCTTTGTCACTTGGTTACACGAGGGCTCCTGTGAGCCTGACCCAGCCACGGAGGAAGGGGATCTTTGCAGGGAGCTGTTTCCCCGGAACACGGAGGGTGGCAGGTGCGACCCCACGCTGTCTCCCCCAACAGGCTGCTCTGTGGATGAAATCCTCCACTCAATCGTTCGGTGCCCTCCACCGTTTATAGATGCCCCTCAGCGCCTCACCATTTTTCCTAAAGGCATCCGGGTCGTCGATCATCGAATCTAACTGTTCCCCTGAACAAACCCGCGGCCTGCGTCCCCTCACTCCAAAGGGCAGCGTCCCGGGCGCCCCCACACCCGCCACCGCGCCGGAGGACCCCTAGAGCCCCACCCAGGGATTCGCCCACTTAATTCCCTGCACTGGGTTCACAACCACGCATCCCTGGCCAGCCCCCACTTACTGGTTTTCACAGATTCTACCCTCCAGTGTCCCCAGATTTAATCAGCTCCAGTCTCCACACGGTCCCTCGTGCCGCCACCACGGGCGAGCCCGCCGTGAGCCCCCCACACCTCCGTCCTGGCGCCCCACACTCACTCGTACGCACCCCCAGTCCCCTACCGCGACCGCATCCACCTCCCGCCCGCTCCGCGCGCCTCGCGGCCCCCACCCACCTGGACCGGAACCTCTAGCGCCGCCCGGCCGTCCCGAGGGCCTGACTGGCATCGGCTCCAGGGCCGGCAGGTGCTCGCGCCGGGCTCGACGCGGGGCTGCGAGGGTCACGGGGGCCACCCCAGGCCGCAACCTCACGGTTCTGCCTCTCCCCACACACTCTTACCCCTTGGGGCCGCAGCACCTAGCTGACACCACCCGACGGCGTTGTGTCCGCGCAGAACTACATTTCCCTGAGCTCCACTCGCTCCAGAACTACATTTCCCAGTGGGCTCTGCGGTGTGCCTAGCGGGATAGACAGTTTGAAGCCGCTCAGCAGCTGCGACAGATGCTTGGTTCAGAGATGGGTGGAGCGGGTGTTTAGGTTTCAGAATGTGCAGGTATCAACAGAGTTGTGTCCGCAGGAGGGAACTGCTCTATCCTTTATATTTTTATCATGCCTTAAAATAATTTATAAAATGAAAGTACCCCTGGCTAGTGTGCCTCAGTGGGTCGAATTCGAGCCTGAGAACCAAAAGGTCGCAGTTTGGATTCCCAGTCAGGGCACACGCCTGGGTTTTCGGACCCTGCCACGTGAGCGGCAACTACCCTCCCTTCCCCTCTCTCTAAAAATAAATATATAAAATACAAATAAAAATTAAAAAAATAAAAGTAATGTAGGTGTGTTTTAATACATCCAATCCAACAGACTAACAAAAGGAAGTAAATGAAAATAAATGAGGAATTTAGGGGGAATTAAATGAAATCATGGCAAGAAAAAAATTAATGAATATAAAAGTAAATAAGGAATTAAACAGGAAAAGCTAACCTTGATAAATCCAGTTCCATATGTTCATAAAAATTATGTACATTTAATAGTTTTTTGGTAGTGTTCTCTGTCAACTAAATGGATTCATGGTATTTATTATCTGAGTCTTTTTTGTTCTTGCTCATCTTGTCTAGCTGTTTTCTTTTATCCTTACATTTCTTTTCCTTTCTTTCTTTTGGCTTACTTTTTGGTTTTTAATGACTTTTTGAGAATTAAATGCACCTGTTTTGTTTTTAGTGTTATAATTACTCAAGATTATAAAATTCCCTATCATCGTGGCTTAACATTTCTCCCATAAACTCTTATATAATCTACATTTTGTCTGTATTTTCTTATTTCATTCACTATTTGTGGAATAGAAAGCTTTTTAAAAGATTGTCAGACAGGAAGTCCTGTAAAAGTTATGCTATTTATAGTGTTATCGCATCGTTATGAGAATGAGTCGCTTGATCTGTGTTGGACTGAGAGAAGCGTGTTAATAGGTCCTGTTATTTGATGTACTTCTATTTTTCTCTATTCATCTATTGTATTTTCTCCTCTATGAAGTTGGTAACTGTATAATTTGGTGCATTGGTAAGCAAAGCTGTTTTACAACCCTGGGAACTGAAGCTTGTAGCCTCACGAAGTGTTCCTCTCTGCTACATCTAGTAGTCTGAACCCTTCTGGGAGATGTAGTTTTCGTCCCTGGTCGTCCCTCTGGCTTCTGAAGGTTGACGTACTTCCGCGTGCGCCGCACCGCTGTTGTCCGTCTGTGCCCGCGGTGTTGGATCTGGCGCGCTGTCAGTGGACGCGCCCGGGCAGGGGGCGTTCACAGTGTCTGTGACTGCGGAGCCGGCGGTAACCGGAGTTAAACCCGGCTCTGAGCGTGCGTTGCAAACCTGGACCTTGCTCAGCCAAGCCCTCCGCGGTCCCTCCGACCTCGGTCCTCCCGCGTCAGGGCCGCGGAACGGTACAAACCCTTCGCTCTGCGTTCCTCTGCCCAGGCTTGGGGGCCGCGTCCCTGCTAGGGACTTAGCCCCGGACTCTCCCTCCATGGGGTGCGAGGTCTGTCCTGGGTGGGCGAGGGTGGAGGCGGCAGGGAGACCCTTACGGTTTGGTTCTGTCCCCGGCAGCCTGCACGAAGAAACAGCGCGGAATGGCCACCGGGATCCAGACAGCTCCGTGTTGGGTAAGTAGGGACTTGCTTGCCTTTTAAAGCTGACCGCGCGGAGCTCGGACACGTGCATCCCTGCACGGTCACACCCAGGGCCAGAACTCACGGGCTGCCCCCGACCCCGCCGCGCCCGGGCTCTGGATCTCCAGAGACGCTGTCTTGTAGCATTTCGTGTCCGAGGCCGTCTCCCTCGGCAGTTACTCCTGATCGCCAGCTGCGGACCCTTAACTCCGAGGGAAACGAGCGTCCTTACAGAAACGATCCGCTCTCACTTCAGGTTTTTCACACTTAAGGACCAAGTCGCCCTTATATTCAGTCCTTTAGGGAATCTTTAGGGAAGTTATTTACTGAGTGTCTTTTTGTGTGTGCTGTACCTGAGGGCTGGTGTTGGAGGTGCAAACATAAGTTATGTATGTTTCTTGTTTTGGAGGAGCTGTGGTCCGGCAGGAAGGGTAATCAAAAGTGCACATTGGGCACAGTGGCAGGTTAATGGGTAGGGAGAGGAGTTTTGGAGGAGAGGTCCAGTGGACCACCTGGACTGATGGGGTGAGCGAGAGAGGCGACCTCACAGCGATGGCTGAACTGACCTGTGTTGCACGCCATTGTGTTCCGGCCGTGGGAGCACAGTTAGAAGACTTATCTAGGGACCAGGGCGGTTCTGTAGGTGTTAAATATGCACTGCCTGTAGTTGAGTCTCTCGCTCAGAGGGGACTCTAAACTAGAAATATACAGAGGAAAGGCTCCTACGACAGTGTTAGCTCAGGGTGTGACGGAACAGAGCCTCGAAACGGACCGAGTAGAGGACTATGCAGTGACAAGGAAAGAACTGCTGTGAAGAAGGACTGGAGTGAGTGCAAAAGACATGGAAGTTTGGAGAATGTCCTTTCCGCCCCCTGCAAATTTGAGAAGAGAGCACATAATGTAATGGACGGTCCTTTAGTTTTTTGGATAAGCTTTCCTCTCTCAGTTTACTATGTGTGTACCTACAGCATTAATTTTATTTCACTAGTAGTTTTCTATAGGAATATTGATCAGAGTTAATAAATGAGGTTAGACTACAGTTTGTGCTGTCCTTGTCTGCTACTGTCTGTGGGGTTATGCAAGTTTGTGTGATGTGGTGTCTGCATCATTTCCTGACATGACATCTGATTAGATATGGTGGGAACTTTCTCTTCCTGGGATATTGATAGAACTTACTTCTAAATATAATGTGAGCCCTAGCTGGTTGGTGTAGCTTGGTGGATTGATTGCCAGCCTGTGAACCAAAGGACCACAGGTTCAATTCCCAGTCAGGGCACACCCCTGGGTTGTGGGACAGGTCCCCAGTTGGGGGCTGGAGAGAGGCAACCACACATTGATGTTTCTTCCCCCTTCTTTCTCTCTCCCTTCACCTCTCTCTAAAAATAAATAAATAAAATGTTTAAAAAATTAACATAATGTGAGACCATTTTCTTTCTGGAGTTTGTTTTATGATCATTGGCTAGTTATCCAGGCTTTCCTAATTTTCTGGGCCAATTTTGGTTAGTTTTCTTTTCCTAGAAAGTTTTCCATTCTAAGTTTTAAAATTCATTGACATCAACTTGTAAATACAGTCAGTTCTTCTATCATGTTTGGTTTAAAAGTGTCATTCTGTTTCAATGTAATTATCTTAGGGGAAAAGGTGAGCTTTCTGATTTCAGACCACCTTCTTTCTACCACTTTATAATAAGCTGCAGCCCCTTTGCTACCCAAACATCCGGTGTTTTTCAAGGTAAAGTATCAACTATTTTAGCGTATTTATGTATTTCTTAACCATGAAATATATGTAAAACACCTACTGGTTTTCTTTTTGTATGTGTTGTTGACACAAGTCTTATTTTCCCATGAGCCCCATGGTTTTTACTGTGAGATTTTGCAGAGTAGTGATTTTTTGTAGCATACATATCTCATTACAGCAGCACAGCCAGTGTATAGAAATGTCTTAATAAATTTTTCATAGGGGTCCTGCCCTGGTCATAATAGTCAGAACCAATTAAACAATGCTTGGCCAATTTTAAATAGTTTCTTTGGATTTTATTTTTATTCACATCAAACTTCAAAAATAGTAAAAGGCTTAAAGTAAAATAAGCCTTCTGGTTTACCCCCCTCCCTGCTCCACACCTTGCTCTTTCCATCCTGTCCCCAGCATTGGCGACTTTGGTCTGCATTCACTGTTGTGGCATCGTCTCCTGGCTCTTCTGTGGTCACATCTCTGTGCCTGGTTTCACACTTCCCCTCCCTCCCTCTGAAGTAGCCGACCTGATTCATGGCCTGGATGGACTTCATTAGGACACAGACAAGTCGCAGCTTCGTTTTCTCCATCACAACCTCAGACCACCCTGTGGGCTCTTCTTCCCCAGGCCCTGGTGGTCCTCTTAGCAAAGCCCACTATGTTCCAGTCCCAATCTTACTTGGCTGTCAGTTACGTTCAGGTGTTGGAAAGTCCAGTTCACACTCTCATTCCAACCCCAATTCTTCCCCCTCTAGGGTGCAGAGGGGAGACGAGAGGCTTATCACTGTACTCCCACTTCATTTTCTCATTGCCCTCCTGTGAGGGCTCCTCCCGGATTGGGGTGGGAGGGTCAGTGATGAGAGGGGAGGTGCTCCTGTAGTCCGGCCCTCAGCGCCCAGCCACAGGGGTTGCATGGAGCCTTCTACGTCGATGGTGTGCGCGCGTCTCGCTCGCTCACCTGTGCGGCCATCTGGGGAATTGCGTATCACTCACTCCCCTGCAGGTCCTTCTCCCTGCAGGCGGTGCTGTTCTGTTGGTGGGGGAGCCTGTCCAGGGGATCAAGTCCAGGACTCTTCTGGGTGTCACTTCTCATCTGCGTTTTAAGACTGCTCCAGCACTTTCTGTGTTCAGAATTTAAGAGGGTTGGGTGGGCACCTAGGCTGCGTATAAGACACCGTCTCCTCCATCCCTTCTTCCCATGGGAGCTCTCCTCCATGGTGACACTTCTCCTTCAGTGGCCCACTGCTGGGAACTTTTCTCTGGCAGCTTCTTCACGGTCTTCAGCCCCTCATTCGCTGTGTTTCTCGCCCCTCAGGCTTCCCAGCTCCTCAAAGGGCAGCATCTCGGTCTGCTGTCCTTGACCCCCTTCCTCTCTCTGCATTGCTGCCTCACCTCCGCCAGGACGTCGTCCACCCCTGTCCTCACAGGTCACCCGGAAGCCAACCACTACTCCCGCTTTGGCCCCAGCACCTTCAGCTTCCACCAGCACACTTTGAGCCCTGGTCAGCCTCAGTTATACGCTGCACACTTTCTTGGAAGAAGGCTGAGAATTCACTTCTTTGGCACACTTTTTATAGTTCCAGGCTCTCACTCCCACCGATACTCAAGGTGGGCTGAGTAGCTGGCAAGATGACAGATGCTTCTGGAAAGTCAGACGTTCCAGAAGGTGTCTGGCACCTTTATTTAAAATTGTTCTCTAGCTCTGTGCAAAATATACCCTGGTCGTGTTTTTATCAGACTCAAAACGCCTCATTTCGTTTGCATGTGTAGATGTTCATTTCCCTATACAGGGAAAAGCTTCTCAGGTACAGAAGGGGGTTTTATTCATCCTGAAATCTTTTGTCTTCAAAAAGCATCTGGCACATAGAATCTCAAAGTTTTTTTTTATTTTATTGATTATGCCATTAACAGTTGTTCTATTCCCCCCTTCATTCCCCTCCACCCTGCACACCCCTCCCCCACCATTCCCACCCTTTAGTCCATGACCATGTGTCTCAAGTTCTCTAGATTCTATATTTCCCATACTATTCTTGTCCTCCATCTACTTTCTCCCCACCATCTATGCTACTTATTTTCTGTAACTTCTCCCCCACTTCTCCTCCCACTCCCCTGTTGCTAACCCTCCATGAGATCTTCATTTCTATGTTTCCGCTCCTGATCTAGCTGTCCTTTTAGTTTGCTTTTGTTTAGGTGTGGTTGTTAATAACTGAGTTTGCTGTCCTTTCGCTGCTCATATTTTTTATTTTCTTTTTCTTAGGTAAGTCCCTTTAACATTTCATATAAGAAGGGCTTGGTGATGATGAACTCCTTGAATTTAATCTTATCTGAGAAGCATTTTATCTGCCCTTCCATTCTAAATGAAAGCTTTGCTGGATAAATCAATCTTGGATGTAGGTCTTTGGATTTCATGACTTGGAATACCTCTTTCCAGCCCCTTCTTGCCTGTAAGGTCTCTTTTGAGAAATCAGCTGACAGTCTGATGGGAACTCCTTTGTAGGTGACTGTCCCCTTAGCTCTTGCTGCTTCTAGGATTCTCTCCTTCATTTTAATCTTGGCTAATGTAATGATGATGTGCCTTGGTGTGTTCCTTCTTGGGTCCAACTTCTTTGGGACTCTCTGAACTTCCTGGATTTCCTGGAAGTCTATTTCCTTTGCCAGATTGGGGAAGTTCTCCTTTATTATTTGTTCAAATAAGTTTTCCACTGGTGGCTGTTCCTTTCCCCCTTCTGGTACCCCTATAATTCGGATGTTGGAGCATTTAAAGATGTCCTGGAGGCTCCTAAGTCTCTCCTCATTTTTTTGAATTCTTGTTTCTTCATATTTTCCTGTTTGGCCATTATTTTCTTCCTTCTGGTTCACTCCCTTTATTTGAGTCCCAGTTTCCTTTCCATCGCTATTGGTTTCCTGTGCAATTCCCTTCATTTCAATTAGTTTTGCCTTCATATGTTCCTCTGATTTGTGACTAAAATCAACCAGTTCTGTGAGCATCCTGATCACCAGTGTTTTGAACTGTGCGTCTGAGAGTTTTGCTATTTCTTCATCGCTTAGATTTATGTGTCTGGGGCTTTGAGGTTTTCTTGAGCCATTTTTGGTCTGTTCACACGCATTAAGTATGAGGAGCGGAGCCCTAGGTGTTCACCAGGGCCGGGCCACCCAGGTTGCTGGTTTGTGATGCTGTATGTGGGGGCGGGGTCAGAGCGTGGAAATGGGGGGCCCCCTTTGCTGCCTCTTGCTGCTGGGGCCTGCTCGGTCCTGTCTCACTGCTCACTCCCTCGCTGGTCCATCTGCGCATGAATGCGGGACCACAGTCAACCCGCTGCCCTGTGCCCTCGCTGGATCTGACGATCGCTCGCTCACTGGGTCGCTCACTGGGCCCGCCCATTGCAACCCCACGCCTGGGATCCACGAGCCTGAGTCCATCTGACCGAGTCTTCCTGTGCAACCCCGCTCCGCCAGCTGCTGGTTTTGCCCCTCTTACTGGTCAGGCTGAAGAATTTGTTGTTATCAGACTTCCGAAAAGTTCAATTTTCTGTGTTTTGGCTGTTTTCTGTTGCTAATATTTTGTTATCTCTAAACTTGGTTGTGTGAGAAAGCATGGTGTCTCCACCTATGCCTCCATCTTGGCGGAAGTCTAGAATCTCAAAGATTTTTTTTCCTCACAATTCTCTCTCAAAACAAATGCTGACCTGGAGAAAGCAACCTGCGAAGAAACATTTCTCCCGTTCCATTCTGCCACATCTCTTCCACATCACCTAATGCAACTGTGCCCCTTTGAACGGGGTGTGTGTTATTACAGGGATGGTTGTCATTCAAGGATGTATCTATGGACTTTACCTGGGAAGAATGGCAATTACTGGATTCTGCGCAGAAGTACCTGTACAGGGATGTGATACTGGAAAACTATCGCAACCTGGTATCTGTGGGTAAGTGTAGCTCTCTGTTAACTTTGGCTGTGACTCTGAGGTTGCCATCCATCCCCTTCCTTTTGCTGACCTTCCCTGGGACCTCTGAAGGACTTAGTGATTGTGGGCTTGGACTTTACAGGTCAGGTATTCCTCCCTGTTTGGCCATCACCTCATAATTATAATTTCCGCCCAAGTGTTCATGAGCAGTTTCATGTTGTAGCCTCTGACCCCTTAGTCCCTAGCAGTTTAGCGCACATCCTTTGCAATTTTGTATTAACAGGGTATCATGGTACCAAACCTGATTTAATCTTCAAGTTGGAGCAAGGAGAAGAGCCGTGGATAGTAAATGCCAAAATTTCTCATCCGCGCTGCCCAGGTAGGTGAGTGGGGACCAGGACCACAGGAGGCGTTGGAGTCCATGGGGTGCCGTCCAGGCAGCCTTGTGTGTAGAAACTTCTGTCTGGAGTCCCTGAACCACCGGGGTGGCTGGGGGAGCCCGGGAGCTCCCCGGCTCAGGCATTGGCTGTCATTTGCCCACGGTTGGGCTTCCCCCCCCGGCTTGGAGAGGCAGGCGTGCCCCGCTTCTGTGCACTCTGCCCAAATGGCGTTTTCAGGGTTGGGTTCCTTCCTTCGGGCTCCTTTTTGTGCCTTCCTTCCCATGGTCATGACCTCGTCGGCAGGTCGCCTCTCTCCTGGCGTCACTCGTGCCTCCACTTCCCAGACGTCTCTTGTCCCCTTTGCCATCACCGTCGCATCTGTCAGACCGTACCCAGAGCCTTTTACTTCCTTTCCTCTCCTTCACTGTCTTTGGACATTTCCTTGCCTCCTCTCTTCCCACTGATCACTTTGAAACTGTAACTGTTACATTCTTGGCACTTTTTTTCTTAAGACAGTTCTGAAGCCTAACCTGGTCTCCACTAGCTTCTTTTCCCATTTGAGTTGTCCGGAGTGGTTTGTTTCCCAAATTTGGCTGTTTGGTCCCATATTTATAACTATTTTATTTTATTATTTTTTAGTTGTTATTTTTTAAATCAGTGTGAGAGAGGCACCTCTCCTGGCACCTCACTCTGGTGTCCCCCGTGGCCATGGGTGAGATGAGGTTGGGGAGAATGCACTCTCTGGGGGCTACTTACAGTTTCATTAGCCCACTTCTGTTGGTGCACGTTTTGGGGCATTTAGGGTTGAAGAATCACAGGGTGTTATCAGTAGACTTAGAGTTCCCTTCAAAACTTAGCAGGCTTCTACTCGGTTTTTCGTCTGACCCTGTTAACCCAGGAACAACACTCACAGTCGTCTGGATGTAGTCTTTAGGCCTAACAGGTGCTCCCTTCTAGCCACTGGTCTCACCATCCTCCCCCCTCCACCCGGAGTTTAGTGGCCCCACTTCCAGGCACAAACTGTAAATCGTTCCACCACTGTTGGGAGGCGGAGTTTAGGAAGGAAGCTACGGAAGGGTCCCTGTGGTGACTCTGTGATAAGGGGAGCAGCTGTCCAGACCCAAACCTGCTGCTGCTCCCTCAGCCCTGCCTGCTCAGCCGTCCTTCTCGGCATCGTGTTTGGGCCTCACAGACGGACCATCCTGTCCCCTCTGCCTCTCTGTCCAGCTGTAAGTGTCATTCGCTCCAGGGCTGCGCGGGCATCCCTTCTCACCTGCACACATTCCCTCAGAGAGCTCCTGTCATGTCCTTGAATCCCTTCTATACGCTCTTGACGCCTACTTTTCACTGAGCATGTAGGTCTGACTGCCTGTTTGCTGTCCTCACTTTGATATTTCACTGAGATCTCAAATGTAATAAGCTGCAAAACGAAGTCCTTTATTCTCCCTCCAAACGTGTTTCTCTCTCAGTGCTTTTCATCTCAAAGTGCAGGACCACGTGTTTCCCAAGTTTAAAATCTAGGCATTATTAAAACATCTGTATTGAAAACCACTTTCAATCACTGCCCATTCGCTACCCATTCCACAGTGGGACGTGGTCTGGTGGGACCCAGTCCCCTCGCCTCCACGTTTAGCTCTCCAGTACAGGTGCGTGTGGCCACTGTATCTCTGATCGGCATCAGAGGCCTGTTTCCAAGGGGAGACTCGTTACATGGCAGCTCTAAAGCTCTTTCATTCCATATCACGTTCCTGTTAAGATTTAAAAAATATTTTTCTTTCTAGAAAGTTGGAAAGAATGGTACCAGAAAAATCAAGATGTGCTGGAAAGTGTTGAGAGAAACTACGTGTGTAATGCATTTGGAAAACTTCATCTGAGCAAAACGCATGCTTCTTCAAGACAGAGACTCCACAAGTACAACACACATGGAAAAAGCGTGACACAACACTCAGGTTTAACCAGAAGCTATCTCAGGAAGAGTCCTGATAAGTTTCATGGGTATGAACAATCATATTTTCTTAAGCGTCAAAGAGCTCATAGTATAGAAAAAAACTGTATCTGTGGTGAATGCGGAAAAGCTTTTCGTTGCAAATCACAGCTCATTGTACATCTCAGAATTCACACAGGAGAGAGACCCTATGAGTGCACTAAGTGTGAGAGAGCCTTCAGCGCCAAGTCAAACCTCAACGCTCATCAGAGAGTGCACACAGGGGAGAAGCCCTACTCGTGCAGCGAGTGTGGGAAAGTCTTCTCGTTCAGGTCACAGCTCATTGTCCACCAGGAAGTTCACACAGGAGGGAAACCTTACGGTTGCAGTGAGTGTGGGAAAGCCTACAGCTGGAAGTCCCAGCTCATTTTACACCAGAGAAGTCACACAGGAGTGAAGCCCTATGAATGCAGTGAATGTGGGAAAGCCTTTAGCTTGAAGTCACCCTTCATTGTCCACCAGAGAACTCACACAGGAGTCAAACCCCATAAATGCAACGAGTGTGGGAAAGCCTTCCGGAGTAAGTCATACCTGCTTGTTCACGTCAGGATGCACACAGGTGAGAAGCCCTATCAGTGCAGTGAGTGTGGGAAAGCCTTCAACATGAAGACACAGCTCGTTGTCCACCAGGGAATTCACACAGGAAATAACCCTTACCAGTGCAGTGAGTGTGGGAAGGCCTTCGGTCGGAAGGAGCAACTCACTGCCCACCTGCGAGCTCACGCAGGAGAGAAGCCCTACGGGTGCAGCGAGTGTGGGAAGGCCTTCAGCAGCAAGTCATACCTCGTTATACACAGGAGGACGCACACAGGAGAGAGACCCTACGAATGCAGTTTCTGTGAGAGAGCCTTTTGTGGGAAGTCACAGCTCATCATACATCAGAGAACTCACTCAACAGAGAAGCCCTACGAGTGCAGTGAGTGTGAGAAAGCCTATCCTCGGAAGGCGTCACTCCAGATCCACCAGAAAACTCACTCAGGAGAGAAACCGTTCAAATGCAGCGAGTGCGGGAAAGCCTTCACCCAGAAATCATCTCTCAGTGAACATCAGAGAGTCCACACAGGAGAGAAACCGTGGAAATGTTCTGAATGTGGGAAATCCTTCTGTTGGAATTCGGGGCTCCGCATACACAGGAAAACTCACAAGTGAAATTAGAATGAAGTAGATGTTAGAAGCATTCTAATAAAACTTGCTCCTTAGGAGACCTCAGATGATAATGTAGACAGGACACATAAGCAGGAAGAAGCCCTAAAAATACACATATTAAGTTAACACAGGAGAGAAACCAAGTGTATTTGGAATGAGTGTGCAAAAGCTTTTAGAAATGTCATATACAGGCTTTGTAGATGAGAATAGTGGGAGGAACTGGGCAGTAACTGTACCAAGTGTAATGGTATCATGAGGCATTAATTTGGAGAATCCATTCTGAGAACGCTTTATAAATTTAATAAATTGGGAAAGCATTTTTCCTATAAAAACTGTGTTCTGTGGAGAGTCACATTCCAGATTTGAAGCTATGTTTTTCTAAACATTTTATTTATTTATCTTTAGAGGGGAAGGGAAGGAGAGAGGGAGAGAAATATCAATGCATGGTTGCCTCTCATGCATCCCCTGCTGGGAACTGGCCTGCAACCCAGGCATGTGCCCTGACTAGGAATCGAACCATGAACCTCTAGTTTGCAGGCCTGCACTCAATCCACTGAGCTACACCAGTTAGGACTGAAGCTATGTTTTAGACATTTTCATGGTGGAATATGAAGGTTTTTATTTTGATACGTAAATAAAACATCGGGGAAACAGAAGGAACATATTCTGTAAGTTAAGGGTTTTTTAGTGCAACTCTCCTGAGCAACACTGAATAGCATTTTTTAAAATTTTGTTATTTTTTAATGTAACTTGTTATACATATATTTGATAGTTTGCAGAATAACACCCTTCAATATTCTCCATAGTATATGTTAAATATCCGTATTGTCTATTTCTTAGCAATACAAATAATATAACATGACTTAATAAGTGAAAGGACATGGTTCTAACCCCCGATGAAGTCACTTACTTGAGAGTCGACATACATGGGTCTGGCAGGTGGTGCAGGGCTGCTTGTGGGAGGTCACCGTGAGGAACGTCAAGGGCATTTTCAGGGGCGTCCAGCCTTTTGGTGTCTCTGGGCCACACTGGAAGGAGAAGGGTTGTCTTCAGCCACACATGAAATACATCGCAACACGTAATGTATTGGAATGTATTTGCAATCATAATATTTTAGGTAAATTTATGATTTTGTGTTGGGTCGTCTCGTAGCCATCTGGGGACACATGAGGCCTGTGGGTCACAGGTTGGACACCTCCCATTAGCGGGTCAGGAGCCATTCCCGTGCGTCCATATGAGCACCCTCGTTTTCTCTGGAGAACTAGCTCTGTCGTCATCGTGTCTTTCTGGGTGTCCTGTCCATTCACTGCAGGTGGGCATTGCATCTATTGTTGGGGAAGGGGAGCCTCTTCCAGGACCTGGAGTCTAGCGAGTCTCAGGTGAACCAGAAGGGAAACAGCTTGGATGTTGTCTCAGAACCCTACGGAGACCAAAGGCTCCTTCCTGCTCCGCTGATGTCCCAGAACAACTCTGTACGCTCCCTTTTGGAACCTGGTTTTCTGGCTTTATGGGTGCTTCCTTGTACCTTTTTAATAAAAGTGGGTTTTTGTTTCCTGCTAAAGTTAAAGAGGAGTTTCCTGTAACTGCAGGGCTTTAATTCATAAACTTGGTGCCCCTAACAGTGTGTAGGTAACAAAATGGGAGACAGGAGCAGTTTATGGTTTAGATTTTTTTTCCTAAAATTAAAATCTTTCAGATTCTCATTTAAGTTCCAAGACAGAAACTTTTTAGCTCACGGTATGAAATGGTGTTCTTGTTTGCATATACCAGGAACCTGTGGCCCCTGAGCAGATTCTGGGAACTATTGCCATGGAAGAGTTGTACATTTATGAAGAAATCTGGGACTGGAAATGAGACAGCTCCCTCTGGTCATCTTGGCCCTTAAGTTCCACAGTGACAGGCTTGAAGCCCTGAAGTCTCTCCTCAAAGCAGAGCATTAAACTCTGCACCTCTCCGTGCCGTTGCTGAAACAGTGGCTTACTCACAGCTATAGAGTTGAGATGGTAAAAGCCGGATACACATTTGGCTTGCTGAACTAAAAAAGTCCCCCACCTCAAACTTGCATCGGCCTAGAAACAATCCCCTAATAATTCAGGTACAGGTATCTGAGAGAAATCTGAGAATAGCCTAGCAAGCTCTGATATATGTTGCACTGTGTGCTCCTTATCCAGGCACACAGGCCAACGACAGCTCACTGCTAATGGTAAGAAGCAAGAGGACAGAGGTAAATTGATGACTGAATTAAGCATAAAGGAATTAGATCCTAAAGACTGGGAAGACACAGTTTATCCATATTACTAAGTTAACATAGGAGAGAAACCAAGGGAAGTTAACATAGGAGAGAAACTAAAAATGGGAAAGCATGCTGTGGTGAGGACACCCAGGATGTGGCCGGACAGCTGTTAAAGAAAGCAGGTGTGTGACTTGTGAATCCCATCAAATATCTCAGCAGATATTCTACCAACTTGGACTGACAGGGTCAGAGAAGGGTTGAAATGAAGGAAATTGGTCTTCTGAGATTCTACGCGCAGGAAACAAGCTGACAGAGGGATCTAGCGTTAAACATGGGTTGACCTTAAAGAAAAGTGGGGAATGACTCTGGGGCAGGACCACCCCCGGGCCCCAGAAGGTGAAGCTGTTTTCAGGGCAGAGCGCTGGCCTACCAGGCAGGGATGAGGGAGCAGTACCCCCACCAGTACCCGCCATGGGCTCTGTGGACTGAGCCTTCAGCCACAGAGCACTTGGAAATGTCTTCAGCTAAACGTCCCAGTTCACTACTCAGCAGTTCTACTTTTCACAAAACAGAACACAAGTCAGTCAAATTCTTTCCCACTTTATTCCAAAAATCCCCTTTTTCTCCAGGCTCCGATAACATGTCTCTCATTTTTTCCAACACCTTACCAAAAGTACCTGCAACATTCGTGTTTCTGCTGAGTCTTCTCAAGGTAGTCTGGGCTTTTTTCCTCAAACACCTCTAAACACTATCTTCTGCTGCGAACTGCAAAGACTCACCCACGTTTTTAGGCATTGACTCCAAGAGCGCCCTGTTTTCCAGCACCAGAATCTTTATTCACTTGCTAGGGCCACTGGGACAAAGTGCTACAAAATGAGTGTTTGCCTAAAGTCTCAGCTCTGGAGGCTGGAAGTCTGAAATCAGGTGCCGGGAGGGCTGAGTCTTCCAGGCATCACTTTGGCTTGTAGGTACCCATCACCTCTCTTTGTCTCTTTATATCATTTTTCTCTACTTTTTCCCATCCAAATGTCTCCTTTTTATAGAGATACCAGTCATACTGGTTCAGGACTCACCTAATGACCTCATTTTAACATGCTCATCGCTTTAAAATCGCTTTGTGAAGGGAGGGTCACATGGAGGTGTGGGGGTTAGGACTCTCACATGTTTGTTGGGGCGACACAGTTAACCCACAACTGTCGACGAGGGAAAAGACAACTTGAACCACAAAACCAACGAGACCTCACAGACACGTATGGAGCACTCCACCCAGATGCACGGGGGTTTACATTCTCTAGTGGACAAGGGATGTCCTGCAGCATAGGCCAAATGCTGGGCCATAGAACAAGCCTCAGAACTTAATACTGAGGTTTTGTCAAAAGGAAACTGCAACCAGCTTCAAAGCAGAGGCCAAATCTGGAATATTTTGAGCATCCAAATAAATATAAGAGTTATAACCCAAAGAATAAGATGAGAATCCATGTATCCATATTGATATCCACAAATGTAGGGACAAGTAGGGAAGAAGGGAAAACTCTTCCTTACAGTAGAATATAACTTAATAAATACCAAATGAAAAGCAAGAATCATCCACGAATACTAAGTTTAGGTGGGCGAAAGTGTTTATGAAAGAATATTTCATCAGTCACAAAACACTTATTCATTACAATTGGAAAAATCACAAAAGAGAAATATGGCACTTATCACCTTAATTAAACCATGAAAATTAATATTGCCATTATTGGTACAAACTAATTTATGAAACTTGATATGATTCTCTGAGGATACAACGTCACTTCTGCAGTATTCCTGCCAGAATGCTTAACCTGAATCTAAATCATAAGTCAGTATCTACCAAACAAGGTGCGGGCCCTTCAGCACATCCAAAACCAGTGCTGAGGTCGTAAGACAAAGTCGGAGAGACTGTCCCCGTGCACTGGGACTGAAGACTCATAACATTGGGTACGGAACCCAAATTTTGCTTCTTACACATCAGGACATTTTTTGGAATTTGAATAAGTTCTGTGTATGCATTGGTTTGCCCGCGTTCAATCCACTGAGCTCCACCAGCCAGGGCTAGTTCTGTGTATCAGATAACAGTACTGCATGTTCCTTCTTCAGTTTGATCATTTTCTGTGATCAGACCATCGGTGACTGTGCTGGACTTACACACTTAAGTGTTTAGGAATGTGGAGTGATTATGTCTGCACCTCATGGTCCTACCTTACAAGAAAAATACGTGATTCTATAAAGAAAGCAGACTTGGTAAAATGTTAACATTTGGCAAGTACAGGTAAAAAGTATTTAGAATTCTTTAGTACTCTGTAACTTTTGTAGTTCTGTACTTTCTTTTTTCTTTTCAGTACTATGAAATCATTTCATATGAAATAAAAGAAAAAATGAATTCAACAAGGTCATTGAATGTCATAGGCATAATAAACTACTTATGAATACACCTGATACAATGTTGAATTTAAAATCAGATCCAGGAATAAATCTTTTAAAAACTTACACAAACCAAGAATCTATGAATAAAATGATAAAAGGCTAACAAACTTCATTAAAGAACTGAAAAGATAATTGAAAGATATATTGATGGAATAACGTCAATATAATAAAAAATATTATCTCATACAAAATACAATGCAATTCCAATAAAAAATAAAAGAATACCTTTTCAGAAATGTGACCATCAGATTCTTCTATTTACAGGAAAGTTCCCAGGTCTCACAGTATCTAGCACAGCAATCAGCAAGCACAACAATTACAGAGGTTTCACTTCTACACACAAGAGGTAATTTGTTATGCTACAATAATAAAACATTATGGCATTTACACATGGATAGACTAATAGGTCAATGGAACAGAAAAGATTCCATAAAGTACTCTTGTACATATAGGACCTTCAGATATAAAAAAATTAATTCGCAAATATTGAAGAAAGAATGGGCTATTTGATGCTTAGTATTATGGGCTGGTTCTGTCTTCCCTCCTATGAACATAAATTCGTATGTTCGAGTCTAACACCCAGCAGAGTCAGGACGTGACTATATTTGGACACAGGGGCTTTTAAGAGGTAATTAAGGTAAAATAAGATCGTCTGGATGGCTGCAACCCAAAATGAAGAGACTGGGACATACACGTGGAGGTGACCCTGCGCAGAGCAGGGAGAAGAGAGAGGCCTCAGAAGAAACCACACCTGCCAATACCTTCATCTCCACTTCGAGTCTCCAGACTTGTGACAAAAATTTCTGGTTTTTACCCTGCCCAGTCTGGGTTATTTTGTTATGGCAGCTTTAGCAAACTAATACAGCAGGGATTAGGAAAGTAGCTTGCCAAGTGGAAACAGAATGAAATGAGGTCAGTATCTCACACTATACGAATACATACAACTCCAGAGAGACTGCAACATAAATGTCAGAACTGCCTGTTGCAACTCTGAGGAGATAAAACAAAGAAATATTTTATGATATCAGGACAGAGGAAGATTTCTTAAGACACATATGGAAATCATGAAGGAAAAGCTAGATAAATTTCATAATGTCAAAACTAAAATCTAAGAGACCAACAATTTTATAGACAAAGTTTAGAGACAAGGAATAGACAGAAAAAATGAAAATGTATTGCGTATTGAAGATTAGTAAAGAATACCCATTCAAATCCATGAAACTAGCAGAAAAAGATAAACCCAGTAGAAAAATAAGCAAACAAGCAAAGAATTGACAATCTATGGGGTGAACCCTAAATGGTGTAGAGATGTGTATACTTCAGCAATCATCATGGAAACACATTATTTGTATGTTCTCTATTTCAAATATTATTCCAATTTTTAAAATCTTGAGCTTGAGTACACACACCATCTTCATCATTTTGAATGTTCCACTATTAAGCAGCATACAGGCTTCATTGTTAAAGTCTCTCTTTTTTATCTTTTCAAAGTGGCAATTTTTTATATTGTAATTTATGTTTTTAAAAACCTGGAAGTGCTTTTAAATGAAAACTTTTCATCTTATTAAGGTGATTATATTTTTCCTTTGACTTATTGTTAAGGTAATACTAATGAACAGCCTGATCATTTTTGTACATCTAGAACAGAACCCACTTGGTTGCAGTATATTTTGGGTAGGCACGGCCAGCTTCTCTCTGTTAATCGTTCAGTATTTTTCATGGGTAGACATAATTAAGTTTTGTCTAAGTTTCCATTTCAAATCATGACATTTATTAATTTTGGTGTTCCATGCTATTTAATAAAAAGAAAAACTTTCTTCTAATTCCTGTAGAACTATGTAAGCATAAGAATTCTCTGATCACTGGATGTTTGAAAAAAATCATCAGAAACTCATGACTGATGCTTTTTGACAGAGAATCTCTGAAGTTGCCTTCATTTTTATCCTTGATTAGGTTTTCTAATTTCTTAGATTAAATTTGATACATAGGGTCCAGCAGAAGTAACGCTACTTAAATGTGGTTAGCAGGGTAATAATGTTGTAATAATTTTATAGTTTTAATTTGAATATTTCACCTAAAATGTCATATTGTTGATGAGAGAGACCTGGTTCTTCTTGCCAACACACGTAAAGATTTACAGATGAGCAAATCTATTAGCATGTAATCAGTTTATTACTGGCCCGTTCCCATGGAAGAGAACACGACTGGGTAGAGTAGGGGGTGAAAGGCGAAGTTTCAAGGCAAAGCAGGGCAGCAATAGTAAGAGCGGCTGAAGACCAGGGTGGCCTGGGTGGCCAGCCCCTGGGCAGTCTGAGGCCAGGTGGCCCAAGGCCCTGTGGCCGGGTAGCCAAGAGCGCCAAGAGGGCCCCGAGCCCCCCAGGGAGACAGCGAGTCCTGTGTTCTGAGAACTTACATGGTTGGTGGGATAGGAGAAATAAAGTTACATATTGATTAACGAGTAAATGCGGTGCCAGCTTTCCTGAGGGAATGTGACTACCTAAACTTAGGTATGTGTGTGTGGGGGGGGGTCTGTTAGTCTGAATCCTTATCTTGCTCCAGACTCCATTTGTTCATCTTATTGTGAAACGAATACCTGACATGAGGCAGTTAATTAAAATTGGGGCACTTTCTGAAGTTATTTATGGGCTCTTTCTGTAAGCATCGGGGACTCCCTCTTAAAACAGAGAGTGACCAGAGGTAGGCAATAAACCAAAGCTGTTTTATGGGCTTCTTCTTTGGGCACTGTGGACCCTCTCCTGAATTCCAGGCCTCTGGATGAGAGCACAGTTTCAAGGCTTTCTTTCCCAGAGAGTGGAAATGCTACATAGAATTTTAAGGACTTCCCTTCTTTCTTGCTAACACAGTGTTTTTTGTGACATTGGAACACCTGGCAATATTATCAGACCAGGCTCAGGACTGCTGAGTTAGCATGTGAAACCTGTCTCCTTCCTCCTCCCTGCCTCGGTTTACTACTTATTCTACCTAATTGGTAAAAGTTATTTCCTGGCAACTAGGAAGCTAGACGCTGGCCAGAAACAGTATTACAGTCTCAGAGTTCTTACTATGCTGTCTCCTGCCTGAATTTGGTGTGCTTGATTGTTATATTGTTAAGTTACAGAATTGCATGCTTATGATCTTGTAATAAAAATGTTTGTAATAAAAAAAGGAGGGGGCTTTATTTGTGGCAGATCCTGTATATCTGCCATAAAGAATTTTTAATATTTTAGCACTGAGAGGATCCTCACTCAGTTTCCTGTGTGTCTGCGGTCATTTCTTCCTTTTCATCCTGCCCTTCTCTCTCTTTTTCGAGGATAACTATAACTGCTCCTCCCACCTTGAAGTATGGATCAGCTTGCTTTTTCCCTTTAATTCCTATCTTCTTTCCATAATATATTATTTTGTTTCCTCAAATGAATTAAGCCAATTGTCCTTTAAATAATGTTATATATTTTTAGAAAGAAGGAAAGGAAAGGAGAGGGAGAGAAACATCGATGTGTGCTTGGGTCTCCCGCACCTCTGGGAACCTGGCCCACGTGCCCAGACTGTGACTCCAACCCGGGACCCTTTTGTTCGAAGCCAGCGCTCAATCCACTGAGCCACACCAACCAGGGCCACTTGTCTTTCTTTTTAAACCTACTTTTAGGTTTGTATTCCTGCTCTTTTAAAATTCTAACCGTTTATTTACATTTCTCCCAAAAGCCTATTCTACCATCTCGCTGGGTTGCTAAGGGTCATTCCTAGGACGCCGGGACGCCCATACCGCGAAGTCTTCTGGGAAGTGTAGTCCGCAGGCGCCTTGCTTTCGCGCACGCGCACTCGCTTGGTCACCGACGCTTGCGGGTTGCGCCCTGTCTCTTTGTCCTTCGCAGCCGCGCAGAGGCGAGTGTGGACTGAGCCCCGAACTCTGTCGCAGCTGTTAGTAATCGCGGAGGCGCCGGAGTCGCACCAAGGCCGAGGGCCGGGGGCGTTGTGCCGGCGGAGGGGCGGGGCGGCTGCCGGGTCACGTGGTTCCGGATCCAGCGCGACCGAGGTCGGAGACTTGGGGGTGGGTGTCGGCGTTGTTTCGGATTCCGGCCTGGGTTTCTTGGGAGGGCCTTCGGCTGGGGCTTGTGGGGTTTCGGCTCGGACTGTAGGGGTCGCTGGGCTGCAGGCTTCGAAGCCGGTAGCGTCGCGCTTAGGCCAGCGGGGAGTCCAGGGTACCCGCGGTGGGGTGTGGTGGGCGCCGACGGACCTGGCCAGAGCGCGGAGGAGCTGGGTCTAGGCCGGGACCCAGTCTTTCGGAGGAGTTGGGGACCCTGTGGCATCCTGACGGTGCTCCTTGTGCGGCGAGTCGGTCGGGAGGAGTCCGCACGCCGCCTCTGGGTGGCCCACAGCCCTTTTTCCTGAGACTTCGTTCCCTCGGCCCCCTTGGTTCTTATCTCTTTGGGACGTTATCTTTGAGGTCGGTTTTCTAAAGCAATGCCTCCCGCTGGTGGCATCGTGGATGTGCTCGGCTGAGAGCCCTGGCCTGGTTCCGTTGACAGGCTGGGACCCTGTGGCCGCACCCGGGGAGCCTATTGCGTGAGTGTCTGCGGCGCCCGTGTAGGTGGCCATGGGGACCGTTGCGGGGCCTGATATCTCCTCCAACTCAATTGCACTCATCCCTGCTGTACATTTTTCAGTGGAGGTTTTTAAAGGGTTTCTCCCCTTAAATAAATAAATAAAATCCCCCCGCCCCCGGCGCCCCCAACCCCTGGGGGGAAAATTACAATTTGACAGCAGTTGTTGTGTACCGGACATCACTGACTTGGGCACCTTATCTCCACTCATGTTTTCCGGGTTGAATAATTTTCATATGAAAATGAGGGAGTGGAAAGAAATGAACTTTCCCCCCCAGCTTTGATGCTTTTTGCTCTCATTAAAACATACTTTTTATTTTAATTATTATGATGTTTACTTTGTTTCAACCATGTAGTTCTAGACTGAAACTGCTCTGCTTGCCGGTTGTTTTCTTGGTTTTAAGGACTAACATTTAAAAAAAAAAACAAAACCCTGACTGGTGTGGCTCCTTGGGGTCACTGATTGGATTCCTCATCGGGCACAGGTCAGAGTCCCCAGCCAGGTCCCTGCTTTGGGGCGTGGGAGGCAACCAGTCAATGCTTCCCTTTTTTTCTCCTTCCCGTCTCCTCTTTCTAAGTTAATAAAGTCTTTTTAGAAAGATATATATCTTTATACTTTTTCCATTATTATTTAAAATATGTTCAGTGTAGTTAATTTGGAGAATCTTGGTAAACATTCAAATGCAAATCCTTGTCCTATTAACAAGAGAGTCACTGCTAGCGTTTTGGACCATTTCTTTTAGCCAGTAAGTGTGTATGTGTCTTCAGTACGTCTTACTTATATGTACTTTTCAAAAACAAAATTGAGAACGTGCTGTATGTGCTGCTTAAAGCCATTACAGTATATCACAAATATCTTTTTGTAACTTGGAATATTTTTTCCCAATTGGGGAGTTTAAATTTACCTGAGAAGCTTTTCAATTGGCCTATAAGAACCTCTCTTCCCCTTGTTTTTGTGCTCGGTCTGCCGCCACCTTTTCTGCACAGGGCACTGTATCGCTCCTTTACTGGGAATATAAACAGGGCCTTCCCTCCCTGCAGTACTGCTGAGAGGCTGCAGTCACTGGCTCTGGGGTGGACAGCATGGGACTAGTGGCCCAGATCTGCCACTGCCTGGGTGCATCATTGATGTTGGGCAAGCTGCTGAACCTGTATGCTGAATGCTTTATAAGAGACAATATGGTGTATAGGACATTGACACTTAAGTATAAATGGTACTTTTTATTCTTTTTCTTTCCTTTGAAATTCTTTCAGAACTTGATGCTGAGTGGAACTACAGGATGAAGAGGAAGGTAGCTTTCTCCTGAAGATAAACGTGAGAGCTGTAACTGAGAGCTGCGGTGTCCTGCAGGAAATGACCAAGGTAAAGAAAACACCAATGAAGAGCTTCAGTCTTCATAGATGAGGGGACATGTGACAGCCAAATACAAGAGTGGGGGAGGGCTGGCTGATGTGGCTCAGTGGGTTGAGCACCAGCCTGCAAAATGAAAGCCAGTTTGATTCCCTGTTGGGGCACAGGCCTGGGTTGTGGGCCAGGTCCCCAGCTGGAGGTGTGGGAGAGGCAGACATCGATGTTTCTCTCCCTCCTCCTACCTCCCTTCCCCTCTCTCTAAAAAGAAATAAATAAAATCTTTAAAACAAAAAAGTTTAGGGGTAGGGCTTGTCCTGCAAGGGCCAACTTTCAAAAACATTTTAAAATTAATGTAAATGTGAGTCTTCATTGTTGTAAGAAACTTAAATGATCAAAAATATGTTTTAACTGCTGTGCTGATGGCTTAACACAACCCTGTTCGCCTGCAACTCTCTGTTCTGTATATTCTCTGCAGTAAATATACCTCCTTTTGACCTCTCTACTCCTCACAAGCTCTTGCTGAAACCCAACTAAACGTCACCACCAAATAGTCTGTGACAGGATTATAAAAGAAACTTAAAAATCATGTGGATTGGGCTGTGTGCTTTAGGAAATGGTTTCATCGATAAACACAGTTTTATTCATTAAAATGCTAGAATTAAAAAAAAAGACTTTATTTACTTATTTTTAGAGAGGGAAAGGGAAGGAGAAAGAGAGAAACATCAGTGCGTGGTTGCCTCTCTTACGCCCTGCGCTGGGGACCTGGCCCGCAATGTGGGCAGTTGCCTTGACTGGGAATCGAACTGGTGACCCTTTGGTTTGCAGGCCAGCGCTTAATCCACTGGGCACCACCAGCCAGGGCAAAATGCTAGAATTTTTACTACATGAAATGAGGTGAAGTAGAAGCATAATTTGAAGGAAATGACATACTTGTTGAGGGTGTGTTTTTCTGGTTTGGGTATGTGTGTTCTTTATGATTGATATTTTTTTAACCACATACGGGTTTTTGCATTTTTTAATGTTTAAATGTATTGACTTTGGGGGGAAAAACTCTATTGTTTTTACATTTGTATCATGTTTGGAAAAAATTTACCCCAGTTACCTAAATATTCAACTGTGTTTTCTTCAGGCAGTACTGTAGTTTGCATAATCAGCCAGGAAGTAGAGTGTTGTGCTATAAGGGACACATAACTTGCTTTACTGTCTTTCAGATGTTACCACTCCTGTGTATTAAGTGGTCCATTTTACTCTTGGCTTTGAGATGCCAGCTGCATCCCAAATTCTTGCATATTTGGACTATAAGGCTTTATTCATCTGTATATCTTTTCAGTCAGTGTTAAGTGCTCTTCTGATTATTATTATAATTTTACAAAATTTGTTAATATTACATGGACCTGTTTATACTCATTAGTTTGTATTTCCATAAGGTTTCATGCTGCTTCTGAACCTTTTTGCTGCCAGATGAAAATTAGAGTTGCTTATTGAAGGAAAACTTTTTGAGGTTGTGATCTGACTTATTGAAGATATGTCATTTTTTTTAAATTTATTTTTTTAAATTGATTATGCTGTTACAGTTGTTCTATTCCCCCCTTCATTCCCCTCCACCCTGCCCCCCCATCCCCACCATTACCCCCCCTTTAGTTTATGTCCATGTGTCTCAAGTCCTTTAGGTTCTATATTTCCCATGCTATTCTTGCCCCCCCCATCTATTTTCTATCTACTGTCTATGCTACTTATTTTCTGTACCTTCTCCCCCCTTCTCCTCCTCCCACTCCCCTGTCGCTAACCCTCCTTGAGATCTTCATTTCTATGTTTCCACTCCTGATCTAGCTGTTCTTTTAGTTTGCTTTCGTTTTAGGTGTGGTTGTTAATAACTGTGAGCTTGTTGTTCTTTCACTGTTCATGTTTCTTTAACTTCTTTTTCTTAGATAAGTCCCTTTAACATTTCATATAATAAGGGCTTGGTGATGATGAACTCCTTGAATTTATCTGAGAAGCACCTTATCTGTCCTTCCATTCTAAATGAAAGCTTTGCTGGATAGAGCAATCTTGGTTGTAGGTCTTTGGTTTTCATGACTTGGAATATTTCTTTCCAGCCCCTTCTTGCCTGTAAGGTCTCTTTTGAGAAATCTGCTGACATTCTGATGGGGACTCCTTTGTAGGTGATTGTCCCCTTAGCTCTTGCTGCTTCTAGGATTCTCTCCTTCATTTTAATTTTGGCTAATGTAATTATGATATGCCTTGGTGTGTTTCTTCTTGAGTCCAACTTTTTTGGTACTCTCTGAGCTTCTTGGATTTCTTGGAAGTCTATTTCCTTTGCCAGATTGGGGAAATTTTCTTTTATTATTTGTTCAAATAATTTTTCCACTGGTGGTTGTGTCTTTCCCCCCTTCTGGTACCCCTATAATTCGGATATTGGAGCGTTTAAAGATGTCCTGGAGGTTCCTAAGACTCTCCTCATTTCTTTGAATTCTTGCTCCTTGACTCTTTTCTGTTTGGCCATTATTTGTTTTCTTCTGGGCCACTCCATTGATTTGAGTCCCAGTTTCCTTTTCATCTCTGTGGGTTTTCTGTGGAATTCCATTCATTTCCCTTAGTTTAGCCTTCATATGTTTCTCTAATTTGTGGCTATAATCAACCAGATCTCTTAGGAACCTGATGACCAGTGTTTTAAACTGTGCGTCTGAGAGTTTTGCTATTTCTTCGTCACTTAGATTTATCTCTGGGGCTTTGAGGTCTTCCTGCGACATTTTTGGTCTGTTCTGGCCCTTTAAATGTGAGAAGCGGCGCCTTGGACTCCCAGGTCGCTGGGTTGTGACGCTGTATGTGGGGGCGTGGTCAGAGCGGGGATATGGCGGCGCCCTCTACTGCCGCAAGCCACGGTCCAAGCGCCCACTCCCTCGCCTGTCCGCTCACCCACAGATAGGCAACCGCAGTCAACACGCAGCACCGCCTCCCCACTGTCTCCTCAGCAGTCGCTCACCCGGTGGGTTGCTCGGTCGCTCACTAGGTCCAATCCTGGGTTTGGAACCCGTGCGTCTGGATTCCCGCGCCTGGATTCCGCGCCCAGGTCCGACCAAGCCCTCCTGTGCAACCCCTCACGAGACGCTGGTTTCGCCCCTTACCGGTCGGGCTGAAGAATTTGTTGTTACCGGACTTCCGAAAAGTTCAATTTTCCGTGTTCTGGTTGTGTTTTCTGATGCTAATATTTAGTTGTCCCTAAACTTGGTTGTGTGAGAAGGCACGGCACATCCACCTATACCTCCATCTTGGCGGAAGTCCAAAGATATGTCATTTTTGACTAAATTTTATTTAGTATAATATGAAGTCTTTCTGTCCTAGAAGACCAGATTATACATGTATGAAATCCATGTTTATAGTCCCCATTGGTGTTCTTAGTTTGTTTCATGTGGATCTTACATATTTCTTGTCGAGTATATTCCTACATATTTTATGTATTTTTCTATTATGAGTATTTTATTTTCTACATTTTCATTGTTTTATATAAGAAAGCTGGTGATACTATAGAACTACGTTTATTTATCTGGTAAGATGGTCTTTCTATAGTGGGAAAAAGACAAAAACTAATTTTTTTACAAAGATTTTATTTATTTATTTAAGAGAGGGAAGGAAGGAAGAGAGGAAGAGAAACATCAGTGTGTGGTTGCCTCTTGAGCCCTCCCCCCTGGGCACCCAGTCCACAACCCAGGCCTGTGCCCTGACTGGGAATCCAACCAGCAGCCCTTTGGTTCACAGGCAGGTGCTCAATCCACTGAGCTGCACAAGTCAGGGTGACAAAAACAATTTTTAAATGTACCATGTATTTATTTTTTTTTTGTTAAAAATCTACCGTCTCTTCAGAGTGGTTGTCCGTGGTGTGGTTATATCATAGGTAATAATTACTTCTTACTTAGTCGATATACATTTCAAAATTTCACTGTCATATTTTTCTTTTATAGTAATAATTATGGCTAATACTGAGTGCTGATGTGTGCCAGCTCCTGTTCTGAGATGCGTATATTTTCATAATTTAAGGTGTAAAGGAATAACTTCTGGTGTAGTTGTGAGAAACCTCCATGCGTGTTTCTGAGTGGGCGCTGACCTCTGAATCACGGAGAGGCCGGAAAGGGCGGAGCTTGGGTTTCTTTTCAGAGTGCTGCTTTGGCGTTCGGTGTGGTGGTGAGCAGCTTTTCTCCAGCTGTGTTTTTATGGAAATTAGGTGACCGAATTTGTGCATGGAAATAAGTTAATTCCGTGGATGGACATGTGAATAAACACACCCAGTGACGTTGTGATTTTGGTACTTAATGTCCCCGCAAAGTAAGAGGGCAGGACATTCCAGGTCTGCTGCTTAGTGGCCGTGCAGTCCTGGGCACGGTGTCACCGCAGGTCTTAGTTCTTCCGTGAAATGGAGATTTTACTAAATGCTTTACTGAGTCATCTGTGAGGGTAAATGATAAAGTGCTTAGTGACGTGTAGAAAAGACACAGATGTAGAACTAGGCACTTTCCTTTTAATATCTCATGTTTTCCTGAGGGTCCCACGGAGCCAGCCAGAGGCCCACGCTGTCCACCGTTTTAGCAAGTAAAGACATGGAGGCTTGGAAGACAAGAACAGCATTAATGTGGGATATGGAGTGTTGTTACATAATGAAGGAATCATTCCCCAGAAATATATAACCTCTGTACGTCGAACTGCATAGCCTCAAGCACGTACTGCAGACATCAGTGGACTGACACGGAAAAACTCACCAGTCTGTAATCGTCCTGGGAGGTCCAGCACACACCCTTCAGAAGCTGATAGAACTGGCAGACATAGGTTATAGAAGGTTATAGGTTGACGATTATATAAAGCTCATCAAAATGAAGTTTGACCCTGACCAGTGTGGCTTGGTTGGGTGTCATCCTGCAAACAGAAAGGTCGCTGGTTCAATTCTTGCTCAGGGCACATGCCTGGGTTCCGGGTTTGACCCCTGGTCAGGGTGCAACTAGAGGCAACCGATTGATGTTTCCCTCTCTCCCTCCTTTCCCACCTCTCTGTAAGAATAATAATAATAATAATAATAAATAAAAATTTTTAAATTAAGTTTGTTTTTACCTAAAATTACATAGCCAGTAAAGGGAAAAGTTTTACTGAAATACCTATTTGTTTTTATGTGTTTATTGTATTTTTTGGGGCACACTGTTCCTAAAAGAATTGTGGTACCGGTTCCAAGTGCAGACCGGACAGAGCAAGTTCCTATTCCATCTCCCTGCTCCAAAAGTCCACTTAATGTATTTTCCTCAGATAGACCATGTGTCAGATACTAGATAGTTAAGAACATACCACGCTGGATCTTAGCCAGAAGGCCGAGAAGCATTCTAGTCTGTTCTAATATCACATGAGCTTCCCAAAAGTCCCATCTGTTTAAAATGGAGTGTTTTCACAGCACCTTTTAAAGGGACTTACACTTTTAAAGGAACTGTCCACAGTGAACACCGAATGGACGTCAGACTGACTTTATGGCTGTTATTTTTTATCTCTTGGCAGAAACATAGACTTCTGCTGCGTTTTTACACCATGTTCCATTCCTACCCCGTAGCCCTATTTTGGTTCTGCAGAAACTCTGACTTTACCAGGTCATGAATTCCCAGTTCTTAGGAAGATGTTAGGTACAGTGTAAACATACCAGTTGAATTGCGTTTATCCCTAAGTCCACAGGTCCTGCTTCCCCACAGTGAGCTGTTCTTGCAAGATAAGAAAGGAGTTCTTGGAGCCAAGAATTCATTCTCAGTGTGGAAGACCGAGCCAGGACCGCACACCAGAGCTGCACAGCGCAAGCAGAGGAAACGCAAAGGTCTCAGGCTTGCTAATCATTTTCTGCAGAGAACGGAAAATGACCATGTTGCAGGTGAGCTGATTGTTTATTCCTCATTATTTTTCCAGGGGATTAGAAGTGTGTAAGCCTCCCAATGAAATAGAAGAAAATAGAGAAATTGGGGGCCCTGGCCCTGTGGCTTGCTTGGAGCATCGTCTTGTGATGTAGAGGTTGTGGTTTGATTCCTGACCCGGGCACATGCCCAGGGTGCATATCCTTCCCCCCGGCGCTGTATCTGCTTGGGTGAGTCTCAAAAAAAAGAAAGACAGGAATCAGGAGAAAACCACCTCAGAAGAGGAGCTTCAGAGCAGACAAAGTTGGAGCATTAGCACCCTAACTGGGCCCTGAGACATTTTTAAGGCTTCAGTTTTTATCAACCATAATTACTGAGTATATTCATGTCGATAATTACTGAATATGAGCTGCAATCTTGGTTCTCAACTTTTTGGCAGTAGTAGTAAATAAATATGAACATTTATGTGAGTTATATTACGCAAATTGATTCCTCATATAAAGTAAATGTTCCTAGGTCATGCTTGATGAAGTCTGAATAAATGACACAGTGGGTGATGTCCTGCAGAGGCACATGATAGTAAATACACAGATCTTATGGCGGTTTTTTATAGTTGTACACGGAGTGTAACCCAAAGCAAACATGACAAAACAGGACTTAGTGACCGTAATTATTTATTTACCTCCTGTTGTAAAGCAGAATCACATGCAGGAAAGTGCATAAAAGGTAAAAGAACAACTTAATGAATTTTCAACCGAATGCAATTATAGTTCATAACTACCTGCTCCTGACAAAGGACACCGTGGGTGCCCTCTCCTGTCACAACCGCTTTCTTCCCGACAGGCAACCAGGACCTGGCGTACACCTGTTTTCTTGCTTTCCCTTACACCTTTGTCTCGAAGTTTCCACCCGTGAGCACTGCAGGTTGGCTTTGTGTGCTGCAGCAGAGACCGGTGGCTCTCAGCTCGGGGTCCTCGGGGGGCTTCTAAACCATGTGGCGCCGGGCACTGAGTCAGGGGCACAGACCTCTCTTTCCTGAGATGGTCAACCAAGAAAACGTCAGCATCTAACACAACAATGGCCATCCAGTGTGAATGTATCAGAATTACACCTTTTAAAAAAATCAAATGGGGAAATAATGTAATACCTTTTTTGGTGTGCTGCAGACATTTAAATTTTATTTTTATTTTAATTATTATTTTTTATTTTTATCTTTATTTTTATTTTATTCACTTGTAGAGAGGGGAAGGGAGGGAGAAAGAAACATCAGTGTGTGAGAGATACATCAATTGGTTGCCTCTCACATGCCCCCAACTGGCGACCTGAACTACAACCCAGCCGTGTGCCTTGACCAGGTAGGGAGCTAGCGATGTTTTGGTTCCAGGCTGGTGCTCAATCCGCTGAGCCACACCACCCAGGGCAGTGCTTAGTGTACGTGTGTTAAGAGATGAAAAAGACTGAACATCACTAGACTAGACTCATTTGTGTCCTTTCATTTTGTGTTTGATTCTTTCACTTAACATTTTGTTTTTGAGATCATTGCAATGACAGCCTTTCCTTTAATACGGCAGCTGCTTAATATTGATCACCAAATCCAGGCAGTGTTTAAATTCCCAGTGGTCTCAGAACTCATAAACTGTTTCCATTATAGTTTGTTTGAATTACAATCTAAATAACATTCATACAGTGCAGTCAGTTCATCTGTCTCTTAAATCTCTTCATCTTTTTGCAGTTCTTATAGTTGCTAGCCATATTATCTGTTGAAGAAGCCAGGTATTTAATTTCTGTAGAGTTTCCCACTGTCAGATTTTGCCGATTGCTTCCCTAGCGTGTTTCTTATATGTTGGTACATGTGGAGGTGTGCTGTCCCGTATAGAAGCCGCTGGCTGTCTGCAGACTGTTTAAATTTAAGTTAATTAAACTCCTCAGTCACACCAGCCTCAGGGCTCATTAGACATAAACTAGTGAGGACAGCCAGGAACTGGATAGCACAGATAAAGTATATTTCTGTCACCCCGGCTAGTGTGGCTCAGTGGATTGAGTGCCAGCCTGTGAAGCAAAGTGTTGGAGGGTTTGATTCCCAGTCAGGCTGCATGCCTGGATTGCAGGCCAGGTCCCACGGTAGGGGGCATCCAAGAGGCAACTATACATTGATGTCCCTCTCTCTCTCTTTCTCCCTCCTTTCCCCTCTAAAAATAAATAAATAAAATCTCTTTTTAAAAAAAGAAAATTTCCATCACCTTACAAACTGGGACAGATCTGACCTAGAGCCTTGATCAGATTCAAGTTTGAGATTTTGACGTGAATGTTTCAGAGGCCGCATTTCCTTTCAGGAGGCTCATAATTTTTGCTTCTGTCTATTATCATTGCTTAGGTGGAGTATTTCATCAGGGGCTGCAAACTTACAACATCTGCTTCTATCGTTTCTGCTTTGTTAACTAGAATACTGCTTTCTAGCTTGGCAAGATATCTCAAGGCTCAGATTGTACAGTTATTTTTTAAAGATTTTATTTATTATCTTTTAGAGAGGGGGAAGGGAGGGGAAGTTGAGGGAGAGAAACATCAATATGCAAGGGAAACATTGATTCCCTCTCGTGTGCACCCAACCAGGGACCCGACCCGCAAGCCAGGCATGAACCCTGCCTGGGAATCAGGATGGTGACCCTTCAGTTCACAGGCCGGTGGTTGGTCCAGATAGCCGCACCAGCCAGGGCTGTACAACTTTTTTGCCCCAGACCTACAACTATTCATTTTGACAGTAAATGGTAACTTCAAATTTATGTATTTTTGAAAGCTTTTGTTACCAAAGCATGGTCATATTGTAGATGTTTGCATATTGACTTTGTATATAGGAACTTCTTCTTTTTTTTTTTGCAAGGAAGAGAGAGAGAGAGACACTATTGTAAGAGAGAAACATTGGTCAGTTGCTTCCCAAATGGTGGTTGAACCCGCAGCTTTTTGGTGTATGAGGTGACACTCCTACCAACTGAGCCAACTGGCAGGGCTATCTAGGGACTTTTTAAGCTTATTTATAATTCGAGTAATTTTTATTTAGATTTAATGAGATTTTCCATGTTCTGAAAATATCAGCTAAACCTTTTCTTTTTAAAAGATTTTATTTATTTATTTTTAGATAGCTCAGCCAGGGCTCAGCTACATTTTTTTTTTTTTTTTAGTTAAAAGAAATTCCACCTAAATTCCTAGTTTTCTCCAAGACTTTTTAGAACAAATAAATGTGAATTGTTTTTCAGTTTTTAGTTTGTTGGCTTTCTCTTTTTCATTTGCTCTTTCTTTCAGAAATCTAGTCCATTTTATAAATTTTAAATCTGCTTTTTTAACTGTTAGATTTTTCTGTATTTGCAGTTCTTGTCATATACATGCTTCCCTTTGCAGACATACTTAATGTGCACCTATTGAGGTGATTAGGTATTTTTTCTTACTTGTTAAGGTAGTGAATATCCTTGACTTATTTTTTTTTGAAGATTTTATTTATTTATTTTTAGACAGAGGGGGAGGAAGGGAGAAAGACAGGGAGAGAAACATCAATGTGTGGTTTGCCTCTCATGTGCTCCCTACTGAGGACCTGGCCTGCAACCCAGACAGTGCCCTGACTGGGAATCAAACTGGCGACCCTTTGCTTTGCAGGCCGGTGCTCAGTCCACTGAGCCACACCAGCCAGGGCTGACTTATTTTTTATTTATGGTAAACTAATCTAGTCTGAATATTTTTTCTGTATATATTGCTCACTATAATTTAGTAGCATGTTTAGGATTTTCACATTGGTGTTCATGTGAATGGCCTTTTCCTTTCTTACCAAGGTTATGCTGGTATCAAAAAGTTTAGGGTTATGTTTTTGCTTTTATGTTCCTTAAGAATTTGGTGAGATTGAAAATAATTCTGTATTAAATGTTTACAGAATTAACTGCTGAATCCTTTTTTTTTTGGTCAGAAGATATTAACACAGGGAACCAATAATTTCTACATGTGCAATGCATATGTTATAAAGTCTATAAATAAATGAGTCATTCAAAGAACAAGACAAAACTGTAGATTTTAATGTAACAGAATACGAGGAGTTCGTTGTTGTGCACAGATTTGTCTGATGTACACAAACTGTATGTAAACGAAAGGATGGAGGAGCTGTTCCAGCCTTTTGTCCCACGGTGCAGTCCAGTGGTGTGGGCAGTCTCGGACTCGCTGTGGTCAGAGCGAGGTGCTCAAGCGCTGGCCTGGCTTTTCTATGTCATGGAGGGATAACTGCCTTAGGTTCAGCAGGATTGTGCTTTTCCAGGAGCCATTCTCATTTGAAGATCTGTCTGTGGACTTCACCCAGAAGGAATGGCAACTGCTGGACCCGTCTCAGAAGGACTTATACAAGGATGTCATGTTGGAGAACTATAGCAGCCTGGTGGCACTGGGTAAGAACAGCTTCCCAGAGGACCTCATTGTGCCCAATACCTCGTTGTTGTTGTTGTTGTTTTGTTTTGTTTTAGTTGCTGAGAGTTTATGGGGCTCTGGAATTGTTAACGAGTTCCGGCCTAAAGATAGGAGATCAGAGATTCTTGGACTGTGACGGGAGGTGAAGTATTGGGCTCTCACCTTTCCACGGTGAAGTCTTAGTGCTGCTGTGCAGCCTCTGAAACGCACAGTGATAGTCCCGGTGGTGGCAACACCTCGTGCAGACAACTTCCTGTGTTCCCTGTACTGTTCTTGTCCTGACTCAGTTACTCATTAGGATGATCCTTTGTAAAAGGTATGATTTTACAAAGGTAAAGAAAGCTTCCCTCTGTTTTCTGATGAGGAAATTGAAGCTAAAAAAGGTTAAGTACCTTTCCCAAGGACTGATGGAGTAAATGGAATAGTCAGGATTTGAACCCAGGCAGGCTGGCTCTAGGGTTTATGACATGTTTAATGGTTTTGGATGTGAATTATGAGTCACAGTTTCTTAGACTTTGTCAGCCACCAGGGAGACCATTACTATTTCCCTGAGAATTATTCACTCTGATAATTATCAACCATCTGTTGATTTATAGATTGTTAGCTTAACTGGGTCAGTTCTGACGCCGAACCTCGCCCATTCCTCAGGCCCTAAAGTCCAGGTATTCAGGGCCAAGGCCTTTGTGATTCCCCTTGAACAGGGTATGAATTTATGAAACCTGATGTCATCTTCAAGTTGGAACAAGGAGAAGAGCCTTGGATAGGAGATGGAGAGATTCCAAGGTCAGACTCTACAGGTGAGTGTCCTGGGACCAGGCAGGCGGGAGAAGGTAGTAGTGCGGTCTCCGCTGGTCGGTGGGTTGGCATCTTCAGACGTGCTGAAGAGGCTCCTTCTCACGTCTCAGCCTTTGACACGAGCTACTCAGGAAATCACATTTCTGCGGCTTCTTTGCTTGCAGCTTAAAGTGAAATGTTTCCAGCTTGTCCGGGCTCTGATGTTAACTCCCCATCTGTCACATCTTGGGCTTTGACCTCTTGTTTGGTTTTCCGCCTTTGACCTGTTTATTCTCTTCCTGCCTTCCCTTGCCCTCTGGTCAACGACACCTTTGCTTGTACATTTAAAAATTGTTATCTTTTTCCTCATTTTGGATGTGTTTGATGCCCTGAGTAACACCCTGTGAATGCCACTCTGTTCCATTTCATGATAGGGAATGGGCTCAACAATCCTCCCAGACATGCTGTTCTTGTCCTCCCTTTCGAATCAGGTTTGGCTGTGCTTGTTCTATAGGCTACATGCCGTGAAGTACATTGAGTGATCTCTTTCTACCGTTCTTTCTATTATTTATGGTTTTCCCCCCTTCAGATACATATTTTTAAAGCATTTCCTCCTCAACTCCCACTTAAAACTAGGTCCATCCTGTCTCATTCCTGAATTCCCAAATTGCTAGAGAGACTCAGATTTTAATCTTTCGTAAGTTCAGTGATGCCACCGTTTGAGTTCTTGGAGCATCCAGTACTATGTTCATCTGCTGTTTGACATCAGCCAATTTTGGGTTCCCTCCAGAGCAGACCCTGAGATAACTGTCCGAGGGCAAGACTTTCCTGGGGATGTGATTCGCACGGTGTAGTGGGAGAAAGCGAGGGGTGAGCCATGGGCACTTGGTGCTGCTGGGGGGCCCTCTCGGGAACCAAGGAGCTGGCTGTCACCTCCCACTGCCATCTCTGATTAAGCATTGCGCCGGAAAATTGACCTCATAGTGTCCAGCATCCTTGCCTGGGAACCAGGCGTGCCCTTGCATCCCAGGAGAGTTCTCCCGTGGAGAGATGCGGGTGCCTGGGGTAAGCCCCACCATCCTCCTGAGCTGCAGGTGTCCCCTGGGTGGAGCCGAGGGGTGTAGAGGAGGCAGCAAGAGCACCTGCTACAGAACGTAATCTTCACTGACCTCCATGTTGTCTGTTTCCCCCTTTCACGTTCACAGTCAACTCCATGTAAACGTTTCTCAAAGTTTTCAGTTGTGGTATTTATGCTTTTCTGCATCTGAACTTTTGTGTTATGCTTTCTATATTTAGGACCTCTTGATCCTTTCTGCACAGACTCCGTTTTCAGTGCGTTCATGTTCAGGAAATGTTTCTTGACTCCAGCCTACATTTTTCTCATTGTTTTCTGATTCCTTTCCTAGACCTGATCACATTGTGTGTGATAGTGTTTAGTCGGTTGGTTCCTGAGCTTTTTTGCACACTTAGACACAAAGGCTTATAACTTAATATCTTTCATTATGGAACACATTATGCTCATTCAATAAATATGTCTTCATAAGCCCATTGTTTTTTTTTTTTTAAAGATTTTATTTATTTATCTTTAGAGGGGAAGGGAGGAGAAGGGAGAAACGTGGTGAGCAGGGAGTTGTTTTAATACAGATGTTTTTAACCAGGTGTGCATCAGATTACCTGAGGATATTTTTTCCCAATTTGGGGCATAATGGATCAGTTACCAGAGGGTGGTTAAGTAGGGTTTTGTGCATGTGTGCGCGCGCGCGTGTGTGGGTGTTAAGATTGTTAAAATTTATTTTTAGCTCTGGCTGGTATGGTTCAGTGGGATTGAGTGCCAGCTTGGGAACCACAGGGATCACTGGTTCGATTCCCAGTCAGGGCACCTGCCTGGGTTGTGGGCTGGGTGTGCAAGAGGCAACTACATGTTGACATTTCATTCCCTCTCTTCCTCCCTCCCTTCTCCTCTCCCTAGAAATAAATAAATGAAAAAATTTTTAAATTTATTTTTATTTTTTATTTCTTTAATAAACATTTTTTATTGTTACTTAAATAAATGAAAATTAAAAAATAAAATGACATTTATTTTTTAGAGAGAGGGGAAAGGAGGGCTAGAGGGAGAGAAACAGCGATGTGCAAGAAAATATTGATCAGTTGCCTCTTGCATGCCCTCAACTGGTGGCCTGGCCTACAGCACAGACATGTGCCCTGACAGCAGTGGAATGGGGACCTTTCAGCTTGCAGGACAGTGCCCAAGCCACTGAGGCACCAGTCAGGGGCACATGCAGTTTTTAAGCTGGGTGTTCTGAGACTGGAATTTGTAATTTGAGACCCGCTAAGTGACTTCTGTGTACCACATTATTTGAGACCCAGTGCTTTAATAATGACTACTAAAGTGATAAAAAGTAAGAGACATAGAAAATACCTACCAGTAGCTTAGAAGTTATTTAAGAAGATGGAACATTTGCATATACTATTTCAATTTTGCATTTAAATGTTTTTCTCTTACATCAGTGTTTCTCTCTCCCCCTCATCTTTCTCTAAAATCAATAAATATATTTTAAGGTATGGGTTAAAAAATACATATATATATATAATCTACTTATTACATTTTCTAATTGAATGTAAGTTTCATGATGGCAAAGTCTTATTCTCTTATGTGTCTCATACATCACATACCACCTGGAACACAGTGTGTACTCAGTAGGTGTTAAGTAAATTAATTCCTCAGAACATTGGATCAGTGCTTCTTCCAACCTCCTCTCTCTATTTGTCTTTGCTGCTCATGTATTTTTCACAATCTTCCCATTTTATAAACTTTAACAACAATCAAAGTTAACTTAGTCCACTCTTTCCTGTTTATAGCATTTCTCTTATTTTTATTTTTAGTACCTAGAGTATAAACATTATTATTGGAGCTTATGTCAGACTAGAAAACTAACCTTAAAAAGCATCCATCCCTTTAAATAACATTTGTAGTTTTTTATTCAGCGCACCCATAGGAGAATTCACAGATTGGTGTTTTTTTTTTTTCCTTTATAGAACAAGTCTTGCAAGTAAATGGTCACATGATGTGGCACCAGGATAACCAGGAGAAGCTTAAAAATGTGAAACAAGATTACGAATGTGATACATTTGGAAAAAATTTCAATCTGAGCATAAACCTTGTTCCTTTAAGGAAGTCAAATGATGAAGGTGATGTAGATGGATTAATTTTAAAACATAATTTAGACTTACTTCTTCCAAAAGTTGATTATAAAAAAACAGAACCAGGTGACTTAAATGTATTTGATAAATTGTTTCTGCATAGCAAGACTGAAGAAGAAACTGATACTTGGTTAAAATACTATGAGTGTGATAAATATGACAAAATTATCTATAAAAAGTCACAGATTATTATATATCACAGAAATCGTTTAGGGGAGAAGCTTTACGAATGCAGTGAATGTAGGAAACGCTTCAGTAAGAGATCGAGTCTCATTAAACACCAGAGCAGACATGTAAGAGAGTTAGCCTACGGCTGTGGTAAATGTGGCAAAACCTTTCCCCAGAAGTCACAGTTTGTCACACACCACAGAACTCATACAGGAGAGAAACCTTATAATTGTAGTCAGTGTGGGAAAGCCTTCTCCCAAAAGTCACAGCTCACATCCCATCAGAGGACACACACAGGAGAGAAGCCATATGAATGTGGTGAATGTGGGAAAGCCTTCTCCCGGAAGTCACATCTTATATCGCACTGGAGGACACATACGGGGGAAAAACCCTACGTATGCAGCGAATGTGGCAGAGCCTTTAGTGAAAAATCAAATCTCATTAATCATCAGAGAATCCATACAGGAGAGAAACCCTTTGAATGCAGAGAATGCAGGAAGGCTTTTAGCAGGAAGTCACAGCTTGTTACACATCACAGGACTCACACAGGAACCAAACCTTACGGATGTACTGATTGTAGAAAAGCCTTTTTTGAGAAATCAGAGCTCATTAGACACCAGACAATTCACACTGGAGAGAAGCCCTATGAATGCGGCGAATGTCAGAAAGCCTTTAGAGAGAGGTCAAGTCTCATCAATCATCAGAGAACCCACACAGGAGAGAAACCTCATGGATGCATTCAATGTGGGAAAGCCTTCTCCCAGAAGTCACATCTGATATCACATCAGATGACACATACGGGGGAGAAACCCTTTGTATGTAGTAAGTGTGGGCGGGCCTTCAGCAGGAAATCTCAGCTCGTTAGACATCAGAGAACTCACACAGGAGAGAAACCCTATGCCTGCAGTGAGTGTGGGAAAGCTTTCAGTGAGAAATTAAGCCTCACTAATCATCAGAGAATTCACACAGGAGAAAAGCCCTATGTGTGCACTGAGTGTGGGAAAGCCTTTTGTCAGAAGTCACATCTCATATCACATCAGCGGACACACACAGGAGAGAAACCCTATGAATGCACTGAATGTGGGAAAGCCTTTGGAGAGAAGTCAAGTCTTGCAACTCACCAGAGAACTCATACGGGAGAAAAACCCTATGAATGCAGGGACTGTGAAAAAGCCTTCTCCCAGAAATCTCAGCTCAATACTCATCAGAGAATCCACACAGGAGAGAAGCCTTATGAATGCAGTCTTTGTAGGAAAGCTTTCTTTGAGAAGTCAGAGCTAATTAGACATCACCGAACTCATACAGGAGAAAAACCTTATGAATGCAGTGAATGTAGAAAAGCCTTCAGGGAGAAATCAAGTCTCATCAATCATCAGAGAATACATACAGGAGAGAAACCCTTTCAGTGCAGTGAATGTGGCAAAGCCTTCTCTCGGAAATCACACCTGATACCACATCAGAGGACACATACAGGAGAGAGGCCCTATGGATGCAGTGAGTGTATGAAGGCGTTCTCTCAGAAGTCTCAGCTTGTTAATCATCAGAGAATTCATACTGGAGAGAAACCTTATCAGTGTAATGAATGTGGGAAAGCCTTCTCCCAAAAGTCACAGCTCATTAATCATCAGAGAACTCATACAGTAAAGAAATTATAGACATTGACTTAATACTAGTCTTTGAAAGAGACCTTAACTCATTGTACTTCAGAAATTGCAGTTGGTAAGTCAGATAATAGATCGCATTATATATGTCAGGAAGGACATATATAATGGGTAGGAACTCTAAATGAGGTTATGTCGGGAAACCTTTCATCAGATTGACATGTTTATATATCAGAATTCATAGAGAGGAATGAGCCCATGAAATGCAGCGTGTGTCCAAAGGCTTTCAAACTATAGTTACACCTTATGCAGTAGAAAATTAACAGTGAAGAGGAATACTGGGAATATTAGAAAGCCTTCCAGAGGGCAAATCTCATTGGCTGTTAGAAATACTCCCACTGGGGGTAAATCCTAGTCCAGTGAGTGAAGGAAACCCCCCTGAATGTGGCACTTGAGGTAATATTTTTATTAAGAAATGATAGCTTGTTGTACATAAGAAAATGCCTTCAGGAATGAAATTTTATCAAGACACTTAAGTATGGGACAGTCTTTAGCAAGTAATCCAATCATACTGTATTTTGGACAATTCATATTATGGGTAAACCTAACAATTTAAAGACGTTGGAAACGTGTGCCCTAGAGATAATGCTATAAAGGGAAGCCATGTAATTTTTGTATGCAGTTCTACCCAATTCTAAATGGTTAAAAGGTCTTCACTCTGAAGTATGGAATTTTGAATATATGTGAATAAACTGAATCATTGAAAAATCTAAATAAGGGATTTCTTAGTGGTGTTTGTGGCTTACTTTCCTTTGTCACATAATGTGTGTTGTACTGTGAAAAAGCACATGGTAAAGTAGTTGGGAGCGTGAGGTGGACGTGTAGTGCCTCTGATGTCTGTCGAGACACATCACGCACAACTTGTTTTCTATGTTACTGATAATATACAAGTGGTAAGTAATGTAGCATGTCTTACTGCTAAATAAGAGCTTCAGTAGAAACACTACATCTAAAAAAAAACACTACATCTCATTTCCCTATGATTTGGCATATAAAAAGGGTGTATTGTTATTAATTTTATCTTCAGTAACAGAAGCCAACATTTTATATAGAGCCTTATGCATCCTCAGAGTCTGAGACACAGTTTATCTAAAACCTGGTTAATAAGTATTAAAAGGCAGGAACCACAGAATTGCAGTAGTACGCATGACTGAGTGAGCAAAAGGAAGCGTGTGACTCTATTACTCAGCATTCAAACAAAATGGCCGTGCAAAATCTTTTTCCCATTTACTGAGATGTCTCCATGTGTAACATCTATGTAAAGTTCTTTTGTAACCCAAGTACAACTTGCTTTTTTATTTACTATGATGAAATGTCATGGGTTCTGTGTGCTGCCATTGTTTTTGGAATTATATAAAATATCTTTAAAATAGTAGTGAAAAAAACAATTTCTTAAGAGATACTCTTCAGAAAATGTAAGTATAAGGAATTATGTGGTGAGAATTATATTTTTGATGTGTTCGAGGAAGCCTATTTTACCTTCCAGGAAATTTCTGTGATTACTGAACAAGTTTTAGGAAACAAGATTTTCACCATTACTTGAAAAACTTGTTTCACCTTCCTTTATTATTTGCATCATCCACATTGGAAACTTTCCACTTTAAATTTACCATTATATAAGTATGGTTTCTGAAAATGCATGAACCGTTCCTTAGCTCAACTGGAAATTTTTAGTGATCTTTCTATAATGTTGCTTGATGAAGTCACCAGTATTTATGGGGGGTGGAGTGAAATTCAGAAAAGTCTAACACTGACCTTGCTTCCAATTTTGGGAAAATCAAGACTTTTCTCACACACAAGTTGTTTTGCAGTGTGGGGTATTGCACCTTTTATGAGTATTTTTTATTTAACTTTCAGTTTTACGTTATTATTGAAAAATTGGGACTTTAAATGAGAGTAATTTTTTAAACCATTGCATCAGAATTTTCAATAGCCAGATCATCATTCCTTTTCATATAGTGATTTTAAAAGTGTCCAATTTCCCAAAATTTAATTCATACTCAAATTTGTGGACTGTCTACTTTTCTCCCTAGTACCTGAAAGGGGGTGGGGGTGGGCGGGAACAAACCATTGAGAGTGAACAAAGGATTGCAGGGTGATGTTTTACTTTGTGGTTTTCCCAACTTTCCCTACCCCCAGCCCCCCCATTTATCATGATTGTTCTCTAGTCCCAGAGATTCATTTATGAGGTCTTGGATTGAGCTCAGGAGTCTGTAGCTAAAATTTTTCAACTTTTGTTTATTCCAATTCTAAATTTTATTAATTAACCAGTACTTCCTTCACTAAATAATGGAACTTCAGCACTGGCCTATTGGATGAACACCTAGGAACAATGTTATTTTGGTAACAGACAGGTGTTACTCATAGCGAGGGCTGACACTGGCAACAGAGGTCTGGTTTATCAAAATATCTGATGCAGAATTCACAGATAGCTATTTTGAAATTTCACAAGAGGGCTCTGATCCTGAAATTAGAAATTTTCAGTTTTTTAAATTACCTTGGTAAATTACCTCCCCCCCAAAAAAAGTTTACACATTTCCCCTCTACCACAAAGCCCACTCAAGGAGAAATGCAGTTTTAAACTTAAGAGTTGATTTACTTCCAGTTTTGTGAAGCACAATAAATTTACATCGAGATACAATACATAAGCAGACAAAATAAAAGCATTATCTTTTTTCTCACCACCCAGGTTCTTCCACTGACCTGGAGACAATTATACTAAGGACCATTTCCATTGTATTCATTTTAGTAAATAATGGGCCTGTTGGAAGTCCAGTATGAATATTGAGGTGTGTTTCAGGAATGCCTTCTGTTTAGCTTTTCATTGTGGGATATATTTTCTGACAAAATTATCTCATGGATTCATGTGTTCCTTATATTTTGGTTTCAAGAACATTACTTGTAGAACACTGAGATGAATCTAAACAACACCAGATGTAATACAAGGTATTAAAAAGAATATAGATCAATAGTCATTTGATTTCTATACTTGAGACCACAGTCATTTATTTTGTCATTTATTCCAGAAATATATACCCAGTTTTTCTATTTCAGTGGGTTTCTTAGACTACAAATATGGTACTAACCTTTCAGATGTTCATTACTGGTATCTACTTCTTGACTAAATGCTAATTAACCCGACCCTTTGGCCCTTTGCAGCTGTATGCCTATTTTTTGCAAACTGGCCTTCATCCTTTTTTAGTCTATTTTCACATTCATACATAGTAGTTATTTTAGGATGCAATTACATTCCTGTATTGAAATATTATGTGGCTATTTGTGGACTTAAAGTGTAATATGTTTATGTGAGGACTTTCATACAAATACATGGATCTCCATTTCTGAATACCTTTTCTCCTACACACTATTTTTTGGCCTCCTCGAACTACTTGCAGTTCCTTGAAATTTCTACACTCAGATGCTTTTTGCAAATCTGCCACTGAAATGCGCTTGTTTCTTGTTAATGCCTATCCGGTCTATATGAAGCCGTACCTGTATCTGCCACTGGATAATATAATCATTGCATGTTGTATCTTTTCCATGGGAAAGCTGGGACTACCTTTCTATATAACTTCAGCCACTGAAGATTTACTACATAAATGTGAGTGCTTATCTGTAACCATGTTTTCCACCACATGGAGAAGCATAGTCTGCAATGAGAGAAGAATGAAGCCATCATAGAAGAGTAAAGTCATGGAATAGCCCTGAGTGAGTCCCAAAATCTGGTTCTTGTCTTGATGTGCATATTCATCTCTGCCCTTTTCATGCTTTAATCATTGGAGTCTTCTATAAGATATCACAAATGTCCTCCTAATAAATTCCCAAGTTTGTTTCAGCTGGTTCAGGTTGTGTTTGTTACTTACAACCCATATATTTCTAAGAAAGTCGTAAATTGGATTCTCTGCAAGCAGATACTGAGGTGAAGTTTTGGGTGCAGGATGTTTATGGGGGATCAATGGCTGTGAAGCGATTGGAGAATAAGTAGGAATGGACTGACCAGAGCGAGAAGTCATAATGCATTGTAGTTGTTGAAATCTTTGCCAAGCCAGTAGGGAGTTCTGAATATTCCTCGTAAGAGTGTGCCATCTTGGGCCAAGATTAGGTTTTGCAGTCTTTAGTTGCTCAGTCATCTGAAGCTGCCTTTGGAAGGGCGTAATCTCAGGCGAACCAGCTCTTTGCAGCTGCGGCCAACTCTGAACAAGCTGGGCAGCTAGTCCTTCCTTGAGGAAAGATCTGGGTGATGCATCTGGTGAAGACACAGTCCCTCCGACTATTTAGATCTATTTGTCCCAATTTTTGGCCTCTCTGAGGAGAGACAAAGAAAAGGAAAATTAGTAGGACAAAGTGCAGCCACTACCGTTGAAGTTGTATTCTCTCATCTGTTATCCAGGCCAGATTCTCCCCACAGTTACCACCTCTGGGGGCATCCGTGGCTGTCTTGGTGGCATGACCTGGACCCTCATTCCTGAGCCCTCATGTGCCCTTCTCATTACCGACTTGATCCCAAGAAGCAGGGTGGATCATCTGAATCCACTCACACTCGTCTCCGCCCTGTAGTGTTAACTGCAGCCCTGCCTCTTCCGCAAGTATCAAACTCCCCTAAAAAGACAGCAGCGCCTCTCTGACCTCTTGGTCTCTGGACAGAAGGAGCACATTTCCTACGTCATATCTGTAGCTTATAATCAAGTAGAAAACTTGCTCTGTCCTCTGCGAGTGAAGTCTGTCACCCTTGGGAACCAAGAGCACAAAGTGGCTGGAGGGTCATTCTAATTGTGGTCAGGACATGCCTGAATTCACAAAGTGGTTCCGAGAACCAAGTATCCTTCACTTTGGGGGACACAGCAACACAGCTCTGCTGACAGGCAGCCAGCCCCTTGCTACCCAGCCGCTGCTTGCTCTGGACTCTCCTCCAACCGCGAGGGGCTCTGGGAATCGCAGTCCCTCCCGGCGGGGATCCAGGTGGCCAAAGTTGTGGGAAGCCGGCGGTCTTTGACGGAAGTGCTGGAACCACAGTCGGTTCTGGGAATTGTAGTTGTCTGAGGATGGAGCTTTTGGTTTCAGGAGCCTGAGGCCGCAGAGCGTTCTGAGAGCTGTGGTTGCCTGATGACAATGCCCTTAGACTGGAGGCGCCCCAAGCTTCGCTGCACGGCTTTCTGCGAGTTTTTGTGTGTGGACGCTCCTCCCCCCTACCCCGCACGCTGAGGCCACCGTGTGTCCTGGGAAGTGTTGTCATCTGAGGGCCAGGGTCGCTGTCCCTGGTGCTGCGGGTTTAGGAGGTTTGGGGAAGGTTTGGAGTGTGATGGAGAGCACTCCCCCGCCCCAACGTGCTGAAGTGCCGGTGGATCACGAAGCGCAGTGGTCCGAGGTCTCCGCCTCCCCTACAGCACTGTCGCGGATACCTTGACCCTGCGGAGTTCTGGGAATTGTAGTTTGTGAGGAGAGACTTCCTCCCACTGCAAGCTGAGTTCGCGGAGGGCCCTGGGAAGTGTAGTTGTCTGAGATGTGTTCTGTCAGCGGCTGGCGCCGCCGGCGTGAGGATTTCAGTGTGCGAGGGGGAGTCCGTCCACTGTTTGCTGAGACCCAGGTGGGTGAATCGGTAAATGCAGTTCTCTAGGACCCGCACTACCGTCTCTGGCGCCGTGGTCGTGGGGGGTTCTGGCAGTTGTAGTGCGCGACAGGAGCCTTCCTCCCACGCGCTCCGAAGCCGCGGTGGATCCTGGGGAATGCTGATGTTTGGAACCTGCGGCCTGGTCCAGGGGTTCGGTCCCTGAGGCTCCGGAAGGCGCAGTTTAAGGGCCGGGACGCAAACGCGAAAGTCTGGGATTCTTGGGCTGGAGGTAGGTCAAGGCCCCCAACGCCCAGCCCATGCCGGCATTCCCGCAGGCAAGCCTGTGGGATGACCGTCCGGAACTGGGAACGCTTTGCGCACCCTGCCAGAATCGCAGAGGAAGCGCGCCGTCCCGTGACCCCATTAAAAGAGGCGCTGGGCTCGTGGCAGCAAGGGAGCTCTCAGGAGTGCCCGGGGCCTGCTGGGTTCCCTGACCCCGTGTGCCAAGGACGGAGGCTTGTGCAGCGAGGGGAACCCCCTAGCGGGAGGACCGGGTTCCTTGCGCACTGCCCGCGGGCCTGCCGCTAAGGGCTCCTTTCTTTCCCTCCAGCTCTCCCAGTCTACACTGCCCCGTTCTCCTCGGCCTTGCAGTGAGCATGTATCAGGTAAGCTGGTGCTTCCTTTCTTCTAAGTGAAGCTATGATTTTCAGTCCTTAGGGACTTCCGGCCCCGTGGAACCTCAGGACCCAGCTTGGCTCCTCCCCTCCAGGCGCTGGTACTTCGGTGGGTGTCAGAGGGCTGGCAGGAGGCTGTTCCGGTGTGGGCGGGGTTTCTGACCTGGCAGGTGTCTTTTAGCAGGTAGGGAGCCAGCTGTTCTCTTGCCTCCTCTTTCTCCCTTATTCAGTTGAGATCTTTAAATTTTTATCTCTTGGCCCAGCTGCCCTTCATGCATTTATTCATCATATTTATTGAGCACCTAGTTACAGCACCTGTACCTGGTCTCAAAGGGTGATTCCCCAGACCAGCAGTGTCAGCGTCACCTGAAAACTTACTAGAAATGCAGGTTTTTAAAAAGATTTTTATTTATTCATTCCTAGAGGGGGAGAGAGGGAGAGAAACACAAGTGTGAACAGAGACACTGATGTGAGGGGCTGCCCTTCATATGTGCCCGCCCCTCATCAGGCCCGCAACCCAGGCATGTGCCCACTAGGAATCCAACCAGTGACCTACCACTTTGCAGGACGACACCCAACCAACCGAGCCACACTGGCCAGGACTAGAAATTCATGTTCACGAGCCCTACTCTAGACCTTCTAAACCTGAAACTGGGTGTCTGCTTCAGCAATTTGTGTTTTGACAGCCCCTTCAAGTGGTGCTAATGCCTGACCCATTCTCAGTCTTGGGGATCCAGCAGTGAGCAAAAGAAAATCTCTGAACTTATGGAGTTCATTTTCCATACATGACATCGAGTTTATTTTAGAGCAGGGAATGCTGATTATTTTTGTTTTGGATGTGGCTAAATGCCTGGCTGGCAGTCATGCTTCTCAAAGGTGGATAAGATGCCAACCATTCCAAATTAGTCCCTGTGTTTTATTTATTTATTTGTTTATTTATCGAAGATTCTATTTATTCATTGTTAGAGAGAGGGGCAGGGAAGGAGAAAGAAGGAGAGAAACATCAGTGTGTGGTGTTTCTCTCAAAAGGCAGGTGCCCTGACTGGGAATCAAACCAGAGAACCTTTGGTTAGCATCCAGTACTCAATCCACTGAGCTACACCAGCCAGGGTTGTTTTTATTTTGAATTAATTTATTTTTAGAGAGAGGGAAACGTTGATGTGAGAGAGAAATGTCGATTAGTTGCCTCTCATATGTACCTGAACTGGTATATAAAACTGAACTCACAATCTAAATGTGTGCTCTGGCCTGGAATCAAACCAGTGACCTTTCACTTTGTGGGACGATATCCAACCAACTGAGCCACACTGTCAGGGTTGTCCCAGTTTTATGGGTTTTTTTAAATATAAGATTTGTTTGTTTGTTTATTTATTTTTAGAGAGGGGAAGGGAAGGTGAAAGAGAGAGAGAAACACCGATGTGTCCCTCTGTTTTTAAATCCACTCTCAGTCCTACTTTTTGTCATAGTTGTCTCCAAATCCGAGCTTTCTAAGTTGTGCTCAGGAGTCCAAGTTCCACCCGTGCTACAAATCCCCCTGTTTACTCTAGGAAACAGCTTTATTCTCTATCACTGAATAATCTTTATCACTTAAAAAAATAACTTTGCCATACATTTTGGGCTGTTACTGGCTTGGGACCTTCTTTTTTTTTTTTAATTTCATTCACTTAATTTTAGAGAAAGGGAAAGGGAGGGAGAAAGAGAGGGAGAGAAACATCCATGTGTGGTTGTCCCTCGCACACCCCCAACTGGGGACCTGTTGGGGCGTGTACCCAGGCATGTACCCTAGACTAGGAATCAAACCGGTGACCTAGCGGTTCACAGGCCAGTACTCAAGCCACTGAGCTACACCATCCAGGGCTGAAATTCCTTTTTATGTGTAACAGTTATGTGGATCCCTCAACAGGTGCAAGTCTAGGCGCTTATTGTTCCCTCTAACCCAGAGGGAGGCGGAGGCGTTACATTCCCTCCTCTGGAGGTCCTACCCTCTGCTGCTTACCTTCCCTGTTCCGACATTGCTAAAGTTGCCTCTGAGTTTCACAGCTACTGGCCAGGTGGCTCAGTTGGTTAGAGCATTAACCCCATATATCAAGGTTGCAAACTTGATTTCCTAGTCAGGGCCTGTGCAAGAATCAACCAATGAATGCGTAGATAACTGAAACAACAAATTGATGTTTCTCTCTCTCGCTCCTTTCCTCTATCTCTCTAAAACAATTAAAAATTAAATTTCACAGCTATTTCTTCAGAAATGGGGACAACTATGATAAACCTGAGAATGAATGCATATCACATTTCAAGGGTATGGCTGCTATGGGCTACAGCTAGTTGCTATCAAGAAGAAATTCTTGCCAAATCAAGGTGAAATACACTGGTATTAAGGACAGTAACCATTGCCTATGAAGGCATGGTCGTCAAAGGAATTGTCTTCACTATTCATAAAGTGCTGTAAGTGGTTTTATAACCAAAGCCAGAAATCCCATATTGTTTACATGTATAATTTTTTTACCTTTCACAAAATTGTAAATTATCTCAGGACAAATCACATTTTTTTCTCATTTTTTCCATTAAACAAAACAGCTCTACTCTTAGTTATACTGTCAGTGATCGCTCAGAATTCAGAAACCTCCCATTGCCATCACTTGTATGCACTTTCTGCCCTTGACAGTGGGATGCATTGCACTACTCAGCAGGGCCTTGGGGAGCACTGGTGCTCGTGGCGCAGGTGCCGTGTGTCATTTCAGGGGTCAGTGACGTTCAGAGACGTGGCCATAGACTTCTCCCAGGAGGAGTGGGAATGGCTTCAGCCTGCTCAACGAGACTTGTACAGACGGGTAATGCTGGAGAACTATGGTCACCTGGTCTCACTGGGTAAGTGTTCCTCCTCCTCACCCCTCACGAAGAAGTAACCCTTTAGTGTTACTGTCGTGAATCTTGATTATCTGCCTGAATATTCCCAATGGAGGTATGGTCCCCCTTTTTAAATTTGTTTTTAAGATGGAGATTATAATGCCACCTACTCTTTAGATACCTTTTATACTTAACATCTGACATTTCTTTTAATGGTCGCTCTTTCCTGAAGATTCGAGAAGTGATTTTGAATTTATTTCATTTCTTCAAGCAGGTCTTCACATGTCTAAGCCACATGTGGTTTCCTTATTGGAGCAAGGGAAAGAGCCCTGGCTGGGGAAAGATGTGAGAACAGACTTCTTTTCAGGTGAGTGAATTAGAAGTTGGTGGGGAAATTTTTAAAAATAACAACACAACTAGTCCGTGAGAAGGCAATACTTTGTTTATGTTGGTTAGAAAGTTTTCCCTTCTAGACACCAGAAATACAGAGATTATGAAGTCTTGCCCATAGCTCCATAAGGGACCACTTCATACCACTTACCAGTCCGCCTTCAGTGCTCATTGTAGCCTTTCCCCCACTTTCTCAGAGATATGTGTGTCTTCTCCTTCTGTCATTAGCTCTTCTGGTCTCTGAATTTCGTTTCTTTTTGATTTCTCCTCTTTCTTTTTTTTTTTAAGGTTTATATATGTATGTATGTATTTTTAGAGAGAAGGGAAGGGAGGAAGAGAGGGAGAGAAACATTGATATGCAAGAGATACATCAGTTGGTTGCCTCTCACACACCCCTAACTAGGGGCTGGCCTGCAACCCAGGCATGTGCCCTGACTGGGAATTGAACCCACAACCTTTTGGTTTGCAGCCCAGTGCTCAATCCACTGAGCCAAACCAGCCAGGGCAGGTTGGTTTCTTTGTGAACTTTATATAGAGGGGCTCACAGTGAATACATATACATAGAATGCATACGTTAGATTGTGAATTTTTTCCTCAAAATTAAGATTTATGTATTTTGCATATTGTTCTTACCATTTGTTTCATCATACAAGTAAGTATACCCCAATTTATCCAGTCTATTATTGAGGGCTTCTTGGGTTGTTTGCAGTCTAGGGCTGTTGTAAGCTATGTTGTGATTGTCCCTGTATCCTGGTCCACAGTAGGCAGTATCCTACTGCCATAGGTATCCTGGGGCGGGGTGTAGGATTGGAGCTGCTGGGTCAGAGGATAAGGCATCTCTTCCACATCATTAGATAATGTCAGAATGTTTTCCAGAGTGCTTTTCACAGACATACACTCCACAAATATATTAAGTGGGTTCTTGTTTTAGTTTTTGTTTTGATAGTTTGGAACAGTGAGTGGTAATATTTCAATAATTCACCAAGCTTCTGACTTACAAAGATTTCTGGTACAATTCACTGATTCGACAACTGAGCAGTTTTTTTTTTTTTTGGATACTTTTTTATGTTTTTTAATTACAGTTGACATTCAGTACTATTAGTTTCAGGTGTATAACCCAGTGATTAGACATTTATACAACTTACAAAGTGATCACTTCAGTAAATAAGTATTATCGGACACCATGCATAGTTATTGCAATATTATCGACTACATTTTCTACACTGTACTTTGTATCCTGTGACTATTCTGTAACTACTGACTGTGCTTCTTAATCTCTTCACTACTTTTAACCATTTTCTCAACTCCTCTCTCCCATCTGATAATTATCAAAATATTCTGTGAGTTTGTTTCTATTTTGTTTTTTAGATCCCACCTAGAAGTAAAATCATATAGCATTTGCCTTCTTCTGACTTATTTTACTCAGCACAATACCCTCTAGCTCCATCCATGCTGTTGCCAGTGACCAAACTTCTTGTTCTTTTTCTTTCCTTTTTTTTTTATGTGAGTCATATTTCATAGTATTTACAGGGTGGGGCAAAAGTAGGTTTACAGTTGTGAGTGCATGAAACAATAGCTTATTCTTGTATTATTTTCTATACAAACAACTGTAGACCTACTTTTGCCTCATCTTATACATACCATTTTTTAAATTATTTTTTTAATTTTATTTCATTGTTCAAGTACAGTTTTCTGTCTTTTACTCCCATCCCAGCTCACCACCCCAGTGCTCCCCACCTCCCTCCCATTTCCACCCCCCTTAGTTTTTGTCCATGTGCCCTTTATACTTGTTCTATAAACCCTTTAAACCCTCTAAAAGGGGTACTTTCCCCTTTTCCCCTGAAATTCCCTCCCCTCTCCCCTCTGGTCCCTGTCAGCCTGTCCCCTATTTCAGTGTATACCGCTTCTTTTTATCCACTGATTTAGTGGTGGAGACTTAGGTTGCTTCTATATCTTGGCTATTGTAAATAATGCTGCAATGAACATATGGATACATGTGTTTTTTCAATTTAGTGTTTTGAGTTTCTTTGGATAAATACTTGGAATTGCTGGGCCCTTCTTAGACTCTTACAGCCTTTGTTTTGCTTTTTATCCTCATTGGTCTGGGAAATCATAGAACAAATAGTATGCAGCTAGATCTGGACATAGTTTTCTCAGCGGATCTTTTCTTTATCTGTTGCAGTGGATTTTTATATCTTGTCCCTGATCTTTTTTACATTTTTTTACTCTAAATACTTAACTTTTGTTTCTTTTTCTTTTTTTAGATTTCATTTATTTATTTTTAGGGAGAGGGGAAGGGAGGGAGAAAGAGAGGGAGACAAACATCAATGTGTGGTTGCCTCTCACATGCCCCCTACTGGGGACCTGACCCACAATCCAGGCGTGTGCCCTGACTGGGAACTGAACTGGTGACCTTTCAGTTCTCAGACCAGCACTCAGTCCACTGACCCATACCAGCCAGGGGTTCATTTTCATTTCTTATGTCATTGTTTTCTTTTCTGTCTTCACCCTATTTATTTTCTTAGCTCCTGAAGAGAATTATTCAGTTCATATCCCCAAAGCTCTCATAGAGGTACTCAGAATATATAGAATTGGTTTATAGAAGAGTTGTGAAAGTAATTTAAGACTTCCCGTTATTGCAATGATCATTTTCTTAACAGCTAACTCACTGCCTTCCCTCTCTTATTTTTTCCCTTTTTTTTGGGTGCATACCATATGTAGGTATATATCTTGGTTCATTGCTTAAATGCATATTAAAGAAATATGAGGTCTCTTTACTTTTCTGTAGAAGCTTACAGTCAGTGATAATAAAAGACAGCATTCCCTCCAAACAAAATGTCAAAGCATGTTTTAAAGAAAAACGTGTGTGCTCGCTTCGGCAGCACATATACTAAAATTGGAACGATACAGAGAAGATTAGCATGGCCCCTGCACAAGGATGACACGCAAATTCGTGAAGCGTTCCATATTTTTTTCTTTCTCTCTTTTTTGCCTTGAGAATAAACAGACAACTGAATACTGTGGGAAAAAAAAACGTGTTTTTTTAAGTGTAATAATTTTGGGAATAATTTTAAACTTCCATAAAAGTTTGAAGACTAGTACAGAGAATACCCGTATGTTTATTTGCTACCATTTTACCCCATTTTAAAGGATAATTTAGTATATGAGTTTTTCCAGAAACTTTTGTGCATATGTTGTATACATCATGGACTTTTAATCCTACGTATTTTATAAGACTAAGAATATGAGAGAATGTACATTTTTAGAGACCTTCATGTTATTATAAAATCCCCTTCCCCCCAAATGACTAAGTGTCTGTGTAAAATTTAGCCTGAAGATAATCAGGGCCCCTGCTTGTCTATCAGAAGCGTCTGGTAGAAACACTGTCACGGCAAAATTTGAAAAGTAGAAGTAGAGTGAGCAACATAGAAGGTGATTTTCGGAGAAACCTTTTATTATTTTACTTCGAAGAAGTTACTATTCCAAAGGCATTGGGTGGGCAATCCGATATCTTTGTGGGACTTGAGGAGCACTTGCAGTGTGTTAGCATAACAAAATTTTCATTTTCAGGTCATTCTGGCAGCAAATAAACAGAAGTGAGGAAAACTAGAAACCTTCCCTTCCCAACTGCTTCTCTTTTCCAAATCCCTCACTTTCAGTCACCTCGATTTAATTTCTCTCCCTATTCAATTAAATCTCTCTTCTGTTTGATGTCTTTTGAATTACTGGGCTTAGAATGCTTAGATTTCAAAGTCACATGTGACAAATATGAAAACATTTCATACTGAATTTTTTCATTAAAAAAGGGAGAATGGCTTTCATTTCACTCCATACAGAAAATAAGAAACATTGCTGTGTTTTTTTCGGTTTCAGGGTTGAATGGTGTGATCACAGAGTTCTCTCCAAACAGTGTTATGTATGAAGATGACCCATCCCAGTATCTGATAAAGGAGAGGATTCTGAGCTACAGCCCTGAACAGTCCCGTTTTAAAGGAAGCTGGAAATGTGAGGATGGTACTGAGACACTACAAAGAAATCAGAGATGTATCAGGCAAGTGACAGCCTCTCATCAAGAAGCCCTGTCTCGACACAGTGTCAGTGCCATGGAGAGGCCATATGGGTGCCACGAATGCGGAAAAACTTTCAGTCGGCGCTTTTCCCTGGTGTTACATCAGAGAACTCACACTGGAGAGAAACCATATGTATGTAAGGAATGTGGCAAAACCTTTAGTCAGATCTCAAACCTTGTAAAACACCAGATGATACACACTGGGAAGAAACCCCACGAGTGTAAAGACTGTCGTAAAACGTTCAGTTACCTTTCATTCCTCATTGAACACCAGAGAACACACACTGGGGAGAAACCCTACGAATGTACTGAATGTGGGAAGGCTTTTAGTCGCGCCTCCAACCTCACCCGGCATCAGAGAATTCACGTAGGGAAGAAACAGTATACGTGCAGGAAGTGTGGGAAAGCCTTCAGCAGTGGCTCAGAACTCATCCGGCATCAGATCACACACACCGGAGAGAAACCCTACGAATGCGTTGAATGTGGGAAGGCCTTCCGCCGCTCTTCACACCTCACTCGACATCAGAGCATTCACACCACCAAAACCCCCTACGAATGTAACGACTGTAGGAAAGCCTTCCGTTGCCACTCCTTTCTTATTAAGCATCAGAGAATTCATGCTGGAGAAAAGCTCTACGAATGCCACGAGTGTGGTAAAGTTTTCACATGGCACGCATCCCTGATACAGCACAGGAAAATCCATACTGGAGAAAAACCATATGCATGTACCGAATGTGAGAAAACCTTTAGTCGGAGCTTTTCCCTCATTCTACATCAGATAACTCATACCGGGGAGAAACCCTATGTATGTAAGACATGCAATAAATCCTTCAGCTGGAGTTCAAACCTTGCTAAACATCAGAGAACACACACTCTAGAGAACCCCTATGAATATGAAAATGCATTTCATTACCATTCATTCCTTACTGAACACCAGGGAATTCACACTGTCGAGAAAACCTAAAAATGTACGGATTTAAAAACACAGCAGCTAATGCCTTACTTTGACTTGAGAGCCTTAAGTGATGTGTTGAAATTGAAGACATTGTCCCATACCTGGAGGAAGACCCCAGAAATATATGGGAAAGCTATTAAAGCTGCTTTTTTTGTAATATCAGAAAATGCAGTCAGTATTAAGAGGACTCCTCATCTGGTAGGATTCCCTTACTCTACATTTACTGATTCCTACCAGGAAAGGGATGCAAGTCCAGTGCACGTGAGAAAGCTGTCCCTCGGAGATTAGCTCCAGCACGGATGAACACATGGGTAAGGACAAATGCGTGACTCCTCCCAGGACATCAGAAAATGTATACTGAAGTCAAGTCATACATACAAACACCGTGATTTGAGAATGCCTTCATGTTCCATGCACTGTTTGTAAAATTTTAAAAGTCTTTTAAAGGAGAAAAAGCAGCCCTTTACATGAACTGAATATAGATTGACTTTTTGCAATATCTTAAATCTGTAGAATTATAATGGGGAAAACATACCATTATAATGGGTATGGGAAAATCTTAGCATTCTGAGAAGTCATACTGGAGGGAATTAGTGTGGGGATTTTCTTTTTTTACAGAAGGAATGTTTTGGTCTTTTTCTAAAAAAGCATATTCAGAAAAGAGCTATACATGCTCTTTGATTTATAGTTAAGCTGGTACGTGCTGAGATTTTCCTCCCACAGCATGAGAGATTCTGAAAATGCAGCTATCACAATGTCGACGTGAATAAGGTAGTGTGCTTTGATGGAAACATTCTACAAACATAACTGTAGAAACGTTGGTGTCTCACGGTTTTAACTAAGACAGTGTTTGGATTTAAGGTTATGCTAACGCACATTTATCCTTGAATCTGACTAGACATCTCTTAGTCAGAAATCAATGTTAATAAGGTATATCACAGGGAAACCAAGAGTAGTTTTTTCTTTTGTTGCACTTACAGTAAGAACATTTATTTTGTAAAACCATCCTTGTCTAAATAAATTCTGTTGTGTTCACTTTCAGTGTACACCTTGACCATTTTTTAATGTCTCAGGTAAAGGTTTATCTTCTCTGAAGCAACTGATCGCCTCTTATAAGAACTTGCCTCACACCTGGTGTTTGTGATATGCAATTTAGTAATTGACTAAGTGCTTCATTTATTTTTTCCATGTATATGTAAATTTTACACAAAATGAGAGGGCTAGCATTTTCCTTTGCATTCAGCGTGACAACAGAACATACAGCTGCCGCTTAGTAATTGTTTTTCTAGAATCACCCAGGGAGTTATACTGGTTTTTTTTTTTAATTTAATTTATTTAAGGGGAAGGGAAGGAGAGAGGGAGAGAAACATCAATGTATGGTTGCCTTTCATGCGTCCCCTGCTGGGAACTGGCCTGCAGGGAACCGGCCTGCAACCCAGGCATGTGCCCTGACTGGGAATCAAACCGCGATTGTCTGGTTCGTAGGCCCGCGCTCAATCCACTGAGCTACACCAGCCAGGGCAATTATACTGTTGTTTAAACCCTCCCTTTCCCTGGTGCTGCCAGCACGGTTCCTTTCCCCAGCACTGTGGGCCCCATGGGGGGGTGGGTCTCAGTGAACAAGAATGTATTTGTTATTTCAGAGGTTTGTTAACATTCAGAGGTGTAGCCACAGACTTCTCTAAGGAGGAATGGGGCTAACTGTACCTTGCCCAAAATAATTGATATTGGGATGTAATGATGGGGAACTCTGTGAAGCTTGTCTAAGGAGGTTACCATTCCTCCAAATTGACTGAATTTAGGTATCTTTGCAATCTCCCTAGGAAATACTGGGGGCAGGGGGTAGGCTCTGAGTTGCACGGCTGAATTTCTTCCACGTCCTTGAGGAAATGATTACAAATGGGTAGAAGTGGGAAGTGGGTGCATTTTCCTCCTGCTCTTGTTCTTAAAATAGCTTTTTAAGAGATTGGGTCTGGAGTTGAGGAAAACTGTATTTTGAAGTATCTATTTTCTCTCTTGTAAGCAGGACTTTTTATTTCTAAACCCAATGTGACCTCCTTATTGGAGCAAGGGAGAGAGTGATGGATAAAAATGTGACAAGAGGACTATGACCAGGTAAGTGAGGGGCAGCCAGGCAGGAAGTGCCTTTACAGGAAGTTCCGCACACAGATACAGTATCTGATTCATTTGATCAGAAATAAAAACTTATTCCTCCTTTATGCAACATCATTCAAAACTACATAACTCATCTAAAAAGTTCACTTATTTATTTGTGCTAAGATATTTCAGAAAGTAAGAACTATTATTCTAAAAACCCAAAATGCAGATAATTCCTAGATTATACACTCGCCACTGTAAAAAGACAATGAATACTTTGTGGATGTTTTTGATGATACAGTATGCTTTGTCACTGCAAGAAAGTACTGGCAAGGTTCATAATTGCCTTCTTTCACTCAATTTTAGCATATAAATATGTTACATCTTCCCATATTTAATACATCATTTGCTACAAGCTGTGGCACTTTCCAGAGGTAGAAGACAATAAAATATAGCCTGTTTTTTCAAGATGAAATTTAGTAACAATAGGAAGACACTGTGAGATATAAAAGCAAACAGCAGGAGAAAAATATATGCTGTTGCACTTTAAATTACTTGCATAAAATCTCAGGTCCAATTTGTATTGTACTGTTGAGACAAAGAGACAATGGCAATACATAGTGTGACCATCTCCGTACATGTGAAGGGGTAAATATCCAGTCTGAACATTTTGATCTATGTAGTATAAGAAGTTTATTTCAGACACAGTTTTCTTAGGTTTGCATACTCAAGATATGTGAGATTTATAGGAAACATAGTCAGGAATGCAGCTACTGTATTTTCATACTCTGTTGTCATGGTTATTCAATTACCCATACATTGTAAAACCATCACACTCCCAACGCACATCTCTGTCCTTTAGAGAGGAGCACATAGGTAATCTTCCACACAGCGCAGGGTACCTTGTCCTGGAATGCGACTCCATATGTAACAATTTTTGTGTGAAACCTTTTCTGAATTAGCATTTGCCTTTAGTGTAATTCTCTTGTATACAAACAAAGTGTACAGCTGAGGGACTGTCAACTTTGGACACTGCTAGATGCAGCTGTCACGTACTGCCTGTCAACTATGGTCACAACCGTTTTTTGGTCACTATGGTCACTATGACCCCTTCAACTGAATGCAGCGTTATTATGAGACTGGGTTTAACTGCTATTTATAGTATCTTCAGAAAATCTGCTTCAAGACAGGATGCAGTATTGTGCCAGCAACCAGGTAAAGCAGATAAATTACAAAGTCATTTGTGTCTTTTCTTTTGATTGTTGACACTATTACAGATGCCCCCATTTCCCCTGCCTTTGCCCACCGACACCTGGTCCCCCCAACACCACACTGTTGTCCATGTCCATGGGTCATGCATATATGTTCTTTGACTAATCTCTTCACCTTCTTTCATGCAGCCCCCCTCCCCTCTCTGACAGCCGTCGGTCTGTTCCATGTGTCCATGCTTCTGTTTCTATTTTGTCAATTTATCTCATTCATTAGATTCTACATATAAGTGAGATCATGTTATTGGTCTTTCTCTGGCCTATTTCATTTAGCATAATCTCCAAAAATCATTTTTGAAAGGCATCCCGGAGCTGTGGAAGCAGAGGCCTAGATGAACCAAAGTTCTGTACAGGGACAATGCCTCGGAGGTAACCTGATAATCACAGGCTACTTGGCCCTTGTAAGCATCTCCTGTTTTCACTGTGGGCCTGGGGGAAAATCACAGGAGTTTCAGGGCATCGCTGGTGGCGGGTTAGAAACATGAGCAGCCTCACGCACAGCTGGTTCTTTCACGGGGACACTGCTGAGTCTTAGGGCTGTGCAGGTGGCTAGGGAGTTGGAGTCAAAGCTTCTACAAGGCGGAGTGAAATACCAGCAGTGTCTGCAGTGTTTAGGAGTGAAAAGCCCACCAGGGAAGGGTAACTGCCTAAAATACATGGTCAGCCTCTTCCTCAGCCATTGGTCAGATTTTGACTGTTGGTCGGAATTTGAAGCGACCTGGGGCAGGAGGTCAGGGAGACTAACCCCACACAATCCTTAGATTTAAAAGCCTAGGAGAGTCATACCCAGAATACAAAGGCTAAACAGAGGAAACATTTCAACCCAGCTCAGTCTGTGACTGGACTGAGGCAATTGGCCCCTCCAACTCTCAGGGAGAAACTCTATGGTAGAAGGTGATGTAACCTGGAGCCGCTGCGCTTCTCTGAAACATAATGTCTGGAATACAATATACATTTCTTACATTACAAGTGAGTTGAAGTCATGACATACATTACTTTGAGACTTTCCTGTTTATGTTTAAAATGTCTCAATTTACTTATTGTCTTAAAAGAACTCTGTATGCTGAGGAAATGAGACAAAGCCAGTGTGATCTTTTAAAAACAATTTCTCTTATGAAAGATTATTAAAGACCTTCTAATAGCTCTTCAAATAAAAAAATACACTTGTACCATAGCTGGTAAGGTCTTTTATGATCTGGCCTACCTTCCAACCTGGTTTCATATACTCTTCTCCTTACCCCCTCGCCCAGTTTTCCAGTTGTGAAGGAAAAAAAAAAAAGCTAAAATCGGAATGGTGACTTCTGTTCTGGCAGCCTATTGCTTAAATCCTGTTCCTCCTCCACTACCCCCATGGGGTCTAAAAAGAGCCCTGTGCCCTTTAACAGTACTTTCAAAAAGCTTGCCTTAGCCCCGGCTGGTGTAGCTCAGTGGATTGAGCGCGGGCCTGTGAACCACATGATCGCAGTTCAATTCCCAGTCAGGCACATGCCTGGGTTGCAGGCCAGTTCCCAGCAGGGGACTCACAAGAGGCAACCATACATTGATATTTCTCCCCTTCTCTCCTTCCCTTCCTCTGTAAAGATAAATAAATAAAAATCTTAAAAAAAAAAAGCTTGCCTTTAAAATGTTGGAGGCAGAACATGTGGTTTTAAAAATGTAAAAAAATAAATCTTAAATTTATAAAAGGGACAGAATCTATATACCCAACTATAGTTGAAACAAATCTATTTACAACTTTGAAGATATTAAAAACAATGCTTTTGATAATTAGGACATCATGATGGAATGAATTGTTTTCAAGAAAAAATATAAAAAATAATCAGTTAATCAATTTTTACTTATATCCCTCCAGGATATCTTCAACTGACACAAACATACACTAACAATATATATTTTACTTATTTGTGTTTAAAGATTTCATTTAGTTTTAGAGAGGGGAAGGGAGAAAGAAAGAGAAGGAAACACTGATGTGTGAGAGATGCATCGACCATTGCCTTTAGCAGGTCCCTGACCTGCGACCTGGCCCACAACCCAGGCATGTGCCCTGACCAGGAATTGAACTGGCGACCCTTTTGTTTGCAGGCTGGTGCTCAATCTACTGAGCCACACCAGCCATGGCAGGCAGCATAGATTTTAAGAAAAGTGTGGTCATACTTCAGTATTTTGTAATTGTACTTCAAAAGCACAATATATTAAATACATCCCACGTATCTGTAAATATATAATTACACTTCTAAAAAGATTGCATTTTATTTCTAGAGAGACAAGGAGGGGGAATGAGAGGGAGAGAAACATGGATGTAAGAGAAAACAGCAACTGGTCGCCTCTTACGCGCCCTGACTGGGAACCAGACCTGTAGCCTGGGCGCGCGCTCGGGTGGGATCGGACTGGCAGTCTTTCAGCTGCTGGGACAATGCCCAGCCAGCTGAGCCACACTGGTTTTAGTGACTGGTTTTAACTACATTTCAATGACTGCATTACATTCCATTTTACGATTAGCTATTATTGGGAATTTAGGAATTTTCCAGTTTTTCACTTGAGCACGAAACTGAGATGACTGCTGTTACTTACACATTCATGCATTAAGAGTTTTTTTTTTGTTTTTGCTTCATTTTATAAAGGCTCAGAAGACAAATATTTCGGACATATATTGCTTACCTGTCAACCTGAGAGAGTTGTATTTACGCCTCCATCAGTAGCCTAAAGGAGAACACTGGCCCCTCACCAATATCAGGTCATTTTACACCTTTGAATATAATACACAACGTAGCAGCATATGAACTCTGACCATACAAAGGACACTATATGAGCCTGTAACAGGGGAAAGGAAGAGAGGGAACGAGGGGGAGAATAATAAACGTTACACTGTAGTCCTCCTGACAGTCTCAGTTTCTGTGTGCCTGTCATGGTGGAGTATCTTTCTATGCCAAGTGTGACTCTAATGCTTAGGAAAAAGAAATTTTGACTACGTGCAATTTTTGCCTTATTTTAAGTTAACCTACCACAGAAATACTAAGCAAAAAAGTACTGAAAAACCTTAGGTGTATAAGTGAATTCCTACTATGGGCTAAGTACTAGGAGTAAAACAGTGAACAATGTTGACAAAGTTGCCACCCTAACAAAGCTCCCATCTGTGAGGGGAAGATACATAATTAGACAACACTGTGAAAGTGTGAAGTTTTGTTAAAAGAATTATAGGATAATTCATCATAAAGGATGACTAGGTCAGGTTAAGGTCCAGAGTCACGATATGTAGTAGAAGTGATATGCCTTGAAAAGATAGGTAACAGTTTGAGCATGAAAGGTCCTGTTAAAAGATTTTATCATAAAGGAAGAAAAAGGTGGGGGGGGGATTTCAGAGAATAATGTAAGCAGATTAGTACCTTAGATAGATCACCCTGGGAGCAGTGTTAAGAACCCATGAAAGGATAGCAAGAAATATAAACAATACTGACCCCTGCAGTATTGCTTGTTATTAGGAAACTCCAGGAGGGGAAATGGATTAACTACAGTACGATATCTCCATATAATCAAACACTAAGTGGCTATTAAGAATAAAAGAGAACTACATGTGCTGAAAGATATGTTTAAAAAGATAAGGAATGAAAGATGTGGCAATTTTTATAAAGTGATATATATGCATAGAATACACTATAACAATTTTTATAAAACAATATGCCTGTATGTACATAGAATAGTCTGAGAATGCACAGTCATCTAGAGTGTTAAAATTCAAAGGCAGCAGAATCTGAGGACTTTCCCTTCTATTGTGCATACATAGCACAGGTGGTTTTACATTTTCTCATATCCATGTATTTCATAATTAAGAAACACCAAGAATAAAATAAATATAAAAATAAAACATAATTGAAAGGATACTGTGGGGACTTCCGCCAAGCTGGAGGCATAGGTGGAGATGCCGTGCTTCCTCACACAACCAAGTTTAGAGTCAACTAAATATTAGCAACAGAAAACACAGCCAGAACACAGAAAATTGAACTTTTCGTAAGTCTGATAACAACAAATTCTTCAGCCTGACCGGTAAGAGGGGTGAAACCAGCAGCTGGCAGAGGGGTTGCACAGGAAAACTCAGTCAGACGGACTCAGGCGCATGGAATCCAGGCGCAGGGTTGGACCTGGTGGGCAACTCAGCGAGCGACCATGGGGAAACAGCAAGGGAGCCTGCAGGGCTGGGGGTTGACTGTGGTCGCGCATTGGTGAGTGGATAGACAAGTGAGGGAGTGGGCGATTGGATGGGAGCCAGCAGGCCCCAGTGGTGAGCAGCAGCGGAGGGCGCTACCATTTCCCCGCTCTGACCCTGCCTCCACATACAGCGTCATAACTCAGTGACTTAAGTGGCCCTGCCCTGGTGAACCACCTGAGGCTCTGCTCCATACCCAGTGGTGCAAAACTGCAGAGGGGGCCACCATTTCCCCGCTCTGACCACGCCCCCACATACAGAGTCACAACCCAGCGACCTGGGAGTCCAAGGCTCTGCTCCTCGTACTTAATGTCGGCGAACAGAACAAAAATGGCTCAAGAAGATCTCAAAGCCCCAGAGCCTATAAATCTAAGCGATGAAGAAATAGCAAGACTCTCAGACGCACGGTTTAAAACACTGGTGATCAGGATCCTCACAGAACTGGTTGATTATAGCCACAAATTAGACAAATATATGAAGGCGAAACTAACTGAAGTGAATGAAATTGCACAGGAAACCAATAGCAATGAAAAGGAAACTGGGACTCAAATCAATGGAGTGGACCAGAAGAAAGCAAATAATGGCCAAACAGAAAAGAGTCAAGAAGCAAGAATTCAAAAAAAAATGAGGAGAATCTTAGGAACTTCCAGGACATCTTTAAACGCTCCAACATCCGAATTATAGGGGTACCAGAAGGGGGAAAGGCACAGCCACCAGTGGAAAACTTATTTGAACAAATAATAAAGGAGAATTTCCCCAATCTGGCAAAGGAAATAGACTTCCAGGAAATCCAGGAAGCTCAGAGAGTCTCAAAGAAGTTGGACCCAAGAAGAAACACACCAAGGCACATCATCATTACATTAGCCAAGATTCAAATGAAGGAGAGAATTCTAGAAGCAGCAAGAGCTAAGGGGACAGTCACCTACAAAGGAGTCCCCATCAGACTGTCAGTGGATTTCTCAAAAGAGACCTTTCAGGCAAGAAGGGGATGGAAAGAGGTATTCCAAGTCATGAAATCCAAAGACCTACAACCAAGATTGCTCTATCCAGCAAAGCTTTCATTTAGAATGGAAGGACAGATAAAGTGCTTCTCAGATAAGATCAAAGTCAAGGAGTTCATCATCACCAAGCCCTTATTATATGAAATGCTAAAGGGACTTATCTAAGAAAAAGAAGTTAAAAAAACATGAACAGTGAAAGGACAGCAAACTCACAGTTATTAACAACCACACCTAAAACAAAAGCAAACTAAAAGGACAGATCAGGAGTGGAAACATAGAAATGAAGATCTCAAGGAGGGTTAGCAACAGGGGAGTGGGAGGAGGAGAAGGGGGGGCAAAGGTACAGAAAATAAGTAGCATAGACAGTAGATAGAAAATAGATGGGGGGGTAAGAATAGTATGGGAAATATAGAATCTAAAGAACTTGAGACACATGGTCATAAACTAAAGGGGGGTAATGGTGGGGACACGGGGGTAGGGTGGAGGGGATAGAAGGGGAATAGAACAACTGTGATGGCATAATCAATCAATCAATCAATTAAATTTAAAAAAAAAAAGAAAAGAAAGGATACTGTGGAAGCTGCATAGAAAACATCCTGGAACAAAGTAAGATCCAAGTCAGAGAAACCAGTGATGCGGCGGTTACAGTAGCATCCAGTGTGTTGGTTGAGACTGAGCCTGAATCTGCAGCTGCTGGCCTGCCAAGATTTTGTAGGTCAAAATTTGTACATAAACTTCAATCCCCAAGCAAGCAGAGCTCAACCCCCTTTTCTGAGTACCACTTAAGATAATCTCATACAAGGACTATATTTGTATATTGGACATAGAATATTCAACTGTACATGCCTGTGGATCTGCAGTCTTTTATTTATTTATTTAAAGATTTTATTTATTTTTAGAGGGGAAGGGAAGGAGAAGAGAGGGAATGAAACATCAATGTGCGGTTGCCTTTCGCAACCCCCTACTGTGTGGGGACGTGGCCCACAACCCAGGCATGTGCCCTGATTGGGAATCGAACTAGTGATGCTTTGGTTCTCGGACCCACACTCAATCCACTGAGCTACACCAGTCAGGGCTGCAGTCTTTTATTTTTTAATAACATTACTATATCTCATATACTGCTGTGAAGATAATCAAGAAGCTTATTTTTCCCACCTAAAAAGATGTCCAGATACATCAGTACAGTGCTGGTCCAACTATTTAAAGATGTCTTTGAGGAATTAGCATCTTTATTCTACTCCATCCATAAGCCATAGGGACAGGATGGTTCCTTCAGCTCTAGGAATGGAAAATTTAAAGGGAGAGGAATGGGAAACGCAAGAAGGCAAAAAGAACAAACAGATCTGTCACTAATGACACCGTCTATTTTGGGGTAATCTGGAATGAGGGATATGGCTACACTTGGCTGTAAGGAGGCTGAGAAGTTGTGTAACTGGGCATACTGGTCCTATGAGCCGAAACAGGGTCATCAGGATGGAAGTATGACCTTGTTTAATTGGTTACAGCAGTATCTGCCACAGCAGTGCAGAAAGTAACTCTCCAGAAAATACTAATAAAGTACTATAGTCCAGATATTCTACATGTAATGCATTATTAAATTTACAAATCAATGAGAAGGTAACTGAAAACCTTACGCCACATTACAAAATCATAATTCTAAATAGCTATGGGTCAAAAAGTTGTAATAAATATTAGACAAGTAGAATTAAGAGAAAATCAACATACAGCAATATGTGTTACATAGACAAAGGAATTTTTAAAGGACTACATATGTAGCTTTAAGTGCTTATTTTAGAGAACAAAGACTGAAATAGTGAAACTGGTCCACCTTAAGACAATGAAAAAGGTGACGACTCCACATTTGAAACACTTACAGGGATTCTCTCCTTGTATGAGTTTTCTTGTGTATGGTAAGTGAAGAATTCTGACTGAAGGCTTTGCCACACTGAATACATTCATAGGGTTTCTCTCCTGTGTGAGTTCTCACATGTCTCCTAAGGGAAGAGGAAACACTGAAGGTTTTCCTGCACTCCTTACATTCATAGGGTTTTTCCCCAGTGTGAGTTCTCACATGCATTCTGAGGGATGAGAGACCACTAAAAACTTTCCCACAGTCTTTGCACTCATAAAGGTTTTCTCCAGTGTGTATTTTCTTGTGAACTGTAAGGTGAGAACTCGTGTTGAAGGCTTTTCCACAGTCGCTGCATTTGTAGAGTTTCACCCCAGTGTGTATTCTCTTGTGCACTATAAGGTAAGAACTTGTTCCAAAAGACTTTCCACAATGATTGCACTCGTAAGGTTTTTCTCCAGTGTGAGTTCTCACGTGGGCCTTAAGAGATGTTTTTTGACTGAAAGCTTTCCCACACTGATGACACTCATAGGGTTTCTCACCCGTGTGAGTTCGTATGTGTCTCTTTAGGGTTGAAGAATCAGTGAAGACTTTTCCACATTCTTTACATTCACATTGCTTCTCGCCCCTGTGACTTCTTTTGTGCAAAATAAGATTAGAAATCCTTCTGAAGGGTTTTTCACACTGGCTACATTCATATTTCTCTCCAGTAGGAGGCTGCTCCTTTTGCTTAAGGGGTGAATGATGACTAAAAGTTTTGTTTTTATTACATTCATAGGAATTTTCCACCATATCAAAATTGTTTTGTATAGGAAGCATATTACATTTGAAATATATACCATGTTTGGAGTATGCGTACTCTTTTTGTGCTGTTTGGGCTCTTTCAAGATGCCATCTATCATATTCATGACTTTCATAGAACTTCTCAGTCACAGAGTTCTCATTATTCTTTAGGACTGATTTATGCTTCAAACACTCAATAGTTAAGTAACATTGACGGCAATGTTTGCTGATGGAAACTCTGTTTGAAAAAGCAAGTTTTGATCTAAGTTTAGAGTTTTCTTCTAATTCATGACAGTCATAGAATCTCTCCTGATATGCTGTTTTCTTTTGGGTAGATGTCATTTGCTTCAAATTACCCTCTGGGGTCTTGTGCTGTTTTCTGGTCTTGTGGCATTCCCAGTCTTGTATTAATGTGGAAGACCAATCACCCATTGTGAATCTTACCATTTTACCATTGGATGTTTTCCCCCCCAAAATATTCTGCTTTAGAGTTGACTCTTTGGTTGTAATTTGAATCTCCCAATCTAGATAGGTGCCTTTGGGTATTCTCCTTTTCATAGTTCTTATCTCTTCTTGTCCCAACTGGGAGATCACAGAAGGCCTGCATAATTGATAGGCCACTGAGGTGACATTTATGTAGTTTTCCAACATTACATCTCTGTACATACTTCTCTGAGTGGAGTCTAGCATCATCCACTCCTCCTGCGTGAACTCCACAGCCACATCTTTAAAGGTCACTGATGCCTGTACCCAGGTTGCTGGAAATCCAGCCACCATCCTTTCTTCTTCAGTATTTCTCGCATAGAAACAGGCAGAGTCCTGCCCCGGCCAGCATGGATCAGTTGGTTAAAACATCCTCGCATAACCGAAGGGTTGTGGGTTCGTTTCCTGGTCAGAACACATACCTGGGTTGTGGGTTCAGTCTCTGATCCAGTGTGTGGGGGAGGCAACTGATAGATGTTCCTCTCAGACACTGATGTTTCTTTCTCCCTTTTCTTCCTCTTTCTCTAGAAACAATGCAAAAAAAAAAAAAGTCCCCATGTGAGGATAAAAAAAATTAAAGAAACAGGCAGGCATTTCACTAAGCATCTTCCTTGTAGGTAAAGAGGCAGGTTCAGTTAAAAGAAGAAACATGGAAATAGGTACCCACTGGAGGCAAGGGGAAAAGAAAAAAAAGTCTTCCTCCTACTTCCCAGTAAGGTCTGACCAGCTTAAATCTTTATTGGGATTGTAATGACATGTAATCTAGTTATCCTCGGCCACCTTCCAAAACTGTCCTCTTGGTTATTTATACTGGCTTCTCCTGCAGAATATTTCTCAGTCCAGGGCGGAAGAAGTATGCATTACTAAAAAAAAATTAAAGCTGAATAGAACCAGTCAGAAAAAAGACATGGTTATTTCATTACATTTCATGCATACTTTGCTACTTTTTAAGCTTTTCTGTTAATGGAAAAATAATTTCCCTGATTAAAACAACTGTTTTAGGAAAATTTATGTATTCTACATATAACCTGGTTTACCTGAATAACCTCACGTATAATTAATAGGACTGATGATATGACTGGTACTTTGCTCAGGAATTTTATTGGAGTTGTTAAAGGTAGATATGTAACTTTGAAATAAATGTTCATTTGATTATGTACCTTCATATAATCTCCCCAAAGTTCTTATTTCCTCATGAGAAATCAGGCTAGCTAAAACTTGAACGGCACCAACAAAGAGGCATGAACTATGTTCCAAGCTTTAGGAGTGAGTGCTTAACAATATTAGATGGCACCCAAACAATAATAAAAAATATTTTAAAAAATTAATTCAACAAAGCTAAAAAAATATTACATGGTATAGAACTTTCCTGAGTAATTTTTATAAGAGATTTAACGTAACAAAACAAAACAACACGGTGTGAATACAAAAGACAAATAATGCTTGGAGACTTTTTAAGGATCATAGCAAATCATTCAATAATTTGCTAGTATCTATACAGGTTTTGCTTTTTTTTAAGGTTTTATTTATTTATTTTAGAGAGAGGGGAAGGGAAGGAGAAAGAGAGGGAGAGAAATATCAATGTGTGGTTGCCTCTTGAGAGCCCCACACTGGGGACCTGGCCTGCAACCCAGGCATGTGCCCTGACTGGGAATCAAACCGGCAACACTTTGGTTTGCAGGCAGGCACTCAATCCACTGAGCTACACCAGCCAGGGTAGGTTTCACTGTTTGAAGATGAGATGATAACCTTCAAATGCAAGCCTCCTACCTCAGCATTATACTTCAATAGAGTTCAGTTTTAATGGACAAAATTATGGAATTGGCACTTTAATTTAGACAGGTAGGTTCTATGTCCCTAAACCAGAGACATATTTAACTGTTACTTTAGTGTATATCCTATAGAAACAGATTTGTCTGTACTAGGATTATAATCCTGAAAAAAAAGTTTCCAGGAAATGAGATCCAACACAGAGATGAGGGAATGGATGAGAGTAAAGGGAAGTCATGAGCTGCATGTTAAAAAATAACCTGTAAACCCTGGCTGGTGTGGCTCAGTGGATTGAGCAGGGGCCTGGGAACCAAAGTGTCGCAGGTTCAATTCCCAGTCAGGGCATATGCCTGGGTTGCAGGCCAGGTCCCCAGTGTGGGGCTCTCAAGAGGCAACCACACATTGATATTTCCCTCCCTCTCTTTCTCCCTCCCTTCCCCTCTGTCTAAAAAGAAATAAAATCTTTTAAAATAAAAAAAAATGGTTGAAAAGCAGAACTATTATTGTTAGTATAAAGTGATAGTATAATGAACACTCTTGTACCCAGCACTCTATTAAACAGATCTGGAAATGACATTTTTAAGTATTTCAGAGTTTATTTCTGAATGATAAGAACCCTTCAAAAATCATAACCAGGATGTTATCACACCTATTAAATTAGCAATGACTCCTTAATATAAAAAAAGTACAGGCAGCGTTACATTTTTTGTTATCTCATGCTTTAAAAATTCTGTTTTTCTTGGATTCATAGTCCACCTAAGGTTTATTCAATTTTTTTTCTCATATAATTTTGTCTCTTAACTTAAGGTTTGCTTTAGAGAAATCATATTCTGTGATGCAGCCCATTAGCAGATTAAGGGATTAAGACCTTCAGGAAAAGCTCCTGAATAAAGAAACAAGGTCCCCAGGACCTGCCGGCTCCTCTAACTTCACTGACCGTAAAAGTCAATCAAACCCGCGCCAGCCCTTCCAGACCCGGCGCGGGAACGCCCCCCACTTGTCCAGCGCACCGCCTGTTCCCGCGTCCTCCACCCGTGGCCCTCGGCTTCAGGCCTCTGCAGCCCCCGTTTCCCCGGCTGCTTTCCGGCCTGGGCCTTTCCTGCTCACAGCAGAATTTGGGCGGCCACTCCCCATCGCCCCCTCCCACTCGTCGCGTCTCCTCAGGGTCTACCGGCTTCACCGCGCTCACCAGTCTGTTCAAACACCTGCCTCTCAGCGTCGGAACTACCCGGCCTCCACCCGGAGAGAGGAGAGCCGCGCTGGGCGCACCTCAGCGCCTCGAAGCAGCCTGGAGGAGAGCCGGGCTCGGTGGGGGGGGGGGGGGGGGGGGGGGGTGTCTCGCGGGGACCGAGACTACATTTCCCAGGAGCCCTCGCTCCGCCTTGCGGTGGGATTCTGGGCTTTGCGTCACGGCCGTGATTCGCGGTTCAGGGGGCCACGCTGCCGGGGACGCTAGTTGTGTGGGAGAGGCTCGGATGGTTCGCTCGGGGACGGGCCGGCGTGGGCGTGAGGGGTCTGGGCGCGCGCGTGAGGCGACGGGGACGTGCGGCGAGGCGCGGGGGCGTGCGCGGAGAGACCGCCCGGTTCTGCCGTCACGCCGGCTCTGCGGGGGCCCGGCGCCCCCATGGGAGACCCTGTTCTCTTCGAAGAGCCGCCGCTGCCACCGTCGTGACGGGATTGCTCCCTGTCGACCTTCCAGGGCTTCTCGCAGGTACGCGAAAGTGCTGGGTGCGTGTGGACCTCGTAGTCGGACGTGTATGGATGGACCCTCGTGGTCAGACCGCGGCTTCTGAGCCTCGTCCTGCTGGGGAGACGGGGATTTCATCAACAGTTTTTCTTCTTAACGGGGATGTTTTACCCCTTTGCATGAGTGACTTTTTCCCCTGGACGGTACTTCTGGATTCTTTGCGTAGTGTTATTAGGAACGTTGGTCAGGAATAATGCTACCCCTGCTGGTGACCTTGAGCCCTGTAATCTCGGTATTCTCTGTAATGCAGAACAAGGTTTCTAGAACTGTTGCTTCCCCACGCCCCGACTGGGACTGGTGGTTTGAGATTTCGTGTGCCGGCCTTTGCAGCGTCTGCCGAAAATGGTTACGCTCCCGTTTGTTGGAGTAGGAAATTTGTTTATGGAAAAGTTACGTTTCTAGGAGAAATCAGCGTGGTCACACTCGTTTTTAAAAATACGTACTTGAGCGTGTTGTGGAAGTTATGTGCTACCACCATTGATAACATAGGTTTACTTTGAATAAGTTTGGTAGCAGAAAGGGCTGGACAGATTTCTATTTCTCGGTTTAGTCTAAAATATTCATCAGTCTTCATCAGTTTTATCAGTGCTTATCAACGCTTGCAATGTTTAAGGTCAGGCAGGGTTGTGTGTTGTCGTAAAACATAAACATCTGTAGCTCCTAGCTTCCTGTTCTTCATTTTTGTTTAGTTTTGTTTTGTTTTACTCAAATAGATTAACTAGTGGTGTGTACGTGTTTAATCCGGTTTTATTTTTCAAAGACACCTCAAATTATTATAATTTTATTTCCCTTTGATACTGGAGTTATTAAATAGACATGATATATACCATTCAACATCTAATAGAAATGTCAAAGGAACATCTAGTAGGAATGTCAGGAGTCCACAGGTCCCACCCAAAGTACATGGAGAGGGTGAAGAATTTCAATTCTGTGTATACTTTAATAGCAGAATATATCGTTTAAAAAGGGGGAAGTAAAAGGGGAGACAGGATATTATACAGAATGTTACCTAACATTAGGCAGATTAGAGATGTCGACTGCAATTACCATCTACCTGGGAAATAAATACTTTAAAAAAAGACTTTGTTTATTTACTTTTTAGAGAGAGAGGAATGGGGGAGGAAGAGTTGTAGAGAAACAGAGATGTGTGAGAGATACGTTCATTGGTTGCCTCTCACACACACCCAACTTTGGACCTGGCCAGCAACCCAGGCATTTGCCTTGACCAGTAATGGAACTGGTGACCTTTTGGTTCGCAGGCGGATGCTCAGTCCAGTGAGCCAGGACAGCCAGGGCAAGTACTTCTTTTCCCATCATCTCAACACTGTAGTAACCTTTCTCTGCGACCGAAGTGTGACCTAATGTACTCTAAAATCAGTAAACATGTCCTTGGGTGAGTATAAAAAAGAAAAAGAAAATGTAACTGGGATTTTAAAAAAGAACTCCCATGCACTTTGCTCTCTTCTTTGTATCTTCAACTTCTTAAAATGTTTTGGAAGTGGCTCATTTCTTCATGAGTTAGTGAGAAAATTTTATTTGTAAAGGAGAAATACTACTAGAAATGATGATGCGTTTTCTTGGTTTTCATCACATAATTCAAGCACTGAAAGATTAGTTTAAAAAACATTTTAGGTTTTAAATAAAATGTTTATGTTAAGGAGAAAGAAGTTTCATGTTGTATTGGGTTGGCCAAAAGGCACTTAGTTGTCTTTAACTTCATTTGAAACAATTTCCCTATGTTGTGTTGTGATAGCTGTCATGTTAGTTTGCATTTAAAAGAACTTACCAAAATTGGTGAATTTTTATGTAGCCATTTTAATATTGGAGATGAAAGAAGATACATATTTTTGGCTTATTATGCTTTATTATTCCAAGAAAGGTAAAAATGCAACTGAAATGCAGCAGAAGATTTTTGTACTGTGTGGAGAATGTGCTGTGACTGAGGAATGTGTCAAGAGTGGTTTGTGAAATTTCTTGGTACTATTGACATTTTAGCCAAGTAATTCTTTGCTGTGGCACTGTCTTAATGCATTGGAAGATGTTTAGCATCAATCCTGGCCTCTCCCCACTAGAAGCCAATAGTGGGAGATAGTCGAAATACTCAGAATATCCAAATCAATAAAGTTATTGGTGAAAAAGAAAAATGTGTCTCCCATTTTTTGGAAAAAACTAAACGGACTTTTTGGCCAACCCAATATGTGTCTGTGACTTAGAACTAACACCACGTGCATTGTTTTTGCCCGTCTCCACACAACACCTCTCTGTTGTCTCATCCTTGCTTTTTCTGTTCATTTTATTATGAAAAAATTTGAACATACAGTTAAATTAAAAGATCTTTACAGTGAATGCTTGCAAGCACTTCTCCTAGACTACCATTAATGTTGTAATGTACTTGTATTAGCATGTACGTATCTGTCCCTGTCTCAATCAGTCTATCTTTTTCCCCCGATGTATTTCAAAGACTGTAGACATCAGTGTATTTTCCCTAGATACTTCAGAATACATGTACATTATTAACTAGAATTCCATATTTGTTTAGCTTTTTCTTTTGATGTAAAATTCACGTAAAATAGCCCTGGCTGGTGTAGCTCAGTGGATTAAGGCCGGGAACCAGACTGGGCGTACATTGATGTTTCTCTCCCCTCTGTCCTTCCCGGAAAGATATATTTTAAAAAAATTCACATAAAATGAGTTGTAGAAAATGAAAGTGTACATTTGATGAGTTTTCACAGACGCACCATCTTTCCTTTTGTGTCTCTACATATGTCTTTGCCATCTCTGCTGGCCCCAGAGTCCTAACTGTGTGGCTGCTGGGTCCTTTGCTGATCATTTCTTGCCCTTTGCAGATGCCAAATTCTTGTGAACTTATTCAGAGTGTAAACAGCTCCTGTTCTCTTTTATTAAGAAGCGTGTACTCCATATACCTGAGTGAAACACTGTCAACGACTAGGCCTTGCCTCTGGGTTTTGGCCCATAAGCATTGGGTCTTCAAACAGAGACCTGAAGGCAGACACTTTGGAAAAAAAGGCATATTTTCATTGTGGGTGCTCATTGAGTATTTGACAGATGCCAGAGTGAACAAATAGGAAGGGCAAAGCACTATGCTAGCCTTTTCTGGGATTTAAAATGAGATTATCCCAATTTTCATCTGGGAGGCAGATAAGTAAATAGTGGTGGCCTGAGGGAGAGTGTTAGATCGCTGGAAGCACCAAAAGCTGTCCTTGCTGACTGCAATTTTCAACCTGTGTGCCACAAGAATTTTTAAAACATGGAGTACCTGATTATTGTGGCAGGGGCACTGACCTCTTTTCCCTGAGATTGTCAACTAAAAAAATGACAACAACCCTGACTGGTGTGGCTCACTGGGTTGGACATTGTTCCCCAAAGTGAAAGGTTGCCAGTTTGATTTCCCATCAGTGCATGTGCCTGGGTTGTGGGCCAGGTCCCTGGTTGGAGGTGTGGAAGAGGCAACCGATTGATGTTTCTCTCCCTCTCCTTCTCCCTCCTTTCCCTTCTCTCTAAAAATAAATAAATAAAATCTTTAAAAAATAACCAGTAAGGACAAGGATCTGTGCCTGGTGTCAGAGACCTCACCCCCTGTGGACACAACCCCTTGATCAGTGAGCTCTGGTGCTCTCTCTGCCTTTGTTAAGCACATGTTGCTTCTTGTATTAGGGACTGTGGAAGTAGAAAGGAAGAAACACTAGCCTTTCCAGCGAAATTAGGGAATGACACAAAGGGAGGCATTCAATCTCGCAGGATAAATAGAGTTTTTTCCAAGAGGCAAGAAAGGGAACAGCATCCCTGGTATAAGAATAACATGTAAAGATGTTGAGGTCGTTTAGGTAGGTTACCATGGTGATAGGGAGAAGTGTGATAGTTTGATGGAACATTTAGGGCTAATGAGGTAGAGAAGGGCCCAACCACAAAGGAGCTTGCTGAGAACTCGGTCAATTTTCCTGTCAGTTCTGAGAGACCAACTGAGAATTTTAATCAAGGAGTGAAACTTGTGTTTTACAGAGATGATGCTGATGTACACACTCGAGGGAGTGGGAGAGATGGAAGGCAGAGAAGCCAAGTACCATGTCTAAGTCAAGAATTCTGGGGGCTTGACCCAAGGCCATGGCAGTGGAATGCAGTGTGAGATGTTTAGGAGAGCAAATTTACAGGTAATACTGAATGGGTGTTAAAGAGGACAAAGTCTAGGAAGACACTAGCTTTGCTGGGTCACTAGATGCCAGTTTTCCCCCCAGAATGAATGTGTTGTACAGGGAAGGTGTTCCAAAATGGGAGAGGAATTATTCCGGGAGGCGTAAGGTTGGCAGTACTCCCATTTCAGAGTAGCTTGAAGTCTTTGTGAGTGACCAGTTGGAGTCACTCTTTATCCTCCTTCACATTGTTAGAACTAGCTATTTTCACAGAAAGGTCAAGGCAGCACTTTTGATCGTTTGGGCAGGTTAACTATGGAATTTCATACTCTGCAGGCCTTTCCGCCTGTGCCATGATAAAGCCGGCTCTCACCACAGCGGGATCTGAACGAGCCACCTTTCTTTTGACAACTCACAGTTCTCAACTTCATAGTCTCTGCTTGGTTTAGCTAATATCTTGGGTGGCATCATTTTTCTTAAAGGTCTATTTTTTATTCTTATTCTAGGGGCAGGGAGAGAGAAACAGTGATGTAAGAGAGAAACAGCAACCATTTGCCTCCTGCACACACCCCAACCAGGGAAGGAACCTGCAACCCAGGCATGTGCCCTCACCGGAAATTGAACTGGGGATCTTCCCGTGTACAGGATAATGCTCCAACCAACTGAGCCATGCTGGCTGGGGCTTGGGGGGCACCATTTATTAATTTTAGGGATTCATGTCTTTCAAAACATTTGAAATAAGAAATAGCAAAATCATTTTATTTACTCTATTCACTTGGAAAATAATGAAATGCCAATAATCTCTCTAGCTCACTGGTTTATTGTACAAGGATATAACTCAGGAGCAGCCAGATGGAAGAGATCCTGAGGGCCAGGGGTGTGGGGAGGGGCACAGGGCCTTTCAGCCCTCCCCAGGGCACCGCCCTCTTGCATCTCTACAGGGTCACCTACCGGAAGCTTCCAGGTATTTTCTTATCTCATGAATAATCCTTATCATGTGTCTGGCAGTGTTCTGTTTTACAAATATTGACTCAATTATCATAATAACTCAGTGAAGTAGGACTATTTTGTCCCCATTGTACAGATGAAAAGACTCTGATAACTGAAAGGTTAAGAAACCACCTTGTAAGTAATGGAGCAGGTTTTTGAATCCAGGCAGTCTGGCTGTGGAATCCATGCTGTTAGGCACAGTTAGAGCTATGCATCTGAGATTAGGGGACGAGGTTGGGTTAGAAGACAGTGGTTTATCCATTGTAGACAGAACACTTGGTCCCATTGTGTATCCTGTAGTGGGATAGACAGTGGGGACAAAGCAAGATGTGCTGTTGTGCTGTGTCCTAAGAGTGCCCTGGGGCTCACTGAAAATCGAGACTGGAGAAGACTGAGGATTCAATGTTTAAGCTAATCATGATTTTTGAAATCATTAGAGAAGAATAAGAAGTACCAAAGAGGAAAACTAGGCGAAGGAGGAAACAGTCTGTAAAGAGCTTCAAGAACAATTGAGAGGCCAGCAGTGCCCTTTGTAACAGGGGTCATTGCTGAGACTCATTCACCGGCGTGGGGGCAGAAGCCATAGTGCTTTTATTTACATTAATGTGCATAGAACTGAAATGGAAATTATTAACATCTTCAGAAGGCAAAGTGGGTAAATCATGTAAAGAAAACAACATACAGAAAAACTATACATGTAGACATAGCAAAAATATTCAAATGATAATCAAAATATGGAAATTCAAAATATAGTCTAAATTTAAAACAAGTTAAAAATACAATGTTTATAGACTTCTGCTTCTGGCCAAGATGGAGTAACAGGGAGTGGATTTACCTTCTTGCCCAAACAACCCAACAACAACAAAAAGACAAAGTACACGAAACAGTTGTTGGAAGACGCTGGATGTCAGACAATGCAGGACAGTCATCCCTGTGAGATGGAAAACCAACGAGGTAAGCCCTCTGATCGCCTCAGTTTATTGCCTTGAGAGGGTTTTCAGGTTACAGCAGAGGACGGAGAAACTGACGTGGAGCCCGACAGTCTGCCTGTGTCAAGGACATGGAGCTGAGATTCTGGGGAGAGCAAAGCAGCTGGAGTCTATAGGACAGACACCAGAGAGGGCAGAGCTGCAGAGGGTCTCCCTTGAGTTATCAGAGCACAGGTCAGCACACACGTGTGAGGAAACGACCTGAGGCCAGTGAAAGAATCCTCTGAAGGGTGAGAGGGAATAGTACCCAACGTTCACATGGGTAATATTGCCTGTTACTACTGTCCAGACTGGAAAAAACAAATAATTCCCAGAGTATTGGGAGTGAGCTTTATCTGTAATGCACTAAAAGGAAAAGTAACTACTTCAAATCCCATAGTCAGCAAAAATTTATTTCAACAACAGAGGTAAACCAATGGATAGAATGGGAAGAAATATTTAGAAATCATATATATCTAATAAGGGTTTCATATCCACAATATAGAAAGAACTGCAGCTTACCAACAAAAAGACAAATGACCCAGTTTAAAAATGGGCAAAGAACTTGAACAGACATTTCTCCAAAGAAGATCATACAAATGGCCAAAAAGCACATGAAAATAATGCAAATTAAAACCACAAGGAGATATCACTTAACAATTACTAAGATGGCTATAATGATTTAAAGAATGGAATACCAACACATAATTGGGAAACTTGTGGAAAAATTGGAATCTTTGTATATTGTTGGTGTGAATGTAAAATGATGCAGCCATAATTGAAAGGTTTGGTGGGTCCCCAAAAACCTAAACAAAAAAATTGACCATGTGACGCAGCAATCCCATTCCTAGGTGTATGCCCAGAGGAATTGAAAGCAGGGACTCCAGCAGAATCTGGTGCGCCAATGTTCGTTATTACATTAGTCACAATAACCAGTAGATGGAATCAACACAGATAAATGGGTAAACAAGGTGGTTGTTCCATACAGTGGAATGGAACTCAGCCATTAAAAGGAATGAACCTCTTACACATACTACATTAAGGATTAATCCTGAGAACATGCCAAGTAAAATAAGCTAGACATAAAAAGCACAAATAGTGTATGCTATACTTACAGGATATTTCTAGAACAGGCAGATTCATAGAAACAAGTACAGTGGATTAGAAGTGTTCGAGGTTTGAGGGGAGGGAGGAATTGGCTCAGTGTGTGTGGTGAGGAAAAAGCTTTGGGGTTAGAAGTGACGGCTGCACAGCATTATGGATGCAGTTGATGCCGCTGCGTTGTGCACGGTGGTTACCATGGCAGGTTTTGTTGTATATGTTTCACCATGATTTTAAAGATTAATGATGTAACACACCAGAGCACACTGATTTTGTACACTTCGGGTGAATTGTATGATATGGGAGTTAAATCTCAACAAAGCCGTTTATAAAAGATACAAAGGCAAAATGAAACATTGTCACATTTATAAAAGTTGGAACAATTTGTTACCTGCAGAAACATATTACAAGAAATGTTTAAAGATGTCATTCAGGGAAAAAGGAAATGAAACCAAGTGGAAATCACTATCTACCAGAAAGAATGACAGGTAGTACCAAGTACTTAAGTAAATGTATACTTATTTCTTAATAGGTAAGTACCCTTAAAAGGTAATTGGCCAGGCATTACTGTTCTATTGTTGTGGGACAAATTTCCACAAGTTCAGCAGCTTCAAACAGCACCCACTTACTAGCTGACAGTTCTGCAGGTAGAAGTCTGATGTAGTGTGTGTGGGTTTTCTGCTCAGATAGCTGACAGCTGATACCAGGTGTTGGCTGGTCTGCATTCTCATCTGGAGGGTTTGGGGGAGCGTCCACTTCCACACTTGCTCGAGGTTCTGCGTGGCTACAGGACAGGTCCTGTTGCCTTGCTCTGGCTATCTGCTGGGTGCCACACTTCTTGCCACCTGGCACCTTCCACCTTTAGGCCAGTAATGCACATCATGTGTATCTTGTGCTTCGAATTGCTTCTGCAATCAGTTGGAGAAAACACTTTTTTTACCTGTAAAGTGAGGATGTTAGATCAAGTCAAGTTTGGGGTTTTCGTTTGATTTCCTCAGAAAAAGAGAATTTGTAGCAGTAGAACAGTTTGATTCCAAATGAAATTTGGCATTGAACTTTGGAGGTTAAGGGGGAAAAGGCAATCTACCTAGCTCTCTTCTCTTCCTTCTCTTGGGAACTTTGGAATATCCATGTGGTTCCTCTGTGTGGTTAGAGGGAGTCTGGGCTGAGGATTGAGGAATCATCCCAGCCACAGCAAACTTACGTCAGGTTTCTTTCCTTTCCCCAGCGTTGCCTTTTCAGATCTGTCATTACTCTGGAAAGCATCGTCAGGAACGCGGAGGGCATGGAGCCCAAGTCACTGACTGCCCGGTCCCCTGTAAGTTGACCTGCCTGCCTCCCTTGTTTTCCTGCTGAGAACCTCTTTTTGCTTGGGTTCTGAAGTTTGGCTGCAACTTCAGAAATTGTGTTTCAGACACTCTGCTCTAGGAGACCGGCACCATTTTGTTGTTTTATTTGTAGAAGTAGTTTTACTTCCTTTTATATCAAAGAAACAAGTTTATCAGTCATGTGGGCAGGAATCATTGAGGTGATATTGAGGAATGAAACCCTCCCTGTTTGTCCACAGTAAGGAACTGAGCCCACAGCAAGCTTCCTCCTCCAAAAAAAGATGAAAGAACCGAGAACGGTGGTGCCTATAAGGGTTTCTCTGGTCCCTGGCTGCCCTGGGTGTGGTTTCGGCTGTGTGAGCTCCTCCGTGGTGCAGGGGATGGCCATTCAGAGGAACTCAGGGTCAAGTAACATAATTATCCAGGGGTGATGCAACCCAGGCAGGCAGAGCCACAAGGAGGAAGGAGCTGTGGGAGCAGCATGTCCGAGAGACCAGGTCAGGACAGGGCTCCCTGCCTCTCGGCAGCTTCTTCCCCCCAGGATTCCTCTCTCGTCACCTCTGCAGAAAATGATGCAGGTTTTGTCTCAGCTGTCCTCCATGGTCCTTAGAAGGATTTAAGAAAGAAAATTAGCTTATTATATTTACTGTTGTGTTGCTTCTCTTGAATTCTTGAGATTTAAAGTTTCTCTATGGTATAGTTTCCCTTCTGCCTGAAGGGACTACCTTTCTCCTGTCTAAGAGCAGTTCTGCTGGAGACAAGTGCTGTTAGTTTTACTTCCTTTGGGAACGCATCTGCATCATTCCCGATAGATACGTTCATTGGACATAGAAATTCTGGCCCGACAGTTGTTTTGTTTCAACATTAAAATATGTTATTTTACTGTCTTCTGACCTTTTAAGGCCTTTGATAAGAAATCCTTAGTCATTAAATTAGTTTTTTTTTTTCTGTATGCAGTCATTAGTTCTTTTTGATGTGGCATTATAATAAAGGCCTTACTTCGCCCTGGCTGGTGTAGCTCAGTGGATTGAGTGCGGGCCTGCGACCCCTACGATCGCGGTTTGATTCCCAGTTAGGGCACATGCCTGGGTTGCAGGCCGATTCCCTGCAGGCCAGTTCCCAGCAGGGGATGCACGAAGGCAACCATACATTGATGCTTCTCTCCCTCTCTCCTTCCCCCCTTCCCCTCTAAAGATAAATAAATAAAGTCTTAAAAAAAATAAAATAAAATCTTTGAAAAAAAAAATAAAATAAAGGCCTTACTTCTTTGTCTTTTGTTGTTGTTGTGTTTTATCAAGTTGTTTTGCTACTAGAAGAATATAATATCTTCTTCATTTTTACGCCAGTAAATATTTAGAGAAAATGTTTTAGATAATTATTTTAGGTCATAAAACATGGGAAGGTTGGCCAGTTAAGCATTAAGTTATCCTGAACTCCGGAATGTTTTCCTCTCTTTTCCTGCCTTGAATTATGTTCTTTATTTCACATAACATAAACATAGATTAACTTTCGGTTTTGCCGTAACTGTTTATAGTAAACTTGATTTAAATAAAAGGGTTTGGGCAGTTTCTAGACCTACGGCATAACAGAACTGGTTTCAGGACTGCAGTCGTCTAATGCACCTAGGAGCTGCTGTTCCTGTGGGACTTGACCAGCATCCCCCATAAATACTCCGGCCTCCGGGGTAAATCCTGTCCCCCTCTGTCCCTGCATCGGCACTGTCTACCTCATCTCTCTTCCTGTCGGTATTCAGGGAAGGGAGGGCAGCGATACACATCAGGCTTACTGCAGCTTGTTTCATGGTGCAGACACTAGTGACCTTCAAGGATGTACACGTGGACTTCACCAGAGAGGAGTGGAATCTCCTGGATGCTGCTCAGCAGATCATGTACAAAGATGTGATGCTGGAGAACTACAAGAATCTGGTGTCCTTGGGTAAGGCTGACCTCTGTTTTGGGAGATGCACTCCCTGCAGTGATTTTGGTTCTTCGTTGATCCAAAGCCGGCGGCCCTGAAGCGTGTGTCGGAGTGTGAGCTTCGGTTCAGGGACCTAATTTCTTCAGTGCATAGAACATCATCTTTGTGCTCCGGCTTTTGTGAAAAAGAAATTGTTTTTATTTGTTGGATTTGTAAAAAGAAACATTTTACTGCCTCTATAGCCTCACCTTCTCTGCTCTTCAGAGTTCCCCAGGGCTTTGAAGGGCTTGGGCATCCGGGTTCAGTCTGGAATGTTACTCTGTGTCCACCTCAGAGCTCCCCAATCCTTGTTCAATTCTTTATCTTTCATTGTGACCAGGACATCAGCTTCCCAAGCCAGATGTGATTTTCCAGTTGGAGAAAGGGGAAGAGCCATGGCTGGTAGAGAGAGGGATTCGCCAAGACACCCATCCAGGTAAGGACCAGAGAAGAGGCATTGTGGGTGGTAGCCTAGATGACCCACTGGGCTAGCATCCCTGGAGATAGTGGGTACTAGTCTCATTTCAGAGAAATCTCACTTTATTTACCCTCTACTTCCCCTGGCTAGTCTTTCTACAGTCTTGGCATTTGCGTACATAGACAGCAGTGTCTTGCTTCTTTATTAAAATTGTCTGTCTCTTGATGTGCTTGGTTCGATCCCTGCTTAGTATCACCAACTCTAGCATCCCCATTCTGTCCCTGTTTTTCATAGAATTCATTTTTCTCTTTGCCTGTCTCTTCCCTTTCACATGGTCCCTTCCCACAGCCTCTCCGTTAGGCGCTGCAGTGGGACCCCAGCACCTGCCACTGTCCGCGGTTGTCTCTGCCACTTAAGCCGAGGCAGAGCTCACCTGTGCCCACTGCTTCGTTCTCCTTGTCCAGAACTGCTGCTCTCACCCACCTGTGTTCTCAACTTGTGCTGGCTTTTTATTTAGTGTTTTTTCAGTTTATACCTATTTTATTTCAGTCTTAGCACATAAAATGCAAACCATTTTGTGGATTCCTGACATCACTTCTTTTCTCAACTTCCCTGTGTATAGAAAGTCGGCCTTCTAGGTTAAGAAATAGAAAGTATCTTTTTGTTTTCCTCCTCCTTTATTCTCTATAAGCGATCTTTTCCCTGATCTTTCTTTCTGAGCTCAACATGCAGGCATTTTTCTCCTCAGACCTCATGAGTACTGCTTGTCCGAGTCATGCTGTAACGAGCTGACTTGACATGTGCAGAACGGCCAGGACACTTGCCGGTGACTCTCTCTATGTTTCTATATACATCGAGCTTTCTGAGCCCAGAGCAGCCTGCACGTGTTTCTGTCTGATACCGAGCGTGTGTGCCTGGGAGTTTCCCTCCATCTCAGCATGTGATGTCAGTAAAGTCCCTGAGAGTCAGCTGTCCTGTAAGTGTCTCCTCAAATCCTTTCTCCGTGAAAGCTTTGTAACTTCTCGTCAAGGGCAGGTCTCTTCCTTTTCCAGGCCTCCACTTTGGTTAAGTTCACAGCAGGTCCTTGATTGACGCAGTTTCATTCACATTGTTTTGTGACAGAAATGATGCAGTGCCATAAGATGTAACTGTTTTTGTGTCAGTTAGCCTAGGGTGAAAATGGTTTTGTTATATGTTGTTTTGCCTCAAGTTGCAGAACCTATCGATGATGTTGAGGACTTACTGCACTTTTTAAATATCATAAACACTTTAAAAAACTTTTTTAAAATTTATCTTTAGAAGGGAAGGGAAGGAGAGAGGGAGAGAAATATCAATGTATGCTTGCTTCTCGTGCATCCCCTACTGGGAACTGGCCTGCAACCCAGGCATGTGCCCTGACTGGGAATCGAACTGCAATCTTTTGGTTCGCAGGCCCATGCTCAATCCACTGAGGTACACCAGCCAGGATTTCATAAACACTTTTTGACTTTTTTTTCCATTTGGTCTTATAAGCAATTGTACCAAATTCCTGTTTCAATGGCAGGTCTTCGAATACACTGTCAAGAACTCGATCAGTCAACTGCTCTCAAAAGCACATGGGAGACAAGATTGTTCTCTGCTCTCTTTCATTTCTCTATTAGTTCCTTCCTTTCTTTATTTATTTCATTCACGTGCTCATTTATTTAGCAAGTTTTCCTGGATGTGTGTTGACAAGTATCCAAAAATAATTGACTAGATACAGTTGTTTAGATTTTTATTGAGAGTTTGTTATCCAAAGAAATACTAAAACTCTACATGCTTAAATACATGTAACACCTACAGTCTTATACAGCAAATACTACTGTCCTGGGGTTACAGTAGATAACCAGCGTGATTTTTGTTAACTTTATCAACTTGTCTAAATCCAGCACTGGTTGTGCAAAGGTGAGATTAGCACCTGTGTCTGGGTCACTTCTGTGCGGTAGCTCTTCGGCTCTCCACCTGGTCCCCATGAGGTTCATCAGGTCAGTTGTCTGGGCGTTGTACTTTGGTGCCGTGGGTCAGAGGTGCTGCCTGACATGGCTGCATTCGTAGTTCGGGAATGCTAAACTGGCTGGAGTGTGAAAAAGGCATATCGGGGAGTGCTTGGCAACAAGTAGACACTTGGGTTCTTATGTCCTTAATAGTCAGGTTAGAACAAGGGAGTGCAGCCTTTCCTGTGGGATTTCCTTTACTGACTCCCTCGCCCTAAATATCCTGACCCTGCATGTCTCACCCAGCCCTGTGGCTTCTCCTTGATCTCTTTGCTCCTTGTATGTACTGGGTTGCCTGGCGCATTTCCTGTTTACTGCTGTGTTCTTCCCTTTCTCATTCCTATCCAGGTTGTAGGACCATGTCTGAAAGCACCGCTACATAACTTACATACCTGGTCTCCACATATACCCCCCGTTCTAATGTTAGTACTTTTTCAGTGTTGCAGAGCTTTTTCATTTCTTTCAGATTGGGATGCTGCAGTTGAAATTAAGTCAATTTCCAAAAAGAGCATTTCTAAAGATAAACACCCCTGTGACATTAAAATGGAAGGAATGGCAAAGAGTGATCTCTGGTATCTGTCATTAGAAGAAGTCTGGAAGTGTGAAGACCGGTTGGACAGGTGTCAGGAAAACCAGGAGAGGCATTTGAGGCAAGTGGCATTCACCCAAAGGAAAGTACTTACTCCAGAGACAGTCAATGAAAATGGTGAATTTGGGGGAAACTGTCTCCTTCCTGCTCAACTGGTGCTGACAGAGTACTTCCATAAACATGAGTCACGTGCTAAAAGTTTAAAAGATGATTTGGTTTTCAGAGGTCATCAGGAAAGCTATGTAAATAACAGCAGTGAATGTGGCCAACCCTTCTGTCAGAACATTCATCTTATTCAATTTGCAAGAACTCAGACAGGAGATAAATCCTACAAATGCCCTGATAATGGTAACTCTCGTAGTCATGACAGATCCCTTGGTGTATCAAAGGGTATACACAGAGAGAAACCCTATGAGTGTAAGGAATGTGGAAAATTTTTCAGCTGGCGGTCTAATCTTACTAGGCACCGGCTTATTCATACTGGAGAGAAACCCTATGAATGTAAAGAATGTGGGAAATCTTTCAGCCGGAGTTCTCACCTCATTGGACATCAGAAGACTCACACTGGTGAGGAACCCTATGAATGTAAAGAATGTGGAAAATCCTTCAGCTGGTTCTCTCACCTTGTCACCCATCAGAGAACTCATACGGGAGACAAACTGTACACGTGTAGTCAGTGTGGCAAGTCTTTTGTTCATAGCTCCAGGCTTATTAGGCACCAGAGAACTCATACTGGAGAGAAACCTTACGAATGTTCCGAATGTGGGAAATCTTTTAGGCAGAGCACACATCTCATTCTGCATCAGCGAACTCACGTTCAAGTGCGGCCCTATGCATGTAATGAATGTGGGAAGTCTTACAGCCAGAGATCTCACCTCGTTGTGCATCATAGAACTCACACTGGGCTGAAACCCTTCGAGTGCAAAGATTGTGGCAAGTGCTTCAGTCGAAGTTCTCACCTTTTCTCACACCAGAGAACCCACACTGGAGAGAAACCATATGAATGCCATGACTGTGGAAAATCCTTCAGCCAGAGTTCTGCCCTCATTGTACATCAGAGAATTCATACTGGAGAGAAACCATATGAATGTTGTCAGTGTGGGAAAGCCTTCATTCGGAAGAATGACCTTATTAAGCATCAGAGGATCCATGCTGGAGAAGAGCCCTATAAATGTGACCGGTGCGGAATCCTCTTCAGCCAGAGCTCTCCGCGTATATGCCATCAAATTGCTCACACTGGGGAGCAGTTCCTAACATGTAATCGGTGTGGGTCAGCGCTTGTCAGCAACCCTAACATTATTAGATACCAGACAAATCGTATTAGAGAAAGTACTCCTTAATGTAATGAATGCGGGAAATTTTGCATAAAGAACAGTAACTTTATATTTAGCTTTGGAGAACTCCTGGGGAGTGTGCAGATGTAGTCCATGTGGAAGTGCTTCCAGTCTTGTTGCTACCCTTTTTCGTGCTAGACACTTAGTCTTGGAGGGGGAACCCCACAGGTTTCACTTTAGTACACAGATACATTAGGTTTTATTCTTTCCACAAACTTAATGAAGGATTTGGCCTGCGAGTATTATTGCCCAAGCTCTGACCACTAAAATCTGATAAGGAACCATTAAGTAGATGAGTTGTTGACAGCTATTGTATATTCCCGTGAATTGATAGGCCATTTTTACTCTCTTCTTGGATACTTAATGTTGTGTAATCTGTTTTATGTGTCTGATGTGACCACATTTTGGTTAGCCAGGAAAATGCAAATGCTTATAATGGAAAACATCACATTTGCCAGTAGTAGTACCCACTGTAAAATATATTTGCATGTGGGCAAGAACTGAAAAAGTATCTAGGGATAAACGAGTAGAATGGATTTGTTAGATAACGGGGTAATGAGTGGGTTTTATAGTTTATTTGGTGTTACTGTAATACTTTAATGAAGGTATTTTTAAATATGAAAAAAGTATCTAGTTTCTTTATTCCACCATTAAGGAAACTTTAGAAGTACCTGATACAAACTTTGCCATTAATTCTAAGTTATTTTGGGTTATAGAGTTGTACTCTTTGAACAGGGTGCTAAAGACTCCTGTGAGTTTGAAAAGTGATTCTCTGGACATTGGGACCTAGAGGAACTTTGGGTATTTCGAACACACCAGGGAGGGTCTCCGTTTGAGTGGGAGCAGGCACCTGGGTGATGCTTGGAGCAGGTATGCTCGGGGTGTAAACACAGTACTACCTGAATCACCTTCGTTCCAAAGTGACCTGTTGTCTTTATAAAGAAGACTTGGGCCCTGACCATTGTGGATCAGTTGATTGGGCCTCATCCCACAAATGAAAAGGTCACAAATTCAGTCCCCTGTCAGAGTACATGGCTAGGTTGAGGGCGGACAATCAATGTTTCTCTCTCACATCCGTGTTTCTTTGCCTCTCTTTCCCTCTCTCTAAAATCAATAAGCATGTCCTCAGGTGAGGCTAAGGGAAAAAAAGCAGACTTGGTGGTTAAGAGCATTAAGCTTAAATTAGACTTAAGTTGAAAGCCCGGCTCTGCCCTAAACTGGCTGGGCAAACTTAGGCATGTTGCCTAGCTCCTCTGCCAGCCTCTGGATCTCCTCTGTAAATTCGGGGTAATACTACTGACCTTGTAGGGTTGGGGTGAGCATTAAATCAGCAGACATATAAACAGTTTAGAATAGTGCCTGGCATACTAAGTGCTTTACACTTCTTAACTGTGATTACTAATATTGTTACTGCTTCACCCTCGTGTCATTTAAAACCTCCTGAGTGCTGAGGAGAACTCCTTGGATTCTCAATTCCCTTCCAGTCATACATGTTTTTCCCTTTTAGATACATCAGAATTTATCCACCTGAGGATATCACTGACCCATAGTGGGTGTATGGATTCATTTCTGAGGATCAGTTAACAAATTTTAAAATTTTATGCAAAATCATTGTGTTCATGCAAAGGTTTTTCTCTTCTTGGGAGAGGATCCTAAGCTACAGATTCTCTGGTAAGTCCATGATTTGGGAAGAGAATCTGTCTTAATTCTGTTTTATTGTATAAATGGCTCTCCTGTGTGTAGGGACTGACCATTATTTGCCATTTTCTAGCAAACAAAATGTCTGTTAAATGCTCAGTGATTGGTTTTTGAATGATAAATATTGTTGAGACCGAACAAAATCTTTGTCTTTCCCAGGAGAAAAATCTAGAAATGATTGTTAGCATCATGAGACAGCAGAACTACAAGGAACAGGGACCGTTTAACTGGTGCTCTCCATGGTGCAGTTGAGACACTGTGAGTTGGCTCAGGGCCTCGAGTTTTGAGTGAAGTCAGACCCAGACCTGCATCGCAGGTCCCTCGGTCACTGCTGCCCTCTCAGTGCTCGTGTGCCATCGACACACGTGACATCTTCCTCTCAGAGCCGATTTTCATTGTAAGCAGTGGCTCTTTGTAGGAATGGAAGAGTAGTTCCTTCACTGAGCCCTGTAGGCTTTCTGATAGCCAATGGCTCACTCTTTCTTAACTGTAAAATGGAGGTGCTACTAGTATCTACCTCAGAGAGTTGTGTGGGTTAGTGTGATAACGTGTATAACGTACTTGCAACAGTACCTGGCACATAGTAGTACTGTATGTGTTGTAATGTGGGAGGCGATGTGTCTATGGATGATCAATGAAATGTTAATTATGATAGTGTAAAATTTATAGTATATAAATGTATAATAGCAAGATGGTTATTTATAGTTTATCTATGTAATATTATGCAAAGAGAAAGTTTGGTAACAGGAAAAATGTTGATGATGTTATGTGTTAGGAAAAAGCATGATAAATAATTGTCAATATGGAATAAGTTCAAATATATAAAAAAATAAATTGTAAAAAATGGAACTTGCTCAAAACTCTAAAGAACTTTGTTAGGAGATTAATTGCAGTTAACCTACATATTAGGAGATTTGGCATTTACTTTTTAACTTTTCTGTTCTTTCAAAAGTCTTTAAAGAATACCTATTACTTTTAGGACCAGGAAAACAGTCTTGAAGGTGACGGAATATTTTCTCTTCCAAAGGTCTTATCTACAAATAAGCTAGGATTTTAAGGGAATTGGGTGAGGTCACAGGATTCAAGATCAACACATGGTAATCAATTTCATTTCTATTCCAGCATTGCACAATTTGGAAATGAAGTCAGAAATAGAATCTCATTTACAATGGTACAAAAATGTGAAATACATAAATTAATGAATTAAGCAAGTTCTGTATAGTAAAAAAGTGTAAAGCATTTCTGAAATTCCAGAACACATACTCCAGAATACATACTGGATGATAAATGGAGTAATACGCTGTGGTCAAAGATTGGAAAACTAAATATTGTTAAGATGGCAGTTCTCCCCAAATTAATTTTTAGATTCAGAGGCATTTGTGTGGAATTGGACAAGCTAATCAAAAGTGTATATGGAAATTTAAAGGACCTAGGATTATCAGAGCAATTTAAAAATAAAAGAACAATGTTGGAGGGCTTCCACTGCCTGATTTCAAAGTTTGCTCTAGAACCACAGTAATAAAATGTTGGTATGAGGATAGATACAGATCAGTAAAACATGAGTCCAGAAATGGACCTACACATACATTGTCAAGTACATTTTGATAAAGTGCCAAAATAATTCAATGTGGAAAAGATAGTCTTTTAAACCAATGATGTTGTTAAAAACTGAATATTTTTATTGGGGGGAAAACCTTTTACATAAAAATATTTTTTCAAAACGCATCACAAACCTAAATGCTAAAGTTAAAACCTTCAGATATCTGGAACAAAAGAGAATATATTTATGGCCCTGGTCTAGGGAAAGATTTCTTATAGCACAAAAATCATGAATCATAAAGGAAAAATGGTCAGTTGGACTGCTTAAAATTAAAAACTTCAGGTCTTTTGAAAACACCATCAAGAACATAAAAAATGCAATCCATAGACTAGTACATATTCACAATACATGTATCTGACAAAGCCATGTATCCAGAATACAAAGAACCCTGTAAGTCATATAGCAAGACTAAAGACAGTATTTTACCAGATGCTTCACTTATAGGAAGGCATACGACTATCCAATCAAAGCATGTAAAGATGCTCAACATCATTAGTCATTAGGAAAATGCAAATCAAAACCATGATGAGATAGAATTTCACACTCAGTAGAATGACTTGGATAAAATGGGGGCATAGCCCTGGCTGGTGTGGCTCAATGGATTGAGCGCGGGCCTGTGAACCAAAGGTTTGCCCGTTTGATTTCCAGTCAGGGCACCTGCCTGGGTTGCAGGCCAGGTCAAGACCCGGGAAGAGGTGTGTGTGAGGCAACCACACATTGATGTTTCTGCCTTCTTCGTCTCCTCCCTTTCTCCTCTAAAAATAAATCTTTAAAAAATAAAAAGTGGGCATAACCATCCTTAGTAAGGATTGGCGATCCTTACTTGGTTAGAAGCCTCCTACGTTGCTGGTGGGATTATAAAATAGTGCAGCCTCTATGGAGAACAGTTTGGCATGTCTTCAAAATGCTAAACATACCATAAGACCCATCAGTCCCATTCCTTGAAAATGTAAACAGATAATGTGTATAATCACAACATCTTAGTGGATAAACAAATTATGGTTTAGCCCTATAATGGAATAGTACTCTGCAGTAAAATACAACTAATGATACACACAGTAGCATGGTGAAATCTCAAAGACATTCTGAGTACGAGAAGTCAGACACTTTAAAAAGAGTAGACATGTTTGACTGCCATTTATGAAATCCTAAAACAGTCTCTGTTGACAACATACATCAGCGCTGCCTGTGCCTGTGGATGGGAGAGCACTTCACTGTCCACCGGACCGCAAATAATCTGGATCTTGGATCTTGGCGCAGTTCCTTACTGAACACCCTTCATACGGACCCAGGTTGCTATATATACATTATATCTCAGTAAATCTGGTTGAAAATACCCAGAAGAGCAGGGAGTTCTGGGAAATGAGAGCTGCAGCTCCAAGCAAATGCTAGTAACAATAGTAATTGTAATTGCTGATTTTTTAAACTACAGTTTCACATGAGGTAGCCAATCTACTACGCCTTTTAATGTAGATTATAACCCTATGAGGAAGATAATATTACAGCCCCATAGTTAAGGCACCTAGATTTTTCAATTTTTAAGTAATTCGCCCAAATTCACCTAGCCAATAAATGGAGCTTCATTTGAGAAAATAACTGGCATGTGTGTGGCAGATCTCAGTAAGATGGTGGGTGGCATACAGGGTCTTTAAAAATTAGCTATTATAATATAAAAATAAAGACATGACCTTTCGTTGACATATTGAAAAAATTCCTTCCCTCACCTCCAAAAAATAGTTTTAAAATTCCACCCCTAGTTTGAGGGGAAAACAATTTAATAAAAATGTTATACATTTTGAATTATTAGTGTAAATTAGGACATGCATCGGAAAGCAGGGCCCTGAGTACACCTAATTTATTCCACTGCCGCCTTTGTGCTATTACTGTCAATTACTTTGATTCTTTATATTATGTAAAGGCTGCAGTGCCCATGCCCTAGTACTGGGCAGGAGAACAGGAGCTTTCCCCCCGCCACTGCGCAGTGGGTCCGGCTGGAGCTGCCGCAGAGGCTCCTGGGAGTTGTAGTTCGGTGTGTAGGTCATCCAGACGCATTTCCTGTGCGTCCCTATCAGCAGCCTTTCGCTCTGCCTGGGCCCGAGAGCCGCGCTCCGCATTCTGTGGTCGACCAACTACACCGGTCACCAGTCATCGCGGTCACCCAAACTGCAGTGGGCTGTTCTCGTCTTCCCCCGAGGGGCGTCACGGAAGCGCCCAGGATGGGCTTCTGAAAATCAAGAGCAAGGACGAAGTCGATGTGGCCGCAGGTCCGTGGGTGAAGGCGGCCAGACTTCCCCAATTCCCCGCCTCTCATTCAGGGATCCGAGGAGCCGACGCTCCAAACTCGTAGTTTCTAGGCGGCGGACGGTACGGACTAGTCTGGCCTCCCCGTAGCCCGCCCGTGGGCGTGGCTGGAGCTGAAGCCGGGAGCCCAGCGGCTGCCTCTGTCGGCCTCCTCGCGCGGGGCACGGACGGCGCAGGGATGGCCACCAGGGTCCGCACAACTGCCACCTGGGTGAGTCGGGTTCTCTCTTCTTTGTGCAAAGCTGTCCCTGAAGCTGACGTGTGTATCTGCCAGCTCCTCCAGGGCGATGGAAATGTCTCCTGATGACGTGACTGTTGCAAAACCATATTACTAAAGGTCACTGAAGTTAGAAATGACTCTTTTCATAGAAACTTCATTGAGTTATAAGTTACATACCATAAGATTTATCCGTTTAAAGTATATCATTATGCCGTGGCTGGTGTTTCTCAGTGGATTGAGTGGCAGCCTTGGAACTAAAGGGTTGCCGGTTTGATTCCGTCGGGGCACATGCCTGGGTTGCAGGGCAGGTCGCCCTCTGGGGGCGTGTGAGGCAACCACACATTCTTGTCTGTCTCCTGTCATGTCATGTCATGTCATCTCTTTCTCCTTTCCTTCCCTCTAAAAATAAAGTTTTTATATCATATAGTCATTAGTATAGTAGCACCCCCCACTTTGTGTACACCTCTTTTCATTTAAAGGAAGCACTTTATGGCTTCTCTGTGGCATATTCTAATTAACCGCCTCGCTCCAGTAGTGCTTCGGGCCGTTATTAAGTAAAGTAAGGGTTGATTCAGTGCAGTGGCTGTGGTACCACTGCGGCCCACAGCACGCACATCCTGGCGAAGGGGACATCCGTGTTGTGGGTGGAATAGAGTGGAAAAGTGTGGGATATTATCACACTACTTAGAATGCTTCACAATTTAAAACTCATAAATTGTTTGCTTTGTGGAATTTTGCATTTAATGCTTTTGGACCGTAGTTGCCCATGGAAAGTGAAACAGCAGACGAGGGGCGACTACTGCCTTCATAGAGTTGTGCAAATATCACCACCATCTGATTCCAGAACCTTGTTGCTGCTAGAGAAACCCTGTTCCCAGCTGCAGTAACTCTCCATTCCTTCCCGCTACCATTGATCTACTGTGTGTTCTCGTGAATTGACCTATTTTGGACATTTTTCTGTAAATTGAACCATACGTGTCCGTGTTTGGCCTCTGTATCTGGCTTCTTTCGTTCAGCATGTTTTCGAGGTCGCTCTGTGTTGTGCTCAGCCCGTTGTTCTCAGTCACGACGCTAATGAACAGGGCTGCAGGGCACACTCTTCCCGGCGGTACCTGAAGACATTTCCTCCACAGGATCTAATGTGGCTGCACCAGCCTTTGTGCTTCTTACTGTGTTTGTAAGAAACATGTCAGCAACAGCCATCGGGGAACTTTGAGAAAACAAGGATCCTTACTCCCAGGTCCTGGAAGACACATGACACACCTGAGGGCCACACAGTAAGGTCAGGGTAGAGAGGGCAAGCACACACACACCTGGGGTTCTGCCTTGGTTGGGGCGGAAGGGTGGGGGTGCCTTTGGTGTTACAGATTCATACTTTTTTTGGTGAATTTAAAATATAAGGCTGGGGATTAAAGCACAGGAAGGGAAAAGCATGGTCACTCATGTCAGCCGTTTCCTATGTAAACCAGGGCTTTTGTAAGGGGAATTTTCCTGGGTGAGGCCTCCTGGCTCTTGATGTCATTTATAGTTGACTGTGTGGGTCTCAGAAGGACGCCTTGGGGATCAAAAGTTTAATGTCAAGGACTTACAGGATAAAAAGCTAATTGTCAGGCACTTAAACTACAAAAGTTAGCATTTATCAGTACTTCAGTATCGCTTAATATCACTCCTTTGTAGAGATGGGACCCCATTTTGTCTGTCCATTATCCATTAATGGATGTTTGGATTGTTTCCCCTTTTTGGCTATCCTGAATAATGCTGTTACGAGCATTTGTGTAGTGTTTTCATGGACATGTGCTTTTATTTCTCTTGGCCAGATACCTGGGACTGCAGTTTCTGGGTAATATAGTAACTCTGTGTGTAACATTTTGAGGAACTGCTTGTCAAGTGGTCCAAGGTGGCTGCTCCATTTTGCTTTCCTGTCACATATGACAGTTGTAACTCTCCTACCCTATAGTGTACATAAAATGCTGTTTAAATGTCAGTTTGTTACTAGTATATAATGGTATATTCAGACAGTCCTTGCTTTCATCCCCTCACTCTTTCTCTCTTCCAGAGGTAACCACTTTTACCGTTTCTAGTTCTTCTTTTCAGTGATTCTTTTGGAAATATAAGCAGACACACACACACACACACTTGCACACACACCCCTGACCTGACTCATTGCAAAGGTTCGTCAGGACGCCTATGTTTCTGCCTCAAGCCCTTTCCTAGAGCTCAGCGTGCCTTGTCTCACGTGTACATGTATTTTGTTAAGAAAATTTCTGGAATAAGATAACTCTGGACACTTCCCTCTTTATATCCTCCCATTCCTCCTCCCCCACTCTGATTATTTCTTAAATCCTCTTATTCTTTTCTTTTTTTAATCTTCACATGAGGATATGTTTATTGATTTTAGAGAGAGGGGAAGGGACACACACACACACACACTGATGTGAGATAGAAACATCCATATCAGTCGTCTCCCATACGTGCCCTGACCAGGGATGGAACCTGCAGCCTTTTGGAGTGCGGGGACAGTGCCTCACCCGCTGAGCCACCGGCCAGGGCAGATCCTCCTGTTCTTGCACGCCCACAGCGCTGTGAGGTCACTTTGTGACTATATGGGAATATAGTTTTTAGTTGCCTGCAACTCTGAACTTGAGAAACGTTGCTCAGAGTCCACTCGAGGGAGGTACTCTCCTGTTGGGGATGAACATTTATGGGTGACTTCAGAGACTGGCAGCGTGTGGCGCATCAGTTTTCCGTCATTTCCCACACTTCGTCTGCTGAGAACTGTTCTCTGTGAGGAGACCTGTCACCTTAGTTTCATTTGTTGTAGGCGTCTGGGCTTTTTCTGGCCTCTTGTTATTTTTTATTGTGAGTTTTTGGGAGATTAAATAATAACACTGCTGCCCTAATCTCATCCTACTCTCAATGTTTTAACAACAAAAAGTAACAATCAGTGGGAGAGGTGAAGTGAATTTATTCCTCAGCATCTGCATAGTGAGAGAAGGAACTCTTAACTGAAACAGACTGTTTCATCCAAAATTCATTGCTTGTGTACCCTCCCCCCTCAAAACAGTGTTTACTTTTGAGCACCTGGCATCTGGTTTCGTATTTAAGTGGTTGCCCAAGGTTGTCTGACTCTCAGGGTGGTGGTCGTGCTGGTGTGGTCCCTGGGGCTCTCTCAGAGCCAGGGGTGGTGGGAGACTGTCTTCAGGTGCCAGGTTTCCCACAGTGGCACTGACCACCGCCTGTCCTGGCCTCCTGCAGACATTCTCTGGCAAAAGAGACCAAGATTGGGGCCCAGAGGATGTGTGCTTGGTAAAGTGATTTCCTTTTGAGTCTACAGGTCCCACCCCTTCAGGAACGAGACAGTTCAGGCTGTGGGATCAGAAAGCCCCGAGGTCAGGAACCCACTGTGGGTCAGAGGACCCCCGACCGGAAGCGTATCCCAGGAGGACCCCAGCAGAGGCAGAAGAGTCACGGGACAGAGCAGGTCCCAGCCTGGCTGTGTACTTCCCAGGAACAGCTGGAACCCACCACGTCCCAGGTGAGTTGCTTGTTTATTGATGCCAGATTCTTTGTTAGATTTATTCATTCATTTATTTGTGCAATTTTTTGTTGGGGTGAGAGGGATGTGATTCTTAGCTTGAAGGGGCGAGCTAGTCACCCCCAGTTTGTGGCCGGCTGATCACGCTGGTCCCCGTGGTTTCCGACTGCCTTTCTTTCCATGTTCCCTGGTTTCCCCGTACCCACTTTCCATCTTTTTCTCCGCCTCCCTCAAAACTATTTTGTGCTTTACGGATATCCTTTTGTGTATATGTTTATAAAATGAGTATTGTTGTTGCTGTGCATTTTTAGTTCCCACTCCATCCTCCCGCAGCCCCTGGCAGCCACCTTTCTCCATCCTTCCCTGCGGTTCCCACTACCCCGGACACCACCTGTCGGTGCACTCACCCAGGAGGTGTCTCTGTGCATCAGGTTCTTTCATTTGACAAAATGCCCACGAGGTTTATCCACAGTGCAGTGTATTGTGTAGTTTCCCTCTTCTAAAGGCTGCACGATTTTCCATTGTACGTACATAGCACACTTACTCATCCCATTGGTGATACTGGGACTGCTTGCACATTGTAGCTGCCTGAGCAATGCTGCTGTGAGTGACTCTTTAAGACCCTGCCTTCAGTTCCTTTCAGCATAGACCCAAATCTTCCCCTGAACACTGCTTTTGTTCCATCTGATAAATTTTGGTATGTTGTGTCTGGATTTCATTCAAGTCTAAGTATTTACTATTTCTCCTTTCACTTCTTTGATCCATTGGTTGTTTAACTGTTCGAAGACTCCGCCACCCCGATACCACTTCCTATAGCAGCTATTCAGTTCAACATTCCCACCAATATGTTTCTATTTTTTATGTCTTCTTTAATTTCTTTCAGCAAGGTTTTCTAGTTTTCATTCTACAAGTCATTTTACCTCCTTAGTTAATAAAATACTTAGGAATTTTATTTTCTTCCTAAGTATTTTGTTTTCTTAATACTATTATAAATGGAATTGTTTTTGTAATTTGCTTTTCAGATTGATAATTGTTAGAGTGCAGAAATACCAGGGCCCTGGCCTTTGGCTCAGTGGATTGGGCGCTGGCCTTCAAACCGAAAGTCCATGGGGTTGATTCCCAGTCAGGGCACAGGCCTGGGTTGCGGGACAGGTCCCCAGTTGGGGGAGTGTGAGAGGCAACCGATTGATGTTTCTCTCCCTTTCTCCCTCCTTTTCTCTCTCTCTGAAAATAAAATTTAAAAGCGTAAAAAAATAGGAATCTTGTATTAAAAAAAATACAATTGACTTTTGTTTGTCAACTTTGTATCCTGCTACTTTGCTGAATTTGTTTGTTCTGGTTTTTGTTTGTTTGTTTTGGTGGAATCTTTAAGGTTTGTAGGAACACAGAATCTCTGAACAGAGATAATTTTACTTTCTTTGCAATTTGGATACCTTCTCTATCTTCTCTCGCCTGGTTGCCCCAGCTAGAACTGCCAGCCCGTGTTGAATAGCAGTGGGGAGAGCAGGCATCCTTCCCTGTTCCTGACCCTGCAGGGAAAGCATCCAGCCCTTCACCACTGACAAGGACGCTCTCCGTGGGCCTTTAGGACGTGGCTTTGACTATGTTGGGCACTTTTCTTCTATTTCTAGTTGTTGAGCGTTTTTATTGTTAAATGATGTTGAATTTTGTCACTTTTTTAATGTTTGTTTTTTTAAGATTTTATTTATTTTTAGAGAGAGGAGAAGTGAGGGAGAAAGAGGAGAGAAACATCGATGTGTGGTTGCCTCTTTTGCGCCTCCTACTGGGCATCTGGCACACAACCCAGGCACGTGCCCTGACTGGGAATCTAACCCGAGACCCTTTGGTTCTCAGGCCGGCACTCAATCCACTGAGTCGCACCAGCCAGGTTAAATTTTGCCATTTTTTTCTACATTGAGTTAATTTTTTAATGTTTTTTTTTTCAATTTTGTCATAGTGTATAACTTATTAAACATGCTGTGGACCTGGCTGGTGTAGCTCAGTGGATTGAGCGCAGGCCTGCGAACCAGACAATCGCAGTTCGATTCCCAGTCAGGGCACATGCCAGGGTTGCAGGCAGGTTCCCTGCAGGCCAGTTCCCAGCAGGGGAAGCACGAAAGGCAACCATACATTGATGTTTCTCTCCCTCTCTCCTTCACTTCCCGTCTAAAGATAAATAAATAAAAATAAAATCTTAAAAAACAAAACAAAAAACATGCTGTGGAATTTGATTTGCTAGTATTTTATTGAGGGCTTTTTTTTTTAAGTCAACGGTTAAAGATAGATTTTTTCAATTGATTTGAGAGGGAGAAACTGCCACAGGCCAGCCGCAGCAGGGTCCAGGGATTCCCGAAGGTGGGTAAGGCGTCGGCGATGGGTAACAGACGACATCACGCCTCAAAGGACAGTGAAGCTCTGTTCCGTTTATTGCAAGTACAAGCAGATTTTTATATTTTCATTTTAGGTAGTGATTAACATTTGCAGGTGTATAGCATGATCAGTTAAGCAGAAAAAATCAATACAAAGGTAACTAGGAAAAGTACAAGAATTTCCATAGTTTCAGTTATATTAAACAAAAATTGTTTTGACAAGGAGAACCATTAATCAGACCATTTGAAATAGCTCTATGTACAGAGTTTGAATGTCTTATTGTTTATTAAAGGTCTAGAATTTGGCCTGGGGCAAAAGGTAAGCTAGACCAAGCAGAGGTTAGGAAATTTATTTATTTATTTATTTATTTATTTATTTATTTATTTATTTATTTATTTATTTATTTATTTATAAAGATAAAGAATTTTTTTTAAGATTTTATCTATTTATCTTTAGAGGGTAAGGGAAGGAGAGAGGGAGAGGAACATCAATGTATGGTTGCCTTTCGTGCGTCCCCTGCTGGAAACTGGCCTGCAGGGAACCGGCCTGCAACCCCGGCACGTGCCCTGACTGGGAATCGAACCGCGATTGTCTGGTTCTCAGGCCCACGCTCAATGCACTGAGCTACACCAGCCCGGGCTAGGAAATGTATTATAAGGCCTTTGTGATGTCTAACTTAGCTATCTGTCTTTCTGTCTAAAATATTTCTCTATGTACTATGGACTCTAACTCCTTGGTAATTGTTTCTACATGTTTAGTTTGTGGTATCTCACAAGCTTCTCCTGTTTCTTTGCCTGCTTAATTCTAATTGATATCTATTCCTGTTTAAGGTAAAGGAGGGGCTGTTATTCCAACAGCTTTTAGACATTCAGGGGCTTTGTTCTCTGGTCAAGAAATTATTTTGTACAATTTCATTGGAATTATGCGAATCAATGAACCTGAAATACAAGTGTTTAACAATCCCACCACCTTTTGGTCACCAAAACAAACTTGTAAGGAGAGATAGACAGGAAATCCAGCCACAGATGCCTGTGCCTTGCAGATGCATCTCAACTGTCCTGACCTTGTCAGCGGACGGTTGCTGGCCGGCTCCCGACAAGAAACATCAGTTTGTTGTTCCACTTATTGATGCATCATTGGTTGATTCTTGTATGTGCTCTGACCGGGGATTGAACCCACAACCTTGGCCTATCTGGACAATGCTCTCACCATCTGTGCTACCCAGCCAGGATCGATACTTTGTATAATATTTATCTTTTAGAATCTGTTGAGGCTTAATTTGTGGCCTAACATATTGTTTATCCTGGAAAATGCCCCATTTGCAATTGAGAACAGGTATTCTGTTTTTGGGTAGAATGCTTTTTATATGTATCTTTGGATCTAAAATGAGTCTCACCCTGGCTGCTGTGGCTCAGTGGATTGAACGATGGCCTGTGAAACAAAGGGTCGCCGGTTTGATTCCCAGTCAGGGCACATACCTGGGTTGCAGGTCCAGTCCCCAGTGGAGGGGCACATGAGAGGCAACCACACACTGATGTTTCTCTCCCTCCATTTCCCTCTGTCTAAAAATAAATAAATAAAATGAGTTTCTTGTGGACAACATATAGTTGAGAGAGAGAGAGAGAGGAACATTGATTCGTTGTTCCACTCATTTATGCTTTCCGTGGTTGAATCTTGTATGTGCCTTCCACAGAGTTTGAACCTGCAACCTTGGCGCTTTGGGACAGTGCTCCAACCAACTGAGCTAGCTGGCCAAGGCCTACCCCCCGAGTATTAATGCTTCTTCTTTTGCAGTGGTCACTTCTGTGGTGCCCTTTCCCAGGCTCTACCTGACACCCTCAGGCAGCATTGCTCTGTGCCCCCTCTGTGCCTCTCCTGTGCTCTGTTATTTCATCCTTACCTCTTCGCATTTGTATGTATTTAATGCAGCTTTCCTCTCTGAGATGCTGAATACTTCCTGGGAGCAGGACTAGATCATCCATTTTTATATCACCTGCACCTAGTTGAACACCTAGCAGCTACATTCAGTAACTGCTGCAGAAGTAGGGTCACCAACCACCATGTGTGCCTACAGCTGTCATGTCTAGGCAAATCCTTCCACCCTGGACAGATTGGGACAGTTGGTTACCCCGTCCATGTGGCTTAAACTTTTGAAGATACGGGCATTGCTTTATTGCAGTTCACATTTTTGTTCTTTGAAGATACTGCAATTTTACCAGACCCTCTACGAACTGAAAGATTATGACTCGCTGAAAGTTCAGATGCTGATTATCATTTTTAGGAATAAAGTATTTTTTTAGTTAAGGTATGTACATTGTTTTTTGGTTTTGATGTAATGCTGTTGCACACTTAATAGACTCCTTTATGGTGTGCACATAACCTTTCTACACACTAGGAAACCACAACGTTCATGTGACTCTTCATGGTGATACTTGTGTCACTGCAGTGGTCTGTGGGGTGTGCCTGTGTGTGTTTCATGAGCAGAGTTTGCCTGCTCTGCTGAGCCCGTCTTGTACTCTGTGCGTCCTTCTGTCTTGGCTTCTTTGACTCCCACTTGCATTTGTACATGGTTAACTTTGCTTTCCTGTACATTGTCAGACACTTGTGGGCAGGTATTTGTTTCACCCGCTGTTCTTAGCTGAACCCCTGGTACCAGATATTCTCACATGTTGAGTGAAAGGCTGACTAATGTGGCACATATTGATGGGAAATTTTTCAATACATTTTGCTTTTATCGCAAAGTAGAATGTAATTGATGGAAACCCTCAGAAGCAGTCTGCTGTTGCCCACAAACTCAGTCAGGTAATATAAGTGGATGGGAATATGTCATTTCAGGAGTCACTGTCATTCACGGATGTGTTTGTGCACTTTACCTGGGAAGAGTGGCAGCTGCTGGACCCAGCTCAGAGACACCTGCACAGGAGCGTGATGCTGGAGAACTACAGCAACCTGGCATTCCTGGGTGAGCGCTGCTGCCCTGGGGGGAGCCGCCTGGTTGCCAGGCTGTTTCCCGGCTGATTTAAGCCGGGGGGTAGAGGTGGAGCATTTGTAAAATACTGAGTGATTGTAGACTTCTGTGTAGAGGCCAGGTTCTCTTAGTCTCCCATTGCCATGAGAATATGCTCTGAGAATGGTGTTTGTTTAGCCAGAGTACAAAGGGGCAGCTTCATCATGCTGCCTTTTAACCTGATTGTCCCCATTTCTGCAGTATCCCTGAGCCCTTAGGCAGCTTTGGTCAAGGTTGTCTGTGATTTTCTGTTCACAGGGTATCAGTCCACCAAGCCTGATATCATCTTCCGGTTGGAACACGGAGAGCTGTGGATGATGCAGCCCCAAGTTCCAAGTCTAGGCCATTCAGGTGACTTAGAGTTTTTTCCTTTTTATTTAGAATTGGTGTGAATTTGAAGTGATATGCACCTCACGCTTGTACTTCTTGTCTCACCTATAAGCATTTTCTCTTAGTTACTCTCCTCTCTGGCTCTCTTGGTCTTCTTTTACTTTCCCATGCATCTTAGTGTGACTTTCGTATCCCTTCAACTTCCTTTCTGATTTTCCAATATATTTTTATATCCTTTACACTTACATTCCATGACAGCAGCCCCAATTTCCTTCCTTCTCCCTGAAACCACGCCTTCCATGTTTCTCCATGCTGATCCCTGTGATGTCCTCACCGCCCTTGCCAGGTGCGTTCCTACATCATAGATAGTGTCTGGTTTCCTGCCTGAAGCCTTCCCCTCCCCCTTACCCAGGCGGCACCGCACCGCACCGCACCCCACCCCCTTGTGCACTGCACACTCGATGGGCTTCTGCCCGTGCTCCATTGGCTGCTCCTGCTGTTTCCTCTGAGCCCAAAGGAGTTTCATTTTATATTTACCATTTGCCTCATATATTGTAACTTTTAAAAGATTTTCTTTCCGAAGATTTAAGCTCTTTCTTCTCTATTGGTGATTGACAGGCCATCCCTCTCTCATACGGGGCATCTTGCCTGCCTGAGCCACTCCCTTGTCTCATTTTCACAAACCGGAATGTCTCCTCCACTGCTCCGGAGCCACATCCTGCCTCCTCACCGTTCTCATCGTTGCTTCTTCGTCCTGCCGTGCTCCTTGTTCTTCCTGGGCCGGGGTGGTCAGCGTCCGTTTTCATTTTTCATTTTTCCTGTTCTGCCTTCTTTACCCATCATGCAAACCTTTTAAAGACAAAACAATCTTTAATTATCATTACTTGTTTATGGCAGTGAGCATTTTTGGTTTTGCTTTGTTTTCTCCAGTGCCCAGGAATTTGGGGACATTTATACTTCAGATTTGACTTATATTCAGGTCTGATCTCTGAATGTAAAACAATAACCTCATGAAATGACATTTTCAAGGCAATTTTATGCTCTACCAGGAGCATATTATCATTTATACCATGTTTCCATTTTTAGATAAAGCCTGTGACATTGATCACATGGAATGTTGTCAGGAAAATCAAGACAAGACGGGAAGTGTGTCAGATCGCTGTGAGTGTCCTGCATCTGGAGCGCTATGTCTTCTTACTACAGCTTGTATTTCTGCAAGACAAAAGCTTTATAAATGTGGCATATGTGGAAAGACTTTGAAATATAATATAGACTTCAATAGTAATTATGTTGGAAAGAACCCTAATGGGTTTTATGCACAAGGGGAATCATTCCTCTATTCTAAACATGAACAAACTCTTTTTGGAGTAAAATACTGTGAAAGTAATGGATCTGGGAAAATTGTCAACAAGAAGCCACAAGTCATGTGCCAACAAATCTGTGTGGGAGGAAAGCCCCTCAAATGCAGTTACGGTGGGAATGTCTTCAGCAGCGAGTCATGCCTTGTAGTGCATCAGCGAACTTATGCAGAGATGGAGACCTGCAATTGTGAAGGATGTGCCAGAGACATCAGCCCCAAGTCTCACCTCAGCGAACACCAGAGAAGTCACACAGGAGAGAAGGTACATGAATACAGTGAATGTGGGAAAGTCTTCAGTAGGAAAGACCAGCTTGTTTCATACCAGAGAACTCATTCAGGACAGAAACCCTACGGGTGCAGCGAATGTGGAAAAGCCTTCACGAGTAAGTCATACCTTGTTGTGCATATGAGGACTCACACAGGCAAGAAACCTCATGAATGCCGTGAATGTGGGAAATCCTTCAGTTTCAATTCACACCTCATTGTTCACCAGAGGATTCACACGGGGGAAAGTCCTTATGAATGCAGTGAGTGTGGGAGAGCCTTTAATAGGAAAGATCATCTCATTTCACACCAGAGAACTCATGCAGGGGAGAAACCTTATAGGTGCGGCGAATGTGGGAAAGCCTTTAGTAGCAAGTCATACCTCATTGCACACATAAGAGCTCATTCAGGAGATAAACCATATGAATGTAACAAATGTGGGAAAGCCTTTATTTGGAAGTCACTACTCATTGTACATGAACGAACTCATGCAGGGAAAAACCCTTACAGATGTGGTCAGTGTGAGAAATCTTTCTGTGGAAAACTACGGCTTATTGTACATCAGAGAACGCACACGAGAGAGAAACCCTATGGATGCAGTGAGTGTGACAAGGCCTTCATTAGAAAATCTCAGCTCATTGTACATCACAGAACTCATTCAGGGGAGAAACCCTATGGATGTATAGAATGTGGAAAAGCCTTCTCGCAGAAATCCATTCTCCGCGCACATCAGAGGATTCACACAGGAGAGAAGCCCTGGCAGTGCACCGGATGTGGGAAAGCTTTTTGTTGGAAGTCACAGTTCCTTATGCATCAAAGAACTCATGCAGATGAGAAACCTTGTGACAAGTTAAATGTAAGAAATTTTCTCTCAAAAGTCAATTTATAGGAAATAACCAGCAAATTCATATAGAAGAGAAACTCTGTAAATGAAGTAATTTTTTACACCAGAAATCTTATACTGAATAAAAGCCTTATGAATGTACAGTATGTGGAAGGCTATCCACAGAAAACTGTTTTTATTTATTTTAGAAGAAAGAGAGAAACATTTGTTGTTCCAGTTGTTGACGTGTTCATTGGTTGATCACTGTCTGTCTGACCAGGGTTGACCTGACCATGTTGGCACAGTGGACGATGCTGTAACTGAGCTGCCTGGCCAGGGCTCCACAAAAGTGTTTCTTTATTCCGTACTGTATTAATTAAACACTGGGATTTTAATGACAGAAAATTGCTACTCTGCATAGCAGTATTCTTAACAGATGCAGCTTTTTCCTAGGATAAAATGACGTATTAAAAATGTGTTTTAATAATAGAAATGATGTCTGTTATTTGTTTTTTTTTGTGAGTGGGCCCAGCGCCACCTTTTTGGTGACGACGTATGTCACTGTGTGTGCATTTCTGATTGGGCAGGGTGTCCTGACGTCTGTGGAGACTCAGAACCCATCACACACATGCACTCGCTGCACATGCTCTGACGAGGGACAGAGTCTGTCACCAAGGTGGGCTGGTGTACGGGGTGTGAAAATGTTAATGGACTCCTTAAGTACAGAAAAGTGAACTGAGATCTTGTTTTCTGTTATTACCTTTCAATTAGTAATTAGTTCATTCTCTATCGATTACCCAGTGTGCCTTTAGCTATTGTCATTTTTTAAAATCCTCATCTTAAAGTATATTTATTGACTTTAGAGAGAGGAAGGGAAACATCAGTGTGAGAGAGAAACACCAATCACTTTGCTCCTGTATGTGCCCTGACCGGGTATTGAACCCACAACCTTAGGATGTGCCCTGACCAGGAGTTGAAGTGCAGCCTTTTAGTGCACAGGTTGACGGTCCAACCAAGCAATCTGTCCAGGGCACAATTGTCATTTTTAATTCTAGTTTATTTTAGCTTTGTGGTATTTTTGTAATACATTTAAGTGATGCGGAAATAGGTACATATGGTTGTAGCGTGAGGGAGGTGAGAAAGCAGCTTGCCAGCTGCTTACTCACAAAGTCTGTTTGCCTCACAACCTCACCAGTTTCCTTATGTGAATGAGCAGAATGAATGCGGAAAGAGTTGGGTCCCTGGCAATTAGATTAGCACTGTCTTGGAGGAATACGAAGATCTAAAACTGCAAATATGTCTAAGGCACCCTCCACTTTGTACTCTTCTTGAGGGAATCTGTCTCCTGTTTCTTCCTTGAAGGAGATATTTAACAATTTCCGAGTGACCAATCTTTATTGTTTTCAGCTTATTATACAGGATATAATCTCAAGATACCTGAGATGAATGATGATTCACAGAAGGGAAGAGAAGGCTTGGATAAAGAAATAAGTTCAGATATTTGCTAAAGGACATCCCCTAAATCTGGAAAACCTCATGAATGTGTATTTCGTCATTGATGTACTATGAAGGTACACACAGTACGAATAAGCACATAAGGGAAAATTTATGTGTAGTTTACTCCTCACAGTCAATGAGATTTTAAAAGTTGCTGTGTGGTGTGATGCAAGTCCACTTGAAACCTCACAGACTGTCGGATGCTGTGGGGAAGGATGGTGCTGGATTCGGTTGTAATCTGAAATGCAGTGGTAAGTTTAATCTTAAACTTACCAGATACTTGAAACTTAGAGGAAATTAATAGATGAACAACCAGTAAATAAAACAACTTACATTAACAGTTGAATTTCTGGTGTGAAAATCTACCCAATCTCTGCAACCCAGCCCCGGAAGATGAAGATGTTCCAGAGACTTTTCTGTAACAGTTGATAATTACAGAAAAGTTCAAGGAAAGATGATTTCACTATTTTATAACATTGTCCAGAAAACAAACATTGGGGTTGGGGGGGTGAATTTCAAGTCACGTATGAACATAGATTTTAATGTCCTAAATGGAACTTTTAGCGAAATGTGTATAATCATGTATATTTTCTTAAAAGCCTTTACATTAAATGTAGCAGACCACCGATAGTGGGCCTGGTGCTCCTTCATTCCCAACAGAGGCACAGTATTTTTCCTGGTGGCAATGTGGACTGCTACAAAGCTACCTCTCCATTTTCTTTGCAGTTAAGTGTCATTATGCTACTAAACCATGTGCAAATGGGAATACAAGTTGTTGGGAGGGTCTGATGGGAAGGTTCTTCAGAAGGAAAAGAAGCAGCGGGGAGGTGTCCTCTACTGTCCTCTCATGTTCCTTTTCCATATGCAGCGCGTTATGGTTGGGTTTCAGGAGCCGTCCTGGAAGCAGAGACCATGTTGCGGAGGAAGCCAACTGCAGGACACCACGGAGCCACCGTACACCACCAACATCTGGGTGTGTCTCACCCAGAAGAGAAGTAAAGGGCTGTGTTCCCCTACCTTTGAGTGGGGGAAACTGGGTTATGTTACATGCACCCACATCTGACCCTACTTTAGGGTGTTTGGAAGACAATAGTAGAAAATTGTTTCATAAAAATAACCACTTTGCCAGATAAAGAAAAGCCCTATGTTATCGATATGTGTAGATAATTAAATTAGGGCTAGAAATGAACCCCTTCAACTCCCAAGGAGTGTGTTCATAAAACTGACTAATGTCATGCATAATGGTCAAACAGTGGACATGTTGAAAATTACAAGGATGTTCATTTTATTGAACGGTGTAATGGAGGTTATAGCCAAGGTGTGAAAACAAGTTGTAAGGAATCTGAGGTTGGCTCAGAACACCGCCCCCCTGCCGAAAAAAAAAATTCAATTTTACATCTAGCTATTGTATTCTAGTTAAACTGGGTAAGCTGCAAAATCAAGAAACCAAAGAAACTCAAATAAACAAAACACTAGGAAGTAAGGAACATTCTATATAAGAAAAATGTTGCACCCTTTGCAACAGTATGGGTGGACCTGGAGAACATTATTCTAAGTGAAATAAACCAGGCAGAGAAATACAAACACCTTATGATTTCACTCATGTGTGGAATCTAATGCAAAAAAACTGAACGAAATTGAGACAGCAGGGTAACAGCTAAGAGTTGGGGGAGGCTAGGGGGTGGAGTGAGCAAAAATGGAAAAGGACTCCCGTGGACAACAGGGTGGTGATTGCAGCGGGGGAGGAATATGAGGGGACCGAGTGGTAATGGAAAAAATACAGTAAAACTCCAAAGTGAAGGCATCAGAAATTCATAAATTAGGCTGTCAGGAAAGTGTTGCTGCTCTCACTCTTGGCACAACTGCAGCCAGAGGAGAGGCCCTGCAGTGGAGGGAAACAACATGTACCGCAGTTGCCCTGGACTGGCGCGATGCTCCAGACTCTCTGACACCCCCACCGCAGGAGGTTCCAGCCAGCTCTTTCCAGTGGCGCATCATGGGGCCTTTACAGATAGTATGACATGCAGTGTCGCCAGAGAAGGCTGAGAAAGGATTGTGCTGAGGTGCCCAGGTCCTCTCCTAAGTACAAGGCACATACTGTGTGAAGGCAAGAAGGCGGACAATGCAACAATTGAAAGAAACCCCTGCCGCCCTCCCATGTGAATGAAGACCACCCCAAGGCACTCAGGACATTGTACAAGACATGGCAGAGGGGTCAGGAGAGCTGACAGGGTCTCCAAGGCATTGTAGGCTTTTGCAGAGCTGAGGGGTCAGAGGTCAGAAGAACTGGAAAGCAAGGGGACCTCCGCATGCCAGAAAGTGTGCAGGCTGTGAGGCAAGCAGATATTACACTGCCAGAGCTGGCAGTTTGGCTTTGAGCACAAGCTGATGTCAGACACTCCCATGTTCTGACCCCAGGTCCTCCTGAGGGAAACTTCCTGATCCTGCCCTCAAAATAGTTGAAAGGTGTGATCTAAATACAGCCTAGAACTGCAATGAAGCCCAGGCCAGCTTAAATATAGCTTGGACTGAATCGGTCTCACCCAGTCTAACAGCTGACATTAGAAAATATGCACCCTTTAATAGAAATAAAAACAATTTCACTGCTGGGATTATATCCTAAGAACCCTAAAACACCAATCCAAAAGAACTTATGCACCCCAATGTTCATAGCAGCACAATTTACAATAGCCAAGAGCTGGAAGCAACCTAGGTGCCCGTCAGTAAATGAGTGGATCAAAAAATTATGGTACATTTACACAATGGAATTCTATGCAGCAGAAAGAAGGAGGAGATCCTACCCTTTGCAACAGCATGGATGGAACTGGAAAGTTATGCTGAGTGAAAAAAGCCAGGTGTTGAAGGACAAATACCATATGATCTCACCTTTAACAGGAAGCTAAACAACAAAACAAAGCAAGCAAAATAAAAACAAAGACACTGAAATAAAGAACAAGGGGCCCTGGCTGGCATAGCTCGGTGGATTGAGCACGGGCCTGTGAACCAGAGTATCACGGTTCGATTCCCAGTCGGGGCACATGCCTGGGTTGCAGGCCAGTTCCCAGCAGGGGGCGCATAAAAGGCAACCATACATTGATATTTCTCTCCCACTCTTTCTCCTTCCCTTCCCCTCTCTCGAAAAATAAATAAATAAAATATTAAAAAAAAAAAAAAAAAAAGAACAAGGGGACAGTGACCAGAGGGGAGAGGGGAGGGAATTTCAGGGGAAAAAGGGGGAGGATTTACAGGAACTAGTATAAAGGACACATGGACAACAACTAAGGGCGGTGGAAATGGGAGGGAAGTGGGGAGTACTGGGGGGGGTGGGCTAGGATGGGAGTAAAAAACAAAACTGTACTTGAACAATAATTAAATAAATTAAAAAAAATAAAAACAGACCCAGGGCAAAAAAATAAATCAGGAATGAAGAGATATATAATTATGAAGGCTTCATTTCACCAAAGAAATCCTAAGTGTGTGTGCACGAAACTGAAGCTTCAAAATCATGCAAAAACTGAGCTGAAAGGAATATACTCTTATCATTTTAGTTGGACACATTTATTTCTCAGTAACTGGGAGACCAAATCTCAGCAAGGCCATAGATGAACTGAGTAATGCCATCCACAAAGTGGCGCTGAGACATTTGTAGAATATTCAACTGCAGATTACACATTGGTTTTTGTTATGAATCAAATTGACATTTCTCTCCCACTCTAAAAATAAATTTAAAAATTTTAAACAGGTAAAAGTTATGTAATAGACCAAAACATTCGACAGTTTAGCTGATATGGACAGACTTCTTGAAAAACAAAACCTAAAGCTAACAGCAAAAAAATAATTGAAAAAATTGAATCCAAATTTAAAAACCTTTCCACAAGAGGTTGAAGCCTGAATGACTTGACTAGTGAATTAATTTTTCCTGACAGTTAAAGAAGAAATAATTCCAATCCTACAAAAATTTCAGAGAACAGGAGAATTTCGAGAGAATTTGAAAATTTCTGAGATTTTTCTCAAAAAATTTCAGAGAATAGGTACGATCCTTCCCAATCGATTTAAAGAGACCAGCATAACTGCAGTGGAGATGAAAGTTGGGAAAGAAACAAATACAGACATTCATGAACATAGTTGCAAAAATCCTAAACAAAAAATTAGACTGAATCTCTGATACGTAAAAATTGTATCATGATCATGTGTGGTTTATTCTTTCCATGTAAATATGATTTCGTTGGGGGGAAAAAACCTATTCCACAATTTAAAAATAAAAGAGAAAAACCTTGTCCAGAGACAGAAAAAAAGGTGATGAAATTAAACTTTATTCAAAGTGAAAAATCTTAAGATTATTAAGATAAACCTCATACCTCATATGAGAAATCATGTATAATTTAATGAATTTTATGGTCCTAATTCATTGTTATTCAGCCACTTTTTTGTTTGGCACTTACTGAACACTGAAGGGCCCAGATAAGATGTTATTGTTTACCAACATTGTCTTACGGTAGCCTACTGACCCCCTCTGAGCTAGGGTTCCCTTCCCTTGTTATTGGTGAAGAAATACTGAAACAGTTTGTAGAGGTCCTCCACCGTTAAGTGGCCGCCTTTAACTTGGATTGAAAGCCTACGTTCCTAACTTCAGTATAGAACTATTTGTATTCCTAAGTCTCTAAATCAGGACAGTCTTCATAAGCTCCCATTGTAATAAAGGCCTGATCTTGCAAGGAAAGGTCATTAACAGAGGCGAGTTGTAAATACAGGCTGCCTTTCCTCTTACCATGCCTGTCTAATGTCTGTCTGATGCAGTCATTAGCACATTCTAAAGCAGTTTCTCTGATACTTGGATGTTTAAGTTTCCCTCACTCAGTTGATGTTATTAATTGGGTAAAGAGGGCCGGCCATCAGGAACGTCTCACTGCACACACAGTGTGGTTCAGAGAAAGGGACTACGCTTCCATTGCCAGGTTTTCCCGGTAAACCGCCAGGGAGGACGCGTTGCTGCGAGCAACTTCTCAGTTCCTCTCGCTATACTGGGTCCAACGGGTTTGCTTCCCCCAACCCTGTTTTCTTTTTTCTCGCCTTGGAGAGAATCTAGAATAGAAAAACAAGTATCTTTTTATAAAAAATCAGAAAACATGAATAAGGAAAAAAATTAAAATGCCTAGTAAAAATAATTATATCACCCAGGGTCAACCAGGATTCAACGTTTTATTATATGTACTTTTCAAATGGGCTCCTATCACTGAAACTGTCTCGTAACTCGCGATTTTTATCGTACCACGTGTCATGATCCCCGGCCGGGCAGGGAGCATTAAGTGTGATTATTTAGCAAATCTTCCACCAGCCGCTTGGATTGTTCCCAGAGTTTCACTTAAACAGACGCCGAAATGTCTGTATTTGTGCCTAAGTCTTTTGTCAAGAGAATTCCTTTCTTTGTAGTCAGACTTTGACCACCCTTTAAGACCCAGCATGCAGCCTTCCTCTCCTCTCATTTCTGAAACACGGTCTAGGCGCTGGGTGGGGCAGCTCGCAAAGTGTTTACTGCACCGAAGACCAGGTCTGAGCAGGACGTCAGGATTCCCACCGACTAGACTAGGGTCAGCAGTGCCCAGGCCCTTCCTTCTTGCTGGTGGAGATGTCCCAAAGGCACCCCGCCCGCTGCCCGACGCTCGGGATCACGCGGAGATCAACCCGGTGCTGGATTCAGTTTGCTTGGGGTCGTTCCCGGGTGCCCCTGTGGCCCGACTCAGTGCAGCCCCCTCCTGAATCTCCAGCCCCGTGTCCTGGAGGGGTCTCTGCTCCCACCCTACGTCCTTGGGGTTTGAAAGGCACAGTCGTCCCGTGGGGACAGGAAGTGATCCCCACGGGGTTTGGCTCCTCGATCCACCTAGGGGCCTGGGGTCAGCCAAGGGTCACGGCTTCCTCCGGACCCCGCCTCTGGAGGGTGGGGGTAGTTCGTCTCCGCTGCAGCCTCAAGACCCGCCTGCTCCGTCCGGGAGCTGAGGACTTGCAGAGCCAGGTTATATGGCGCCTCTGAACGCCAGAACTTCTTGGCGCCCCCTGGACTGCGCGGACCCCGGGAACAGGGGGAGTCAGGCGAGGCCGTTGCCGGGATTGGCTGCAGCTTCGATACTTTGTAGCGACCGCACCTTCTGTGCTGCCTGGCAGTCGCCAGGGCGCCTCCTGGAGCTGCGGGAGGAGCACGTGCGCGCAGGGTCAGCGCGGAAGTGGGACTGGGAGGCAGGGTGTGGACCCCTGAAGTGGATTTGGCGGGGCAGGACTCTTGGCCTTCGCAGAAAGCAGCTCGCGGTGAAAGGTACGTGGCGTCGGACCCCAGGCATAGGGGAGCAGGGGTCAGGACTCTGGGCAGACCTGCATACCGTCCTCCCGTCCGCTCCATCTGCGCCCAGGGCCCGGTCCTCTCAGGGTTCGAGTCCTCTCCGCAGGAGCCTGGCCCTTAGCCTCTTTTCCGCCTCTCCTGGAGCCTGTGGGGTCAGCGCTGGAAGAAACCCGAGTCCTGAGCCTAGTTCTCCCCTTCCTGCCTCTGTCGAACCCCTGCAGCTTCGGCTCCCTCGCGGACGCGGGGTCTGGGCCTCCTGCCCATCGAGACGGGGCGAATCTTAGGGTCGCGAGTTAGGACCCGATAAAGTGGCGGCCTAGGTGAGAGAGGGTCCACGTGGACAGGTGGGCGTGGAGCAGGGAGGACGGTGGGGGGGGCGGGGGCGGGGCGGGGCCCGGATCCTGAAGCGAGCGCTGCCCGGGCAGGTTTTCCACAACCTTAGTGGAAAGTTCGGCAGAGTCGGCTAAAAACTTAGATGTCCCATAGCACCGCCTGTTAACTTGGCCCTCAGGACGCCTGTTAATTTCCCCAGGCATATATGGTCCACAGAAATGAGGCCTTATCCTTGGAAATGTTCACGACTGCAGGGCGTTTGAACACGTTACAGCCTCTCCTTTCATGGGATACTTTGCAGGACCATGCATATGCGCCAGTAAACGTCCTTGGTACTAGTCATAGCAGCCGTTCCTTTGTGCTGTTAAAAATAACTATGGTGGGGGGAGGGGAGAAAATGCAGACAACTGTAATTGAACAATAAAATAATTTTTAAAAAATGGGTGTATGGCCCTAGTTGGTGTGGCTCAGTGGGTTGGGCGCCGCCCTGTGAACCAAAAGGTTGCAAGTTTGATTCCCATTCAGGTCACATGCCCGCATTAAGGGCCAGATGGTGGGAAGGGCAATCAACAAATGCTTTTCTCCCTTTCCTTCTCCCTTCCCCTCTCTCTAAAAATAATCAATAAATTTTTATATTTTTAAAAACATTTTATTTATTTACTTTTAGAGAGGGGGAAGGAAGGAGAGAAACATCAATGCATAGTTGCCTCTCATGCACCCCCTACTGGGGATCTGGACTGCAACCCAGGTATGTGCCCTGACTGGGAATCGGACCAGTGATCCTTTGGTTCCCAGTCCAGTGCTCAATCGACTTAGCCACACTAGCCAGGGCAGAATAGTAAATAAAATATTTTTTTTAAAAAACAGTCTTATGTATACACAGATTTGTATATAAAAAAGAAACTCACAAAGCTTTGAAACCCACTTGCTATAGCTTTCCTGTGTTAGCAGGGCAGTGTGGACTTTGTGGAATAATGAATCGGTTCTAAAGGCTTGGGCACTGAAGCCAGCCTTGTGGGGTCAGGTTATGCCAGGTCCCTGCTGGTCGTCCTCACTCAGTGCCACCCCTGAATGACGCTGTGAGGGTGAGGGAGCCAGAGTTCCAGGACTAGTGGGCACACGCAGGCCCAGCAAGGGTGTATTCCGCTGTGTAGGGTGTTTTTTTTTCTCTTTTTTTAATTTGTGTGATTAGGGCAACCTTGAACTCTTTGTGCTTTTCAAATAATAAGTTTCAGGCTTTTTTAAACTCAAAATAGTTAAAACCAGATGGCATTTGTTCTGCACCTGCAGGCCCCATGGCTCCTCTTTGAAGGAATGTAAATGGCCTCTGCCCAGCGCCTGGCCCAGGGCACTGCTAAAGGCTGGTAGAGGCCTCGGCATCCGTCTGGCAGATGCTGAGGAAATTGGACACAGCCCCACCATGGTCCCTGCCCCACTGAGTCCAGAGGGGCAGTGAAACAAAACATCGTCACTGTGTGCATAAGGACAGGTGGAAATAGGGTGGTCAGAGGACCAGGGTGGGGCCTGTGTGCGGGCCACCCAGGGGATAGAGGGAAGGTGCGGAGGAGTGAGTGACGGCTTCTTGCCCGGGAGGGACGCACAACTGGGGGACTGGGAGGAAATGCCACGGGCATCTGCTCCCTTCGGCCTTTTCTCAGGCAACCTCTCATTAGTGGCACCTTCCAAGGTTCTGTGGCAGGAGGGGGGCCCCTCAGAGTTGGTCGAGGGTTGATGCACAATCAACTTGTCATCAGTGCTGGCCATTGTCATAACTGTCACCTTGTTTATAGCGGGGTACAACCCAACACAGGATGCAGAGTTTCTTGAAGATGCTGAGGAGGAGTGGGGGCACCAGCCCACCCCCGGAGGAGCTGGTGACCCTTGCTGGCAGGTTGTGCCGGGACCTTCAGGACGACCTTGCCCAGGTGCAGCCCTTGGTCACAGCTGTGTTGGACAGCGAGCTCCGCCTGTACCTCCTTGACAACGAGGATGTGGCCCTAGTGTGCGCCCGAGTGCTGGTCCAGCAGGAGCAGCACCAGGCTGCCTGCCGGCTGTTGGAGGTAGGACTGGTCTGGACGGCGGGCAGTGCAGACATGGGCAGCAGCCACTACTGTCCTGAGCGAGGCGGAATGCCCAGAAGTCAGCAAGAGCCCAGGGAGAGGTGCTGTGGTCCACTCTCACTTTACTAAGTTCTAAATAGTTTGGCGATCTGAGAAAAAATTCCATTTATCAAATCTTTACTGAGTGGTGGTCCTGGCTTGGAGACCGTCATACCAGTCGATGAGCCCCCCAGTCAGACGGACCCAGGATCTCAGTCCCGTAGGCGGAGGTATGCAGCTAGAACTCTGAAACCAAAAATATCTTTGTCATTCATCCAGTCGTACTGGGAACATCAAGTCATGTGGCCTCGAAAACTAACCTGCATTGATGTGAAGGAATTTATGGTCTTTTTTACAAAAAGATGTTATTTATTTACATTTAGAGAGAGGGTAAGGGAGGGAGAAAGAGAGAGATATTGACTGGTTGCCTGTCACATGCAGCCGCCGACCAGGGACCCAACCCACAGTCTGGGCGTGTGCCCTGACCGGAAATGGAACTGTCGACCTTTTGCTTTGCAGAACAACGCCCAGCCAACTGAGCCACACCAGTTGGGGCTATGGTTTTTCTTTATCCACCTAATAGGACAGAGGTGCATTTTGCAGAGGTGCACGTCTAAATATTGACGTGGTTTTTTTGTTTTGGTTTGGTTTTGAGGCTTTTTTTTTTGAAATATTGATGTGTTTGATTGTAGGATGCTGCCCGCGCCAGACTTTATGGGTAGACATTATATAGTATGTGCCTGTGTCACTGTCCAGAATCTGAGCAATTCTGAATTCCAAAACACAAATAGCTCAGAGGGCTTCAGTGAGGGATCTGAAGGCCTGTCTTTCCCTGGTTCACCCCATATTACAGTCCATGTATAATTTATTCTGAGTTGAAAGATACTCAGTTTTTCCCAGTTTTTTGTACTTCTACTCCTTCCCAGCCAACGGGTGTCCTCTGGCCCCTCAAATTGCCTCCATGCAGCAGCGAGAAAATGTGTAGAACTGCAGGTGGGCCCTTGTGTGCACCAGGGTGGTGGTCCCAGGGCCTGGGATCTGAGCCTGCCTGCTCTCCGGTGAGTCTCCACACTTTGTCCCGGTTCCTCCACAGTGGCCATTCTGGCCTCTAGAATTCCCAAGATATTTCTTTGTTCCAGGACCTACGCGCATGCCTTACCGTCTGCCAGAGGCTGGTGCCTCCCCACCTTTCTAGTTTCTGTTTGAAACGTCACCCCATCTAGCCCTGGCCGGTGTGGCTCAGTTGGTTGGAGTGTCGTCTTGTAACAGAAAGGCTGCGGGTTTGATTTGCAGTCGGGCACATGCCTAGGTTGTGGGTTTGATGCCTGGTCCAGGCGGGTGCGATCCCCCATCGGGGTGTGTACGGGATGTAACTGATCAATGCTTCTCTCTCAAATTGATAATGCTCTCCCTTCCTCTCTAAAAGCAACGACAGCAACTATAAAAAGAAAAATAAATGTCACCCTGTCAAGGTAACACCTGCTTTATCTCCCAGTGCTGCCCCACATTGCACCCGCGGAGGCTTTTCCTCGGGCCGGGTTGGAACCCCTTGTCAGTCTGCTTCTTCAGCCCCCGCCCGCTGTGCTGTGGGCCCGTGAGGGAGGGGCTGCCCCTTGAACCACAGGGTCAGTGGCACCCAGCGTAACATCTGGGACATACACAGGAGGGGCTTGGTGTCTGGTTCTCAGCACCTCCCTCACCGAGGTGGTCCTGACAACACTGGAATTAAAGGCGCAAGACACACCCTGACCAAGATGTCTGGGGAGGCCACTGTCAGATGTCCTTGGCCACCTTCAGAGTCTGGTTATGTGAACAGACTAGGACTCCTTCCTCCCACTTCGCTCAAAGTGCACTCTGTGAGGACCCAGGAGCCACCTGCTGGAGGGAGAAAAAGTCTGTCACATAAGTTGTGGGTCAAGCCCTGGCTGGTGTGGTTCAGTGGATTGAGTGCGGGCCTGCGGAGCAAAGCGTGGCCGGTTTGATTCCCAGTCAGGGCACATGGTTGGGTTGTGAGCCAGGTCCCCAGTAGGGGGCGCGGGAGAGGCAACCACACATTGACGTTTCTCTCTCCCTCCCTTCCCTGCTTTCTAAAAATAAGTAAATAAAATCTTTAAAAGACAAGAATATTTGAAAAAAACAATAAGGTGTGTGTCAGGCTTCAGAACCTCAACTCTGACAGTGTGGTGCTACCACAGCTCTGCCTCTCGTGCGGCCACCAGCCAGTCATCTGCCTGCCCTTGGCCTCATGCTCCTCACCTGTGAGGAGTGGCTGAGAGCTGTGCTCCCCTTAGTGCTTTGTGGGAGGGTTGAGGTGCTAATGTGAATGGGTGGCCAGTTGGGCTACCAGGGACACAGCACTACGCCTGGTGGCAGTCAGGGCACTGGTCCTATGGTCACGCCCTTGCTACTTGGCCCATCAGTGAGCAGCTCTTCCCAAGGGTCAGGGCAGGTTGGATGGCAAGGCTCCAGGTAGGTGAGGGTGGCCACGTCTCAGCAGGTTCTTCTCGGCAGGGGTGCCACGTGCCAGGAGGCAGCCAGGAGCTGGTGAAGCTTTGGAATGACATTCACTACCATCTGGTCATGAAGAGGCTGGGCGTGGCCACACTGACTCCTGTGCAGAAGTTCCGCTGCAGGAAAAGGTACGCCAGTGGCCCTTGCTTATGCTTATTCCCTGGGCCTCCTGAGCGATGTGCCATCCCAAACCACAGGAGGACTTAGGTGAAACAGGCAGGATGATAAGGGCAGGAAAAGTCAGATGAAGCACCTGGTCAAAAGGTAACAGACTCATTATCAACCCACGTGTGTGACAGCCGCACCCTCTGTCTGCTCTGTTGGCCGTGGGGGTGCATTCCTGTGTTTGCCAGTGGGAGGGAGGGAGCAGTTCCCAGGACCCAGGCAGAGAGTTCCAGCTGCAGCAAGAGCCACTGCCCCCAGTGAGGGCCCTGGGGCAGGGAATGAGGCCTCACTACCCTCCGTCTTGTGGGAGTGGCCCAGCACACGTGACTCAGGTAAGACTCTGCAGGTGGTTCAGTCTTAGCAGTGGCCCTCAGAGCAGCAGGACCTTTAGAGAGAGTGCTGTGGGTAGTACTTAGAAGGTTGCCTGGCACAGTAGTTATTAAGGAGACGTAGTATGTAGTAATTAACCACCATAACCTTTGTCAGCACTAAGGAAACATTACAACTGTTAGTTATTGCTACTGTTGTCACCATTCGTGGATGAGAAAACCAAGGCACAGGAAAGTTAGTGACTTGCCTAGGTTACAAAGTGGACAGAGGCAAAGCCAGGATTCCAGCTCAGACATTGAGACCATGGAGCCTTTAATCGTGACCTTGGTTGTTCCCTGCTGGGCTGCAGGGCTACTGTGCTCCTGACAGCCCAAGTGCCGGGACTCCTGAGCCATGGGGCCTGGTCACCAGAAGAGATGGATCCCTTTTGTACCAGAGAGGATTTTTTTTCATGCTTCCCACCAAACAGTGAGATGTGAGTCTTGGGGACCACAGGGATGTAGCCGCGTCCCCACATATTGATGCTGAGGGTCTGCCCGAGTGTGGTTCAGCAAAGTAAAGGATAGGGGACCAGCAGAGAGTGTTTGTGAGGGACCCCTAATTGCTGGGTGTTACTGGAGGTGCTGAGGATAGAGACTGGGCTTTGCTCTCCCAGAGCTGACCTTGGGTGTGGGCGCCGGACAGTACAAAGGAAACCAGGTACACTCCACAACTCCGGGCGAGGAATGCTAGACAGAAGGCCTTCAGACGAGGACAGGGACACATTATTTTTTGCTGTTGGAAGGGGCTGCAGTGCAGGCCGGTCCAATCCTTGGAGGGCAGATCTGAGCAAGTGGATCTCAGGGTCATGAGGAGGGGGTGACATTGGAGTTCCAGCAGATGGTCAGTGCGGGAGCAGAGGCAGGAGGTTCTTGGATTTTTCTGGGAGTGGCTGAAGAAAGGGTTGTGTGATGGTAGATTTTGGAGGATTTGCTGATGGCTTGGATGTACTGGAGGAGGAGAAGAAAAAATAAAGCCCGGCTACAATGCTCTTGGCTCGAGTGGCTGGAATAGGGTGGTTTCTCATCGAGACGCACAGGGTCGGGGCTGGGGAAGATTTGGAGGGCTGCTGGTCCAGCTCCTCTTCAGCTCTGGGAATAACGGGAAGGATGTGTTTTTTGACATCATGGGGATTTGTTCAGTTGGTGTTTGGATATCAAGTCTTGGTATAGACAGGTACTGTCTTGGTATATTTGTTTGGTATATACAAATATACTTGGTATATTTGTTTCTGTGTCGTTATTTTCTTCGGCGAAAATTCAAGTTTACACAACAGTGAAGCATCATCCAGCTTCGACAGTTTATCGGCATTGATCAGCATTGGCATCTCACTGAGTGGTGAGACCTCTGTAAATGTGTAGAGCAGAGTGTCGGCCAGGGGAGCCCCTTCCTCCTTAAGGGTGGGCCCCTGGGACTTAGCAGCAGTGAGAGGCAAGGAGTGGCCGATGAGATGAGAGGAAGTGCAGGGGTGCCCAGTGATCTGCAGCACTTGAAGTGTATCCAGGAACAGGGATGTCTGTAACCACCTCTTCACTGTCCTCACCTAGGAACCCACCGCCCCCCTCCCTCTGCCCTGAGGGCTTGAAGAGCAGGAACTTCCCTAGAGAGATTCGCCAGAAGTTGCATGACTTCGCCTCTGGAGTGGGCAGCAACCCCAGCAAGGCTGAGCGGGTAAGAGCCAATAACAGGTCAGGCAACCCTCCCCTTAGTTAATCTCCGCAGTTAGATGACACCCTGTCCTTTGGTGACCCACCCCCAGGCCTCCCCAGTGGCCCATCTTGCCAGGGCCCTGGTGGTCTCTGGTTCTCCTTGAACTGGCCTGGGGACCATAGCTCATTGTCTGGCAGCCCCTGACAGCCCAGCCTGCACACATGGAGGGTTTAGTTTTCTCACCCTCCATGGTCAGCGAGGTCGCCTATGGCTCCAGCAGATGCTCTCTCAGCACCCGCGGTGGCCAGATATGAAGTACTGGGTGAGGGTGTTGAGTCTCTGCCTTCTTGGAGCTTCCAGTGTTGGCGGGGCAGATGCCGGTGGAGGCTGGTACTTGCTGATGGTGGAGCCACGAGGCAGGGAGCTCGCGACGAAACGGCGCGACGGGGCGGGAGGGAGTTTCCCGGCTGCTCAGAAACGGGGTCCTGCTCCTCCCCCGCTTTGCTGCTTCGTCGGATCGGCCAGGCCCCTCTGTATAATTTCCCCCATTAAATCGTGAAGGTCTTCGAAGTGGTCGCCCTGCCCACTTCTGGAGCTTACCCAATCAAGAGGGTTCTCCTGATGTTTGCTCCACCCACCATTCCTCCTGTCCAATTAGCAGGGCTTGGGCTGTGCGCTCCGTCTTTCGGTCCAGTAGTCGGAGCTCTTCCACTTTTCTCAGCGTCCAATCGGCAGAGCTCTCCGTGATTTTTCCCCGTCCCGCCCTCCGCTTGTCCGCTGTCCAATTGGAAGGGCTCTCCAGTGATTGCCCGCATTTTTTGACCGCTGAAATTTATGCCTGCTACTGAGGAAGCAAAGGGCGCAGGTTCAGAGGTCGTCGTCCTTTCCACTGGGCGGTGCTTGATTTGGGTGGCCGTCGGGGGGCCGCGGCTCTCCCCCCGACCCCCGACACCCCCCCCCGCCACACTGTGCCAGCGAGGTCGCCCCTCTGGACACCGCACCGTGGGTGGAAGCAGGGCTTGAGGCTCGTTTCCGGCAGGACACCCTGGCCGCGGAGACCAGCCTGACTGTAGAGCAGGTCTACAACTGGTTCGCCAATTACCGACGGCGCCAGAGAGCCGGTCTACCGCGCACTGCCCGCCTGCAGCGCACTGCCGGTCTGCAGCGCACGGAGCCCGCGGGGGACACGGCCGAGGACCCAGTGCAGCCCTCACGCCAGCCCCGCCCCTGCTTCCGTTGTGTGTACCGGCCTCGATGGTCATGTGAGTAGCCCGAGGGCCCTGATGGTTGGGGCTGACGTCAGGTCACTGCACCTGCTGTCAGGGCCAGGCATGGGCAGGGTCCCTGATCTGCACGGTGGGGACTTAACCCTTAAGGAGCGAGAACGTTGAGGCTGAGGGTCAGGTGGAGCTGTCGCCGATTTGTGTTTAGAGGCCTCTGTGGTCAGGGCCAGAAGTCAAGTCCGTTTGGGAAGTGAGCCAAGCTCCAGGTTGTAGGGTGCCTTAATCATGGATTGTCATTAGGACCAGCGATGAATCGGGGGACAGGGAATATTGGGATGACTCATAGGTTACACCCTTTTCCAGCCATCTGGGGCTACTCGTAACCTGCCAGGAAGGAGGCTGGAACTTGCACTTCATCCAACCTCCCATCCCATCTGATTGGCTTTTGACAGGTGAGGGAAACGGGCGTGTTCGGTCCCTGGCAGCCACCCACGGTCAGTGGGAGCCTCTGGCCCTGGCCTCCGACTTTTCTGGAGATGAGACAATGCCACAACCACTGATTCCCAGGTACTGCCATCCCCACAGGCTGGGGACCGTCTCCCTGTTCAGTTTCCCTGTCCTCAGTAGGAAACCAGGCCTGCGGTGGGCATGGGAATGTGGGGCCAACACTGGGACCAGGTCAGTGACAGCTGTGAGCCCAGGGGTCAGGGAGCCACTGGCAAGGAACCCAGGTCAGGGGCCCTGCAGTTCTTCACAGGAGCCTGTGGCCCAGCCTGCGGTCACGTAGATTGTGGAGATTGGGGAAAACAGGCGTAGGAAGGAAAATATGCAAATGTGTCACCTAAAGGCAGACCCCGCTGTCATGGTTTGCTTATTTCTGGTATTTTGTGTGGCTTGTGTTTCATTGAGTCGGTAACAGACAACACTGCTTGAAGTCCTACTGTGTACCAGTGACAGTAGCTGGGCCTGGCGCCCAGTGTGCAGACCAACAGCACTGTTGAGGCAGGTTCCTGTGACTTCTGTGCCCTACTCTCCTCACCTGTGAATCGGGGCTGTAGGACCTGCCAGGTGGGCTGTGCTGGGTGGGGCTGTGGACAAACGCCCATGAGTGCCATCCGAGTCACTGTGAGTGTCTGTGGGACGTGAATTCTTTGTGCTGTATCGGCTGCTGCCCAGGGTCCCCTTAACATCAGCCATCACGTATTCAGCCAGCTGGTGGGCCCCTGCTAACAGTCTCCAGCTTTCGGTATTGTGGAAGAACGCTTCCTGGAAGGTCTGTGTAAATGAACTGCTAGTGCATCTTAAGTTTCCAACAGTCATGTTTTTTTGAGTGTCTCCGGAACGCTGGCAGCCCCGAGGAGGACAGGGAAGGCGGCAGGATGAGGGGTGGCGGGCCCCGTGCCCTCAGTGCCAGCTCGGCCTGAGCGAGCCTCTGCCCGCCCAGGAACAGTGTCGCTGGTGTTTCCCAGGTCTCTGCAGGGTGCTGAGATGTACCAGGAGGGGCCCGGCCACGATCCTGCCACTCTGATCCCCGTCTGCCCTGACCCTGGCCTCGGCGCGCTGGCTGCCTGCAGTGACGTGCTGGAGCCCTCTTCAGCTGCCCCCCGGTCATGGCTGATGTCCCTTGCACTGGCGTCCTCCAGGGACGCGTCCTTTCAGACTGGACAGCTGGTCTACAGTCCCAGACTGGACTTCGCGACGCACCCCACGGATGCTCCCATGGCGTCCATCGCTTCTGTGTCCATCGCCACTCTTGCTGGGCCCAGTCCCACAGGTGAGTCTGCTCCAGACGGACCGTGAGTTTCTGCCCCACACGCCGGAACTACTGGGGTCTTGGAGGGAAGGGCCAGGACTTCCCGCTGGAATCCTGCGTTTCGTTAGACCCAGAACCAATGTACCTGAAACGGGCTCTTTTTAAAAAAAATTTTATTTATCTTTAGAGGGGAAGGGAAGGAGAGAGGGAGAGAAATATCAATGTGTGGCTGTCTCCCATGTGTTGCTGTGGGGAACTGGCCCGCACCCAGGCATATGCCCTGACCGGGAATCGAACGGCGATCCTTTGGTTCGCAGGCTGGTGCTCAGTCCACTGAGCCACGCCAGCCAGGGCCTGAAACAGGCTCTTGCCACAATATTCCAGGTAATGTTTCTCATTTAGTTAATAGTCAAAGTGAAATATACACATGAGCCCTGGCTGGTATGGCTCCATAGACTGAGTGCCGGCCTGCAAACCAAGGGGTTGCTGGTTCGATTCCCAGTTCAGGGCACATGCCTGGGTTGCCAGCCAGGTTGCCAGTAGGGGGCATGTGAGAGGCAGCCACACACTGATGTTTCTCTCCCCCTCTCTCTCCCTGCCTTCTCTGCTCTCTAAAAAAAATAATAAAGTCTTTAAAACATAGGCACAGGAAACAAAATAAGGCAGAGAGGGAAGAGCAAAAATGAAATGAGCTGGCTGCCAGCCCCGGCCCCCCCCCAGACGCACCTGACTGCTTGTCAGCATCTGCTGGACGGAGGGCGGAGCTTCTCCGACCCTACTTCTCCCCACTCTCACCCCACCATTAAAATACCATGATCTTAGTTTCTTCCTGATTATCACTGTAGCTGTAAGTACCTTCAGAATATGTATTTGCATGTGTATATGTGTTTTGCCCACCAGTACGGTAGCATCTCGTGACATCCTTCCTTGTAAGGAAGACACTGTGAATTCAGCCCACCACCCACATTTCCGAGCCCTCCATGCTTATATACATGGTGTCCTGGGGGTTTCAGTTGCCATTCTCTTACCCTTCCATTGCCGGCTTTTCCCACAATTCAAATGTCCCCTCTGAAGCCTGGCTGCTGGGAGCCGCCTTCTCCCTGCGCCCCTCCCAGTGGTGCCTTCTCTCTTTCTTCACACCTTTGTCGTGCTGGAGAGTGTCTTCGATTAACCGCGCAGTGAGGTGCGTGCAAGGTAAGTTTTCCGATCAGTGTTCTCAGTTGTCTTTCATCTCCTCTCACATTTGACTGATGGTTTGGCAGGGAAAGAATTCTGAGTTTAACGTGCCTTTTCCGCTAGAAACCCGAAGGCATCAAGTATTGTGTCGCCGCAGAATCTAGTCACATGTTACTCTGATGTTCACTTCTTTGCAGACCGCCCGAGATTCCTGTATTGGAGGTTTTTTAAAGGTTAAATGTATTGAGGCGATACCGTTAGTAGTATATAATTTGCAGGTGCACTTCATGGTACTGTGACACCTGTACACTCAACTGTGTGCTCAAGCTTCTGTTACCGTCCAGTTTGATCCCTTCCCCCCCGTTTCCCCACCCCCGCCCAGCTCCCTTGGTAACACCATTCTGTGGTCCCATCTATGAGTTTGGGGGGTTTTCTTAGTTCATTTGTTACTTTTTGTTTATTCCATCCACCGTGAATGGATAAAACTGAAAAAGGTGTTTTTTTTTTTTTATTTCTTGACGTTCTGAAATTTCATTGTGATGGTCCTGGGTCTTTTTAATTCACTTTGCTGCTGTTAAGTGTTTGAATTTAAAATAAGAAAACAAAATCTTCTTTAAGTTCTGGGCATTTATCGGTAATATTATTTGATAGTTTATTCGGTAATTTCTTCCCTTCATGGTCTCAATTCTGTGTTTTGAGCACAAATGTTATTTGGATGTTGGAATCCTGGACCAGTCTTAAAATGCTTAAAATGCTGTTTTAAGATTGGTGTCTTAAATGCTGTCTTAAAATGCTGTTTTCTTGTATCTTCTTTTCCTTGTTACTGTATATGCTTTTGAGGATGTTTCTTAAACTCTCTCTTCCAGTATTTCATCTTGATAGATAGTTTAAGAGAATTCCAAAAAAACTGTACTTGAAAAATAACTAAATAAAATTTAAAAAAAAAGAGAGAATTCCAAATTCTCTTCCCTTATCTCTGAATTTTCCTTTCTTCCTAGGTCATGATGTTTTTGTAGATTGTTCTCCTGGAGGCAGCTTTTCAGTTGGATCAGACGGGCCTTTCATTCCTTGCTCTCTGTTTGTTTCTGCCACCAGAGACTCACGTGTGCCTGGTTAGTGGCGGAGTGGGGACAGTTGCTGACCTGCCTCCTGCAGGATCGGGGCAGCTGGTCTCTAGTCTTGTGTCCAGCACCTGTGATGGGCAGCGTTGGCTGGGAGCTTGTGAAATTCCCTGTGGACCCCTGAGCCCCAGGACATCACTGCAGTCTCCCCACTGGGCCCCTCCCTCCCTGACCAGTGTTCCGGGTTCCTTTCAGATGAGGTGCCATGTGGAGAACTGGACGTCACCACCTGCCATGGCCCCTCCACAGCCCTCCGTTTGTTCTGAGATTGTGGCTTTTGTACTTCTCTGGGAGGAAGAGGATACATCCCATTGATCTATTATGTTTGAACCCAAAATGTTCAAATTTGCACTTAACTGTATGTCCTGTACCTCAGAGCCTTTGAAAGTTCTGCAGGAAACAGCAAAGAGCAGATGGTCAGGGAGCGTCCTCTGGTCAGAGGAGGTCTGGGCGGGGTGAGCTGGGCTGCTCGCCTGTAGTGAGGGCCGCTCGGTCTGGCCTGGCCCCCTGGCTGACTCAGGGCAGGAAGGGACCTTCCTTCCCAGCTCACTTGCACTCCCAAACGTCTGTAGAGTCCGATCTGTAGGGGCAGTCTTCAAGACTGAGATATTCTGTGAGAGTTTCAGTGGAAAAAGGCATGGTCATGGCGTCCTGCAGCTCCATGAAATCTTGGTGAACCCTGCGGTACCAGGCGAAAATGACCTCGAAGGGCAGGCCTGTGTCCGGTCCTCGGGTGGCAGTGGGGCTGTGGCAGATTTGGGTGCCGAGGCTTTTTTTTTTAAATATATTTTATTGATTATACCATTACAGTTGTTCTATTTCCCCTCTTCATTTCCCTCCACCCTGCACACCCCCTCCCCCACCATTCCCCCCTTTAGTTTATGACCACATTTCTCAAGTTCTTTAGATTCTATATTTCCCATACTATTCTTGCCCTCCCTCTATCTATTTTCTACATGCCGTCTATGCTACTTATTCTCTGTACCTTCTCCCCCCTTCTCCTTCTCCCACTCCCCTGTTGCTAACCCTCCATTTCTATGGTTCTGCTCCTGATCTAGCTGTCCTCTTAGTTTGCTTTTGTTTTAGGTGTGGTTCTTAATAACTGTGAGTTTGCTGTCCTTTCACTGTTCATCTTTTTTATCTTCTTTTTCTTAGGTAAGTCCCTTTAACATTTCATATAATAAGGGCTTGGTGATGATGAACTCCTTGAATTTGATCTCATCTGAGAAGCACTTTATCTGTCCTTCCATTCTAAATGAAAGCTCTCCTGGATAGAGCAATCTTGGTTGTAGGTTTTTGGATTTCATGACTTGGAATACTTCTTTCCAGCCCCTTCTTGCCTGTAAGGTCTCTTTTGAGAAATCAGCTGACAGTCTGATGGGAACTCCTTTGTAGGTGACTGTCCCCTTAGCTCTTGCTGCTTCTAGAATTCTCTCCTTCATTTTAATCTTGGCTAATGTAATGATGATGTGCCTTGGTGTGTTCCTTCTTGGGTCCAACTTCTTTGGGACTCTCTGAGCTTCCTGGATTTCCTGGAAGTCTATTTCCTTTGCCAGATTGGGGAAATTCTCCTTTATTATTTGTTCAAATAAGTTTTCCACTCGTGGCTGTTCCTCTTCCCCTTCTGGTACCCCTATAATTCGGATGTTGGGACATTTAAAGATGTCCTGGAGGTTCCTAAGTCTCTCCTCATTTTTTTGAATTCTTGTTTCTTCATCCTTTTCTGTTTGGTCATTTTTTTTCCTCATTCTGGTCCACTCCTTCGATTTGAGTCCCAGTTTCCTTTCCATCACTATTGGTTTCCTGTGCATTTCCCTTCATTTCAATTAGTTTTAGCCTTCATATGTTCCTCTAATTTGTGACTGAAATCAACCAGTTCTGTGAGCATCCTGATCACCGGTGTTTTGAACTGTGCATCTGAGAGTTTGGCTATTTCTTCATCGCTTAGATTTATTGGCTCTGGGGCTTTGAGTTGTTCATGAGCCATGTTTTGATCTGTTGGTGCCTGTTACATATGAGGAGCGGAGCCTTAGGTGTTCACCAGGGCAGAGCCACCCAGGTTGCTGGTTTGTGACGCTGTATGTGGGGGCGGGGTCAGAAAGGGACAATGGTGGTCCCCTCTGCTGCTTCCCACCACTGCCACTGGGGCCTGCCCGGTCTGTCTCACCGCTCACTCCTGCACCAGTTTGTCTGCGCGTGAATGTGTGACCGCGGTCAGCCCTCAGTGGGTCCACCCACTACTTCACACCTGGGATCCGCCCACGGCTGCTGGCTCACCTGGGTCACACGCCCCAGTCGGTCCGGTGGATCTTTCCTGCCCAAACCTGCTCTGCTGCTGGCTCTGCCCCTCTTACCAGTCTGGCTGAAAGGTTCGTTGTTGTCAGACTTCCGTATAATTCAATTTTCTGTGGTTTGGCTGCGTTTTTGTTGCTAAATCTTTGTTGTTTTTAAACTTGGTTGTGTGAGAAGGCACAATGTTTCCACCTACACCTCCATCTTGGCAGAAGTCCCGGGTGCCGAGCCTTTTGAGTGGGAACAGCATGAGGTCTGGAATGACCAAGCAGGATTTGCCTTTGTTTTGTTCTCTGGAAGCCTGAGGGACACAGGTGTGTCTAGTCCTTGTTCTGGGAGGGAGGCTGCGGCCTGGGGCCAGCGGGCTGGACGCTCCTGTCCTGTAGACCTGGCTGTGCTTCCCCCCGCATTGGGCTGCGGACTGTTCTCCTGTGCAGGGTTCGCTGACACACCCAGCAGAGACCCCCAGAGGACGTACCTGGAGGAAGGTCCGGGCAGCAGCACTGGCCCGGCAGACGGACAGGCGGGCGGCTTCCTGGTGACTCGGCAGCCCCTGCAGGCTCCGGAATTCATCCTTCCCCAGAGGTGAGTCTGCAGACCTTCTGCGATGCCCGTGACACCGTCGTTCACAGGTTTCTGGGAACTGCAACGGACCCCCAGCCTGCGTCTACGAGAAAGAAGAGGGTAGTTTTACCTCAGACACGAGAACACTTGGAGACCTGAGAGTAGATGTGGACGTCTGTCTTGGGGACAGTCCTCAGGCCTCTTCCCTGAGATTGCCCTGGGCCCCAGAACCCTCTCTCTGGCATCTTCTTTGTCCCAAATGCAGGCTGTCAGAGTTTCTGAGCAGGATAGAGATTTTGATTTTATGTCCAGGTTGTAGTTTTCAAGGGGCTTGGGAGGCCCATGGGCAGCCAGTGGGAGCGACAGAGTGTGACAGGGCCTCTGCTGGAGGGGGGTCTGGGGGTGCCCCAGGGCCAGGTCCTCAGGGTTGGGGTCCCCCTCATCTGACGGCAGTAGGCCAGATGTCTGGTGATGGCAGAATTACAGGGGAACAGGAGAGAAGGGCAGTCCCCCAGGTCTCAGGCGTGGGTCCTTATGAAGCAGCAGCCCCCCTGGGTGCGGGTGGGTCGGGGTTTGTTGCTCCATCACCTGGAGGACATTTGGGAGCCTCGGGTCTGGGGCAGCAGTAACCGTCCCCGGACACGTGTCCTGAGCACGTCTGCCTGTGTCGTGTCCGCTGTCAGCACACACCTAGGAGTGAAGTGCCTGTCTCACAGGTTACGTGTGTGATCGCCTTTGTGAGGAACTGCCTGCCGGACAGCTGTCCCTGGGAGCTGCACCTGACACCTTCCCTGCTGTCCCTGCTCTCCCTTTGTTTTGGTCCCAAGGTTCTCTTGTCTCCTTCACACCATAGTCCCGTCCCTTGTACGTGACCTCCTCTTCCCTCACGTTCCTTCTCTGTGGGCCTGCTCTGAGACACTCTGACCTCCCCAGGCCCCGGGCAGCTCCCTGCCTACGTGAGGGCCCCAAGGGAGGAAACTGCTTCTGAGCGTCAGGCACTTGGAAGGGCTCCTGGTGCACAGAGACCTGCAGGGCACATTCCTCACGGGGTGAAGGCCCGTTCTGACTTGTCCCTTCTCCAGCCTCCCGGAGCTGGCACCCGCCTCGCCCGCCTTCCCTGGCCCTGTGCCCGCTGTGGAGCTGAGCGAGCCCCCGCCCCCCAGCCAGGTGAGGCTTTCAGGAGGTGACCCAGGCCTCTTCCTAACTCCTGAATCAGGCGGCCGACGATGGACACTGGCCTGAGGCCTTGAGGCCAGATGTCTGTGGAAGGCGACCTGGAGGCGGGTGCTGTGGGGCAGGGGTGTCCGGGCCCAGGGTGGCGGGGGAGCCAGCAGAGGGCCCCTGAGTGGGTAACGCCGTGTCGGCTTTGCAGGTGCAGTGGCCCGACAGCCCGGCCTCCAGCGATGCCTTCTGGGGGGCCAGGATGCTCCTTGAGCTGTCGGGAGGCAGCCTGGGCTGAGCTGCCCTCCGAAGCCAGTGCCCCGGGGCAGCAGGTGCGGACGTGCAGCCACTCAACGCAAGTTACAGAGCTTTGTCCTGACGAAAAAAGATGTTCCTCAAGTTCCCGGGGTGGGGGGTTCTGCTGAGAAGCACTGTGAGCTCCTTGGCTGATGCCTCGGTTGGGTAGTTGGGTTGGCAGTTTCCGGTGTTGGAGGAAGCATTGGAGAGATGTTCGTGAGATCAAAGGTGGGTGCGTTCAGAGCTGCGCTGGATCGCAGGCTCTGGCTCCTGAGCAGGTGGTGGCAGTGCAGACTCCCACCCGGTTCGCTGGGTGGGTGGGGCTCGGGCAGCACCCTGACGCTTCAGGGTCTGGGGGCCGTGTGGCGGTCCAGCAAGGTGGGTGCGTGCATTTCACCCTCAGGTTGTAATTCATTATGTTTGCAAAACAGATGTTCTATTTAATTAAATTAAAGTTTAATGTTCTGATTGCCTCATTGTTATTTACTTAACTGCATTCTGCACACTGTCTTGTCACTCTGGCTGTCAGTCCCTGGCCAACATTTCCCACCGGAGTGCATGACCCCCATGTCACAGCCTGTTCAGGGCCAGCACGTGGTCCCTGCTGTCCCTGTCCCATAAGCAGCGGTGGAGGTGGCCGTACAAAGGTACGCAGGGCGGCAAGGGCCGAGTGTGATGTGTCTCCTGGCACACGTCACCCCCTTTTGCACAGGTGACTGACACTCAGGACTGTCACCTCCAGGTAGCTTCTGTGATACAGAGGGGACAAAGACACATCCGTGCCCTCTGCTCATGGGGTAGTGGGGGAGACAGGAACAGCAGGCTGTGGGCCGTTGCCCACCGGACGTCATGAACGAGGGGTGGGTGACGAGACCCTGGGGACTCCTGGAGTGGAGGCCTCTCCTCTGATACCCACCGAGATGGGCCACCACAGCTGTAGGACCCTCGGCTGCGTCCTCCACCTTCACTGCACCCTGGGGACCTGCAAACCATCGCATCCCTCCCTCATCGGCAAAGCTCATGTCTGAACAAGTGACAGTGGGTACTTCCGCCACAGACACTCCCACATCCGCTGTTTCCCACACCAGCCGTCTCTCAGTATCTATTTAGCATTAGCTGCTGTGGCTCATGGGTGGGGTTCCAGGCTGCAGGGTAGGAGTCACGGGTTCAGTTCCCAGTTGGGGCACGTGACTGGGTTGCTGGCCAAGAGGCAAACTCATTGATGTTTCTTTACGTTTCTCCTTTTCACTCTCTAAAAACGAATAAATTGATTTAAAAATATTTACTTAAAAATTTAACAAAATTCACCCTGGCTGGTGTGGCTCGGTGGTTGAGCACAGGCCTGCGAACCAAGGGGTCGCTGGTTTGACTCCCAGTCTGGGCACGTGCCTGGGTTGCGGGCCAGCTCCCCAGTTGGGGGCGTGCGGAAGTCAACCACACATTGATGTTTCCCTCTTTCCCTCCCTTCCCCTCTTTCTAAGTAAAATGTTTTTTAAAAAATAGCAAAATTAGAAAAAAGCTGAAATATATAGATATAAAGATCTCGTTTGGACCATTTGAAAGGAAATCCCACCCCCCGTCATTCCTCTAACCCTCTGTGTTTCAGATACAGAATTCTCCCACGGTCACGATCAGATCAGCACTGATACTTGACTACCTTCTAATTGCCACACCCTATTAAAGTTTAGTGAATTCTTTCAGTCACACCCTAAGTTGTGAACAAGTCCCACCCCGTCTCACACACTGCGCTGAGGTGACCAGACACAATGCCCTTGAGCCTGGAACAATCTTAGTTTATCCTGGACTTTCATGGCCTTAATACTTGAAAATTATGAGCCAGTTATTCTGCAGAATGTCTTCCAAAGTGGCTGTCTCTGACGTCCCCTAGTAACTCAGGATCTGCATTTTTGGGAGGAATGTCGCAGAAGTAACACTGGGTCCTATGGCATTTTCCTGTTGGCGCGGTTTTGATCCCGTGTCGATAGTGTGACTCCAAAGGTTTCGGGTTCGGTCCCAGTGCGGGCATGTCTCCGTTAGAGCCCTCACTGGTCTCCAACCAGAGAGGCGGGTGTCCACCTCCGGGTTTCCCGGTGACCGAATGGGCTGGTGCGGCCTCAAATCCAGGAGAAGACAGCAAAGCGGGGCCGGTGAAGAGTCTCAACACTGCTGGTGAGGGAGACTTCATTCCGAGGCTGCGGTGGGGGAAGCCGTCAGTAGTTCTCGTGCACGGAAAGGGACGGGATTAGATCCCCGGTTCTGGAAGGTCAGCAGGTCACAGTGTGGAGGTTGGATTGGACAAGCACAGGAAGCAAAGGGAGCTGTGAGGAAACGTGTGAGGTGGTGCTGGCCTGAGCCGAGGCGGCGCCTGAGTTTGCGGAGAAGCAGGGGTGTGAGGACCAGGAGAGGCTGCGGTCCGGGCTGCCCTGCGGAGGAGGGTCAGGCAGGTTCGGGAGCGAGTGCCCGCGGGGAGCTCGGCGCTGCGAGGTCCAGGCTCACGGGCTCGCAGGAGGGAGCGCTGAGGCCTAAGCTGAGGGCTTTCAGCAACGAATGTTCTAAGGGATAAACATGAGACCTTTCCCAAGTGACAAAACAAAGAGTCTGATTGGCTTGTGCGGTGTCCAAAAGAACATGGCTGGTCGGTGGCAGACCCAGGCTCAGGTCACGTTTAGAGATGAAAAGTTTGGGAGTTCCCTCTGTCACAACTGCTGCACTTGCACAGGAAGGAGTGCAAACTGTAACAGGAGGCCCTTGGGGAGAAGTGATTACAAAGATTATTTTCGTTCTGACTGAGGAGAGGCCAGGCTGGGCGAACCAGGAAAAAGGGGTCGGTCGGTGGGGGGAGGGGAGGGGGAGGAGGGTGTGGGTGGGGGAAATGAACGGTGATGGGCGGAGCTAGACTCAGAGTGGTGAGCACGGCTGGCAGTGCACAGACGATGTGCGGTGGAATCACGCACCTGAAACCCATCAGTTCGTTAATCGATGTCACCCTGTTACCGAACGACAAGAGGTCCGAGGGAGGGGCAATACAATATTTGGCCCACCTAGGGATGCCCAAAACTGCTATACAACAGGGGCCCCTCCCAAAAACAGAATACTAAAATCTACTGGGCCCCTTCTGTCCGCCG